AAAAAAAAAAAAAAAAGGGATGATGAGGAGGGGAAGATGGTTGTGTAACGGGAGCAATGGAATGGCGGGGGATCAGCACCATCTAAAAACCCAACCTGATCTGCATTCTTCTATCTAACAGTCACACAAGAAAGAAAAACACTCCCAATCAAAATCATCATTTGGATCGTTGATGTCATTCGGGGTGCACGAGACATGGGTTTGATTGGTTCGGGGAGAAACGACCAGATGCACCTTTATCTTTTTGGTGTTGTTTCGCTTTAGCCGGATGGAGCAGGGTAGGAGATTTGCTTCCGGGGAAAGCGTTGGGATGTTGTTTTCGGTCTAGTCCGAGACATGGACGTAAAGTGACCATTCAAGAGGGAGGAGGATACATTGAGATGGGTAGAGCTTATCTACTGATTTGTTTAGCTGTATCAGACTTAAGGTCTTTATTTTTCTTATTTATTTCTACTAATGTTGTCTAGTATTGGGTCTGGTATTAGGTCTTTGATTGAAATGTACAAGCGAAGATCGCAGGAACAAACTCTGAAGGATAGATCCGATCGGCATCTCCACCTATCGGAATCTGAACAATGAACGGTAATCTCCACGCTAGAATCAACTAAGGTTAACCCGATGCTTAGTCCCGAAAGAGGCATCCACTTTAACAATAGCCCACGTCATAAAATAATCATCGTCATATGGATGCTGGGACATCTCTTTGTAATTACCATACAGACAGGTTCACAATGTCTGATCGAAATTATATTCGCTGGGACGCTGACGGCGTTGAGAAAATACCAGAAAACGAAGAGCAGGATATTAGGGACGTTGTTGATAAGATCAATGAAACGCAGAGACGCTTCTATAAAGAGAATGGACATTGTTTTGGAGGAACGCATGCTAGGACACAGGGAATTGCTAGAGGAAGCATGATTGTTTCTGATGATTTACCCATGCATCTAAAGCAGACAGAACTCTTCTCACACGCTGCCGAGTATCCTATCATTTGTCGATACAGCTCTGAGCCAAGTGATCCAAAACTCGACGTAAGCTACTCTTTCCCAACAAGACCTTGACTAACTTCCCAGGACCGCATTCCTCAGCCTAGAGGTCTGGCCATGAAAGTCTTCAACGTCCGAGGCGAAATGTTCGAGCCCGGCAAAGACTTCTCTACTCAAGATATTGAGTTTAACAGTACTCCAGCACTTGATCTAGCTGATGCAAAGACTACCAAAGAGATTCTTGATCTTCGTCTTAACTATGGTTACAACACGACGGAACAAGAGTCTAAAATCGAGGAGAGATCGGATAAAGAACTTCAAAAAGCACGAAACCAAGTTCCGAATCAGCATTTGTAGTCCATTACGTTCTACTCTCAGACTGCATATCGCTACGGAGATTATGTAGTCAAGTATAGACTCATCCCAAATACCCCAGCACAGAAGAAACGAAGCGAAGAAACCGTGGATACACAACCTGACGGCGTTCTTCACGAATGGCTACGCGATTTCTACAGGGATAACGAAGCAGAGTATCTCTTCCAAGTCCAACTCCTCGGGAATCTAACCGAGCAACCCGTTGAATACGCCGGCTCAGAATGGGACTCTGAGAAATATCCATTTCAGACTGTTGCAAAGGTGATTATTCCGAAGCAAGACAGTTGGAATGAGGAGAGGAATCGGTTCTGGGTTGATCATTTGAGAGTTGATCCTAGGCATGGACTTGTGAGCTTTCAGCCTTTGGGAAGTGCTAATCGATTGAGAAGGATGTGTGAGTTTTCTGTGAAGTTGAGAGGAATTTACTAATCGTTGTAGTGTATCCTGCTAGTGCTTCGTTTAGAAGGGAGGTTAATGGGAAGAAAGAGATTAATGTTAAGGATATTAGTGAAATTCCAGGGTACTAAGGTTATCAAATAGCTTAGTAGACCTTTTAGTTTATTTACTATTAAAAATCAGCATAAATTAAGCATATGTATCTAAATTAAGTTTAAATCTCTTGTTGATGATTAACTTGCATTGTTGTAATCGTTAATTTCACTATAACGTTGGTTTATTTTTTGTTTTATTATTTGCTACATGTGGTCTTTTCTGCACACCGGTTCAGGGTACACTTAATAGAAAAGCTATACATGGAATTATTTTAAAGATAGCTCAATTAGAGATATTTGTTTAATTTTACAACTTTTACAGTAATTGAAACAGTATTCCGTTCCTTTCATCTTGTCAGAAATCGCGTCGAAAATAAAGATCGATCCCACCCTAGATCTCTAAAAATTAGCGTGTTACGACAGCGCGTCACGATCGGTACTAAAATCAAGCCCCATCCCAAATCGGAAGATCCCAGTTCCACAAGAGTCATTGACGTCAGCAATTCAAGTCAAGCCCGTCATGACTTTTAATTTATGGAAACATTTAGTCAATGAAACCCCACGGCCAAGACTGAATGATCTCTCAGATTTGAATCCATTATCGTGAGAATCATCTCGGGATACATGTCGCAGAACAATACAGACGTTGAAGCACTCATGGCTCAGAACGGTGAAAGCAAGGGCAATGCCCGGAAGCGTGTTCTTGTTGTAGGTGCTGGTGCAGCTGGGTATGTAAACATCAAAATGTATTGAATTATACTGACCTTCTCAGCATGTCTACGGCGCATCATCTTTCTGAACATCCTGATAAATTCGACGTTACGCTCATTGATGCAGTTGACTACTGCGGTGGTCAAGCATTTTCCATTCCCATCGACAAAGAACGCCATGGAGCTTCATGGTGCAACCAAGGTGTACAGGGAGGTTCTTACATCTTCCACCACACTGTCACCATGTTTAATCGCCAGGGTTATCACGCTGATCCTTGTGAACTTCATGTATCGTTCGGTAAAGACGATACTTTCTGGAACAATGTGTTTCCTACTGAACTTTTGGTTCGTCATGAGAAGGAAGTTCGACGTCTTGCTACTCTTCTCAAGTTTATGCGCTGGTTTGAAATCTTCTTTGCTCTTCTCCCTCTTAAGCTTGTGTTTAAAATGTTTTTCTTTTCGGAGGAATTTACAAACACTATCGCTCTTCCCATGACGGCTCTGTTCCTCGGTACTGGAAATGAGACTCCTCGAGTCCCTGCCATCATGTTTGAGAGGCTGTGTACTTCACCGACTTATGGAATGTGGTATCCTTCTGACAAAAATACTGTCGTGAGCAACAAACCGCCCATGATTGTATTTCCCAAATTCTCCGAGTTTTACGAGACTTGGAGAAAGGATCTGATCTCGAGGGGAGTCACTGTTAGACTCTCGACTGAGTTGACAGAAATTGTTCAGCGAAACAAACACGGTGTCGTTGTCAAGCTTAAGCCCAGAACACCTGCACCAGACCATCACAACCCCGCTGGAGGAGACCCTGATGCCCCTCAGGGAGAAGAAAAATACGATGAACTTGTTCTTTGCTGTCTCGCAGACACAGCTAAGCGCGTCCTTGGAAAGACTGCCAGCTGGAAGGAGAAAAAGGTTCTCGGATCAGCCAAGTTCAGCGATGATATCACAATCACCCACAACGACTCAGACTACATGAAGAAACACTACGAGAATTTCTACCGGGACGACCTCGCTGTTGCCAACGTCAACGGAACAGACCAAACGGAACGTTGCAACTTTGCAAGGACAGAGTATCGACCTATGTACTACATCAAGATGTATCCCGAGGATAAGTCCAAGCTGGAGATGTGTTTCGACTGCACCAACTATCAGAGCCAGTTTCCTGAAAAGGTTCCTTTTGAGCAGCATATTTTCCAGACTATCTACCTCAACAAGGACCGCGATAGCCATTTGTGGAGCGACAACGAAATCGCTGAAGATAAAATCATTCGCAAAGATTGGTGGCATCAACTCTGCCACAGCTACACACACTACCTCTTCGTCGTCCCATGGATGATGTTCCTTAACGCAAAGAATCACACTCGCTTCGCCGCCTCCTGGACATTGGTCAACGCCCACGAAGTAGCCGTCATGTCCGGCATAGCAGCCGCAGTCGATCTCGGCGCAACATACCCCGAAGATCTCGAAAACGATAAATTCGCCTTCCTCTGTTTCAGACTTTACTACCTCCTCACTTATGGAAAGTGGTACCGAAGACATTATACTTCTAAGCAGTATGTTAAACAGCATGGTGAGACGGAGGCTGCTAAGGATGGCAAGAGTTGGGCTACGGGGCTTTATGGGAGTGTTTATAAGGGACCTGGTGTTTCGGAGGTCGAGAGGAGTGCTTGGAGGGAGGATATTAAGAAGGGATATAGTACCGGTAATCTTTCTTAGATGGGGGTTACATGAAGATTGTTGTAAGATAGGTGTAGTGGCGATGTTTCGATGGAAGTGTATTTACTACGAAACGAGGCTTAAACAACATCATACGATGAATCCTACTTTCTTATCACTCTATACTCCTCTAATCTGGTAGTTAAGCACTAAACTCGTCACTTGTACTGATGAGACACTCTATCACCTCTCAGTGAGCCTTAACCGCCAATTAACTGCCTTGGCGTAGCGCTATTGTCCCATTACCTGCAAGCCACCTAGCATCCATTCGTCCCACGTCACTGAGGCTTGAGATAGTGGCTGCCTGGTTCCGCCTTATCAATCTCGTAGGCTTTCCGCTCCCTGCATAAAACGGGAACATTTAACGGGCTTTTAAACCATTTTTCTCGTCCCTTCCTTGTTCGTTTTTATCATTTGTCGCTATGAACTCTTCTATGTCGCCTACGTGGCTTATCTGCGCCACATTTTATGTCACTGTGGCTGCTCGTTTTATCGCCTATCCGCTGCCAACAAGTAATGCTGTAGCTGGCTACGATAAGGCAAATGCTTTGCCTACTCTCCCTCCGGGAGCGGTCGATCTTCGAATCAGAGCCGATGAGATCCCTACCTACACCATAACCTACGCCTCAGACTCTGTATGCGGCTACCTCTCCGGCTCTGTCCAAATCCCGATTACTTGCGAGAATAAGAATCGCTGTTTATGGGAACTCGAGTCTTTCAAATACCTCGCTTGTGAGATTGACGGCGAAACAACTGGAATCGCTCATACAAAATGCTTGGCACGAGATGAGGCTCTGGATCCTAATCTATGTGAGGATGACTGCGTTAGTAATACTTATAACCTGCTATGGTAAGTCCATCAAGCCCGCGCCTCTTCGTCCACGTAGTTGAACAATATCATTTAGCACAAACGATACTCTTCCATATTGTCGAACCTACGCTTTCCCCCGCGGTGTCCGTGATTATCGATGCGCATCATTGCCACCGACGAGGGTGTCGAGCGTCGACTTTACCTATAAGGGACAGAAATATCCTAACTTCACTATATCTACATTTGTGGATGTAGACAAATCTCTGTCGATTCCAGCCACGTCTTCGATTTCAACTACCACAGACGCAGAGCCAGCTGCTGCAAGCACAACAGATACGGAGCCAGACAAAGAGAAGAAAGGGCTAGACGGAGCAGGTATAGCTGGGATAGTTGTAGGTGTAGTGTTTGGAGTTGTCTTTTCTTGCGCTGGTATTTTCTGTCTTCGTGAGAGGAGAAAGGGGAAGAAAACACAAGATACTGCTACTCTGTCGGAATCGCTTCCTCTAGGCAGTAAGAGGAATGATATGGTGGTGAGACAGCAGCCCGTTGCAGCGGATGATGGGCCCGAGGTTGTTCATGAAGCTGACACTAGCAGATAGCGTCTGGCAGACTAATATTAATTAATTCCTTTTATTGTTACTTAAGAACTATTATACTTTATAAACCGTAGCCCGAGCAATCAAAGTGCTTTCATCTAAGTGTATCGACCCCCGTTTACAGGGGTTACAAAACTACAGTAAGTTCAATGTAAAGTAAAGGTTAAAACTGAACCATTACTATATTGCAGATGCTTTTCCGATCATAAGGTAGCATCAGATAGCTTTAGTTAGTACTTGTGAGCTGGACCTAACGGTTCATGTCTCTGAGCGCCTCATTTCGCCTCATTCGTACAGCTCCTACTCTAAGGAACAAGCCGAGGTTGCTAAAGTCCAGAGCTTAGTACAGCTGTAACGTAGCCCGTAGGGTCACATGCAGCTTACCGGGCTTTTCAACGACACCAACTTAAACCACGCCGCACGTATCGGAGTCTTTGAACGCCACTCAATCTCCTACGGACTTTAGTCGTCTGAATTGGGCCGAGAATTTGGTGAATTGCCACAAACAGCAGTTACGGAGTTGAAATGGGGGTCACAGTTGCTGTGCCAGGCGTATTGAATGCTGGCATTGGATCTCCACCTGCCTCAGACCAGTAGGGACAGCTTTGACATGTTCAAGTACTCGTGCAAATTACGAGAATCACGGGATTGAAGCTCCTATTAGACACTGCAAGAGCTCTTTTACTTACGTTAAACTGCCAATTAAAACAAGGAGGCTTTAAGGTAGAGTAGCTAAGATCTCCAAGAGTTGATAATACGAGTTAAAGTAATTGCAGGGACTTCGTAAGACGGGGAATAATTACATTCTTACTGTAGTCAACTACGCCTTACCGACCGAAAATAAGCATCGAGACTCTAATGTTCCATTGAGAAGATCCTAAATCACAGACGCTGTCGCAATATGATACCTTATCAACTCAATTGGCCCGGATGCACGGCACCAGCTTATCTGCAGACAGCTAACCACCTTCCTAATCCGGTAGGTAAAGCATCCCCGACGGTAACATTAAAACCACCAGCGATAACAAACACACTATCATTCGCTAATCCTCCCAGTAACGATTCTAAAGAACTGTTCTAGAACTCCACTCCCAGCACCGCAAGAACTGTTAATCTCTTCGCTAACTCTTAAAAGTTAAAAGCACTTTCCCTCTGACAGTCTGGGGTAAGCCAACAGCGCTTTATCCCCTGTAATCTACAGCGTCAACACCCAATGAACACAAAGTCCTATCTGTACGACAAGCGCTATCGCAAGTGTGGCGTTGGAAGGAACAAAAGGCCGGGAAAGACGTCCCTGATAAGAAGGTCAATCATGTTATGGTGGTCAGATCACGAAATAAGCATATCACAAGCTCAAACCATTAACCAATAGCTTTAGAAATGTATTGAATGGTAGTGCGATGCGCATTTTCTGCACGCCGAGAACAGATCTTGATTAGCCAAGAAGGAGATCGGCTTGGCCTTCTTGGCTTGAGTTGTCTCGGTGGTAATGGCATGGGTTGTTGCACACTAGGTTCTAGACCACCCTCCTTCGGCGACATGCTGATTGAGAAGCTTGCCCCGGCATTAGCGTCTGGAAGCTTATCTTAAGCTTGATTAGCATACTCTGGTCTTGGCACATAAAGACAGGAAGTCCGCAGCACACGAGGGTATTCCCGAATCTCTTGTTCTTTATTTTGTATTCTACAGCTATTTGGTCTTCCATACTGTAGCCACCATGTCGTCAACACCACCCCACAAAGAAGCCGTCAAAGACGAAACAACCGTCGAAGTCCCCCACGATGAAGAACTCGGCGAAGGCCAGCTTAAGCGTCATCTGCAGAATCGACACATGCAGATGATTGCTATCGGCGGTGCCATTGGAGCTGGTCTTTTCGTCGGTTCTGGAAGTGCTCTTCACAAGGGTGGTCCAGCAGCGCTTGTCATTGGTAACCTTCTCCTAATCTACCACTATTTTGTGTCTATACTAACATGTTGTAGGATGTAAGAACCCTCCCTCGATCGATCGACCACGACTAATTGTATAGACCTCATCATTGGTGTCATGTTGCTGTGTACAAACCTTGCTCTTGCAGAGATGGCTGTCTTGTACCCTGTCAACGGTGCCTTTTACACGTACATTGTTCGCTTCGTTGATCCTTCTTGGGGATTTGCTTGTGGTTGGGAATATGCCCTTTCCTGGCTCACTGTCCTCCCCTTCGAATTGATTGCTGCGTCTAGAACTATTGAGTTTTGGAGAACTGATATTCATATGGTATGTTCTTGAGGCTGAGTTTCATGATCTACCTTGGCATCTCTTGGCGGCTTGGCATCCGCTAACATGCACTAGGCTGTTTGGGTCTCTGTCTTCCTCGTCGCTCTAACCATCGTTCAAATCTTTGGTGTTCGTGGTTATGGAGAAGGTAAGTCACCAATCCCATCATCAACCCATACTAACACATTTAGTCGAATTTGTTCTCTCTGCTATCAAGATCGCTGCTTGTCTTGGCTTCATCATCCTCGGCATCATCATCAACTGCGGTGGTGTAGGTGATCAAGGCTACCTCGGAACAAAGTACTGGCACGATCCTGGTGCTTTTACCGATTTCAAGGGTTTCTGCGCTGTCTTTGTCGTTGCAGGTTAGTATCCCCTCTTCTACTCGTGACGTTTACTGACATCACCAGCCTTTGCCTTCGGAGGTACAGAAATGGTCGGTCTCGCCGCCGCTGAAACAGCCGACCCCCGTAAATCCGTCCCTACAGCCTCCAAGCAAGTCTTTTGGCGTATCGCTCTCTTCTACGTCATCAACCTCTTCATCGTAGGAACAATCCTTCGATCAGACGACGAAAGACTTCTCGGTGCATCTGGCGCCAACACAAAGGCTTCACCTTTCGTCTTGGCCATTCAAGATGCAGGTATCAAGGTTCTTCCCTCTATCTTCAACGCGGTTATTACAATCTCCGTTCTGTCCGTCGCGAACACATGTACCTTTGGATCAACCCGTACCATGCAGGCTATGGCTATGAGAGGACATGCGCCCAAGTTCCTTACTTACATTGATGGCAAGGGACGCCCTATTTACTGCGTGATCATCCAACTCGGCTTTGGACTTTTGGCATACATCGGTGAATCTCCCAAGGGCGGTACCGTATTTGATTGGCTCTTGGCCTTGTCCGGTCTCGCGTTCCTTTTCGTTTGGGGAACTATTTGCCTCGCGCACGCAAGAATGAGATCAGGAATGCGCGCCCAAGGAATCAACATGGGTTTGATTCCTTATAAAACCCCATTCGGTGTCTGGGGTAGTTATCTCGGCGTTTTTCTTAATGTCCTTGCTCTGGTGGCCACTTTCTACTCGGCCCTTTATGTAAGTTTGAGTCTAGACTTTTTCTCTTGGGTTACATCGCTAACTATTTTAGGCGGCTGACGGGTCTCCTCCCAGCGCGGAGTCATTCTTTATGTCTTTCCTGGCCGGACCTATCATTCTCATTCTGTACCTTGGATACAAGGTATACTCTCGGGATTGGAAGATGTACGTCAAGGCTATTGACATGGATCTTCAGACCGGTATTGTTCTGTTGGATGAGGAAATCCCAGAGGAGCCAAAGACGTGGAAGTCTCTTCCTAGACGTCTCCTCTCGGCTATTATCTAGTTTGGGGTCTTGGGGTTCTTGGAGGACACCGCTTAGATGTAACCGTTCGACCTGTCATTAGTACATAAAATATCAGCTGTTTTGCCTGACTCTCTTAAGCCGGCCGCTTCCCCAGGTTCCCCCGCAGATCTACATCCATTTATCCATATGTGGTGAGCTCATCTTACATCCCCGGATTTTCACTGGTGCGGATATCCAGCCCTGTCACCAACCCATGTCGTGTTTAGCCTGAGTTTAAACCGTTGAACCAACCACTGAGACCTTCAGGCTGAATTGGAGTCTATTTTATCCACCTGCGGGGAGAACCCTCCTACCAACGGATACCCGGCATGCATTCAAGACCGTTTCATTGTAAATGCCCGAATGTGTTTGTCTGACATGTCTGCCCATTTAGCCGAGATTGATGTAACAGTACAAAGTTTCACGTCTTGGCTTTGTAGAGTATATAACAAATGCATGCCCTTCAATCGCCAAGATGATTCTGGTCTGACACCTGAACTTGCTTGTCATCAAACTTCTTACTCGTACTCATCATGGGTGGAGCTCCGACTACAACAGGCACATACGATGCCGCCCTCCAGCGCCGCCAAGCCCTCATGGGTGCTTCCGGTGCTCGAGCTTTGGTAAAGAACTGGAAAGTCGCTAGAATTGCTGCTTTTGCTTGCATCGGTGGTATTCTCTACGGATACAACCAGGGAATGTTTTCAGGAATTTTGACCATGCCTGCTTTCGAACGACGTACGCTCCCTCTATATCCATGACTCTGCGTAACAGTCAGCTGACGTGAACAGACATGGGAGATTATGTCAAGAACCAAACCAAGAAAGGATGGTTGACTTCCATTCTCGAACTCGGTGCTTGGCTCGGCACTGTTCTTTCCGGCGCTATCGCTGAGCTTTGCTCGAGAAAATATGGTATTCTTATTGCGACTATGGTTTTTATTATTGGTGTTGTTATTCAGGCTACTGCTATTCAAGCTGGATACCAAGTCATTCTTGCTGGTCGATTCATCACGTGAGTTGCAGCGGTCATCGGTTTGAACGCAGCTAATATTGTGCAGGGGTATGGGTGTTGGTAGTTTGTCTACTATTGTTCCTCTTTACAACTCCGAATGTGCTCCTCCGGAAGTTCGTGGTGCTCTCGTCGCTCTTCAGCAACTCGCCATTACCTTTGGTATCATGGTTAGTTTCTGGATCGACTAGTACGTCCCTCCCCTTCCACAGCATCACGACACCTCTAACATCTTCAGCGGCACTCACTTCATCGGCGGCACAGGCGAAGGCCAATCCGACGCAGCATGGCAAATCCCAATCTGTCTCCAACTCGGTCCCGCAGTAGTCCTCTTCATCGGAATGATGTGGATGCCCTTCTCCCCCCGATGGCTCCTTCACCACGGCCGCGAAGAAGAAGCTCGCCAAGTCCTCGCCAACCTTCGTGACCTTCCCACCGACCACGAACTCATCGAGCTTGAATTCCTTGAGATCAAGGCCCAGTCTCTTTTCGAGAAACGATCTCTGGCTGAACGTTTCCCTCATTTGCAGGAACAGACTGCTGGAAATATCTTCAAATTGCAGTTTGTCGCTATGGGAGCGCTTTTTAAGACAAAGGCTATGTTTAAGCGTGTTATTGTTGCCACCGTTACTATGTTCTTCCAGCAGTGGACCGGTATCAATGCTGTAAGTCGACCACACTCTCTTGCGTCTCAAACTAACCTTCTAGATTCTTTACTACGCTCCCTCCATCTTTGGCCAACTCGGTATGAGCAGCACCACCACATCTCTCCTCGCCACAGGAGTCGTCGGAATCGTCATGTTCATCGCCACCATCCCCGCCGTTCTCTGGATCGATCGTCTGGGTCGTAAGCCAGTTCTTGCTGTCGGTGCTGTCGGCATGAGTATTTGCCATCTCATCATCGCCGTCATTCTCGCTAGGAACATTGATAACTTTGAGAACAACCAAGCAGCTGGTTGGGCAGCTATTGTCATGGTTTGGCTTTTCGTCATCCATTTCGGATGTAAGTGATTCCGACTCTTGTAAGACGTGATACTGACTGTTTTAGACTCTTGGGGTCCTTGTGCCTGGATTATCATTGCTGAGATTTGGCCCCTTAGCACCCGACCTTATGGTGTGTCTCTCGGTGCTTCGAGTAACTGGATGAACAACTTTATCGTTGGTCAAGTTACTCCTGATATGTTGGAGGGTATTACCTACGGAACATACATCCTGTTCGGTCTCTTGACTTTGATGGGTGCTGGATTTATCTGGTTCTTTGTCCCTGAGACCAAGCGTCTTTCTCTTGAAGAAATGGTACGTCTAGACCTCGATCTACTACGTTCTAATACTAACAAATCTAGGATATCATCTTTGGATCCGAGGGAGCTGCTCAGGCTGATAACGAGAGAATGGCTGAGATTAACAGAGAGATTGGTCTTGATGATATCATCTACAATGCAGGTGCTGTCCACTCTGCTCACTCCCACGACGATGTCAAGGAGATCAAGGCTTAAGCTATCTTTATGATAAACTCTTAAGATGAATATTTAGTTACTAGGAAATACAAACCAGAATGTCCCTACTCTAATACAAATACGAGAATTCCATCGTGCACTGTGGATCTATTTTAAAGCTAACCTATTTGCGACATGAGTCATCGCTTGTTCGGGAGCACTAACAATTAGTGAACCAATCAGTGAATGTTAATTGCAGCTTACAGTGGTTCTCCGCGGACTATCCGCTAAAATACAGGGCAACTCGGGGAATAACATCAACCCGAATGCGACAAAAACTGGAAAATACGTTTAATATTTCTCTATATTTGTAAACTAGTAGAAGCTTTCAACTCCGGCGAACGTTTATAGTTTAGCTCGATGGATATATGTTACTGGCCGGATGTCTGAGGTAGCATTTCTTCATTGGTGGGGAGCTCTACCCGCGGGGACTTCTACTCTCATTTAAATAGTAGACTTACCAGCATCGATAGCATATCAAACACCAACAATTATTACTTCAGCGACAATGAGTGTCCTACTTTCTCCCTTGAGCATTCTTTCCTCTCTTATTGCTATATTGATTGGCACTTTTCTCTTTAAACGATCTAGAAATACATTCCCCATCATTAACAAAAACCCCCAAGACTTTATCACCAACGCCCGCACCCTCCTGCAAACCGGCTTCTCAACCCACGGTTCAAAACCGTACATCATCAACGTCCCCAACGGCCAGAAACTAATCCTTCCACCAACACTCATCAACTGGGTTAAGAACAACAAAGATATCGACCACCAGCAACTGGTTCGAGAAGATTTCTTTGCCAATTATCCCGGTTTTGATGTTAACTTTGTCCTGCATCATCAGGATCGAATGGTGATCAATATGATTCAGGGAAAGTTGAGCAAGACTGATAAAACTTTGCCTATCCTGGATCATGCTATTGAGAAGGGTTTGAAGGAGATTTGGGGTGAGAGTAAGGAGTGGAAGAGTCTTGATTGGGAGGATAATACTACTGGTATTATTTCCCGTGCTGCTTCTTCTATTTTTGTTGGACCCGAACTTGCTTCCGACCCCGAATGGCAAACTTTTTCTCGAAAATATGTCCTCGACTTCTTCTCCGCCGTTCCAGAAATGCAATCTGTCCATCCCTGGCTCCGAGGCATTCGTCAGTATTCTCTCCCCCACGCAACAGCCTGTCGCACCGGTCTTGCACGCGCTCGCGAGATGGTCAACAAAGTGGTCCAAAAGCGCCGTCAAGAAACCAATCTTCCCGCTTACTACGACGCTCTTGCTTGGACGATGGAGAATCCGGCTGCTGAGGGCTTTGAACCGGGCGATGTCCAGTTAGCTCTTGCTATGGCTGCTTTATTCACTACTTCTGAGCTGTTTAGGCAGATTCTAATTGGGATTGCTAAACGACCCGAGTATGTTGAGCCTTTGAGGAAAGAAATTCAGGATGCTATGGGTGATGGTGTTACTGGCGCGAGTTTGGTCAAGATGGGGTTGTTGGATAGTTTTATGAAGGAGTGTCAGCGACAAATTCCTCCTCTTGGTAAGTCTTTCCCCTTTTCCGAAGTTCATAATTAATCTTTTGCAGTCCTCTTGGAACGAATCGTTGTCCGCGATACAATCCTCCCCGACGGAACACCCCTTAGCAAAGGAACTCACATCGCCGTCGACGGTCGCGAAATGCTTAACCCACCATCCTACGAGAATCCTGACGAATTCGACGGCTGTCGCTTTTACAAGCGTCGCGAAGCAGGTGACAACTCTGGATTACTTGTTCAATCCAGCCCTGATCATGCTCACTTTGGCATGGGAAGACATCAATGTCCTGGACGGTTCTTTGCTGGAAGTGAGCTTAAGCTTTGTCTGGCGCAGATTTTGATGAAGTATGATCTTAGACTCAAGGAGGGATATGAACCTAAGGTTATGGAGATGGGGTTCATGTCTATTTGTGATCCTTTTGCTCAGATTGAGATTAGGAGGACGTAGATAGTGTATTATTATATGTTACCGTGGAAACTTCAAAAGTTATCGAAATTGTGTGCTTTTATAGTATAGTCACGCAGCTACCAGCTACAAGCTTGAGTATACAACTTCCGACCCTCTACTTATCCTCATCATCATCATCAGGGTTCTCCTTCTTCTTGCGCTTTTCCGCACACTCAGAACATTCGATTGTTGTGCTACTGTGAGCCTCGTCGGTGTTTCCGCAAGCTCCCATGACTCCCTCTGCCTTGGCGCAGGGCACGTCACGAGTGTCGCGCCAGAGCTCCTTGCCGCATGGGCAATCGTCGGTGAAAATGTATAGTACACACATTGTGCTGCTGTTGACGTTTTTAAGATATAGTTCAGTTTCTGGGTTTGTTGTGTAGCTGATGAGTGGTGTTGATATAGTTGAAGTTGTTGATGTGCTTGGTTTGAGTTTGAGTTGGGCAGTGGAAAGAGGCTAATTTATAGACCTTGAGGAACAGTTATTCAGTAACAGCGTTTCATAAGGCTTTCATTGTTGAACGAGGCTATGGGTAATCCGGAACAAACCAACGGGAAACTGAACCATATGAACACCTGTTCAGTGCTAATTTTCCGTCATCACTGTTTTGTTCAGTATTGAAGAACAATTGTCTTGTCAATGGCTTATATTCACTATCTTCTATTGTTCACAAGACTCTCTGTTCCACCAACACGTTGTTTTAAGTTGTTTCACCTTGCACATATCCCCAATCACATGCCTACTCTTTCGGTTTGAGCTTGCGCTTCCTTCTACACTCCGCACAAATAACACTCGTAGTATTAGTAGCATTGTTCACATTTCTACACCTTCCCCAGATACCTCTAGACTTGAGGCAGCATCTTGATTCAAAGCTTTGCGACAAGACTGTTTGGCAGACTAGGCAGACAGTTCGGTTGTTGGTCCTTGTACACATGTTGGTTTGTCTGAGATCGTAGTATATATAGTAGTTTTTGATACTTGATAGTGTTCAGTATGTTGTCTGAGAAGGGATTGATTGAGATTGGATTGATGGAAGTGGACCTTTTATACTGGTAAGTCACGTACCTTTGCGTCTCTTTTCATCATGGGTCTGAAGCTCTGGGATGATTCACATTGTACATAGATATGATTGATGACGAGGTGATTCACTGAATCGATACGAATTCTCCAGTGGCCTTCTGATCGAAGCTGGTTGTTCCACAGTACTGAGTTCCCACACAGAAGCAGAAATACATGTTACTCTTTGTCTGACCGATGATGCATTGAAGGCAGATGTTCAAAGCTACTTAAAATCTAAGAAATACTGATTGTTAAGCTTCCTGGATACAGGCCTGCAAGCTAGAGATACTCCAGTAATTAATATTAATTAACTACTAGTACCAAGTCCAATTTCCTCTTTAATACAACTGCTACATACATTTATAATCTTAGCGCTTTGCTATTGATTACTGGATAATTATATACCTTACTAGATACTAGTAATTTGAGAAGTCCTTTCTATCCCTATGTGTAAATGTCTATTCCCGTAGCTGTTTTTCTACCGTCCCCTTACATAGTAGCTAGTGTAGTTTATTAATACTTGGCTCTTGCCTACGGTCTTGCAACCCCTTGGGCTCAATCTTTTGTTAACGGTATAGAGCAACTCCCCCAACCAAACTTGGTTCTCACTTCATTAACATTGGTGTGGCTATGGCGGCGAATGATAGCCATGAAATAACGCCTTGTCGCTTATTTTTCAGCTTGATGTTGATCTTATGGTAAGTGCAGCCAATCCTGAGTTCGGAACCGCAGCCTTACCGTCGTCTTCAGGGCACGAAAGTCAGGCTCTCGCCTTCTTCTATTTTTAGATGTTACTTATATGCACCCTTATTTCGTACTCCCACCGATAAAATCCATCCTTTCAAATCTCACTGTTTTCGCTATGCTATCTAAGATATTTGGCAGCGGTTGGCGTGTTATCGCGACCTTGAACACTATCGTTGTCTTTATTTTCACCATTTTCGGCACTGTCCTTATTTATCGTGGCGTCTCTGTATCCGGCGGTATCGATAGAAACTTCGTCTTCTTCCATGGAAAATGTGGCAAGGCAAAGTCAGTCAATACGTGGCTGCATCTCTTACTCAACGCCTGCTCCACGGGCGTACTAGCCTCCTCCAACTTTTTCATGCAGGTCCTCAGTTCTCCGACAAGGTCCGAAATTGATAAAGCACATGGAGCAAATCGGGCCCTCAAAATTGGTGTCCAGTCACTACGAAACGTCTTCTGGACTTCAAAGATCAAGTTCGTATACTGGATCCTTTTCTTTGTCAGCTCTTTTCCTCTTCATCTTTTCTTTAACTCTGCTATCTTTGCAACCGAGAACTTGGGGACTGACTGGCATCTCACTATATCGTCCGAGGCTTTCGTCAATGGTGCGCAGTACTTCGGGTCCGGGGCAGCACTATGGCCTCCCAGAGGTGAGACTGACTGGGAAGGATATGGGTTGCCTCGAAACGTGAGCGAATACTTTGACCCGTCTAGTAATGCATCGAAGAAGATAGAGGCTGCATCTCAATATGCCAGGTCCTGGAAGAAGCTCAAGACCAGAGATTGCATCTGGCAGTACGTCTACTGTAACCCGCGCGTTACCTTTGCCAATGTGGTGATGGTTGTTGAGTCTCAGAACAAGACTTCTGTTGAGTCTCAGAACAAGACTTCCATATTGGAGGATGGGGAGGGATGGAACCGAACCACACTTTTCAAGCCATTCAACTCTACCACTGATAAGTCTTTTTGGGATATGCATGTCCCTGCTAATGAGAGCAACTCCCTTTGGTTTGCTGCTGATTGCAAAACCAGTGTCAGCTCCGATCAGAGACCGATTGGTAAATGTAGCCAAACGTGTGGTCGAGCGGTCGGATTCTGGAAGAATGAGTCTATGTCGACACGGCTTGGAAGTCTACCATCGGATTACACATTTGAGTTTTCCCCCTACGCTTCGTCCTACATGGCCGACGAAGCTGCAACAAATCTGACTCTCAAATACTGCTTGGTCGACGAACTATCTCAAAAGTGCAAAGTCGCCATCTCTAATCAACTCCTCATCATCGTTGTTGCCTCAATTGCCGTCAAGGGAGTCCTTTGTCTCGCGGTTCTATTCACGTTACCGAAAGAACAGCCTCTGGTTGTGTTGGGCGATGCTATCCAATCATTTATCCGTTCTCCAGACCAAAGCACAATTGGGCGGTGCCTCATGGACAGGGACCTTGAAGAGGACATGGGCGCTGGTTGCGCATTTGCAATGACCGCTGCACCAACGCGTCAAAGCTGGTTGTCAGCCATCGATCGACAGACCTGGGCCCGAAGCTACGGAATGTTGTCTATGGATATTATTCTCCTCGCCGGGGGGTTCATCGCAGCAAACCTAAGGACCCCTCTGGCCGGACAAAGCTTGCTCCAAAGCATGAGCAACGGAATACTGTCGATCTCTCCGGCGTCAGCAGTCAATTTTATCGACTGTGTTTTGAGAGCTAACCTGCCACAACTTCTTCTTTCCATCACTTACTTCATATACAATAACATCTACACTCACCTGTGCGCTGAAAAAGAGTGGAACTCGTATGGAGGAGGTTTTCGCCCTCTTCGGGTATCCCAGCCCAAAGGCCAACAGCGGACGGCATACCGATTACAGCTACCATATCGATACAGTGTTCCCTTGATCATTGTTAGCATCTTCACGCACTGGCTGGTGTCAAATGCTTTCTATATCTTTGTAGCGGAAGGAGGTACGTTGGATAATCGCAACAATCAGCACAGTCACAATTAACCTTTTTCCATGCAGATTACTACGAGTGGAGCCAGCAAATTGATGAACCTGAACAGCGTAGAAAAGGTGTCTCGGAGACTGGTTTGAGTATAGATGCTTATGTTGGTATCGGTTACTCAACTCTTACGATCCTCATACTCTTTATTACGATGATCGTCCTGCCCATTATTCCCACCCTAGTGGGGCAAAGAAAGGTCAAGACTGCGATGCCTCTAGCAGGAGCTAGCTCTGTTGTTATATCCGCAGCATGTCACGTTCCAGTTCTAGAAGAAAACAGTGGCACTCATCCTGGCAGTGGTGTGCAAAAGAGCTTACGGCTCAAGTCAAGACTGGTAGAGGATGATGGGGACTCAGCCTATGAGATGATCAATTTGCGAGGTTCGACTGACGATCTTGAACCTCTTATTTCAATAAACAATGCTGGAGCAGGAAATGTGACAGAGGAGGTATCTCACGGGGCCAGGTCTGAGGAAGTCCCAATTCTAGAAGCCCAAGATTACCTGCGCGAGGTCGCACGGAACCCAGTCCGGTGGGGAGCCGTCAAGGTACCACCCTCTTGGGCTGGGCCCTCTGCCGAGCTCAGCGACAGGAGCATTGCAGTTGGTCACCTGAGTTTCGGAACTGAACTTCATAATGTTCAGGAGCCGGTCGCGGGACAATGGTATGCCTAACAGTACAGAAGCGACTATAGTTTTAGCTATTAGAATTGAAGCTATATAACGTATAAAATAGGATAAGATTTATTAAAACTTACTCCTCCTAAAGATTCATAATTCCTCTTTGTAGATGTTATTATTCTTACTTTCCAGACCTACACTTAGTAATTCTATCTTACTTTAACTTAATTCTTTTGCAGCTGTTCTCCGAGTATTTCCCCCACCCCTACAGTCTCGGCGTCTCGCACAGCTGTCCCAAAACAGAAATAGCAATTAAAAGTCTCATCTGCGTATCCCAAAAACCTGATCTTGCTTGTGTAGGGGACATATAAAACCAAGCGCTGCAAGTTACTCGATTCAGTTGTCGAAGACTCCAAGCCGCCTGATTTGCTACCCTGAACAACCAATTGACCGTGCGGAACGCAAAGCCAAGTGGTATCTCAGCCGTTACAGCCACCTGACTGCGCCGACTTGGCAAGACATGTAAAACCCATCATAAGGTGGCGGGTAGAATGTCACCCTGAGAATGTAACGACACGTCAATTGAAGGATTCGGCGTTTTAAGCGAGGTCTTGGATGTTTGTAGGTGGTGTGAATGAAATTACTGCATCGATTTTACCCGTCGAGGTTATGAACTGCTATTGAAAACACCCTTGCAACAAAAACAGCTTGGTACTGTGGTCTAGTTGGTCATGACATCTCGTTAACACCGAGAAGGTCCCCGGTTCGAGCCCGGGCAGAACCTCACTTTTTGACGTTTTGCCTTTCTACCCTTTTCAGAAATAACCTTACCAGACAATCTGCTGCATTCATCAGCAGCTAATGTCTAAATGAAGTTGTGTGAACTGTTATAAGCAATTACAACCAGAAGAGAAGTGCAACAGGCTTATTTGATTCTAAATTGAGTAAATTCTTTAATTAATCCCTTTAATAAAAGTTCAACTGAATTGAAGGAAGGCGCAGCCTGTTACTAATAAGATAAGGAAGTCTGCCTTGAATTAGTTGGATTCAGATCCCTGTAAATTAGGCAGAACATCCACAAATGGACGATTGAAGGATTCCACGTGATGATTATGCTTGAATGAATGTAATGCTGCCTAAGAATAGACCGCGATAATGTCGCGTTTAAAATGCAGCAAATAGTCGCCTTGTTGTCTCTATTCGCTATCTCAATTCCTTCTTCCGCGTCGACGCGTAACCTTCACCCCCATCCTTTGCCAAGATCAAGCACATCCGTTATTCCCGCAACACTATATCCGGTTGCCGCTATGGATTTTACGCTCTTCCGCCAATTCCCCCCAGAGATCCAATTAGAGGTCCTAAAACACTGCGCCAGAAATGACCTTGTTTGCCTCTCACTGACATCCCATGAACTCCGTCTCCTCTCCACACCACTCATCACCTCCAAACCGAAACTCGAATGGGTGGATCAGCTTGGCTCAACGGCTGATGTTCCCCATGGATGTCCGAAATGTCGGTCCAATTGCGAGGGCGTCCGTGGTAAAGATTTGCATTACAACGCATGGCACCACAGACGGAAACAACATTCACTTGTTTCCGGACGTGTTTGCTACTGGTGTACTTATTACTCTGATGATCATCCTTCGTGTAATGTGCCTTACTGCAAGAAACATTGTCTTTGTATTTCTTGTCCTTTGTTTACGAGGTTACGGGGATGGATGGGAGACAGAAAATATTGTTCTGATTGTCGCAAGTTTACGACCCGACTTAAAAAGAACAAGGGGAGATGTAAGCGCCTTCTCTTTGTATCATGACCAACCACTGACATTTACAGGCATGCATGGAAGACCAAAGGTTCGCAAGGCGCCTAATAACCAGTGGACGTATAGAAAGGGAATGTCATATGGACGACGTTGGTGGAGAAAATGGGGGACGTGTAATATTGACAACGAGGCATACACGCCTGATGCGAGTCGGCGACCGAATGCAAGAGTAGTCTAACAAGCGTGAAAATTAGTCGGTAGTTACTTTATGGAGAACTTATAATGATGCCGTTATTTTATTTATGGGGTAATGAAAAAGGCCATTATGATGTCAAGATTTTGATCCAAGACACTAAACTTGGCCTTTCATCTGCATCACTGCGTGGCCAAGACCGACTCTGCCAGTACCTGATCCACGAAATACCGTTAGCTCAAAGTCTGATCCCCCAGTATATCCATTAGTTCCAGTCTGATCCCCAACTAACTAACCCTAAAGTTGTCTTTCTGGCGCACCAAATCTTCCGGTCGGGTGGTTCGGCAAGGCCAAGACGGGATTATGGCACCGCCTCTCCCCCATTGGACCGGACCGTCGGGGGCATTCGAGTAGTCTCCTGGCTATTTCCTTGGCTTTTCTCCACTGAGGAAGTGATCGACGATTGCTATTTCGAGTTTTTATTGTACGCGGTTTCCATGTGGTTGAGCCTTGGGATATTGGTGCATATGCCAAGATGCTTTGCTTTGCCGAGTCAGGTCTGTACGGTGGCAAGCAGGTTTGTAGAGCCAAGACGAGCCAAGAGGATAGCATGAGGCCAAGAATTATGATCAAGGATGAGCCACAAGGAGTTGTATGGAGTAGGAGAGAGTAAACATAAGAAAGCTGTCGCGTGCACATGTCCATTCAGCTTTGTTTGATCTGACGCTCATCCATCTCTGTATTCGCCATGGACTACCTCCGCAGAATCATGCCTTCTTGGCAGTACAAACGCCTAGAACCATCATCCCCGAGTTCCGACCCGGAGAGCCTAGAAAAGTCCCCCGGGTCATCGCGGTGCTGGGGCATGTTTGCCAAGAAACTACTTCGGCTGCCTGTCCGAACCATGACAATTCTCATTGCGGTCATCCTTCTCGTTCCCGGATTATTATGTTTCACTTCACTAAAGGTAACATCTCCATCTTCTACTTATTACGAGTTACTGACTGTTTAGGGACGCTCGTTCTTTTTAAATGGCGATGTAGTTGCTGGTAGCACCAAACCAGTTATGAACCATCTCGTCGCCAAGGACCGTCGTCTAGCAATCGTTCTTCCCGCCAATAACCCTGCCCACGATCTCTGCAAAGTCGTCACCAGCGCTATCGCTCTGGGCTATCCTAGTCCTGTAATTGTCAACTGGGGCAAGAAATTTGATCCGTCGAAAGGATGGAAGGGCGGTTCTCACCTTGCGAAAATCACCGGAACCCTGGAGTATCTTGACCTCGCTACCAAGTCTGACACACCCAAGGAGAACAGACTCGAGGAGAATGATATCGTTGTCTTGACTGATTCTTATGACTGTTGGTTTCAGCTTCCTCCTGATGTTCTGCTCAAGAGATATCACGAAGCGAATACACAAGCGAATCGTCGTCTTGCAGCTGAATGGAAAGGCCGTGGTGATCTTCCTTTCGAACAAACAATCATCGTCTCCGCACAAAAGAAATGCTTCCCTCCTTCATCCTCAGGATCGGTTCTTCACTGTGATGAACTTCCTGAGAGTCCCGTCCGCAAAGATCTATACGGCCCCAAGACAGACCGCGACCCAAACAAGTTCCATGAAGTTCGACCCAAGTTTCTCAACAGCGGTAGCATGATTGGTCCAGTGGGTGATATGCGTCGATACTTCCGTCGTGTACAGGAGCGTATGCAGCGCGGTCTCATCAATGGCAAGGATCTTTACAGCGACCAGGGAGTTTTCGGAGAAATCTTTGCCGAGCAGGAGATTTGGAGACGATCGCTTCGCGCACATACCGGCGTTACTCAAGACAGGGACTTCAAGGACCTTCACAAGGAATTCGAGTACCACGTCGGCTTGGACTATACTCAGCAACTTTTCATCCCCACGGTATTCGAAGAACAGGACGGAGAAATTATCACCCTCAACGATAAAACAGCCATCGCTGAAAAGTCCAAGTCTCTCAAAATATCGCCTCGTCTCCAAGGAGTTCCAGACGATATCTCCAAGTCCAAAAACCCCCTCTCCGATATTTCAGCCCGCGATTTGGATATTGTGGAAGACTGGGGCGAAATGCCTCTCTACGCAGATTTTTACTCGAAAGCAATCCCCGTAGTGGTCCATCACAACGCTCACAAAGACGGCGCCAAGAAACGACGATACCTCTGGTGGGATAAGATCTGGTACTTTCCCTACCTGCGCGAACTACTCGAGAACCAACTCAAAGAAGTTAAAGCTTCGTCCCTACTTGAAATTATCGTCAAGGGTGAACGGTTGATATACTGGGAGTCGAGGACCAAAAAGCCCATGAAGAAGCCGCAGACGTTTGCAGTTGATAGCAATGGGACGGCGACCTGGGAGAGACATGAGTTTACGGATGTTTGTAAGAGTAAATATGATGAGGATGAGGCGAAGGAGAGGTGGTACGATGAGGTTTTTAGAGATGGGAAAGGGGAATTGTGAAGGTTTGGGGAGTCAGTTTATCAGGTATATCCTGGCTGATTCCAATATCTTGTAAATACTCTGTTCTTATAATAGTCTCTATCTTAAATGAATCTTACTATTAGAATCAATAGTCTAAGGTTTCTGGGTGGTGTGTTCGAATTGTTAGACGCACTTAACAAGTACAGCCTCGGGGAATAGCTTCACCTAGCAGCTGTGCAGTTATTATACAATTCATGTAATCTGAAACGACGGGGTCAATTGACTACAGGAACTTCACATTCCTAGGATACTTCCAAGGCAGCGTGGGTCGTTCATTCCGGAAAAGGCCCATGCATGTCCAGTATATCTACAAACCGCGATGGCTTCTTCTACAATGGTTCCACCAGTTTTCAATTACCACGTAAATTTCACTTAGCTTACACGGACTACACGAGCTGTACACGCAAAAGGGACAGAAACTCACTTATTGTCGCGTCCAAAGCCCCGAGGCTTCATGATGCGCGCTGGTAAGGTATTGTTTTTTTCCGGAAATGGCCCATGCTTAACAGTCAATTCCACGGACAGCCATAGCTTCCTTCACAAAGTTTTAATCACCACGTAAACTCCACCAAGTTCACGCACATCTCACACGAATTGTAAAGAAGTTCTCCACGCAGGACAGGTACAAAGCGTATTGTCGTCGCGTTCGCAACAAAGCAACAAAACTCCAATGCACGGCAGATATGTGGCCAGTGCTATACCCGGCGCAGTTTCGAGGAAACAGCACCTCGATTAGTGGATTAGTGCTACAGTTTCAGTTACACAGGGCGGTTTGGTACTAACATTAATACTAGGGATCTACTAAACTATATAGCTGAAACGATGAGATTGAATGACTCGAAGAAAAGAAGTATTAGTTGAATTGTATTTGATATATAGACTTAGCTAATTATTTTCAGGGGTGGGAATAGTGATTTCTAGCTGTGGTGACTATTTCAACGGAGTCCGATACTCCGCTACGGAGCTTCCGAAAGTAGTTAGTAGCGTAATTAACTTTAACATAACAGGGCGGGACTGCATCTGCCGTAGAGTATGTAACCCTACGGAATCTAGAGTATGACGAGAAAGTTTGACGAGGGAGTATGACGAGAGAGTATGACGAGAGAGTATGACGAGAGAGTATGACGAGAGAGTATGACGAGTAGTTCTTTCCACTCTTTCCAATCAATACCAACCAATAACAACTAAATCCGCAGGGGTACAGCTTTGCACATGAATAGGCGAACCACAGAGTTGCTGGTGGCGTACACCGGAGATACGACATTTATTGCTCACACGCGCAAAACAACTTTGACGTGTGCAAAACGCCACGCCGATGCGAGAACAATCCTTCAAGTATGTATACGTAAACTGTACAACCAAATCGAGGCAAGGGGTGACCTATGATCGACAATAGAGTCAGACAACGTAGTATCAGAAGCTACACCGAGTAAGACGCTCGGAGGATAGTAACTTAAAATCAGGCCACTTTCCTCTGATCGACAATGCGCGCAAGACCCAGCTGGAGGAACCTATCACATGAGATATTACTGCAGCCAGCCAGTTTTGTAAAGCATTAGCTGTACTCTATTGCCCGGTGGCTGCACTATGTTAGTCCTTGTAGCCGAATTTCAGATCGATATTTAGAGTAGGTATCTTGTAAAGAACGTAACTATAGACTCGAAAGCAGATAAAAACAAGATAAGATATCTAGTACGTATCTGCTAACGTGGATGATACGTTTAATTGGCATCTTTTGTAACCTACAAATATAATGTGCCTTGCTGAGCAATTAAGTAAAAGGGTAAGATGTAAATTGAATAAATAGTGGTATAAGATAATCTTCTAGAATTAAAGACCATTGCTGAACGACACCACAGCATATGTTCCATCCCGAACCCATGAATTTCCAGGTGCTATCGCATCAAGAACCTCAACCTTCTCCTCACTATCTATTCCCACACAAGTATCAGACCTGTTCATGCTTAAAGCGAGAACCTTGACCTGACTCCCTTGACCAAGACAGCCCAGTGCACTCTTGAAAGGTGTGGTGTACGGCCATAGACCGTCTTTAATTAATTTTCGATAGTTCAAGTCTCCCTTCCATATCGTCAAATGACTATCCTGCAAACGCTGAAATAGCTTCGGCGCTTGATCCCTCATCTCATGGAAAGAGGAAGCTGTTGTCCAAAAGGGGTCTGACTCGATGCGCATTACACCATTGTCGAGGTATTTCTTGATAAGAGATGCTAGAAAGGCAACGCCATTGGACTGTAGATAATCGAGGACGAATTCTAGATCCCTCGGTGTCACATCGGTGGCAAACCATGGAAAGGGCTTGGCGTGCAGAGTAATGTCAGTAGCGAGGTCTGATTCGATGAGATACGCCGCGAAAATCAGGTCTGTGAATAATTCGAATCCGGCGTTATCAAGGACCATGTCGATATGACGTGCCGGTTTGGTCTCTCGGGCATTTCGTAAATATTCCCATGCCTCTAAAGCGTCGTTGTCGACGATGATTTCCTTCATTTTGTCTATTGCTGGTTGTCCATGTAGAGCTTGAATCTCTGTGGAGTTGAGATCGGCGATAAGCGAGGAGTCGGTAGCATTTCCCCATAAGGCCAGGTTGACCACGTCGAGAAACACTGTCATAGCTTTGTTGTCGTCTAATAACTTAAGAAACTTATTTGGATTTGCGAGGATTGGAATGTATTTGATAGCGAGGTGTTCGATGGATGACTGTGATTTGACTAGGAAAGAGTGTTTTTGCCTCTTAAAGACATCGTAGCCTTTCCATGACGTTGACATGGAAAACATAAGCTGGACACGTCTGGATAAATCAGCACAGTTCCTTGCAACAAAGGACGATAAGATTACCTGTACATGTAGCATTCTCCATACAGCCAGGGACAATTAAGCCAAGTTACTCTACCCAGATTGTTGAGTTGCCCGTTGTAGGCCCCGATGTCAGAAGAGCCATCATCGTCAAGGGGGCTGAAAATCAGTCAGTATAGGCCAAGAAACGGAAATGGTAATGGTTCTTACAGTAGTTCAACGTCGTTGATAATCTCAGTTTGTAGGGACTCAAGGTTGCCCTGTATGGACTGTAACTCGTCAAGGGCAGGGGAAGGAGATAGGCTTTTGCAGGTGCTGGAAACATCGTCGATTATATCTTGGATTACCTTGGGCCAAAAAGATTGAGAAGTCTTCATGGCCATGGATCCTTCATCAGAGGTCCAGGCGGACTTGATAGTCTCCTTATTCGCAATCATGTTGTGTTTTACGGGAAAAAAGCAAAACGGGGGATCTCAGATTTAAATACCCGGTATAAACATGTCGATAGCGATTCGGACCCTTTGACCCGACACCATGTTCTAGAACCTGGCTTAAACTTGTATTGCCGAAGTGAGGGTGGGTACTATCCGGGTTTAGTCGGGAATATTCATATCCGACACCGACCTACTTAAATGAGTATCTCCGGCTTGGCTGTGGCAATAAGTGACAGATGACAGAAGAGACGCTAGCTACTGTACTGGTATTCTTTTAGTGGTTGAAAGTCACTGCAGGTAGCGGGAACTCCACTCACAGTCCGCTGTAAAACGGACTAAAGTGATCCTTCCTGGTAGTGGTACTAATTGGCGAAATTAGCTGGTAAAGTGTGGAAAACTCAGAGGTTAGCTCGCAAAGTCTCGTGAAAGGACGAGTCACAGGGCTTCAAAAGTGAAAATTTGAAAACGCCATCTGTATGAGGTTGCGGCAAATTGAGGCGAGTTGCGGCAGGTTGCGGCAAGTATTATTTATGTCTTTGCTTGGCCTCGCGTACATTAACAAAGAGTTCAAAGATGCTTTGAATTATCAATATGACTTTATAGCAAGACACAGAATGAGCAGACACCTGTCTTGAATTCTGTTCTGCTGTATTATTCTTAAAATACAGGAGGGAAGAAAGGAAGAAGGGAGAGCTTCCGTACCAGGCACAGCAGCCTTTTGTCCGAGTGAGTCACGGCGGTGTTAGTATTGGTTGCAGCTTAGTTAGTGTGATCGGCTTCTTCCGTAACAATCCCGACTATTACCGGCCCAGAGAGATTAACTTTAGAAACTACCGAGATGGTGGATAATTATTGATAATAAGAAACAGATCAGGAGGCGAACCTACTTAGATTTCGGCAGTCAAACAAGACAGGCTAACTGTAACAGTGATCTGATACTGCTCTTAGTGTAAAGATGTTTCAAGTAGATGACAGTTTGTGTGATTAAAAGTGTTGTTTTATTAAGTACGCATTGCGAGCATTTTATCACCAGATGTGTCACTGGCAGACCCCGATTAGATGTTTCAAGTAAACAGTAGCACTACTATAAGCAATCTCTTACGTGGCCACAGGGCACATTCCGTGTGTTCGTGGACTGATCAATGCAAAACATTAGTTGGCTTGCACTATCTAAGCTGCACTATACTCTTGCAGAATCCTGTTAGTGGTAAAGAAGTAAGAGGTTAGTGAGGCGCCTATTTTTACGGTATGTTAGTATAGGTAAATAAGTACCTTCCTAATGGACTAACCTGATATACTGAATGTGCTGTGCAGCTACCTAAGGGATACTAATTGTACGCAAATGCGACAAGCTGTAATTGATGTCTTCTTTTATCAAGCTTGCCAATGAGAATCTTTTACCTATGTTGTGAATGCAGTGGCTGATATGACGCTACATGCTGTAAATGGCAAAGCCACACATCTGTAAAGCTACTCGTTTAGTGTTTGTCACCAAGATGGAATACGAACGTCATGTAAGTACAGTGAGACGGGCAAACGAAGTAATGAGCCTTGATTGATGTCATCCATCGGCAACATCTCACTGCTACCAGCTATTTATTGACATGAACCACAGATATTAGAGGGAATTCATTCAAACTGTACTGATCCGTTTCTGTGACATCCTGCCATTATCTTTACTCACATCAGACACCGTCAAATCAATTATCATGGCTGCTAAGAACCCCGATTCGCTTCAAGGTCAAGGCCCCTTCCATGCCCGAATCGTTCCCTCTGAGCCTGGAGTGCACAATTGGGTAAGTATTTACTGATGTCCTCGATATCCTGTTGATCTAACAGTCTCCAGCACAAACCCGGTAACGAGCAAGGCAACGCCGCTAAACCAGAATTCCACGCCCAGACCTTCCCGCCTGGCACCGCCCCAGTCGAAGATTCCTTCACGCCCCGTACCGTCGGCTACAACATAGAGGAGAACACCTACGAAGATGAAGACTTAGACTTTCCAGCCCTATCCATGCCTGGTTCAACGTCAAAGGACATCCACAACTCTATTGATTCGCTGCATGGTAAACCTCTGCAGGGTCAAGAGAACCGTGAAGCCAGAGGTGTTCATCCGCGAAAGAGAAAGAAGGAAAGAAGTGGTCTAGAGGGTGTTGGCGCGAGTACTACTCGCTCGGTCTTTGACAAGGTACGGGATACAGTTGCAGATAAGCCAGAGGCGGAGAAGGGTCAGCGGGGTTATACTGGTCGGCGAGAGGGTGGATTAACTGCTGATAGAGCGGAAGCTCTTCCTCCCGTGACAGCAGAGAGTAGAGCTGTTCGTGAAGGACCTCATGGTCGCACGGTCAAGTGATGGTAGGCAAGGCAGTTACTATACTACTGCCTGTTTCACTGCGCCTTATTGTACAACGTAGTACCAGAGATTAAATTGAATTGACTTTGTTTATTTTAAGATAAATCGATCCAGTTTCAACTGTGCTTATAGTTTAGTAGCGATAAAAGACCAATTTACAAGATATAATATATATCAAAACAGACCGCAGGCTACGTATAAGTTGTATGACGTGCAAACTGACCGTTGAAAATTTTGATAAAGATAAATGCTGCAATTTAGCGTTCTCTAAAGTATCTACACTTATCTACCTACTATAATAGAAGGTTGCAGCGGTAGATCCCGCCTACCGGAAAGTCGGACATGTTTCGTCATGCAATCATCACATCGACACCCATACGATGAATTTAAGCATTCTCCGCACAAAACCGGAAATTGATTTCATATGACAACTTAGCTCCATCATAATGTTCTTTATTATGACAGTCACATGCTATTAAGGCGTTACAGTATATGCTGTCACTATTACCCGAACGTCACGAAAGGACGATGATAAGATTTACTCTGTTTGTCCTGACATTAACTCATCTCGCAGTAAGATGAATCCTTATGCAATGTCATTGTTCCAGCTATCGCTCTGTAGCTGTAAGGATGCGTAATACCGCAATAAACGTTACGATGATTTATCTCGCCTGAATACCACCCAAAGTAGACCATCCGTGCTTTTCTTATCCTTTGAAGATGGCTTTCTTCTATAAATCATTCCGTCTTTCGTCTTATATTAGACCTTGCACGTTTACAGTAAGACGTAGTCCTTTCCTTGTCTCGATACCACGACATCGAAAACTTTACAGCACAAAAAACAACACATGCAACAACACATACAACCACACATACAACAGCAACACAATGACTAAGATTGACGTTTCCAACAAGTCGGGCGAGCAGAAATGGTGGAAGGAGGCTATTGTGTATCAGGTTAGTCTTTCTGCTTTCTAATTAGTATCCCTACTGAGACTCTGCAGATTTATCCTTCCTCTTTCTTGGATACTGATGGAGACGGAGTTGGGAACATCAATGGTATCATTGCCAAACTGGACTATCTTAAAGAGTTAGGCGGTAAGAATGTTTTCAATACTCTTGCGCTCATATTCTGACTTGTATAAAATAGTGGACATCCTCTGGCTTTCACCGAGTAAGTTCACCATCTGTCAAGAGAGAACAACAGTCTAATTATCATCACAAGTCTATAAAAGCCCTAATGAAGATATGGGATACGACATCGTATGTTGGCACTTGGATGGTGTTTGATTTGCCCGCTAATATGAACTAGTCGGACTATCGCGATATCCATGAACAGTACGGTACTATGGATGATGTTGATAATTTGATTACCGAGCTCAAAAACCGTGATATGAAGCTCGTGATGGATTTGGTTGTTAATCACACTTCCCACAAGGTATGAAACTCAAACCTCTCCATGACTGATCTAATACCACTGACAGCACCCCTGGTTCATTGACTCGTCTTCTTCCAAGAATAGTGAGCATAGAGACTGGTACCACTGGCGAAAGCCAAAGTACGACGCCGATGGCGTTCGTCAACCACCAAACAATTGGTTCAGTCTCTTTGACGAATACGAGTCAGCCTGGACATACGATGAACAGACGGATGAGTATTACCTCTCCCTCTTTAGTCCATTCCAGCCCGACTTGAACTGGGATACCCCCGCCGTCCGGAGCGAGGTTCATGATATCCTGCGCTTCTGGCTCGACAAGGGAGTTTCTGGTTTCCGAATGGACGTCATCAATCTCATTGCCAAGGATCCCAGTTTCCCTGATGCAGACATCGTTTTCCCAGACAGAAAGTATCAGCCGGGTGAGAAACACTTTGCCAATGGAACCCATCTCCTAGATTATCTCCAAGACATGAAGACGGAGGTCTTTGATCATTATGATACTTTGACAGTTGGTGAGATGCCGTTCCTTGATGACGAAAACGAGCGTCTTAAGATGGTTGAAGCTGAAGAGGGTGTCGTGAACATGATATTCACATTTGAGATGATTGGTCTTGATATTGTCCCTGAAAAGGGTCGCTTCAGCAATAAGTCGTGGTGTGTTTCTGACCTGCGAGACATCATGGCCAAATCTTGCAGAATCGTGACAAAGGATGGATGGAGCACGTTGTTCTGTGAGAATCACGACCAGCCTCGCTCCGTCACGCGTTTCTGCGATGATTCGGATGAGCATCGCGTGACAGGTACCAAATTACTGTCTATCATGCAAACAAGTCTTCCTGGAACCTTGTATCTGTACCAGGGAGAAGAGCTGGGCATGCGAAACGTACCCTTGTCTTGGGGACCGGAGGAGTACAAAGACATTGAATCAGTCAAGTATTGGAACAAGTGAGTTTGGTGGCCTTGTCTTGATAGAGTCTGAACTAACGTGTCTAGTGTTTGCTCCAAATACAAACAAGGGTCTCCTGAGATGAAAGAAGCAAAGTATTATCTGAACCTCAAAGCGCGTGACAATGCCAGGACCCCAATGCAATGGAACTCAACAGCCAACGGAGGCTTTTGTCCAGCGGGAGTCAAACCCTGGATGCGCGTCAACGATGACTATCCCACAGTCAACGCAGAGCTCCAGACATCCGCAGGCAAGGCGAACAAGCGATCGATGCTCGTATCTCCCTACAGGTTCTGGCAGGCGGCCATTGCGCTACGCAAGAAGCACACCGATCTGTTCGTCTACGGAGACTTTGTCATTGAGAACATCACGCAGCCCAACGTTTTTGCGTTTAGGCGAGTGAGCGAGACGTGTCATTCCATCACGATTGTGAACTTTAGCAAGGAGGAGACGACGTTTACTTTTGACGAGGGTCAAGGTGTGAAGGAGTGGGCTTTGGGAAGTTATGATAATTTATCTTTGGAGAAGGAGAGGTCTGGAACTATCAAGCTACTTCCTTGGGAGGCTCTCATTGGTGTAGTGGGTAAGGATGCTTAGACGTGGAGGTACATATAGCAAGGCCTCTTAGTAACGGTACAATCTCGGTAGTAAGAAATGCAGATTGAGTATGATATGGCTATTACGCAACTTTGCATGTTTATATGCGGTTCTTTGATGTAACAAGACAGAACCCTTCACAGTATTCGAGTAAAAGAGTCAGTCCATGAATAATTCTGGTGACAACACGAGTAAGATGGTTCTTCACCTTGTATCATCAGAAGTCGCTCATAGGCTCGAGTTCATTGGACTGCCAGGTCAAGATGACGGCAAACTCTCAGTGACGAAAGTGTGAATTCGTCGAGGAAACCTTATCCCGACTGACGGCAACTTCATTAACTGAGTCTCTCAAAGAGATTGATCCAGCTAGGCAAGGATGGTATTATCAACATCGCGGTACGAATTGGATGAGATAAAGATGACAAAGGCAAAGAGCTGTTATAATACAATATCTAAATACAAACGTAAAGACATATACAATATCTAACTACAAACGTAAAGACATTAATCCGTTTCCACGTGCACCAAGCTTCAAACCCATACCCATCATCCATCTCTCTATCTCAGTAATGTCACGACTCTCCAACCACTGCTGAGTAACATTACGTACATACAACGACGTCTTCTCATACTCGCTCTTGTCCTCCATAAGTCTCGTGACCACCCTAGCCCAAGGTTGTATGTCTTGCTCAGGAATGATGTAACACCCCGTCTCGTCATGTTCGCCACTGATGGCATTGACGGGAATGATGTAATCCAGTCCAAGCATCGCCTCAGGCACAGCTCCCGCGTTTGAAGCGACAACAGGTATGCCCCGAAGGTGCGCTTCGACTACCACCATTCCCCAGGCCTCGCACCAGAGGGAGGGAACTATGAGGATTTTGATGTCGCGCCAGAGGTCCTCTGCATCTACACACGATGGGCGAGTTCTGAGCTATTCGTTAGTGGTGACACCGAAAGTACTGGATTTGCTTACGTTATGTTTGGCTGGGCCTTGATCTGATTGACTACCTTCTCGCTGGCGCCCCAGCTCATAAACGCGAGGAAGTCATACTGCGGACAAGCTTTGGCAAGATCAACAAAAATGCTGGCTCCCTTGATATGGCACGGGTTAACCATGGCGATGTATGGCTTGTCCCAATTCGATAAATGCTTCGGTATCTCGTGGCTATCACCGACTAGATACGTCCAAGGGTGATGCACCAGAAACCGCGACTGCAGTTGTCCGTGCTCAAGAGCGTAGTCCTTGATAACTTGAGATACACTCCAGACTCCATCCATGCGTCGGAGAAGTTCCACTTCTCCTACCGTGCTCGACTGTCCTGGAATTCCAAAAGCGAAGGGACCAAAAGGAAGTTGCTCGGCGGTGTGGACAACTGCGATGCGGGACATGTTTAGATCGGCCAGATCAAGGTCGAAACTGACCTGCATGGATAGACCGTCGTTGGAGATTATGTGCGTAGGATGAAAGCGTCTGATTTCATCGTGGAGGAACGAGATAAATTCCAGCAACGGCGGCGAGCATGTTCCAGTCTTTCAAATGGTTAGTTTCGATAGCGAGTACGGTTCAGGTTTGACTTACCTCGATATACTCAGCTGACATTTTGGATAGTTTACTGTGCAACGACATCTTACCACCAAACGCCTCGTCAAACGCTTCGCTGTCCAATGCCACGACTTCAACACCATCGTCCATGTAAAACTTGTGAACCTTGACGTTAACCCCGGTCCTGCCGTCTTCAGGTCTCATGTGAAGGATCCTGGTTCTCAGATGGTCCCCGTTGTTCTTTTTATCTTTCAAGTAGGCCTCAATCTCTCCACAATGTGAGTAGCAGAGTTGACGGACACGATGGCCCGCAGAAGACAGATAGCGAAGGAGGGCATAGTTGGTCTTGTAACCGCCTGAAGATGAGAAGAGGCCTTTTGCCGTTTGGATGAGGAAGACACGCATGATAGATTAAATGAGGTGCAGTCTTGGAGTATGCTGATAGACAAATGTATAGTATGGTTGTGGAGAATATCACTTGGTTTAGATTGAGAATAATTAGATTTTGGAAGTAGAATCTCTACGCCTTGTCATTATATAGCTGTCTTGTTAGAAGCTATGGTCGAGAGGCTAACTTAGTGAGATGGCAATAACGTCAAGTCGCCCAAAGTTGAAAGATGCTTAACCATCTTCACAATGACATAATTGACCTTCACCTTAGCTTTGATCATCTTAACTAATGAGGAAACAAGTATCTACAGTGATGTATTTCGGCAATAAATCCGTCATGTTCTTTATGGAAATTTTTCCATAATGGGATACGCACTCCTACGTCAGATCAGTGTAAGGTCCCGTGTCATGGCCACAGTAATGAGTGGATTCCCAGCTGTTAAGAACGAAACACCACAGACAATTCCCGCTTATAGTAGTAGAAACATTGTGATGGGGATCCTGGTGGAGAAGAAGGTCCGATTATCGCTTCTTATGACGCCTGGTTTTGTTTTTGGTGATGATAGTAGTATTGAACTGGTGATCCGATGCGGAGGGATATTGAAGTTGTGAGAGAAAAGAAAGACCCTCATATATTGCTGCTCTGCGAGTTAGTAGTGTACTTCAAGTAATTCGAGTCATCCAAAGTTTCTGTTAAAGGAACATTCATACATACAATCTATATCAAAAACACTCTATTATCATGATGGACTCAGTCAGGCGAACTCTCACTAAACTTACCCTCAAGCCAAGTTCTGAGTGCGAACGGCACCGACACCCGTCTCTAAGTAACGACAACTGGATTGATTTCAGGGACTGTGATACAGAAAATCCTCTGAACTGGCCTCTCGCCAGAAAGCGATACATATCTGCAATCGCCGTGTTTATAACTTTGAACGGTTGTTTTGCCAGTAGTATCACAACGGGAGCAACCGAGTCTATCACTCAAGAATTCGGTGTCTCACGTGTTGCTGCAGGACTCACCACGTCTCTCTTCCTCCTCGGCTTCTGTGCCGGTCCTCTCATATTTGGACCCTTGTCTGAATTCTACGGTCGTCGTTGGATGCTCTATACGACACTGTTTCTCTACCTCGCTTTTACATTCTTGACGGCCTGGCCACCCAACTTTGGAGCACTTTTGGTTGGCAGGTTTCTCGCTGGAAGTACCGCCGCGGGACCTGCCACCATTGTTGGTGGTATCCTTGTTGACCTCTGGGACAAATGTGCTTGCGGCAATGCCATGGGCGTCTTTATCTGGGCCGCCTGGGTCGGTCCAGCTCTTGGGACTGTCATATCCGGAGCCGTGGAGCTGAAGAAGGACTGGCATTGGGGCATGTATGTTTGTCTCTGGTTTGCAGCATTTTCTTGTCTTGTCGTGTTCACAATTCCCGAGACGCACAGAAACACCATCCTTTGTTACAAGGCCAAGACGGCGAGGAAAGAGGGTCACGACGTACAGTCTGAGCAGGAGGCGACCAAACCGAACCTGACTCAATTGTACAAGATTGCCCTAATAAGACCTTGGGGACTTCTCTTGGACGTTATTGCGTTTCTCTGCTGCATCTACTCTTGCGTTATTGCTGCTTTGCAATACATGCTCTTCAGCATATACCCTATCGTGTTTCACGACAAGAGGGGATGGAATGCAGCCGTTTCCCAGCTTCCGATATTCGGACAAGTTATCGGCGCGTTATTTGCACTGTTAATTGTCTTCGCCAACTCTCGGCGCCGGAAGCGGAAGGTTGCGTGCGGGGGGGAGATCCCTCCGGAGGATCATATGATCCTGGCTATGATCGGCGGCGTAGGGTTCCCCATCTCCATGCTCTGGCTTAGCTGGAGTGCTCAGTACAAGTGAGTAATTGGTTTATCAAATATGGAGCCATTATAACTAACGGCATCTAATATAGCTCCGTCCACTGGATCGTGCCTACTATTGGCGGCACCGTTCTGTCAACGTGCCTGATGTTGATCCACGTATCATGCTTCAGCTACATTATCGACACATATGCGGACTACGCCGCTTCTGCTGCTGCGGTGATCATAGTGGCACGATCTTCTAGTGCCGCCGCCGCTCCTCTCTTTACAGCGCAGATGTTTGACGCCCTTGGAGTCGGCGGCGGTGGTTCGCTTATCGCGAGTGTGGCGGCGCTTTTGTCCGCCACCCCGTTTTTTTTTTATCGTTACGGCCATAGAATACGAGAAAAAAGCAAATATGCTACTTCTTAGTGGGATGCATGTCGGCAAAGAGACTCGGAAAGGATCTTTTTCCAACCCCAGACCTGGCTAGTATTTCACCCGCTGCCAACAGTCTTCACGGGAATGACTCGTTCCGATTAAACCCTGTTCCCCGACCGATCATTTTGAGTAGTCTCTCCGCTTTTCTTAGTGCATTCATAGCTATCAACAATAGACAAGAAGTTTAACAATTTATTGTTTGGTCGCTAAGCGGTAGAGGACCTACTTCTAGAAAGCCTCGGATATACAGGAAGTTCAAGATATTAAGATATTATTTGGACGATTTACACGATCGATCTTAAGCTGCAGAAGCTAGTTGAGAACCGTTTTCTGTCACAGAACAATGTCAGAGCGCTTTGCCAAGCTTTGAAGTAGCGCTTGTAGCGCTTGTACCTTGGACAGCCCTAATTGGAGTCCGGTTCCTGTCAGAGAGATATCGGAGTACTTTGTCATGGTCTGATGTAGCGCTTTGACCTTCAACAAACCCAATCAAGGACAGTAACCCGTTACAGAACAATGGCGGTGCGCTTTGCCACGGTCCGTAGCACGCGGTTGTGCCTTCAACAGTCGAACTACGCTCTTGACTTCTTTTAGACCACACCACCTGCATACCTGGTTCGCAACGGACCAGTTAGACTTGACGCTTATCATGATACCTGACAGGTGCCAAGGGAAATGTCTTGCACTAGCTGAACCCCGCGGCCGTTGTAATCCCGGAATATCGTCAGCATTAGCGGGGATACCATCGCTTGTATGCACCTTGCCACATGGAGAAATGGCTAATGAACTTTATCTCGGCTCATCCTGTCACCGTTTTAGTATCATGACGCCAGTCAGAAAGCACCACTCATTTGGTCCCGCCAAATGCTACCGTACACACTCAGATTGGGTTTGAGCAATGGATACTTGTACAGCCTTTCTGCAATCACAATTGGTGATCAGGAACCGCGAAACGTCTTTTGGTATAAGCGCCTTATAATCCGCTAAGTCGGCCAATAGGTATTTGTATGTCTGGTGGCTTAACTCCACCTTATCACCTTCCACGGGTGCCATCACACTACATTAGCATTGTCCATCCCTGGAGTCCAGGCCCTTCTCGTGACGAACGAATGACTATGAGCTTTCATCCAAATTATGCCCCCTGCTGTACCAGGATTTCAGAATTCTGTGCTTATTCCATTTTGGATAAATATGAATCTTTGACGTGCAGTCCATGGGATGCATCATTGTTCATCTTGCATAGTCAGATTTCCCCTCCACGTTACGCTTTAGGCTGCACAAAGACTTAAACCAAATCTGAGCATCTGACCTAAATCTGAGTTATCTACTATCCCTTGGACATGAGATTAGATCTGGTGAGTCCCGGTTTCTCTACGCTTTGTGAGTATCCCATACTAACATGGATAGACATGAATCAATACTTGAGCATGGATCAGAGCCCAGCCAGCCTCATAGATCAAGGTTGCGACTTTGGAAATTTCAACCCTGAGCCTACTACCCTATGGAGTCCATGGTATTTGGCTGGTGATGCAAATTTCCATGGTGGTTTTCCTATGCATCAAGACGATTCTCGCCACGGATCACTCGACATGGGCCACTACATTCCTGAATTATCTCACGATCCCCATTCAAACACCTTCTGGGCTCATGACAGTATGGCGAGCCAGCCACCCCCAATCCCAATCTCAGATTCCACACAACACGAACGGTCTTCGAGCATTGCAGAATCCTCAATTCGTCGCTCATCTACCAAGTCCGAAGCAAAGAAGCGGAAATCGATCTATACAGAAGACACTACATTGAGCCCACCATCCCGACGTGGCTCCACCAGGAAACCCCATGCACACCGAGAATCCCTTACAGAAATCGACATGAATATTCAAGAAGAATCTCCACCATCCGAAGTCGATACACAGGCTAGAAAAAAACTAAGAGAGAGGAATAGACGAGCAGCAATCAAGGTCCGGACCAAGAAGAAGGTGCAGGAAGAAAACCTCGAAACGGCAGAAAGGGACATGGAGATGAGGCATCGCGAATTGTCGGCCAGCGTAAAAGGGTTGACCGACGAGATACACCATCTCAAGATGCAGCTTCTACAGCACGTCGGCTGTGACTGCGCCCTCATTCAGGAGTACATTACTGGGGAAGCCAATCGTTATGTTCAAGATATTAGCGGCGAATCTGCACACAGTCATACTACAAGAGCATCATAGAAAAAGACATATCATAGTAGTTTTTGAGTGTCGGCAGCGACACCTCATGATTTAATTATTTATCAAAACATTCATCTTGACACCGTCTATTTGTGCGGAGCATCTGGTGATGACTTCTAAAATTAAATATGACTAAGTGCTTACGCGGACTGTCAGATGTTGTGGTGCTGGAGGCTTGGCAAGATCACGTCATAGGTTGAAGTCTGGAATAATGAGGTAGGTAAAATTGTAATACCCGTACTTATACGGAGGCTTCCGTCAAGGAAGACGGATATTTCCGCGGAGGCGAGTTCTTTGGTCAAAATAAGATTTGTCCAGACTAAATTAGACTCTCACATTTAATTCCAGAATCTACTCTTCCAACGACAAGTGTATTCATTTGAATACTGCTGTAATTACATAATCGATGGCCTCAGGATCGGAAGAGGTGCTCAAACTTTGGCTTCCTTTCCAATACCTTGATCTCCTGCTTCATAGCATCAATGCGATAGTTTTTGAACGCCTCCTCTATTCGCCCCTTAACCTCGGGGTTCTTTGTGATAGTTCGTGAAGCTGAAGCAGTGCCAGTGATGAGACCCAGTTCCCCACCAAGAAATGTACCTCCAACGGCAAAGAAGAAGTAAGTTGCCGCGTCACCCCATTTGGAAGGTGACAGCTTGTCAGAAATATCAGGAATTGATTCTGCCCCGGTTAGAAACGGACAGATATAATTGAGAATCAACGTACTGGTACGGCCATCCGCGAATTGAACAGCCACAGGTTTTTCCATAGCTCTGAAGGCGTTAAAGTAGGCCAATCTCATAGTCCTCAGCCTCCAAGCGCAGTAAATGCCCAGGCCTGCACCCACAAGAGAGCCTAGCTTTGCATGGGTGGATACCTTACTCCCTGCACGTTTCAGGGTGTCTCGTTCTTCCTGGTTCAAACTGAACAGTCACATCAGTAACCGAAAGCAGAGGAGAAAAAGACAGGCATACTCGTGCTGCATATGCTCCTCAGCAAGTCCACGAAGATCCTTGCTCCTTCCGGATCGAAAAGCAGCTAGTGATTCTGGCATGGTTGGAACTGGACTGTAGTGATATTGTGGTCAGATCTGATCTGATATGGGGCATCTAGACAGCTGGGCCCTTTATCAGAAAATGTTGGGGTTATTATAACTGGGTCTGCGAATCTGACATCAGACTACATACAACACTCGATGCTGGCATCTTAATGTCATGCTTACAGTGGTATTTCAGCACTAGAGTTATCCCGTCACGATCAAGTCATTTTTGAAAATCAAACATGTCAGGGCTGAAAGCAGTCTAACGTTGCATCCTTCAACTACGCTAAGTCAATATTGTAGGGGGCTCTGCGCTGATCAGTGTTTAATGCTACTGCACTTCGGCGCTACCGCCGAGTACCGCGATTGGAGGATGTTACTGCGGAGCTACAGCGATTTGTGGAAGCTGGAGTCCGGCGACGGTGATTGGTGAATGCTATCTCGGAGCTACACTGATCCGGAGATGTAGCGAGGCGACGGTGATTGGGAGATTACACTAAGCTCTCTAAGACTCTGTAGTGGAAGTTTATTTTGGTTTGCTCAGCCTTATCAAAAGCTCGCGCACAGATGACGGTTGTTATACGCGCATAACGATACTCGCATACATGATGATCGAATTCGCTTAGGATACGCGCCAACAACCGAAGGCTGACGTTTAATGCAAATATCATCGTGCGATGATCTAGATATGAATGACTTGTTATAGATCTATAACATTGGTATGATGAGTCTGGATATGGAAATGGGACGTTTTTTTGAGTACGTTATTGAGCCTGGAAACGGGGAACAGATAATTGTGGAACTGTAAAGAATTCAAGATTATCCAGTTAAAATATGATAAAAGCCAAAGGCAAATCCTTTGGATCTCTGAAATGCACCACATCACACAAATTCCCAACAATCACATATCACAAAAAGCCATACCAACAATGACAGAAGTAGCCAAGTACGTTTCTCTATCACCAGAACCCGGTCCATCACCAGAACCCTGTCTATCACCAGATAACTGTCTATCACCACAACCCTGTCCCTGTGCCTGTCTAACTTGCTACAAGGCCCGTCTATACCACCTCCTACAAGCCTCATCCCACCGAGCGGATGAAGGCGGCTCTCTGGACAGGTTCAAAGTCCATTGAGCTAGGCGTCGTTCCCAAACCGACCATCACAGCTCCCGCCGACGCCATCGTCCATATCACCCACTGTACCATCTGCGGTTCCGACCTCCACATGTACAATGGCGATCTCAACAAGGTTATGGAGAAGGGGTTGATCATGGGCCACGAAGCCATCGGCATCGTTGAAGAGGTCGGAGCCGAGGTCAAGAACTTGAGTGTTGGAGACAGGGTCATTATCCTGCCTGTCATCGCTTGTGGAGAGTGCTTCTACTGCAAGAAGAAGGAGTACTCGCTGTGTGATAAGACGAACCCTTCCAAGGAGCTGGAGGGCATGTACGGTCATCGCCTGTCAGGTATCTTTGGGTATTCTTTGATCACTGGTGGATACCCTGGTGATCAAGCGGAATACTGCCGCGTTCCTAATGCAGATCTCACCTGCGTCAAGGCTCCCCATGACATTGACCCCAAGAAGCTGGTTGGTCTGGCCGATGTAACCCCCACTGCTTGGCATGGAAATGAGCTGGCCGAGGTAGGCGAAGGAGACGTCGTTGGCGTCTGGGGCTGTGGCGCCGTTGGTCTCTCGATCCAACGTCTCGCCAAGCTTCGAGGGGCGAGCAAGGTATACGCCATCGACAAGGATGAGCATCGTCTCGACATCGCAAAGTCGTATGGCATGATTCCTGTCAATGTCAATCTTCACAGCGATCCTGCCGATTACATCCTGTCTATTGAACCACACGGCCTGGACCGTGGTATTGAGGCTAGCGGTTTCAGGAGCACCAACTCTACTGCTCATGCTTCTATGAGAGCACTGGGTGTTGAGGGTGACAGCTCTGATACTGTTGCTGCGGCTATCAAGGCGACTCGCAAGGGAGGCAATGTTGCTCTGATTGGTGACTTTTTCTACAGCACTAATAACTTTCCCATTGGAATGATGATGGAGAAGGCTATCACTGTGCGTGGAGGACAGCTCTATGCCCAGAAGGTATGTTTACCCCAACCTATTAAGATGATGACCCATGCTGATTAGGCGGTAGTATTTCCCTCTTCTTTTGGACTTGGTTGTCGAGGGTAAATACGACCCCTCTTTCATGTTTACCCATGAAGGTACGGTACTTCCCTGTCCAACGAATGTAAAAAACATGACTGACTCTGAGTAGATGACTTTGAGAATATCTCAAAGAACTATGATGCTTTCTTCAGCCACAAGACACCTGGCGGATTGAAGGTCTGCATGGCAACTGCCTTTGGACGCGCCCAGTCGCGTGCCTAAATAGATCCAACTCTCGAGTCTTTAGCTTTATATTGGCTCGGATGGTGCTACGTAGCAAATAAATTGGAAAAATTATGTGGTGTCTGAACCCTACTTGCTACCCTATGGTTATGTCAGTGTCTTTGTCAGCAAATACAATGCGCCGATTGGCCAAGCTTATATCACGTGGATACCCCGCGCGATGTGATCAAAACAGCGCATCTTTCCCTTCAATTAGTTAAAAAAGATAAGGCTCTTGACATCCTCTTCTGTATGCTCTATTCGGTAAAAACAGTTCGATTTAAGTACCTCTTTCTTGGTCGAATGCTTTGTCAGCAGATACAGCGTCCTGACTGGGACGTTCCACGGCACGTGATCAGGACGGTATAGTTAAAGCCGTGCTATCCCCTTTTTATCAGTTATGGGAACAAGGGTCTTTAAATCCTCCTCTGAATGCTTATTTCCACTCAATACCTGCTGATCATAATACGTGTTATCCCTTTGTAGCATTGGTGTAGCGGGTCTGATAGTGTTACGCTAAGTAAGGGGGCCGCGCCGGTTACTATCTACCGTTGACACCCTAATAACCAGGAGAATTAATTTATTGAGTTAACATTTAGGCTAAGTTGTAAGATAGAAACTGCTTAACGTGTCATTTATCTCTTGTTTATGTGTGATTCTGTCTATGGTAAGTCTATAGTCTTGCTACCTCTCCCTCTTGCGCCTTAACCCAAGCCTGAATAACTCTAATTAATCCTTCAGCTTCCTCAATTGTATTCCCAGCATGCAAACATATCCTCACTCTCTCACTTCCCTTAGGTACAGTCGGTGCTACAATTGGTCTCACTGTAAATCCCCTCTCCTGACAGAATCGCGCTAAACTTCGTGGCTCAGATGTAAATACCGGAATGATGGGCGATTTGGGTTCTTTGTTGACCCCTATCGTCGTTGTTGTGAAACTCAAAGAAGCGAGTAGCTTGTGAGTATGCATTGTAAGACTCCAGAGGTGCGTGAGTCTCTTGTCGATAAGTCCGCTTTGCAAGTATTGGTACGAGACACTTATGCTCGCTAAACAAGAAAATGGTAGAGCGGTAGTGTAAATGAGAGTTCGGGCGTAGTTGATAAGATACTCCCTCGTGATAGACGAGCATAGCACAATAGCTATAAAGTTAGCAGTGTCCTCCTGATAGATGATTGACCTACCTCCAAAAGAACTCATAGCTTTTCCAAAAGTATGCAACCTGGCAAAGACCTCGTCTTCTAATCCCAATTCACAAACCAGACCTCTTCCCTGCTTCCCATAGACGCCTGTAGAATGAGCCTCGTCGACGACGATATACCCATTCCCTTTGAACCTCGTCTTGACACAAGTTACAATATCCCTCAACGGCGCAACATCTCCATCCATACTATACACTCCCTCAACAAGGATAAACACCGAGACATTCTCTTCAAGGCTGACCAGGACGTCATCCAGCGACTCCACACAATTGTGTTTGAAAGGAATCTTTCTGCTTGCGCGACTTAACCTCATACCATCATGCGCACTAGCGTGAACAAGCTCATCATAAACAATCACGTCTCCCTTTTGAGGCAACGTACTAACCAATCCCACATTCGCATCAAGTCCCGAATTAAATAATAATCCTGCTGGAGCGTTGTGAAAAGCTGCGATGTCACGCTCTAGATTCTCTGCAAAGGTTGAGTTGCCGTCTAATAAGCGAGATCCACCAGATCCTAACGATGCATGGCTTTGAAGGAGGGCATGATAGTCGGAGAGTAAAGATGGGATCGACGAGAGAGAAAGGTATGCGTTCGACGAAAAATCAACATTTGATCGCGGAATCGTGGTTAGGCTTCGAAGTTGAGACTTTTTAGACCGGTTTTGTAGATGAGAGGCCAATTGCTCCTCTAATTTAGACATTTTAAAAGTAAGAAGAAAAGGAAAGCAAGTACAGGCAAGTAGATGAGTAATTAAACAAATTAATACGAGTACAAAATATACTTTTGTAGTCACGAATTTGTTGAGGTTGAGCTGAATTGCGCCTTTTTTCCCCACCGGCCCAACTACCGTGCCGCCGATCGCACATGCATGTAAATCCCGTTATAAGCCGCGGTCTCCCGGCCGTTTGACCGAGGAGAAACTTGTCCTCTCATCAAGGTGTCTCAACTCTCCAAACCTTTGTAATTACACATCCCCAAAGGCGTTAGAAATGCCTCCAGTCTCAGCACTTCTCCGCCGCTCCCTCCGAGCCCACCAAGTCTACGGCGCAAACACAGACGTCGGAAAGACAATCTTTAGCACGATACTCTGCAATGGTGCGACTAAACGGGGAGATAAGAGCTGGTTTTTGAAACCTGTTTCTACGGGGGCTGCTGATGAGGCTGATGGATGGTAAGAGTCAATTGATTTCTCAGAGCTTGACTGACTGACTTTGTAGTCATATTCAGAAATTTGCTCCTCAAACGGTCCATGAGACGCTTTTTCAGTATGATATCCCCTGTAGTCCTCATATAGCTGCCAAAGCATCAGGAAAAGTAACATTTCCCTTCTCTATCCGTGCTAGATGAAGCTGACGGAATAGCGCGTTCCTTCTGATCAAGCCGTCCTGGCAAGGATTAACGAAGCAGTCTCTCACTACGGTCCGGGTTGGCTCTTTTTAGAAACAGCAGGCGGCGTACATTCCCCGGGACCATCAGGAACTCCCCAAGCAGACCTCTACGCTCCATTACGTGCGCCTGTTGTTCTTGTCGGTGACTCAAAGCTCGGTGGTATTTCGCAGAGTATATCTGCGTACGAGTCTTTGAAGATGAGGGGGTATGATGTTGAGTCTATTCTGCTGTTCCAGGACGGCAAGTATGAGAATTATCAGTACTTGAGGGAGTATTTCTCCAAGTTTCGTGTTCCTGTTGATACGGTGCCTGAACCACCGATACGAGTACTAGATGTTAAAGAGGATGTTGAGCGGATGAAGGAGTATTACTCTTCGCAGAATGTCGACCACGTTCTGGAGCATCTGGATAGCCGCGGCAAGGAACGAATCTCTCGTCTTGAATCACTTAGTGAAAAAGCGAGTGAAAAGATCTGGTACCCATTCACCCAGCAAAAACTCGTTTCAGCAGAAACAATTTCAGCGATCGACTCTGCCCACGGAGATTACTTCCAAGTCCTCAACCCCAAGTCAGACAATCTCCTCCAACCTGCCTTTGACGGCTCAGCATCATGGTGGTCTCAAGGCTTGGGCCATGCAAACTCACGTCTTACCCTTGCGGCAGCATATGCAGCTGGTCGATACGGACACGTCATGTTTGCAGAAGCTATCCATGAACCTGCTCTCGCTCTTGCAGAGATCATGCTAGATGGTGCCAAGAATGAGCGTTTCTCGAGGGTGTTTTACTCGGATAATGGAAGTACGGGCTGTGAAGTCGCTGTCAAGATGGCTCTTCGGGCAGCGAGACTTCGCTACGGCTGGGGCCCTAACGACAATGTTCATATTCTAGGTCTCAAGGGCAGTTATCACGGTGACACGATTGGAGCAATGGACTGTGCTGAGCCGTGTGTCTACAATGAAAAGATTGAATGGTATGAAGGAAAGGGCTATTGGTTCGATTATCCCACCATTCAATGCGTCAAGGGTAAGTGGGAGGTGAGTACGCCGGAGGGCATGGGCGATGATCAACGGCTGGGGTCCATCTCGGAGGTTTTTGACATTGAATGCCGAGTCAATACCGAGCAGTACCGAAGTTATGCGACATACATCGAAAAGACGTTGCAGAAGCTTCAGGATCAGGGAAGAAAGTTTGGAGCGTTGATGATGGAGCCTATAATCCTTGGAGCTGGCGGAATGATATTTGTGTAAGTTTTGTTGCTTTGTATCGAAGTTATACTGACTTTTTAGTGATCCCCTCTTCCAGCGGGCCTTAGTGGACGTCGTTCGTCGCACCTCCACTATAACTCCCCCATCCTCGTCGGGTCCACAGTGGACCGGTCTCCCTGTAATTTTCGACGAAGTCTTTACCGGATTATACCGCCTAGGTCGATTTTCAGCAGCATCATTCCTCGGCGTTGAACCCGACATTTGTGTCAATGCAAAGTTACTCACAGGAGGCTTAGTACCGCTCTGTACAACGATGGCATCAGAGGGTATTTTCGACGCATTTGTAAGTGATGATAAAAGTGATGCGCTTTTGCATGGGCATAGTTATACGGCTCATGCTGTTGGATGTCAAGTTGCTGTTGAGTCAGTGACGGAGATGCAGAGGATGGAGAAGGATGGGGAGTGGAAGTGGGCAGAGCAAGATTGGACTTCCCAAAATGAGAACACTCAAGCTTGGAGTGTCTGGTCTAAAGATTTTGTGGATGGCATTTCACATAATTCTCAAGTTCTGGGTGTTTGGGCGCTGGGAAGTGTTTTGGCTATCAGTCTTCGCGATGATTCGGGTGTAGGTTACAAGAGTCTTGCTGCAAAGAAGCTTCAGAGTCGATTGAGAGAGGGGACAGGAGCTTGGAATGCGCATAGTCGGGTTTTGGGAAATGTGTTTTATGTTATGGCGAGTCAGAAGACGAGTCGGGAGAGTATCGCTGAGTTGCAAGGTTTGTTGGTGGATGCACTCAAAGCATGATCTCATACACTCATCATCGAATTTATATTACAGTATCATCAAAATTAAACATACTTATAAGAACCAAAGAAAAGCCATTGGGCACTGACTTTCCTTTTGCCCTATTGACGTGTTCTTGCATTTTATGCAATTACATAGATGATCATCATACAAGCGAGAACATAGATTTCCTATTGGTCAGATTGAGAGGGGGTAAAGTTACATCACATTGAAGAAACTTGCATTCTTCACTTACACACAAAACATCCCCCAAATCATACAAAAATGAATGCCCAACCACAGGAAAAGACTCGCGAGCAGTCTATCGCTGAATTTGAAGCGAGGACAAAGAAAATTCAACAGGAGCATCCTGATGTGGATTTCAAGTCTACCGTCATTGAACCTACCATGAATCTCATGTTTGACATCAAGGTGAGTCCTCTTTACATTTTGTAGATATTTGTCTGACTGGCAACAGGAGAATTTGAAAGACGAAGACAGAAAAAAGCATGAAGAACTCATCACTCTCATGCTCCAAAACACATCCGATCCAGCAAAAGCAGAAAAGTACCTCTGGGAAGCCCGAAACTACCTCAAACCTCATCCCAGCATCCTCAAACTCTTCGACGACATCTACATCAACAAACGGCCTGTCCCCGTCATGATTTCCCAACTTCACGACGCGATGAACACAAAACCACCTTCAGCGCCATAAATAGTTTTTAGCTTTTTTTTTATGACGATATTTCTGTTTTCTGCCCCTCACATGACGCCCCATCAATAGGGCGCAATGACAAGGTTTTTGACCAATTACGTGACTGGTCTGATGATGACTTAGCAAGATTTACGGCTTTCCATTTCTTTCCACCTGCATTGCATAACCTCTGAATCCTACCAACTCATGATTGATTGCATTGACACGCCCATCATGACTTACAACCAGACTTCATTCTCCGATATGGATCTTTTGGATGGTTTTATGAGTGATGACTTAACGCCATATGTCTCTGATTCTGCGCCGTTTAACGTGACGCCTAATTTCTCATCTGACCATCTTCCCACACCCAATGATGCACCCATCCCTCCACAACCAGCAAAAGTCGGGGGACGCTTTACTCGAGAGTCTGTCCGAATCTTAAAGAATTGGCTAGCGACACACCAAAATCATCCATATCCTCGTGAACCAGAGCGAAGAATGCTGCAGGAGGAGACGGGACTTACAAAAACGCAGATATCGAATTGGTTAGCCAATGCAAGACGCAGAGGAAAGATTCCGTCTAGTGCTTCTTCTCCTAGGACGAGAGCTATGGATATTCCCCCGAGACCGGGGACGCCGGCTGTTAGGAATACTTCTGATATGGATCCGCTGCAGAGATGGGTTGATTCACCGCCTGAGGATGAGCCGGCTGCTGTTACGGCTATTGCGAGGGCTGTGGCTTCTGTTAAGCCGTCATCTGGTAAGCAATCGTGAGTATGACTTCCATCAAGCTAATTGAGGATAGGTTCCACGAGTCCGTATACTAGGTTGTCTCGTACACCGTCAGTCAGAAGTGTCGGCACATCACGATCTAGCTCTATAAGCTCTGTCAATTCACACACCAGCCGATCATCTTTCGGACTCAACGGTCTTTTTAGTCGAGGATCTTCTCGGCGTAGAAGACGTGCTTATAAAGAAGAACGAAGATCATTGGCTACACCACATAAAGCCTTCCAATGCACATTCTGCACAGAGACATTCCGGGCAAAGCACGATTGGCAACGACACGAGAATTCTCTTCATTTACCTCTGGAACGCTGGGTTTGCAGTCCTGAAGGACCACGCGGTCAAAAAGATGACAGCTCCGAAATTCTATGTGTGTTCTGTGGTCATGTCGATCCAGATGATGCACATATCGAAACGCATAATTACTCAGCATGCAAGAATCGGCCAGTCCAAGAACGCACATTTAATCGCAAGGACCATTTAAATCAGCATCTTAAACTGGTTCACAACACTAAATTCGCTGAGTGGCCTATGAGACAATGGAAAGCGCCTCCACCGGCAATACGATCAAGATGTGGATTCTGTAACCTTGTTATGGAGAATTGGAGTGATCGTGTGCATCATTTAGCGGAACACTTTAAGGCTGGTAAGACGATGGCTGATTGGAAGGGTGATTGGGGCTTTGAAGCGCATATTGTTGAGTTGGTTGAGAACTCGATACCGCCTTGTAAGTGTCACCTTGAGTTTGGTATGAGGGGTGCTAATGGGACAGACTTTATCGAGACGGAGAGGAATAGTCCTTTTCCTTTTGAAGGAAGTAGAGCACTCGTCGAAACGCCTCGAACAGCATACGAATTACTTAAACTGGAACTCGCATATTTCATGCAGAATCATTTTTATCAACACGCCAGAATGCCAACAGGAGACGAAATGCAACTCGAAGCATGTCGAATTCTCTTTGCATCTGAACCATTGTCGCAAACAAATTTCATATGCTGCTCATGGCTCCGCGATTTGGTGTTCTCGAATGCAGAAATTTCTCAACGCGCTCAATTCGGTCCTATGAGAACAAACGCAGAATCCCGTCTCTCTTCAATGGAAATCAGTGGCAAGAACAATATCTTCGAAGGATGTCCTTTCGAAACTCAACTTCAGGAATTCGTTCAAGCGAAACAGCTTCTCAATCTAAGTATTCGCGATGATGAGCTTCGAGAAGAATGCTGTATGATCGTTGGACGTCTTGAAGAAGTCTCAGCTACGCCATCGGACTTTATCGCGAATTGGTTGATCAAGATTATACACTCACCTGGCGATTGGTTACTTCCGTTCCGACAACGGACGGGTATTGAGTTAATCGGTCTATCGGAGGGTTTGAATCTTAATGCCATGATTCAAGACTACACACGTCTTGAACAGGAATTAAGTTCATACCTAACCATGCAACGCGTAATCGGTCTCGAACCAACAGATGAAGAACTACGTCATCAAGCAAGGGTTATAATCCATGGGACAGATTCTCTAATGAACCACACTGCCGCTGACGACGATTACTGGCTCGCTGCTTTTCGACAACGACATTCCAGCAATCCAGAGACCTTTCCTTCGGAGACGTGGAATACACCCCTAAGGCCGGATCCGCACATTCTTGCTGCTAGGAGTTTAGTGCTCAAGACTAGTACTGCGTTTTTGAACGATCATAATTATTGGAGGTGGTTTACGCAGGAGTTACGGAGGTGGATTGCTGGTATTATGTCGCCGCATAATCCGGCCAGTAGGGTTCCTAGTGATGAGGAGATTCAGCATTATGCTAGGTGGATCAGTTATAATGAGTAAGTGAACCCGTGAGCGAAGCGAAGTGGATGTATTGGGGGAGTGGTTTGAGAGATGTGTGCTAACGAATGTGACAGTGATGATCCGTTTAATCAGACTATTGCTGAGAATAAGGATTGGTTGGAGGCTTTTAAAAGGGATGTTGGGATTGATAAGGCGCAGGGTCAGAGTCAGATTGGTCAACAGATGGGCCAATAAATGTAAGGAGTTGCTTTTAATGTTAAATTGCATTAAGAACGTCAAAGGAGATATTTAATTAATTAACTTAATTACAGGGAGTTGCCTATCTTTTCCTGCTCTTAAATTTAATTAAATATTTATGTACCTTGTGTAATTACAAGATGCAGCTGTTAAGTTAGCTGTAGTAGGTAGCCGCGCTGGAGATGTGCTGTATTACAGCGCTACAGCAGCTATACAAGCAAGCGATCAGTGGGGGTATGAGGTCGACAAGCTGACGGCGCCCACTTCGCTAGTAAACGGTCCTTATAAAATTCTCGTTTCTACTGTACAGTCAAGTCATGAATTGTTTTCTGAACTATAATGTCGATTTATCGTCGAGGAGACAATACGGGATGCCGCTCACTACGTCATTTTGCCTTTATTCACGGTCAGGGTTGTATTCCCATTCTCTCTCTTTCAGGTCAACCTTTTCCTTGCCCCTTTAGCAATCTTCCTAACCTTCCCCTGACTGACGGCCTTTCGTCATCTTCTAGCTTCACCGTATGACCTGTATACTCCTCCTCTTGCAGACTCGGTGAGTCATCCTCTATCAACGTTGACAGACCCATCGTCACTTTGAGATACCGCTGAACCTGTAGGTCTTGCACTCCCTCAAAGGAAACATCATGCAGCTGCCTCTCGGGATCATACAAACTCGATCCCATCATCGATTCAGATGAGTTCCGTCTCTTGAATGCTGATGCTTTGAAACGCTTGAATGAGCTCGAGACGGATACTTGGGAAGATCGGGACGAACGAGAGGCCAACGATCTAGACATGGTAGGATTTCCATTCAATGCGTCCAGATGTATATAATACGCGGATGATGGTGCTCTGAGATAGGATGAGATACTAGAAGAATCGAACGATGGTGTATATCGGCTCTTTCTAACATAGGCAATGGTGTCTCTCTCCCTGGTAGAGTCTAGCTGACCCTGTTGGGGGATTGACCAATTCAGGAACTCGTTGTCTGCTGATATACGTCGCATCTCGCGGGCCTCTTTCAATGTAGTAGAAGTGGGTGTTGTCAGGTGGCTCTCTCTTCTGGCGATCAGGACTGAACTTAGTGCTTCTATCTGGTAAGCTTGAATTTGCTTAACAAAGTTACTCTTGCGACCAGAGGGTGGAGACCATGAGTAGTGTTCAACGAATGCTGTAACAAATTCCCTTTTCATTTGATTTCGCTTGTATCGGTGGTCGTGGAGGAGCACCTGAGCGGTACTAAGGTAAGCTCGCCGGTCCGAGGCTCGAAGCTCCAACAGCTTGCCTTTTGGGTCTAGCGGCAATATGTCGTGTTGATGGAGAAGTAGTGACCTTCGGACGATGATCCTGCTTATCAACATCAGGAACTGCGTGGCGGATATCGTATGATGTTTCCAGCCAGGAGGAGGACCATGTTGCATCTTCTTCCACAGGAATGTGAACAGAAAACTGGCCTTTATCCAATTGTGGAAAGGGTCTCGTTGAGTAGCCAACTGGCTCATATCAGTGGGCTTGATATTTTCGTGCTGTCTAACATCATGGTGTGGAACCGGCAGAGACTCAGCGTCGGTCAATGCTCTCCGGCAATGGTCAAGGCAATCCCTCACATTCAAGACCAGCCATGCCTCATCCCATTGGAGCGAATTAAGCAAGTCTTCGGGAATGTTCGCGACCTTGTGCTTTGGGAGAAGGCGAAGCAATGTCCAAAGATCTATCGATGGTGGAGCAAGCGTGTCGAAGGCCTTTATAAAGCCTCTGGCTATATCCAGATGTTTCTGCATCTGACTAGCACCGTCCCTTCGATGCTTATAGATTTCCGCAAGGTGACGATGGAAAAGGAAAGATTGCATGGGACACATCTCAACCTGGCCTGAGGGTGATTGATTAGACCGATCTTCAGACAGAGGATCGTCGCTTGTCTCTAGCTCAGACTCCATGACTTCCCTCACAATCTCAGAGGCTTTTCGAGTTTTGGCAGATCTTGCCATATCGAGTATCCTGTCATGTCGCTGTTTGGGCGGAAAGTTCTCATGTTGAAAGGGCATTGAGATCTTCCGATAGTACCAGAATGCTTTGTTGTAACGGTAGCAGCAGGCCAGATAGTCTGCTGGTAGCTCGTCATTGTCTCTGTATTCAGGTGTTTCGGCCTTTTCCACTACAACCGACGACGTTGGTACGAAGTCAGTATCAGTAGAGAGATCCAATTGTGTGTCTTGCAGACTGCTGGCGACTGTGTTGTCTGACTCATTCCCAGGCCTTAATCGCTTCACCGTACGACGAAGAAATGGTGAGGGGGGGCCATGGGTCGTCGTATCGCTTCCGCGACTGCTGGAGGTTGCATCACTTCTTGGACGTTTGCTCGACTCATTTGTGACTGTCGACCATTGCTCCCTAGCGTCGGCTAGATCGGTCGCACTAAGCGGCTCGTTTTTGGAAGCCTCGCTCGTCGTACATTGGTTAGCTGCCTCGTTCAGTGATGGTTGGATCGAGCTGCCTCCGCTACGTTGCTTTCGAAACCCCCACCTTCTCGTTGCTTTTGAGAACTGGTCCCTACTATGAGCTTTGATGTGAGATACTGGCAAGGGAACATCGGGAAAAGGCTGGACTTACGACAGACTTAACCCGACATGTGTTTTGAGATGCTCAATCACTTGGTCGCGAGTGTGATGTTGACTCAGGTATAGATCACCAATCAGCTCTTTGTGCTCGTCCACAGCTCTCTCTGAAAGCCCGGCAGCTCGTGGAGCACGCTTCTCAATGAAGGTCAACCCTCGTGTAGCCATTGGCGGTTGTGTGACTGGGACAAGGAGGATCGACAGAGGACAAAGATTGTTCGACAGCAAACGGCGAGAGTCAGAGTTACACCACACATTCACATATAAAGTAATACACAAGAGCAGTTAAGCTCTCGGGGGTCTATTGTCCGTTTCGATTTGACTCGGTGGCTTGTTCTCACCATAGGGATAAGAAATTAACACGTCACGCTCAGCTCGTGCCGGTAAGATTGGAGTGATGTGATCCTTGTCTGTGGTCATTGATTGGACGACAGGACATAACATTTGTTGTTGTTTCAACCTCCCAGACCGAGACTAAGCTGAATCTGGCAATTCCAAAGTTTTGTCTCAAGTTCCGGCTTCACCGCCAGAAGACATCAGCCACGTTTCTAAGCCACATTCATTTACTATGTATGACGACAGCTTCAAACGAACTCCATGACAGGGCCAGTGTGGCAGGTGAACGGCCATCCCGGATTTTGTAATTCCAAATAGCAGCGTGATGTTGAGGCTGTTTCAACAGCTTACCTCTTTAATGCAGGGAGACCTCTCCACCTTCAGGGGTGCCTCCTCATGATCTGACTGATCGATCAGCCGGAACGACTGCTGTCACTTTTTTCAACATTTTGTTTCATTTTTGGTGACTTGTGAGTTCGGAAGCTCCGAATCCAGAAAAAACAAACTACTACTTTGTGTCCTCTTGAGTCAGACTGAGACCGTAATCATCGCAACTAGGGTTGATATACACCATGCATTTCTCAAAAGAATCTTTGCTACTATATTAATAAACTTTGTTTTGTCCTAATCTGGTAATGCCAAAGATTGCGTTGTGATGTCGAGTATCGCTATGACATTTACATCGACTCGCAATCTATTCTGGTCGACATTGAACCCATGTCTTAGACAAGGACTGAATGATATACTAAATTTCATCTTTGCCTATATATAGTCCGTCTGAACTATAAATTCGAATTCGATAAGCTATATCACCCTCTGTATCTCAAACCACCAAAGACAACAACCCATTAGTAGATACATCTTTTCTATTACGTTACATTCTCATCCAAAATGGCTCTGGATCCCGTCAAGCACAACCACAAAAAGGCTCAGGACAATTTGGTTGCCCATACTGGTGCTTGGACCCAAGCCGCTAGCTTCTCTCCCCCAAAGAGTGTAAGGTGTCCGGTATTATTGCACATAAGGCTTTTGGCTAACTGTGAAGATTGTCAAGGTTGAGGAAAGAGCAGAGGACTCTAAGACTAAGGCTGAGAAAAAGGATTGAAGGTTTGTAGTAAAGATTTACACCCATCAAATGACCGACAGTTAACATGCTTTTTAGGACTTTCTCATAAGCAGATTAACTCTGTATGTGTCCAGCTCTTCTCAAGTTCATTATCGAAAAGAAAAAACCCACCATGCCAATGGACCAGCACACCCTGGCGCTCATGAGTTCTTGGTTCACGAGAGATGTTAGCTACAGTTGCTGGGACTGAGCTGTGGCTATTTGTGAAGAATGATTGATCAAAAAGGGCATTGCTTGACGGCAGCTAGTCCCGAGGGAATAAGCGATGTCTACAGTGTATCACAATGTTATGTTATTTCTTTAACTACTCTACTCAAAAGCTATACAAACTTGAGGCTCCGGACAGATGGGCGGTCTTTGGGGAGGCTTCTATTTATCAGTACCTGACAAAGAATATTGCAGACAGTTGACCTTGAATAGAACATCCCTTATTACGGTAACTTTTATTAACGAGCGTAAAAGATGTATTGTTGTTGATACTATAATTTCCAATGTAACTCAGTGACCACGTTTAATATTTAACTTTATATCGCAAAAGCACTGAGAATGTCGTAAGGCAGCATTAGGAATTTCGGACAAATCGCATAGATCAAACCACAAAGAAACACTATCAAATCGTATAACAGCCAAGAACCAGAAAACACAGTCTTATAGTAACGGAACAAATAACGATGATAAGGAGGCAAGAAAATAAAGAAAGGTAGAAAGACAGAAGGAGTCCAGTGAAAATCGCAACAGTAAATAGTAAAACCCCTGTGTTTCAATTCCAACCTCGTCGAGTTCAAAGAGTGCAGGATATGTCCAGGTCCAGAGATCCTTGTGTGAAGTCCATTTCCAGACGGGACCCTCCTGCTTTCGAGCATTAATAGTGGGTAGTTGCCCTGAAGGTGCACTGTTAAGGCGAAATATTACGCTAAAGGGGTTGTGGCTGTGCACAATTAGTGGGCCGCTGTGCTGAAACTGAGAAGAGCAATGTAACTATAGGGTACTATGAAGCCTACAATAGAAGCTCCTTCTATTTCTAGAGTTTTCTTTGCTAAGTATTGGCTTCATACCTTATAAACGAGTATTTCAGATTTATCTGGTCGGTCGTACACAAATAGGGAAGCTCTGCAGTTCAATGGGAGAAGGCAGTTGGCACGGTGCGTTGATTCGGATCAACGTAAAGCGTTTTGGCAAGGTTGAGAAAAAAACAATGCAATCTGAAATGATGTTCAGCAAACCGCGTCTCCAACGCGACACTTGTACGTGGACTTCATCATCCTAAACAATCCAAAAGAAGAGATACAGGGGCTATACCACGATAAGTTTATAGATAGTCATTCCCTTATCACCAAGAGCCTCAGCTTCCTTCCTTCCCCCGCACCGGGCTCTCAGGGCGGGGTCGAACCAGGTCGTTGAGAATTACCGTTTACAGCTATGGATTACCGCGTTCGGACTAGCGCACTATGATGAACCGATTCAACGTGACTGGCTAAGCGAGCCATCCCAAAGCGGCAAGTTTCCAGGCCACGGATATCATCGCCTCAGAAGTTTTTAAATACGCTTATTCCCATCACAGTGACATTGAAGCAGCAATCAGCGTCAACCATGTCTTCACTACTCGAATCAATTGGTCTGCGACAGGATCTTGTGCCTCTGGCTGCTGTTGCCCTCGGTATTGTTTTTTTCGTCGCGGTGTATGAATGGTTGCGAAAGGGAAGAGCTGCTAAAACTGCTGGTAAGTCATGTCACGGTATCCTTAAGGCGACAGGCTAACTAACAGCACAGCCAAACCTGAGGACATAGAATGGAAAACACCCTCCCCAAAGCCTCTTCCCGACTTTGATCTCGACGTCACCAAACCCCAACTCTACCGTCCCTTCCGCCATGGTCCCAATCACGTAACAATGGGCATTCGCAAGCTCGACTGGAATAACTGGATTGAGATGGACTCCAACTTCATGTGGTTTCACGACACTAAAGTTTCAGAGTTAGAAAGAGACATTGACGCGCATGTTCAATATGTCGATAACGCGGTTACAAGAGATGCTTGTTTTGAGGTACTCGAGGAGTTGACGGATTGGTTGACTGTGCGATATCCTAAGATCTTTTCGCTGGAGGGCGGCAAGTTGAGGAATAGTCTTACTGGAGAGGTTTTCGATTATCCTGCTAGTAAGTAGAAGCTCAGCAGTGAGGTTCTTGGCTGACTGTCTAGGCAACCCTAAGGAAGCAATGGCTACGGCAGCGAAATTGGTTCAGGATGATCTAGTCATTATGGTCGAGGAAGATGGTAAGCTGCATTCCCGTGTAAACCTACAAAGCTAATTTATTAGACGGTCACTATCACCTAGACGCAGGAGCTGTATGCCTCCCCGGCTTCTGGCGACTGAGCGAGAAATTCAGAATGTCTCTTGATACTCTACACATCGAAGCCAAGGTTCCCCACTACCAGACCAAGCTGCAGCGGTCTATGAACAAATTCTTCAAGTCTATGCAACCGGATAAGGCAGTAGTTCGAAACAATGTTAGTTTTCTTCGGCCTTGAGTGGGTTTGGCTGACTGTTTAGTTCTTTATTCAACTTGACGATGGCCTTCACTGGTCTCATAGAATGGGCGACCAGAACAGCAATGAAGTAGCCTGTAAGTCCTCTAACTACTCCCATGAACCCCAACCGTACTGACTCTCCAGCATGGGAAACTGCCAATGACAAAGGTCTCACGATCGGAGATCTCTATTTCCGCTCCGAACGCCAATCCCTCCGCCGTCTTCCCCGATCTAAAGCTCTGCTCTTCACCATCCGAACGTACTTCGAGCCGATTACACGTATCGCTCAGGAACCGCATGTTCCAGGAAGATTGGCTGAGGCGATCGACAATTGGGATGAGGCTGCTTCTTTGTACAAAGGGAAGCATCACTGGGATGGTATCCTGCTGCCTTATCTGCGTGAGCAGGATAAGAAACAGAAAGAGAGTGGTATTTTAGAGAAGGCTCCTGAGGGGAGCTTTCCTTACTAGATAGCTAGTGTGGGCTAGATTGGCAATAATTGAGCTTTCCATTCGGCGGAAACACCTGTGTACAAGGTATTGCTCTGGCGTTGTTAAAAACAAGATAAAGCCCGACGAGATGTAATATCCAAAAACCTCGGTATTATGAGTTTTAGAGATCGTTCACTTCAGTAATGGCCAAATAAGGAGTTGAAGAGCGTTAGATACAGTCAGTCTGAGTTTGGATCCTTCTTGGATTGCTTCAAGACGGTAGCTTCCTTCATCTCGCTTCTCAGCTGATTCCCTAAGCTCAATGGATAACAATCGACCAGACTTTCCCTCTCGGTCATCGTCCATAAAATGCCAGTGATTACATCACAAGTCATCATACGGCTACGACGTTTGGGTACCTGTCACGCCGAGATGATAAGCCTCTTTCGGCAATCGATCAAGTTAATCTACAACTATATGGTCCAACTAGATAGTCACATACACTGGACATAATAGTTTCCACATACGGCTAGTCGTCCATTAAGTGTCTACGCTATCAACAACCCCGCACAATCCTAGTTCATCATCCACTCCGCCTCAACCTTCGGTTCCGTGAAAGCTAGGATTATTAGCAGGACTCTAACACTGGCTCGGGGGACACTTACTCCTCTTTCCCCAGACAAGATACCAAACCCCGCACAAAAACAAGAAACCCACAAGCACAACAGAGGCGTAGTTCATCGTCTCTGCCGTAACAGGCAACGCAGAGGGCATACTGAAGAGAATAAGCTGGAAGAGGATCCACAAGACGGAGATCGAGTTTGCTACTGTTCCGGTTTTGCCGAGGTACCATTTTGCTTTGGAGACTTCTGTTCTACCGAAAGCAAGGCTCAATGCGATCGGGATCAGATATGCTAGGGCCAGAGCGACGACGCCTACAGACACAAAAGCCGTGAAGGCGCTGGTGCTGCCAAGGTTGATACACCCTAAGGCGATCTCGATGACTGTGACAAGAGCGAGGGCGTAGACCGGTTGATTGAAGACGGTTCGTGACCAAATGTTGGACCCAGGGAGCATGCCATCTCGCGACAGTGCCCACGTACAGCGAGAGGCTGTTGTTGTGATGCTCATGGAACAGAATAGTGTGACTAACAGAACCATGACAAGCAGTGCCAAGCTGAGGGGCTTTGATCCAGTGACAGTGTCGATGATGAATGGCAGTGCTTGGCCATAAGGAGCAGCGAGGACATCTTCCAACGGCGGTAGAGTGAAGCAGATCGGCAGAACAAATGCCAGCATGGATACTCCACCGATAGGAATACACATGGTGATGGCTCTGGGAACTTCAATCTCTGGGTTGGCACATTCCTCAGTCATGCTCATGATCAGCCCAATAGCCGAAAGGGCATAAGCAGGGGGTAACAACCCAATGAAGAAAGAAAAGTTGCCCCAGCCAGATATACTCGGTTCGAAATGCCCTAGCCCATAGGTCACTGAATGCCTTCCTTCATTAGCAGTGCAAGCCAAAGCAATCAGGATGGCGACAGTCGTGACAACGCTCCAGATAGCAGCCGCAGTATCAACCAGCGGCAAAGCCTTGTCGGCAACAGCACAGAGCAGAAAGATAAGAAGGCAAATGCCAAAGAATATATATAGAGTCTCGTTCGCGGTGGCTGTCCAGTCGGGTCGATACATAGTAACCGTTGCGACGATAATAGAAGCAAAGCCAAAATTGACGGATAGAGCGATCGTCCAGTTTCCGATCAACCACACCCAGCCTGTGAAGTAGGCAATTGCATGTTGATAGCTTTTGTTCTCGGTGAGGCGGTACGACCAGTAGTATACGCCGGAAGAGGTAGGGTATCGCGAGGCCAGCTCGCCGAGGGACAGAGCCACGGCGCCTTGGAGAAAGACAACAACCAAGACACCAACGAAGAGGGAGAGTTGGCCACCGCCGTAGATGGTCGAGATCAAAGGACCGCCGACGCCATACGGTACAGCAGTGATGGCGAGGGACATACCCAGGACCGAGATAAAGGATCTGTTCTTCCGGAGCTGTGGTGTTGAGACATCTTGGATGGCTCCTTGACCAGAACTCTCGGTTCGATAAATGGATTCTGTTTTAGGAGACATAATAATCAGTATTGACAACTTCAGCAAAGAAGACAAGATGTACTGGAGACTTTAATACCTAGGCTGAGGGAGTTACATCTGGGGAAAGACTATTACCAAACAGGTAACATGATAGGCGTTGGAAATCCGGGGAATGGATGATAAGACTAGTCTGTTTGCGGTATGTTTTTGGGACAGGTGTTTCCCTAGTTGCGGTCCACGCTACGCCACTAGCTTCGCGATATCGGGGAGGCGGGTCATCGGTAGATTGGAGGACATTATTGTCTTGGAGATCAAGTGGTCGTGTTTTATACCGTTTTTATCTATCAGTAGTTGACCTGGCTCTCAGCGTCGGGACGAGCCATAACTGGCCGACCTTGAGATCACCTATTTAGAGAGGGATATGGCGCCCGAGATTGAATGTCGCTCGTATTGCAAAGTTCCCGTTGATTCTGGGGTCGTGGTGATTGAAGCATTTCAATAGCCCTGGTGCACATGGAAGCGAAAATCTAGATAGTTCAAGGAACGTAGAGAAACGTTTGACTTTCTGTAGCAATTCTATATGTTCTTCTGCAGCTTTGAAGATTAGGCAATATACCGTATAATGTTTAAGATTATCAATGGAGCTAATACTGTTTTATTACTAGATATCTATAAATCCTTGTTCCATCGAAAAGACTAAACTTCTTTGGAAGTTTTCGGGCCACGCCCCAGCATCTGTATTGATGCAAAGGCCGTAGCCTAGTTGCGCTAGTTTTTCAAATGCCAGTTGTAAAGACGTGACATTGGTTGCTACGGGATCCTCTGTTAAGGAGGATATTTCTTCTTCTAGTTGCATTGAAACTTGATCTTTATGCGACAATCTGGTAAACAAGATGCTATCGAGAGCTTCAACTGGCGCTTGTGATGCAATTTGATAACACCTTGCGGTTTGATGCCCTTCTAATCTGATAAGAATCTGAGCCCGAGGTAATGAACCTTGGCACGTTTGTAAGATCTCGTCCAGTTGATCGGGTAGAGATGGCGGGACGCTGACTCTGGAAGTAAGATCTACGACCACCTTCTGGAACATGAACCTCAATGATACCTGGTGATAGAATACCCATCCAAGGTCTAAATTCTGTGACGTAGGGTTACCCAGAGTAGCTTGGCATAAAGCACTGTATACACCGAGATTTGACAGCGAAGGGATGGCAAGGATGGCCCCTTTTGTTGGAAAGAACTGACTAACAACAATCATATAGCTATCCCAGTTTGTTACAGTCGAGGCTGCGTTCAGTAATAGATCGAGAAAGTTGGACAGTGCCGTTTCGCTGATGGGTTTCTTGCCGAATTTGGAGACTGCGTCTATCCAGGTAATAAGAGAAAGACCTTCTACAAGAAGTCTTGTGAACGGTGTGTGCCTCCAGATGATTGGGGCACGACGTTGATAAACGTTGAGAGTGTAGCTATAATCATGATGCCAGTTTGATGAGAAAGGCAACGTTTCCTTGATGAGTCTCATCGATGAGATTAGACCATCCTCGGTTGGTGGAAAGTTCCTGCTCCACACCCCCCGCCATACATCTTCGACAGCCGTCGATGGAGCAATCTTTCTGGCGTGGGATACAGTGAAGCCGTCAAAGGTTTCCCACTGGGCTGTTAGGCCAAGTAAAGATGAATACCAATTTCCGGTTGTATGGTCATTCTTGACATATCCATAGCTGTATGCTTTTTCAATCCTGGCCATTATTGGAGAAATATGTTGTTCGTACTGGGCTTTCTTCGTCGAGTCTGGGTCGAAAATTTTTACAGCTCGTAGGATTTGAAACATAAGAGATATATCCCTAACGAAACAAGGGCATCTGGTAGATAGCAACTGGGCCAAGCAAAGGTAGCTCTCCAACATTTTTAACTGCAAATCCACAGAGGTGCTTTTGCTGTGCTTGAGAATCGCCTTCCCTGCTTCTGTACTGACGAAAAAGTCGTAGGCAGTGCGATGAATGAATCTTATCTTCCGGTCAAACTTGGCCACCCAATGGGCATTTTCCAACTCCCAGATCGTTGGATTATACTTTCCCAGAGGTACCTCGGACCTTTCTACCTCTAGTAAACCGGCGGAACGAATCTTGATCATCTCCTCCATCTTTTTGCATGAGGGCAGTGGATCCAAAGCCACGGGTTCTGTGGCCGACTGCGCGAACTCCGTTGCGAAGTCTGGAACAACTGCATAGCCGATTGCGACTATCGTCGGGGGACCGCTGCGGAGTAACACTGCACCATCATTATATTTAATATAAGGCAGTCTCCGCGCTTCAATCACACACCGGAAGATTGATGCTGCTGTCTCCTTGTATATGGGCACGTTATGATTCAATCTGTTCCACATATCGTTGTAGAGATCTTCAAGTTGGCCCGGAAGTTGCTCTAACCTTGAGGAGAGTTCGGATGAGGAGTCTCCGTTCTTCGCTCCCTCCTTGACACTTCGAGTTACAATACATAGCCAGAGAAACACCCCGCTAGCCTTTTTGACAAGCATGGAGACAAGTTGCGTGAAATCGGTATCTTGAATCAGACCGGAGGCCTTGAGTGGTTCCAGCTCCTTCTCAGCATACAACTGCATATCGCAAGCCGTAAACAATTCCATCTTGATGTTTGATGCATGCAGAGCCATTAACCCTAGCTCCAACTGATGTTCAGGTCGACTGCTCACACAGACCTTTACATGTTGTTGTTCTGCGAGTTTGGAAACAATGTTCAGGATAGCCTCAGAACCCTCCTCGTCATTGATCTCATCAAGTCCATCAATGAATATGCAGTAGTACTTATCACTGCTGTTCAGCAAGTGCAAAAGAAGGCTCTTAGCTTCTCCAAGCGACCAGTCGTGATACGACGACTTGGAGAGTACCAGATCTTGGAAATTGGGGATTGAGTTAAGAAGGCCCTTGTGACGTAAAAGGATTTGGTAACTGAGGGTACACAGAAGCCCTTTGACGGAATTCTGTGGTTTGGAACCGATCTTCCAAAGGAAGTGGGAGATAATCTCCGCTCGGGGGTCCCAGCGTTCCAAAAACATCTTCGCAGACTTGCTGTTAACTATAGTCTTCATGAAGGTACTTTTACCCGACCCTGGCTTTCCGCTAATCCAGAACAGAGAGTCACTGGTCTGTAACCAACTAGCGAGTTGGTCTAACCCTTTGTCAATACTGCCAAGGTGATGGTCGTCTGAGAGCGACTCTGTCTTAGTCTCAAATGGCTCAGACATATCATCGCAAGCCTCGTCATAGGCGGCAAATATGCGCCGGTATGTGGCGTCTTCCGAATCCGTGATATCGTTGTAACGTTGGTTCATGTTATCAGACTTCAGGCTGTCAAGGAACCTCGTTCTTTGACTAGCTGTAGCGACCTCAGAAGTGACCTGCTCTCCCGTATCCTTCACTTCTTTAGCGAGGAGAGCACGGGTTTCGCCGTGTTCTGCCTGGACACGACTTTCAAGATTCGTATTACCCTCTGCAATCTGTCTAACGAGGTGTTGAGCATGATTCGAGAGAATTTGAAACTCGTTTCTCTGTATCAAGGCCACGGCTTGAGTTTGAGTACTGTTGCCAGTCAGTGGTAATTCCGATTAAACAGGAGAAGATTTACCATATATACGCGAGAAGATGAGTTTCCAAACCCTCCTTTTGCTTTCGAAGGATTTCTTCCAGATCCCGTAGCGTGTTCTGGCGATACCTGGCTATCAATGCTGAACTGAAGGCATTGCGAGCTTTGCCACTCTGGTGCGTGCTTAGAGACTTCAATTCTTTAAGAAGTTTTTGAGCAGACTTCCGACACTTTTCGGCAATCTCTGTGATCTTACGCTCATGTGCCGATTGCTGCATATTGGCACCTTGGCAGCAGAGCTCAACTTGAGCGACGGCATTTTGAAGTTCCTTAGCGTACTCTTCCACGCTACTATCAGACAATGGTCTACCTTGGTAGACGTCGATCGCCTTTGAGATGACGCTGGTAGAAAATGATATGAGTTGGACCACTGCACTGGCAGCACCTAGAGCCTCAAGTCCAGTTGCCATGGTGGTTAATACGTCGTTAGTCGCAGAAAAAGGTAAAATGAACAAAGGGTAAAGGAAAAGGTTGCATCTTCGGGCGCACAATCAGGCTGATGATACCAGCGTCCGTCATACTGCACTGACTAATCCATCCGGCAGCAAATCACAATTCCAAGATTGTAATTCTTTGCAGCCATGTTTCTGATCTGCGGGGTTGAAAACGAGGAGAAAAGAGACAACAAGTACAAGTAGACGTAGGACCTTTTCAGCAGGTCAGGGATAACCAGACACCAGGGATCAACGAAGCTTAGCGTGGTCGGTTCCGGTTCCGCAAGTCAGCTACGGGTCACGTGCTACAAGTTCCTTCTTATAGCGTAGGGTAAGTTTGATGTTCATTGAACACTACATGGACTGTAGAGAAATAACCTCTGTTGATAACTCAGAGAGTGGATGATAAGATCTGGCTACTATATTGTTAACCAAGATCTAAGATACTCAGGATTTCGATACGCGGTATGGAGTTAATCGAGCCTTATCTTGAACAAATTGTAATTTGGAATTTATTACACTTAACTACTAGAACCATAAGGCATACCAGCATCTATCTATGGCATTATAAGCTGTATGTAATCAAGTCTCTACTGTCTTTCGCTCCAGTACTTTTAATATTGTCTTTCAAGTTATTGATCATTGTCATCCGTCCGTCCGTACCTTCCTCAATTGAATGCCTCACTCATGCGTCATGATAGGACCGAAAAGCCCCACTTCGGCAGCTCCGGCATTAAATCGGTGATTGGCCATCTTATCGATAAGTCTTATCGCATCGCATCAGGCATTGATCCAATTCTCAGCTTCATCTCATAAACACATCCATACCGCCAACCACAACCAAAATGTCCGCCACAGACGACGGAGAACTACCCGCAGTATTCGAAACAGTCTACGACACACAATCAGACACAGCTGATAGGATAAAATCACCGCGCCATGGCCTAAAACGGATTTCTGCAGCGTGTCAAAGATGTCGACGCAGGAAACAAAAGGTAACGTGCTACTGCGCTGAGGGGAAAGTGGTGACTGACGTGGTGATAGTGTGACGGCAGACATCCTATTTGCGGTGCTTGTGCAGCTGCGAATGTCCCTTGTGTACCTTCAGACCGTCTCGTCGTAAGACCAGACAGGGAATGCGAGTGCGACCATCTCCGAGGACAAGTAGAACGACTGAAAGATCGCGTTAATGAGCTTCAAACGCGGCTGTCCATGCAATCTAGACTTCCTTCAGAGGCGCTATCTCAGGCGCGTCATGAACCTGATGGCTCAGTAGCCAGTCTTGAAAGAGGCTACGTCGGCCGCATGCTTCTTCCCACGTTTCGCAATTCGGAATCTGGCTTCAAAAGCGGTGCCTGGCAATTGTGGAACGGGCTTTCTGCTAGCGATACGCCTCCGACTGCCACGTCGAACACGTTTAATCTTCATCGAGATGGTCTTGCGTTGATTGATGTGTTTTTTGATCGACGGTGGCCGCAGTATCCTGTTCTTCATCGACCGACTTTCATGGAACAGCATTACATACCGTACTGCAATGGACAGATAAGAGACAAATTGTCTGCTTTTGAGGTTCATATGGTTCTTGCGATTGGGGCTTCTGAGAAAGCGCGCATCAGCTCTGATGCACCTGTCTCTCACGAGTATTTCTTTGATGCGGCTGCTCGAGATCTCGATTGTGTTCTTGCAGCTGAAGATATCGACTGCATTCGATGTTTATCGCTGCTTTGTTTGTTTGGAAGCAATGAACCACAGTCTGTCAATCTGTGGTATACTGTTGGTATGGCTTTGAGACTTGCGGTTGGTATCGATATGCACAGGGAGGAAAGTCTAGCAAATAGGTCGCTTCTAGACACTGAGATGCGAAAGAGGCTATTCTGGAGTCTTTACACAATGGATCGAAGCGTGTCTATCTCTCTAGGTCGGCCGCTAGGTATCCAAGACGCCGATATCACGATTCCTCTCCCCGTGGTCCTCTCCGACGAACAAATCGCAGGCCCATCAGACCGCGCCATACCTAATATCCTCCCAGACGTCCGAGACATGTCAGCCTTTCGCCACATCGTGGAACTTCGACAAATTAACGGAGGGATTTATTCAGCTCTTCATTCAGCAGGCGGCGCAAATCTAGAATCCTCCAACCTGGACGCCATCAGACAACAACACTATACTCGCCTTAACGCGTGGCTTTTGTCCGCCCCGAGATATCTCGCTCCTCTGTCAATGTACCAAACTCCCGAGTGGTTTCAGATTGCGTATCACCAAGCAGTTATTAATCTCCACCGACCCTCTCACGCATCACCAGTCAGCAGCGCCGATGCGATTCGGCTGTGCGCTGATTCTTCAATTAGCTTGATAAGTTGCTACAATGCCTTATACGCCAAGAACAAGATCATATACACATTCGTGGCGCTCGATTCGCTGTTCATGGCAGCTGTCACAATGCTGTATTCCATCCGCGCAAGTTCAGTTGTCCGCCACGAATTAACCAGGGAAGTAGTCGAGTCTAATATTGAGACATGTGTACGACTAGTCTCCAAGATTTCACACGGCAAGACAGTCGGGGAACGCAGTACGCAAATTATCCGACGGTTGGGAAACGCGACACTGGCGATATTCGATAATAGTTCGTATGCTGAGGGGGAGATTGATACGGAGTTTATGTCGTGGTTTGGAGTCAAGAGTCAGAATCCGGTTAGGCCGGAGTATCCTACGCCGAGTATTGATACGGCTTGGAATGATTTGTTTGAGCATGGGTATGATTTAACTAGTTACCAGAATGTGCATTTATTGTTATAGTGAAAGTTAATAGAGTTGTCTATGCATGGATTGTGCTGGTTGGGCTTCGGGTGAGTTCCGAAAGAGCCGAGATATCCGGCGGTTATGGAGAAATGACCATCTACCACGACTGTTTCGGTGTAACGTTAGATGAGCATATGGCGCCGTCGTTTCCGCAAACTTAAGCTTCAGAAGGGGCCATTGAAAATGAGTAGGGATTCATACGATCTCAACGACATTTGTGAAGTGGTATTTGCAAAGCTTATATATAAACCCAATATGTATTGAACTAGTGATTTGACATAGAAGTGAATACATGATCAACAGTCATTGCCCATTGACACGGAGTAGCTAGCAAGGCCTTCCCCGTCAGTATCCTCAACACCATTGTTCCCAATATACAACCAATCGACCCATCCAGCATATCCTAGCAATCATCGCTATCAGAGACAGCGAACTCAAGTTGCATCCTCTAGAGGAGCTTGACACAGTTGAGAAGAGCAACGTTGACAAGAGCGCCCTGCGACTGTTAGATACTATTCTGAATAGAAAGCTAGATGAGGAACTTACGACGGGGGCGTCAGACTTGCAGCAGTAAGAGTTACCGTTGCAGTTGCTGCCGAGAACCTGAACAGCACAGCTCAGGAGACCGTTGCAGCAGACCTGGTTGTTCTGGGCAGAGCAGACAGCGTTGTTGCCGCCGCCAGTGCGAGCCTCGAGGGTATCGGCGGGAGCAGCGATGGCGGCGACGGCCATGGTGAGGACGGAGGCGAGAGTAGAGAACTGCATTTTGATGGAGTTGTTGGTTTTTGGGGTTTGGAAAAAGAGTTGTGAGTGTTGAAGATGCTGTTGGAAGATGCTGTTGATTGCTGATGAGGAATTGAGATTTGGAGGGAGGATTGATGGGTCTTTATAGTTGAGATGACCAGCCACTTTCTTGTTTTCTCTCCGTGTTTCCTCGGACTGCATACGAGGCCTTGACCAATTCATCTCGCGATCCTCAACAAGATTCAGCTTGACCTAGGATCAGAGTGCAGTGGACCTCGTACCCTCCCCCCTGTTGCTGATCTACAACTGGGCGGGAAACCCCATGACAATCACTCAGATCATATCGTTCATGCTCTATTGACCGGGATGCATTATGCTTTGGTGTAACTACCGATTACTACTCTGTTCTTTGGAATTTGCCAGTGGCACATCCATTACTACTCTGCACTATAAACAAACATTAGTTTATTAGTTGGTAAACTCTAATGCAACACGGATACCTCCGTGGCTTTGTTTGAGGTGCGGGCACGATAAACGCCCGCTTAAGCCATTAGTCGAATAAACGCCCGTATCCCGGAGTTAGTACACTGTAGTTAAGGCAAGCCTCAGAGCCTCAAAGCAGCCCGTGTCACATCATGCCTTGATTTCTTATCGGGACTTTCCCTCCGGATGGTCGTCATAATTGCCTGTTTTCTCGATAGCCAAGTCCTTTTTCTCGGTGAGGCTGCTAGATTGCCAAGTAATTCTTGATATATGACATTCCATGTGCAACACAGCAGCTGAAAAACACTACAGAGAACCGTTTGAATGCCGTGTAGTGGATTGAGCCTGTGCGACACAAGGGTCACCCCTGGATAGCCACGTCGTCAACGACACCCGCTTTACTCGACGGAAGTCGCATGCCCCTCTATTACTTACAGACCAAGAAGTCGAGGCCTAGTAAAATTAGCCTGTCCACCTGTCGAGTGTTTCTTTTATGGGGCATGCAGCATCGTGGAGTAACATTTCTTTTTTTCGCCTGACATGTTTCTTTTTCGAACTGAAATGCGACTCTACTGTCTGTTCTGACCTGATGCTTTCTTTTTCCTAATACGAAGATCCACTGCTGTTACTAAAGCAATCATCCCGTTCCTGTCAATGTAACTGCGAATATGTCGACTTACCGTTTGGGAATATGCAGCGATCGGCAGAGGCGCTGCATCCGATGGTCCGGAGCAAACACGAGATTGTTGCAATTGGTCCCAGGAAAGCGTCAGCAAATGTGAGATCCGATATTCGTGGCTTTGCAGCGATGATCGATGCTGTTTTTATTGCATTTTTATGCCTGCTTACAGGTACAACATTAACTCTCATAAATAAGGCTGACGAAAGCATGAACGTTGCAATTACCGTTACGCTTGCAGGTAATTAAGTTACGGGCTACTTTAGCGGTGTTTTCTCACTAGCGAGTGTCTCGGCTTAGAAGTGCCCTGAGGTGACTAAGACATAGTGGACCTCGGAGTACAATAAAACCCGAGACACGAGAGGTACTGTACCGCTAGAATTTGGTAGAGAAGGTTGTCTTTTCTTTCTCCCCAATCAGCGGGTAATCGGCCATGTGTGCAGCGCAGTAAAACAAAACATACTCAACAGCCAAGACATGCATCCAAGACAAGAACAATGACACCCAATAATATCATTCCTTTTATTCAATGACAATCTCATACATCCCTGTTCCACAAAAAGCACACGATAATGTCTTGAAACCCTGTAAAGTAACTGCTCTTGTGCTCTCCGAGTGCCTGACCGATTTGATCTGCAAAATCACCTTCTTTGTTGATGAAAGCTTCCGTTCAGCTACGGAGAGTCCACCTGTAAATCAAGGAGAGCAGCAGGGGGCATTCGTCTCTCTAATTTGACAAGGGTTTATTCAGCCAACTATTGGACCACGTCCTCTTGGAGGCGACGTTAGGAACAATGGCGTCCAATTGGACAGACACAGACAAGCCCCCCCTGTTTTACGCTATTGAAATATCTCCGATGATCACTGCCGAAAGAATAAACATGATAGATGCTAAATTGAACAACACCAAGATCTACATATCATGGCTGTCTATCGTTGGGCGTACAAGACATAATTTCAGTAGTTTACAGTAGTTGAAAGCCACGATGATGATCTTGAACGGTGAACACAATGTGGCTTGCGCTTATGCGACCTCGAGACAAAGAACATCAATGGGCTTGCGCTCGGTGTGATGTGGTTTTACAGTAGTAGTTAACGTGGGAGGCCTTATTTTCACAAACATGAATTGAGGCTTGAAGAGTTAGCCAAAACCTGTTTTGATCAAGAGGTGTTGTCCGTTGAAGTTTCTGGATGAATCATGATTATGCATCGTTCTGATTTCGTGCCAAGAACTGGGTGATTTCTGAGCTGAATTTTAGGCAAACTCGAAAAGTGTTTGTGAGGCACGGTTGTACAAGGGGCTGGATGTAAGTGGGATGGCTGTGAGTGATTGGTTGGGTTGAAGAGATTTGCCGCCGGGATTAATGCATTTGTCAAGAGACTCCGGAGTAGAGTAACACGAAGCAGGTTTAGACGAGCTCACTCTCATCAGATCACTGTAAGGAATTAAGATCCCCAGTCTCTATGAAGTCTGAAGATGGAGTAAAAACGACAGTCTGATACTAAATCATTCATTAAGAAATTCTACCAACAACTGCCAAGTCGATTACATGCATCCGCGATCAGCTTAATCCAGCTTTATTCCAACATCATCGACCCAGCAAGCAATAAACAGACTATCTACCCTAAACATTTGGAAACATTAAATCACATTGCGGATCCGAAGTGGACGGATGATATGAACCTACGCGGTTGACGATCCCTGTAAACGGCTATTAACGCTCTGATCAGGCCCACTGATGCTACCGGCCCGCTTCCGCATCCGCTCCCTCCCGCCCTCGTATTTCCCGACCTTTCTCCATCAGCTGAGCCTTACCGAGAGTAGTCTCGATCCCTTTTGACTTGCCTCTATTCCGTGCTCTCAGATGATGTGTTGAGTGGATATTGCTGAGCCATGATCCAGTTCATCCACTACCCATGTTAGCCGAGGTTTATTTGACAAGTCTAGACTCAGGAACGAGTCATGATATCGCGGCACATAGCGGGATATGCTAGGCAATCCAATAGTTTTTGACGGGTCTCACAATGGCCGACGCGATTGGTGAGAACGTTCCGTTTGCTTTTTTCGGGGCACTTGGCATTTAACTATCCTTCACAGGATAAACTCTCTGCAGCCATGTCTCAACTACCTTCACTTCCCGTGCTATAATACTGCTCTTATGAACTTGACTCAGTCCATTAACCCGGTTTGACCTTCTCTGTTTGCTTTTGACAATTTCTCATCCTCCACCGGCCCTGATCTAGACTTCCAGCCAAGCCTCTTATATAACATTGCTTTTCACAACTTCATGGTCCAAAATTCCCCCATCACATCAACTCCCCAATCACAATGAGCTTGTGTCTCAACCATCTCAAATCCCGCCTTAGCATATAATCTCCTTGCCCCCTCCAGCTTGCTCTGTGTCCAAAGATCAATACCCTCGTATCCGACCTCCCTGGCAAAATCAATACACGCTTGTATCAACGCCGTCCCGACTCCAAGACCTCTAGCGCTCTCTTCCACCAGCAATAGTCTCAGTTTGGCCGTCTTGGGCTTCTTGTCCTGAACAAGCATGATCGAGCCAAGGAATTCACCGTCTTTTTCGGCAATCCAGCAGCGTTCGAGGGCTGGGTTGAAGTTGTCGAGAAAGTCGGCTGTGATTCTTGAGATGAGGGATTCGAAGCGGTAGTCGAAGTTGTATTCTTTTGCGTAGATTGCTCCATGGCGGTGAGTGATGTAGTCCATGTCACCAGGTTGGTGAGTTCGCAGAGTGAAAGACTTGGTAGGTTTATCGTAGGTCATTTTGAGAGTGATTGATGTGTAATAATATCCCATTGCTACTTCCCTATATTACCTTGTTGCTTTTATACATCTCGAAAGCCATCGTGATGTTCTGCTGTTTTCCAAAAGTGGATACAGTCAATGTCAATGGTAGGGCGGGGTTTATCGATGTCACTCAAAGGCGCGACCTTTTCAGCTTTAGTTTGCCAAGGCTGTCATCAAATGCCAATCAAGTCAAAGACACTGCCTTTGATGGGACTACACTACGTTAGAGAATGATCTAGAAGAGTGAAGGTGGAATTCACAATAAACGATCTATAATTAACTCTCTAGACACTGTTGAGTGGTGTATCAAATGCACTGGGCCTCAAGTAGTCTAAGTCTACTGCTGTCTACTACTATTTGCATACAAAAATGATTAACACAATAAAAGAATGAAATGGGTGTGAACCTCCAACTACCAGCATTGATGCCCAAGGTTCTGCGCCTCACACATCTTCTTATACATGTCGCTCTTAGCTAACAACTCATCGTATGTTCCCGTCACCAGTCTTGCCATTGTGAAAAACACAGATCATGTCAGCGTGACGAACAGTCGACAATCGATGAGCAACAGCAATCGTAAAAATGTCGCCCGTCTTGGCGTCTTCATTCAGCGCGTCCTGGACTACTCGCTCGAACTGGGTGTCTAAAGCACTAGTTGCCTGGTCGAGGAGAAGTAGACGTGGTTTCGGATGAGGGCCATGGCAATTGCGATGCGCTATCGTTGGTCGCCGGAAAGTTGAATACCGTCGGCTGCAAATGAAATCCCAGGCAGTGGCGGAGCGTCAGGCTTGGATGATGTCGTCTTCGGATACTGACGAGGTGTCTTCGTTGGGGACACCCATGGCGATGTTCTCACGAATAATACCGGAATGGAGCTTGGGCTCGTGCTGAACGAGAGCAACTTCCTCACGGAATGCCCAAACGTTCATCTCATAGAGGATTTTGCCATCCAAAATATGATGACCACGCACTGGATATTTGAAACGCTCCATTTTGGCAGCCACGGTATTCTTTGCCAAAGCCAGAGACAAAAGCAACAGACTGACCTAACTTCACCATAGGATTGATGGCATGTAGAACCTGACCGTCAAGCCTCAATGGATGGGAAGAGTGAACCTTGTTCACGTTCAGAGGCTGGAATTCTCTAGGGCAATTACCACGATTCTCATCCGTCTCCCAGGTGAAAGGGCTCAGCTAGTTCAATTGGAAGAGATAGTGAGCAGCATAAGTCACCCTCGGGATAGTGCTAAACTCCGATCTCCTCCACATTACTAAGCAATAACCTCCGCTATCGGCACATCATTAAGGTACAAATCCCGCAGCTTCCGAGAGATAGAAACCCGATCTCATTGATCTTTTCACCTACCAATACTACTTAATTATGTCAAGTGTAAGGAGGCTTCCCACTGGCACTGATTATATACTTACCCACCATGCCACGTCCTACGACTATATTTCGCCTTTGAAACTGAACCTAGTCGGCAAGCATGTCCTTATTACTGGAGTAGCATGGGAGGATGGAGTTGGTTTTGCCACTGCTACAGCCTTTGCACGAGCGGGAGCATCTTTTATAGCATGCCTTGATTTGCACGGCATAGCTGATCAGCTCGTTCACAAATTGAAGTCAGCCGCAAAGCAAGCCAACCGCCCAGAGCCCGTGGTGCTCTGCTACAAGGTTGACATTTCAAGTCAGGATAGCGTCAAGGAAATGTATGACTCAGTAACAGAAGAGTTCAGCGGGCGATTGGATATTCTTGTCAACAATGCTGCGCACATGGAACCATACAAACCATTCCTCGACTCAGACCCGGAAGTATACTGGCGAACATGGGAAGTTAACATTCGGGGACTATTCAACATGGCGCGTATGTTCCTCCCAATGCAATTATCAAGCTATGCCAAGTCTGGTGGCTCATGCATTATGATCAACGTATCGTCTTCAGGCGCGTTGAGTGTTCGTCCCGGCAGCGGCAGCTATCGAAGTTCAAAGCTTGCAGTACTACGATGGACCGAGTCGCTGCAAGTTGAGTATGCAGAACAAGGACTTTTGGCTTTCTGTGTGAATCCGGGCGCGATCAAAACAAAGATTACCGAAGGAGCACCCGAAGCGGTTAGGAACGCACTTCCTCATCAGCCTGATATAGCTGGTGATACAATCGCATGGTTGGCTTCTGAACGCAGAGAGTGGCTTGGAGGGCGGTATGTAAGCTGTCCATGGGATATGGAGGAACTTATCGCTAAGAAAGACGAGATTGTAGAGCAGGACAAACTCAAGTTGAGGATGGTCATGTGAGCTTCTCGATATTCATCATAGACATAGCTGAGCTTCTAAGCAGTGTACCTTTATTTATAAACAGTGTGTGGCTTTACGCATAGGACAATGAGGTGTTGATCAAATTAGGCCAACGGTGCATTTCTCGCCTGAGAGAGCTGGCGAAACCTTTGGGGTGTTGATGCCCCAGATCTGGATAAACAACTCTGACTTTAACGATAATGTAATTGGGAGTTACGGGTAAGAGAACTGAACTAAGCTATGTAATGTCTCTGTAAGGTACAATTCTCAAAAAAAAAGTTCAAATACTTTGTGGTAGGTAGTTGTAAAATCGAAAGAAAGTGGACCTTGGATAGCTAAAATAACATAGAGGGAATGTTGGGTATTACGGAATGCAGACAAGCGGAAAGTCATACTACTGAAACTGAATTGTTCCTCTGCAAGTCTCCGGCTATTCATTCTTTCACTTGAATATGTACTACAGCTATTTAGAATTTGTGCTGGGAACTTCTGTTAGTCAAAGGTATCTAGTAGTTTGACCTGCGTTTAAGAAAATCACTTCTTTGCATAGATACTTAAAAGGAATAAAACTCGTTTCCCGAGGTAATAAGAATATCAGCAGCTTAGAGAATTACTAAAATAATAAAATCTATTTCAGTAGCCTATTTCAATTACATTTTAGCAACAGCAAAAACATCTCCCTTTAACCTTGTTTATTTCTTTTTTCAACCGGGTATGACTTACCCTACGGCTATACGAGATATCTTATCGCACGTGATTGAATATGACTCGCGTAGTCGGAACTGGCCGACGCCAAGCCCTATCCCTGACATCGCGACATCGCGTTATTACTCAACACTAGCAAAGGTTCCCCATATCTCCCTTCGGTAGTTGCAACTTGGTGATAATGCTTGTTGAACTCACAAGGGGAATAACCAGGGTTAACGCACCAATCACGTCTGAACAATAACAAGTTGCCCGCGTGACTCCAGCTTTCTCGTACGGCGCACACTGCCAGGAACAGAAGGTACAGGGGTACGCTGTTTTACACTAGAGTACAAACAGCGTAGGCTCGGGTAGAAAAGTACACAATACGGCAGGTCAACAGGCTTCATGATGGAGCTGTTCAATCTAGCTCCTATTACGGGGAGATAAGGACTATGCTTTATGCCATGATGGGATGAACCTTTGATCTGAGTCAACGGAGATATCGCATATGCGGAAACGATCGCCAAGAGACAGCGGAATAGACGATTGCGCTTCATTGTAGATATCAGCATAAATATGAGGTGTAGACTCACATTGTAATCCATATTCTCATCATCTCATCTTCAATCGCAATCATGGTTTCCAAGCTCGCCCTCGCTCTCTTCTTTGGCAACGCCCTCGCTGGCCTCACTGGCCGAGCCCTTCCTCCTCGCTGTGCCATCGCCGATCCCACAGCCGAGCAAGTCCAGCATGCCCAGAACCTGAAGAAGATCGAGTCAGTTTCCAAAGTCGCTGCTGCTTCTATCACAGTCGACACCTACTTCCACGTTGTCTCTTCCTCTTCCTCAAAGTACATCTCCAAGGCCAAGCTTCAAGCCCAACTCAAGGCTCTGAACGATGCTTATGGACCTTCGGATGTCCAGTTCAGACTCGTCGACACAACCTTCACCACCAACGCCAACTGGGCTTCTGGTAGTGGTGAAGTTGCCATGAAGCGTCAGCTTCGCCAGGGTGATTACAAGACTCTCAACTTGTACTTCACCGACGTTGCCAAGCTTGACGGCATGGAGGCTCTTGGATACTGCTTCTTCCCTGAGCCTAACGTCTCTACCGGATCCTCCACTTTTATCCGCGACGGTTGCGTCATCGTCGCTGAGACCGTTCCCGGTGGTACTGCCGCTCCTTACAATCTGGGAGGAACTGCCGTCCACGAAGTTGGTCACTGGTTCAACCTTTTCCACACTTTCCAGGATGGTTGCAATGGTGGAGATCTTGTTGCCGATACCCCTGCTCAGGCTAGACAGACGAGTGGATGCCCTGCTAGGATGGACACTTGCCCTAACCAGCCTGGTGATGACCCTATCCACAACTACATGGATTATTCTGATGAGTAAGTTTTCCTGAGAATGTTGATGAATCTGATACTAACTTTGGTAGTGTTTGTTACGAGGAGTTTACTCCTGGCCAGAAGACTCGTATGCACTCTGCCTGGAACACTTACCGAAAGTAAATGTGTATTTACTCTGAGAAGTAGGATGTAGATGCATTTCTTGTATATAGTACTGGGTTGGAGCGTTTTTTTTTGTTGTTTGATCAAGCGAGGAGCGAATGAATGATGAAGTAGGATGAATAGAAGAAAGATGATCAATTGAATACTTCATGTGTCTAACTACTTGACACTAATGGTACTTTCCACAGGATTAATCTGCCATTGAATTTCTGTAGCCTCTGTATCTATGTCCTCCTTGGACATGATTTTACGATGAAAGATGCTCATGCCAAAACTGTTGCCGAACTTGGCTTGTAACAGAGGAGGACAACAGCAACAAGCCATACGTCTGTAACGGCGCACCCTCTATAATTGGCCCAAAGCTAAAAAGAGCTTTGGTGGCATCTTCCACAAAACTAACTAGCTTAGGTGTACTATTCCGTGAGTCCTATAGCAGTTAGAACAGGCAAAGGCCGTATGGGACGTGAACAAACCTTAACTAGAACAGCCAAATCTTGAAGTGCTTTCAGACCAACAGACACCAGCTTCAGAAGTGACAATGCTTCGAACCAATGAAGCAGATGTTGAAGGAGAAAATCGTAAATTCCATCACCATTTTCGAGCCGGCGCCGACTAGCCTGTAAGTGATAGACCCAATAAAGACAGGAGTACCGAAGTTCAGGTGGAATGCAGCGACTCAGTGTTCTGGAATCGACCTCGTCAGAACTTGCATTGAGTTTATGAAGCCCGCAGAGGTCTTGTCTCAGTCTTCTAGACATAAAGTGAATGCATTGGGTAGCTAATACAGCATGCGTTTCTGAAGCGTTCAAATGCAACGGGGAATCGTCAGGGTTGACGTTGCGGAAAAGGAAGTCGGCAAAGGACTTATGGAGCAATCGCAAAGGTAAGTGAGGATCGGAAGGGATGTCTAATACGGGATGCAGAATTGGAAGCCACCAGGTGACTTCGCTTGTCCCCAGGTCGAAGAGAGACGTGAGAGAGGCAAGGGAAAGTGGCAAGGTAGTTAGCGCAAGTGCTCCGAGGAACTCTAGCTGCCGATTGAAGTCTGTGTCTTTTCCAAGGACGAATATCTGTTCCAAGATTAGGTTATACATCTGATGCAGCTGTGACTTATTATTTTCGCACTGCTTAATCCAGATCTTCAGTTGTTTCTTGGGGCTCTGCAATGACTTCTCATCGTGTACGAAGCGTAGGAGAGTTGCAGCATAAATAAAGAGAGGTTCCGGATATGTACAGAGTTCGACAAGGTAATTGATCTCAGCCACGGTGGGCCAAGGGTTTTGCTGGATTCTTGCTTGGGTTTTGATCCGCATCAAGTTTGTCTCCAGGTACAACCGTATGTCTTCCTTAGTGTCTTCAAGGAATATGCTATGCAGCGGGAGCTCTCGGGCTAGCCCATCGTGTATGAAAGGTTCAAAGGTATGGACAACTATAGGGTCTGGCCTGCTGGTAAAGACCACGCGTAACCCGGAAGGCATGGTGGAGACATTACAGATCTCCAAAAGAAAGCCTAGAATCCGTTGAAGGTTTTCAGGGCGCTCACACTCGTCCAAAGCGTCGAGAATTATGATCCTTTGGGCTGTGTCTGATTCCATCGGGGGCAGATTCTCTAGCGGGTCCTTGATGAGCTTTTCAAACTGGAACCTCAAGTCCTTCTCGTTTATCAGGTCTTTATCGATATCCTCAAGTGATGCCCGAAGCGAGATATGGAAAGACGGGATGGTCTCTGCTAACTGCATAGCCAGAGTGGAGAATAACCGATTGGTGCCATTGCGCCCCTGTTCGCCGCTTTTGAAGAAATAGCCAGCACCTAGCCGTTTATCCTGATGGAATGAATCGGCTACAGAACGGACAAGAGTCGACTTTCCAGCCCCCGAAGGACCAGTGATCCAAAGGAAAGGCTCGCCGTCAGCTGCATCTGCCCAATCCTTGATTGTCTGCTGAATACGGACTCGAGTGCTCTTCTCACATCTTGGGCTACTTCTAACATCGTCACTGTCGTACCGTGCTTCCTGAACAATTACGAGATCCGTGACTCGGTCTGCCGATGTGTGGCTCCATATTTGTTAGTTCAATATTCATGACAAACATGGGCTACGTACCTTGTCCGTTCATGGTCAACGAGTGGTTCAGACAATAACTCATTGCTATGTTGCGAGACATCGATGTCTCCACTTGCGACTGAAATCGAGGAATGGAAATTAGCTTACCGAGACACGCCAGATTTAATCACATTCAAGAGGAAAGAGACTTACTGGATACTGCCTGTGATTTAGGATTCTTTTGTAGAACTTGGAGTGGCGGGATGACTGAGAGAAGCTCCTTCGCATACGCCGCCGCGGTTGCGGCGGCATAGGGTTGCCACATCTTGTTCTTGTGAGAATCTGCATAGTCACAGATGCCTCGAATAACAAGGGAAGGAAAGTCTCGTAAGCCCGCTGCCTCCATGTCGAAACATATTGCCCCCAATTCTTGCCCAAGCTGGTCACGCACTGTTGCATCTTTGGTAATTTGATTCCCCGAAGCAATAGTCCCGTAATGGACAACCGGACCAACCCCATCTCGATCTTCTCGCTTCACCCTTTGAGTATCATCGCATTCCTCACAGGTTTGGGCATCCTTGATATGAGGATACTCGGCCAGGTATAAATGATCATTCGACACACCGGGATGACTAAACCGTTTCTTCATCTCCTCAGGAAGGCTGGCTAGGAACTCTGTAACCCGACTGGCCTGAGTTATATGGTCAGCCTCAAGAGGAGCCAGAGCTGCCAATAGTATTTGAGGCGGAGCATGAAGCATTCCAGTCCGTTCAAAGTCCTGTCGTTGAAGATTCTTTCCAAGGTCGTACTGAATGACACCTCCATTGGTATCTGTAGGCTTTCCAACGACAATGTCGCCGAGTCGAATATCGTGATCTTTAGAAGGTATGCCGCCACCAATACCTACCATCAGACCAAAGCGGATCGACCTGAAGCTGCGTAGCATCTGCTTTGCAACTGTGGCAGCAGGTGTAATTCCATAGAAACTTGCTGGGAGGCAAGCAATTGCAACATTATGGCCACAGACCTCGCCCAAGAGGTATGTGTTGTGGTCGTCTGGATCCTGCGCTGTAGGAGGCGGGTGCACCTTGTCCAGCATGCCTTCGGCCGCAGCCATCTCTAAAGGGAGCGCACATACCCAACCCACAGCGTACTTATCACTGGTGATAAAGTGGCCTTGTCCTGAATCTGTTAGCTGAAACGATATCTAAGAACTCCAGACACAAATCATACCAGAGTCTGACGAGAGATGCCTAGAGCTACTATGAGAGCGATATGCCAAAGCGTTACTGGAACAACCAGGGTCCTCAAAAGATGGACGAGGTAGCGCAAATAAAGCCATCTGTTCCATATGTCTGCCTAGATGCGACTTGAGCTTTTGACTGTGCTTCTTGCAAAGGCAGCAGTCCCCTTCAACCATGGAGCTGGGCTGGCGAAATACGTCCATAGATCGATTTAGTTTAGCCTCTGCTAGTTGATGGACCGAAGTCATGTGCATTAAAAAGTTCTCTTCTGTTCCAAAAGAAAGATACGTACGGTCATCATTGTACGGAGATGGGCATGTATTGCAGCTCCACCTGGCTCTGTGCAAGTCCAACTCATGGTTGAACCATTGCTGTCTGCTCTCGAACATGTGATCAAACATGTCACAATCCGGGAACGTACATACGTATGGCTGGAGATCTCGGAGAACGTGTGATCTGGATATTATTAGCACGATGTCTATTGAGCACTCCAAATACCGTACTCCCAAGCCCGTGAGGGTTCGATCGGTATGTGTTCGGCTAATCCACAGTATGGGCACTCGAATTGTATCAGTGGCTGTCCATCCTCATTCAAAGGCCGCGGCGGAAACTTGAGCTTCTGGCTCTCTGTGTATTCTGATGCGCTCGACATTCTCGATTCAGTGACAGATGGTGGGTATAGGCCTCCAAGACTTGTGATGACAGCATGGGCTGGCTGAACTGTTGCCTTCGTGAGATGGTTCCAAGATTGGTCTCGACTGGTTGTATCCAAGACCGTTGATTTCGCATTTTGAGGTGCGATACTGGGAGCTGAACCACTCTTGGAACCTTCTGGGATGCCCGGATGTTGTACCCCAGCTTCTGTATAATGTTGTACAGGTGGTCGTAGTCGTTCTGTGTGAGTCACCCGGTATTCAAGGAGTTGTCGTCGGCGCGAGATCAAGTTTCCAAGTCGGTGGACAAGAAAGTCATCTGCAAGCGGAAACTTATCTCTAACGTAAAGAACATCGAAGTGCTGATAGAGCGACATGTCGCGGCCTCTGGACGCTTTGACTCGATCGATTGGTGCCGGCTTGCGCAGAGGGAGTTTGTATAGGCACTCTATGATTAATTTGATAGACTTCAATACTTGACCCATTTCCGTTGGGGCTGCCTCGATGGAATCATCTCTAATATCTAGTGATTGCTTAGAGCTGACTATACCAGGTTCTCCCTCGCAGCCTGAGCCACTGCTATCATCAGATATATCCCACGGAGAATCATCTTCTGAGGTTTCACTTTGGTCAGGATCGGCAGCTCCAGGAAATTGCAAAAAAGGTTCAGCTTCTTCGAAAGGCTTTTTTGTACCATCTAAGAGGGTTTGTGCTGTATCAAACATGATCAGTACATTTAAATAGTAGACTAGGTCGCCATCTGATATACTAAGAGTATGCCCTACCTTTCTTGACCTTTGTTCGTCAATTAGTTAAAGTTTGATTCAGTGAAACTAGAAGACAGAAGCTACTACTTACAGTTCTCGATAGTGTATCAATAAGCCGAGCAACCTACTTATACTTAGAGATATGAGCCGCCAATTTTACCTGTAGAGACATACTTGGCTTTTCAGAAAGGCAGCATCTTGTAGTCGAAAGTCAAGAGAAAGCTGCCAGTGCTCTCCCGAGTTACCAGCACCCACATTGGCAGCCCATACTTTATATCTGTCAAAGTCTTCCTGGAAATCATGGAGTAATTCCTGGTCCTGACGAACTGTCGGAGTAAGAGAATTTGGTGTAGTAATGAGGTGACGAAAAGACGCTAGACATTCCCTGTGATAGTCAGATAGATTCCAAGAAGCCTTTGAATCCATATTCGCAGTACAATCTATAAGTAGAAAGTGTCCAGTCGTTTGTGACAGAAGTAACGTCCTAGAGAATGTAATATGATTACCCCGCCTTCATGTAATGATGCCCAACCCGCTATATCCAATTACATTCATTGAATCACGTGTCATGTATCACCTGAAACCATGCGGCTGACTTCTGATTGATTTAATTTAATCCTGTTGCATCATCCTTGAGGAACCACTATTTCCTTTCGACCAGAATGTCAGGCTTTGAGATTGTGGGTGTTGTTCTGGGGTCCATTCCCCTCCTCATCTCGGGGCTTGAACACTACCGAGATGGTGTAGAAACCATTGCGAGCATGGTTCAGTACGTCGAGGTTATGAAAGATATTCTGGTGTCAGTCTCGACAACACTCTCTATTTACCGCCAGTCGTGCGAAGTTCTATTACAGGGACTCTTTCTTCCTGAAAACACCCTTGATGAACTCCTGAATGACCCAAGCTCCACTGCATGGGCAGACGAAGGGCTTGCTAAACAGCTCAGAAAGCAGTTTGGGCCACATGAGGAGTATCAAGTCTATAGGAAGGCCGTGGTGAGGCTGAACAAGCGGATCGAAAAGTTGAAAAGCAAGTTAGACCTGGATGAAGACTTCAAGGTAAGTCCCACTGTCTGTAACGACTGTTACGACATGTCTGACAACCTTACCTAACTAGCCTACCTGGGTCAAAGATAATACAGTTGATGCTAATCTGCTCGATAAATTCTTCAACACTGGGCGCGAACTCCGTCGCAGGATGAAAATTGGTTTCAACGGCGACAAATATATGGAACTGGCCGGTGCTATCGAGAGTGATGTGAGTCGCATCAGTACGCTAATTGGAGGCGCACGAACTCTGGAACCCATGCGAGCAGATCGAGACTCCAAGGCAGCAGCAAAGCATTGGTTAAGAGTTGGGAAGTATGCTCAAAGGCTGTTTATGTCCTTGAGCTCATGTTGGTCCAAGGTTTGTTCATGTGACATTACGCATGTCGCCAATCTTCCACTAGATGTCGTAGAGATGTCCACTGTACGGAAATGCTTGATGGTCGACCCTAGGTTCGAGATACTACTAAGTGTTGAGCTAAGTGGAACTTCGACTTCTGCTGTTCCATGGCAATGGAAACTGTTGGAGATTGAGCCAAAGATGGCCCCTACACCGTAAGTCTACTTGAATCGTGTAGATTCTATTTCTTCAGACACTCGCATGATCGAATTGACGAGCGCTGACAAAACACCAAATAGGCCTTTGGTAGTCACAAAACCAGACCCTGCAGCTCTGCCAAGTATATCCGTTCGTCAAAAGTCGAAGATGCCTATCATCAGCGTACAGCCACCTCGAAACACGATGCACATACCTCAAACCTCAACAAAGCTAGCTACGACCCCAATCATAGACCTTTGTGACACTTTGGCACAAGCCGCAGATTCATACACGTGTCTAGGTTTCATCCCTGATGATACCTGGGAGCACTTCTTGCATCTTGTTAATCCTCGAGAGGAGTTAAAGGGCAGGGATGGATTCAGTTCATTGGAAGATATCCTGTGCAACTCGGACCCAATGGGAACAAAGACAAAGTCAGTATCAGGGAGCCTTAACTGTATACTAAAAGTATCATTCTGACAAGCCTATTCCATTCAGGTTCAGGATTGCTGCCTCATTGGCTTCAGCTGTCTTGCAGTTTCATGCCACGGCTTGGCTAAACGATACATGGGACTCGACAGAGATATACTTCTTGAAACGTTGTGATAGAACCATTCAAACAGATCGCCCTTACATTTCCAAGCGCTTCACTCAGGAAGACCCTAAAACATCCCCCGCACGGCGTCGAGACCCATCCGTCTCCAACGAGATCACCTTCTCGCTTGGCGTTGCACTAATCGAACTATCATTTTGCAAACGTTTACTCGACTTTCAAGAGCCCGGCGACTTGGATGAACATGGAAACGTGGACGTCTTGACAAAACTTGAGATTGCTAAGCGGCTAGTGGGAAAGCTTGAAAGTCGAGATGGGGGCAAATATGCAGATGTTGTGGATCGATGTATCCGATGCAGATTCGATACTAGATCAACAAGCCTGGATGATCCGGCTTTCTTGTCTCTCTTCTATCAGGGGGTTATCAAACCACTGGAAGAAATTTACAACAGTATCTAGCAATGGGATCAAGATAAACGGATTTACCATACTTCTTTAGCACTACGATCATACCTTGGAGACGGTGATAGTTCATTCGGCTTATAAGATATGCTGTGTGATTACTTGACATGAGTCACGTAGACGGAGATTAAATCTTAACAAGTAATAAATAAATCGCTAACCTCAATCATTCTATAGTACATCTAGTAACACATAACTCTATGCAGCAGCATTGTCTCCACAAGAAAAGACACCACGAACACCAGAAGAAGAGTTGAAAATGTCAAGAAGCTCAGTGATAGAAGCCCACAGACCAGCTGCGTTCATAAAGAGGGACAGAGCAATGAGACCGGCGTTGGCGATGGTCAGGCTGATCTTCTTCCAGTCACGGAAGTACATACCCTGGTTCATGTGGAACCAAAAGACAGCACTGAAACCGTAGGTAAACCAAGAGATTGTAGTAGCGGAAGTGATGGAAAGGATAGAGTCAAAAACAGGGATGGCGTTGGACAGGATGAAAACAACAATCCAGAAACCAGTAACGGAGGCAATCCAGGTACCCCATGACTTGACGGAGCTGGCAGTGACTTCATGGAGGTTGCCTGTCCAGCGCATGACGTTGACAAAGATGTACTTGGAGCCAATGTGACCGTAGGCGAGACCAGTAGCGAAAATAGCAGGGATGGCGACACCATAGGCAGCCTTGGAGAAGATGGGGGCGGTAGATCCCAAGATTGGCGAAGTGGTGTGTTCGGCTCCGAGGCAGTAGAAGATGACTGCGAAGACGACATACAGGGTCATGGAACCACACTCAAGGACAGTAAGACAGAACTTGAAGTCTTCCATAGGGTTGGCCATCTCAGCAAGGTATCCCTGGTGGTGTTAGTTATATTCATGCAAACGCGTATTGGTTAACTTACAACAAAGCTTAGGTTGGCAGCAAAAGCAAAGACAATCTTCAAGCAGGCGTTAAGACCATCACGGAAAGTGGGGTTTCCAACAATGTTGATTTCTCGGCTCCACTCAGACATCTTGTCAACACCTCGAGGACCATCAACGCCAAGAACGACCATGACGATAAGACAAGCGGCCAAAACACTGACAGCGTTGGGGATTCCAAGGTTTGAGACAAATTTGGTCGTGCGGGGGATACAGAAGAGGTAGCATGCAGCGCATGAGATAAAGATGAAGACGACAGTGCAGGTAGCGTGACCAGAGATGGTGTTGAGGGCGATAGACATGGTAACCATAGCAGAAGCAGCAACAAAGATGACCTGAATCATCATCATGGCACCAGCAATACTCTCTAGAGTTCGTCCACCGACAAAACGCGTCATATCAACGATATTCAGCACCTGAGGATGAAGTCTGTAGTACTGCAGAAGCTCGTAGGCGGTATACCAAGACATTCCGCCGATGCCGAGAATGGCTATGATGCCAGGGACCAAGCCAAGGGTCTTGAGAGTCGAGGGGAGCGATAGGATACCGAGGCCGACCTGGTTGGCGACGAGGATAAAGATGGTGTCCCATCGTGTAAGGGTTCGAAAGTTCTTGCCGCCTTGGGAGTAGATGTTTGAGTTGTCAGCCGACTCGTTGACGGTCTGGAAATCGTGGCCGTCGTGGGAGCTGGAGTCGTGCTCGTGCTTGTCAGAGATGATGCCATCTTGGGCAGGTTTTTCTGCGATTTTGCTCATTTTGCCAAGTTCTTTATATGGTAGGGCTAAGAGGAGAAAGAAGGGATAAATGTCACCAGGACTTGAGATTGAGATGTGAATGAGAGACGAGCTGGAGATAGACGAGAAAAGATTAAACTGGAAAAAAAGCAAACTTTATAACCGTCCGCCTCGTTTCTAAATAGCGCAGTCTATGGTCTGACAGATAAGGGGCTGGGATCACCGGGACGTCATGGTAAATGCCCAGAAACTGCTAACAAAGTGTAATATCGCTCGCCTCAGAAATCCCCAGAGTCCAAGGGGCGAATACCCACAGAACACTGCCCCCATGGGGGACATTCCAAAACAGGGTATTAATTGCAGTCGGTCCCGTTCGGTGAGATATATGTGGATTACTGCCGGGCCAGTCGGATACTGAGCGAGTGTTCCTTGGCTTTTTGATGCTTCGAAATTTGGCCGAAGAGAGGATTTCGTCTGTGCTTTTCGGGCATGCCGGGGTTTTGACGTCAGGGATGGAGGGATGTCACTCTGACAGAATCTTGAGCCTCATTTAACCGCCACTTAAAGACAACGACAACCCAAGGTATCAGCATACTAAAAAAGTCCATATCAATCTCAGTAACTCATCATCTTTTCTTTTCTGAATATCTATTGATCTCGTCAATCTCTCAACAATTAATCTCGTCAAAAACGTCCTTGCTTTATTATTACGGGCTCGAGCATTACTATGACTAACAAAACTCCATTCTCGTCTTGGCATACCCGCAATAGGCCCACGCTCAGGTCCCTGATTCCCCAATTATCGCGAGACAAATAGTCAGAGAAATTGCAGCATCAGATTTCAAGTCTGGAGACGATAGTTTTCATTAGTGATGAGAACCATACTTTTTACGAGCCCCCATGGGGAAGAGGGACTTTCCCCAGAGTTGTGCTTTTTTTGAAGCTGGGGAGAACGTTTACGTGATTGATGGTGTTTCTGCAGGTAATTTCTCAACGACGATCGCTGAAATATCAGATGATGAGATTGATTATCTGATTTGCTTGTACGGGTAAGCTCGGGTGATCAGCATATATGCACAACTTCGTCATAAATTATCCTTTAAATCGTTCTAGAAAAACGGGATTTTATGCTGACAACACCCGTCCTTCCGTCGCATTTTCTTATCTGGGTTAGTCTAGCCGCGCTTGCTTGCGTGGTACATTTGCCCGCGGCAAAGATCTGCACGACATGAAAGTACACGAGTAAGGTGCTCCGAGACACGACCACTAACCATGCTCATTAAAACGATCAACAACGGGCATTTCCTTGTTATGTCTCAACGGGTATCCGCGATTGGTTATGCATCCACTAAAAGGGGGTTATGCACGTCCCGATCTCAGGTCCCGACCTTGTGCGCGATTTTTTATTCTAGAATATTTCGATAACGCTCTTGTTTCACTTTGTTGCTTGTCTTACCAACAGACCACTCGGATCGTCTATATGTTTGACCAACTCGGTTCTTCTACGGGATCACCGGTCAATTGTCTCGGTCAACGTGTGTCGACCGGTGTCGGGAATGAGCCGGGTGATCCTTGTACGGAGCGGCTTGGTCCGTTTTATTCTGGATATGTTTGCCGCGTTTGCATCTTTGGGTAGGCTGATCTGAGGATCATTGGGGAAATGAGGGGATGTTCGCACGATCACAGAGTGGTCAAACGGTTAATGTCGGATCATTGGAATGCTTGGGGAAGCTTGGTATTGGTAATGGTATTGATGCCCAGTCTTGGCCTTGGGGTAACTCGTGGTTGTCCTGATAAGGCGTGGGTGATATGTCAATGCTTTGATAGTCCAGACCATTCTAAGCATGATGAAGGAGTAAGCTCGTACGTGAGATATATAACGTGTCGTGATAACTTCCTAAATCGGCACTTCGTTAAGCTTGGACGCCACACCTTAAACTTGTAAGGCGACGCGTCATGGTAGGTTAGTGTGACGCGCTAAGTGAAGAGCTTGCCAAGACGCGACGTTTGTGTAGGGTAGTTTCAGCACTTCTATCCTGCGTCAATTTTGACATCTGCTGTGTCAAAGCAGGGTGATATTATTGCTGCACCAATTAGTAACAGTGTTATAGGAGTAATTGGGGATCTCGTTATAGTTAAGCTGTAGTGATTGCATTCAGGAAGGGGAACGTCAGTAAATATAGCAACATGATACGACAACTTTTACAATGTACACTTTCATTTTGAAACTTTCAATCACTACCCCGATGCTTACCCTTTCAACAAGCTGGCCCCATGGCGTTGGTATTAAAAGTATCTTCCCTTTGCATGTTACAAATTTGGCTCAGTCGAGCGTCAATTCTCTCCATCATTGTCAGATCACATCAGATGAGCCTAGGTATTGCATTTCAACATCTATTAATGGTATATCTGAGAAATATTTCCAATGCCCTAGTAAACAAATAGCCTGACTACTCTATGCGGAAGATGTCAGCCCTGCTGAATAAACACGCTCAGTTTACCGATGATACCCTGCCAACACCTTCCCAGACCTTGACTTGCACATCGCCGGTATTGACAATCTTTTCATAGATAGTGGGAACCTCGTACTGCCCGACTGTGTCTCGGATCCCTCCTTCATATGGTTCTAGAACAGTGAATTCTCTGGTCTTCATCAAATCGCATTGACGATATAGCGGCATCAGATCTTTCCAACCGTTCCAACCAAGGTCGAAATTCTTTTCCTTCGCGCGCTTCTCCTGGTCCTCGCGGTAGAAAGGGTTTGTGGAGTAGGAAGCAACTTCCCACAAGTCCGTGCTGGGTTCTGGATCAGCAGCAGCGTAGACATGATCGTAATCGCATACAATGGCGGCAGCCGCTGTTTGCATCGTGATCTCTGGACATTTTTCTAATAAAAAGAGAAGGAATTGAGCATCTGGTCGTAGAGGCCACCAAATGATATACGGCTTTGGATCTCCAGCCGGCCAGCGTTTCTCAAAATAAGCATAATCGTTGACCATGATACGACGTGCTATAATAGGTTCCTGGATCCAGGTTATATGCGGGACAGCCTTTGCATACACAGTATCCTCCTTGACCTGGTCTGCCCACCAGCGTGCGAACATGGAGTGGTGAAGGATTCCACGTTCAACACATTCGAGATCGAGTTGAGACAGCGTCCTTCCACCACCAGCTAGTCGTGCAAAACGTTCAATGTTGCCGTCGTAAGCGGCCATCTGTAGTAACAACGTTTTCTTGACAGTGGGAAGATCTTGAGGAAGAGGCTGCCAGAGCAATTTCGCCTCTTCATTGCTGAGCGTGCCATGCTCTTCATCCACCTCTTGCTTCTCGATATCAAGGTGCATGTCTTCCTTAATGCATGGAAGGAGATCCTGCAGTTCATCCCTTGACAGTTTCTGTCGAGCCTTCAGGCGCCATCGTACTTCAGTATCGCCGTTCAAATACGCCGGATATTCGTAATCATCCTCGTACGTCTCAACTTCGCGTTTGCAGTCATTCATAATAGCGTAACGCGACTTGCAACCCATGATCTCATCATAAATCAGCTTACCTATTCGAGTTTTTCAAAGATCAGCTACCAAGTCGTACAGTTCAAGTCAACATAATCATAAATCAGCTTACCACCCTCTGTATGGCTTTCCCGAGCTTCTTCGGCAATTGATACCTCCGGAAGAAGATCCAACTCTTTGTATAGGTCGTAGTAACCTGCAGTAGCACAGGCACGACCGACCTGATAGCGCATACTGGGAAACTTTAGAGCCAAAGCACGATAGGTCTCCTCGGTGGCCAGATCGGGATGCCATATGCAATACGGCTGTTCGTCCTCCTCCATCTGGTTCGGGACTTGGTTACTCATGATGAGACGGGCATTACAAGCCCTAGCGACAGCAGGTAACATAAGACTGTGACGAACGACAGTTTCACTTGTCGCAAAGTCATGGTGAAGACGAATTCCTCGAATGAGTGCGCTTAAAGAAACATGGTCATCTAAAAGACGTGGAACAGCCTCGCCACGAATAGCTCTTCGCTGATCTTCGTGGAGGTATTGATGATTCGTAAGTGTCATTTGATGTTTGTCAGTAATGACGTCGTGGGAACTGGGAGGGTGAATACAACAGCGTTAGGAAACGACATCAAGGATCTAATAAGTGAGATATTTTAATTTACTGCTTAAGTAATGTTCTACCCCAATGACTCACCATTTTCAATCTCCTATCAGCGCTTCGCCAAGACGTTAAAAAAAAAGTCTCAATGATGGAACCAACAGGGCGACAAGGATGTCGAAGAATCACCCCATATCAGGCATGCAATAATCTCGGTTACTGCTCGACATCGGACCAACACAACGTCGTACTGGTCGTGTTACGGCTCGTCTGGAACGGAAAGCGAGTCAGGAAATCTTTTTGTGATGAATGGGCCTCGGAACGAGAAAGAACGTTTTGCTGCCCAAAGACTGACGTGTTCGTGATGGTGTTCAATGGTCGGTGGGCTGACTAGACGCTCATGGTCTACGTTATAATAGTTACCATTCCTGATACAATTTGTCTAACAAGTGTGCTTCTAATCTTTGAGGCCACATCATCTGCTTCTATTCATTCATTTGTCCTTCACTTATTGCCATCTCGTTCCCTTTTAAGTCTTCATCTGACTTAGTAACCAATATTTAGAATATAATACTAATTATAGGCAGGTTAACGATCAAGGAACGACAGTACTTCAAGTTATGCGCAGGCGCTGGCATTCAGCTACGACATTGGCGTCAGACTACGCAATGGCTTAGAAGATGGTAAAGGCTACAATTGGTTGGGGAGAGAGTGATTAGAATCCTGATAGAAAAGATTCTAAATTATCTGAAATGTTGTGAGACTCTACTTTGGAATAATCGATAAGACATGCAGAGGGGCCAAAGCATTGTCCCCGTTTGAGAAAGAAACAATTCAACACGATAGTCATATCTCACTGTAGCACAAGAGTCGAAGTTCCCCTACACATTTCCAAACAAAACGGAACATATTCGCTATTCTGTGCTGCGCTGATAACATATCTATTATTTGACAACAAAGTTCATGAGGCTGAGGTACACAAGAGAGTTTTGAGTTCCGCCCGTTCTAAATAAAGCAGCTGGCTTAGCAAAGCCAAACAGCGTTTACCATCTTCAGCTAAATGCACAGGAAAAAGTCAAATAGCCATCTGTATGTAACAGGCAATTAAATTTCCGTTGTGGAAAGGAATCCATCGTGGCATTTCATCAGCCCCACTTCCGTCCGTTGGCGGATGATGTTCTATGTGTGGTTGACCTCCGAACGTAGACGGCGGAAGGCTTGGGGCTGAATTTTTTTTAGCCCCATGGCCATAGCCAGCTTTTATGAAGCGGGTGACGTCTCAATTACTGGAACTATATTTAGTATACCAAGGTTGGGTATATAAGGACCGTCAGCTCAAGTACAACAAGAGCATTCTTCATCAGCAGCATTCACGCAACAGAATCTCACATCAAACTTCCATCTTCTTCTCAACAGACCAGTCAACCGTTAAGATGAAGTTCACCAACATCCTCTTCGCTCTGGTTACTTGTCTCACTGCTGCCAAGGCCGCGCCTATGGACGATGAAGTTGAATGCGATCCAGGAACCTACCAGTGCTCTGGCACCACTGGCTGGGAAGTCTGCAGCACTAGCGGTGTCTGGGTGGTGAGTAAACACAGGAATTATCCGTACTTTCAGTGCAAGTTACTTGAGAATGAATAACTAACAAATTCGTCGACATAGGACGCTGGTGACTGCCCTCCCGGAACCGTCTGCAAGTTTTTCAAGAGGAGCAAGAGCCCTTATTGCGTCCCACCCGGTTTCAAGATCTACTAGAGATAGAAGTTGGCTTTCAAAGTCAAGGGCGATTGGAACTAAGAAGTATCGTAGCACTCTAGGTGCCCCTCACTCGTTTTCTTGAGATTTTCAATGTATCTTTATTTCAAGTTAAAGACTTGTCTTTACTTCTTGATCGTATTCTCTGAGAGTTACAGCAGGGTAATATATTATTTTCCATGAATACTGCGCAGGATAGTTTTAATTAAGCTGCCTTATCTTTACGCAAGAGATATGCTCCACCATGGCCTGCATTAGACTCGTCCGCGGAGTATTAAACTCCGCTATTGCTGGCCCCGTGCTTTTCCAGGACTTCCGATATTCAACAACACCACTATTAGAAACAGACATACACATTCTGTTTCTGTAACTAGCAATTAACACAAGTAACATCTTCAGACGAGAGCAGCCTACTGCATATGGAAGAACACAGAACTAGTCCCGGGCAAGCAGGGTCCGACGATACCGCGCGACGAGCCGTAAGTAGCCAGTGATGTCCACTCCAGTATCACTGCCAGTTCCACAGACATTTAGACTAATCCATACCTCATATGGAAAATAGTGCGATGAATGCCGTCATCGCAAGGTACGCATCCATGACTCCCCATCTACAATCAAATAAGGACTAACGCGATGTATTTGCAATTCGGTTTCGTTGCGATGGAAGCTTGCGTTGCGTCAATTGTCATACAGCTGATCGAGTCTGCATAGCGAATCGCATTGGTTCACCAATTGGTTCGCGTCCAAGACGCAAAGAGTCTCGACAACGTATCTCACTTCATCTCAATAGTAAATATCCCTCCATCTACTGTGCAGATCTAACGATAATCGAACGGCTTCTTCTCAATTATGCTCTCACTTTGTCGCGTGATCAGTGACGTTGCGGCCTTGTATGTGGAGGCCAAGTCGCATCAAGAAGAAGATGCGATGGAGGACATTGAGGGCGAGTTCGATGCTTATTTAAGTCAACTTGGTCTTCTGCCTGTGATTGATCAATCGATAGATGCCAACGCGGGAGCGGACATGCCTTCTCGCAGAGGATCCGCGGTTGTCTCAGATTGGATGTCTGGAAGCCGGAATTGGTTTGGGTTGTTGGATCATGATGTATCGCAAATAGGCGAGTAGAAAGTTTAACAAGTGTCTTAATGAAAAGTGTGTCCTCAGGATGAGCCCCGGGTTACGCGCATTCTATTACTAATACAACAATTACAGTCCATCAGGAGATAACCACCCATCAGCATTATACGTAGCCAAACTCCCAAATCCCTGCGCATCCTGCAACGCACTCAACTTGCCCTTAAGATACTCCCGCTGATTCTCATGAATCCTATCAAAACTCAACAGAAACGTATTCAGAAACAGAAAATCCTCCACCCTATCCTCCGCACCATCCGCACCAGGTAAAGCCAGCACGTCCGCTACCGTAGTGGTGATCTCAAACAACTTGGCTATAATCCCCGGTCCGTGCAACGCGACGCTGTCGAAGCTTTTTAACCTATCGACCAAGTTGCGGAGTTGGGTTGAGAGACGTTGTGCGGGGAAGTGCATTGAGAAGCCCTCGTGTGAGTTTTGTGGTGGTGCAGATTGTAAGAGGCCTTGGCAGAGGGCGAGTTGCCATACTAGGATACGCATCCAGAGACGAGTTATGAAGAGGTCTGCGTGTTGCAGTTCTGTTAGACCTTCGCAGCCGTTTGAGATTAATGTGTTGTCTGTTTCTGTTGCGTCGATTTCGTCTTGGTCGAGTTGAGCTTGTTTATGTTCAATCCATGCAGCTGTTATCTCTGGTCCTGTACTTGATGGATCCCGTTGAGCCCTCCATTGAGTCAAGAATTCATCGTCCAGAACGTTGAACAGATGAATCAACCGATTAAAACCTTCGTTGATACCAGACGGGATTTCATGATCTGGTATAGGCAGACCAGTCTTCAACGGCGGTAAAAGAGCTGGATATCCAGTGACAATCGTCGCAAATCGCTCATGGATGGAAACCTCCCAGTAGAGTCTCTGTCTCGTAGCAATCTCATGATTACTCAACGACCCATCCGTAAACCGATCAAGGTCCATCATTTGCATCAACGTCCCCGCTTCTCTCAACATAACCAACCCTCTATCCATCCTCTCAAACGCCATGAGACAGTTCTCCAGAAAAATACACGTCATGACGCGCTTGACGCTGACTGGTAACTTGTTTAGAAAACCTTTTCCCATTTCAGCTTGTCTGTGTGCTTTGGTGCCTAGCGAGAGCAGATCCATCATCCTTGCAAGAATATCATCATCAGGATTCCACGTCGTTTGGGATAAATTGATCGTCGATCCGGCGAACGCGTAGACGAATGCTGCATCCTCATAGCTATTCTCCATACCCTCAATCGCAGCGACGACTTCAGATGGAAGAATGATCGGGTTGACAGGGAACACGGCGCGTTCGTACTCCGAAACCAATTTCATAAAGAAATCCGCGTTGTATATCGTCCCATTACTCGTAGGAATATACGATGGCGAGGTTTGAGGCGAAGCTGAATCAGATCGGCATCCGCCCTCGCGTATCTGCGCAACCAATCTTCCTCTAATTGTCGGCTTCCGCTTTGTGGGCGGGGCTGAGTAGACACACGCGAGGTTGAGATGACCGCATTGAGAACAGGGCGTTAAGCCGTTGCATTTTACTTTGCGAAGGCGACATGGATCGCATGCTCTTGATGTTCTGGTGGACATGGTGAAAGACGATGAGGTTGAGCTGAAGTTGAAGATGCGGAGACAAGCGCGTTGTGGGTGGATGTCCCCACCTTATAAACTTGCCACTTTTGGCTGGTTGGGGTTAGACCTGATACCCTTTGAGGCTGGGAATTATTGGGAGGTATTTTACACGTAGGCAGGATGTTGTCATATTCTCTATAGAAAATTTAATTGAACTTTATAGGCACTCATTCAGTCCAGAAGCTTGCGAATGTCATCGGAGACCTCTTCAGCCGAGCTGTACTTGAACTTCCACAGCTTCTGAATCACATCCTTTGCAAGATTATTCTCCCTGACTGGTGGAAGCTCCCTCTTCCTAAGCTTCTCCTCATACTCGTTTCTGTCGATTTCGCTATATAGAATCGCCCACTCCGTAATCTCACAGATACAAGACCCAAGCATAAACATTTCCTGCTCATGGGCAGTGGTATTACATATATATCCGGGTGCGGTAACTTCATAGCCGGGTCTCAATAAAAAAGGAACCCTTTCATGGGTATCCAGTTCACAGGCACCCACGAAGAAGTCATCACCTCGACGAAAACCCTTGTAGCAGCTAAGCTTCATGTGAAAGCTGTCGAAGAGAAGGAGGTACTGAGGGCAGAGGGCACCCCAAATGATCTTTTGGCTGTGAATATGCTGCAAGGTTTCTGCAAGATTGAGGACCATACGCATGCGTGTGGCCATAGGTGGTGCACTACCCTGAATGATGCGGTCGTGAAGGTTTCCATGCGGTGATTTCTCGAGCTTCAGGAACCGAGGTTTGTCGTCTTTATTGGGGCAGTGTTTTAGGCCGATCAACGTGAGGATATGTTCATGAGGACCTAAAGCCTCGTACATCGTAGACTCCCAGATCCATAGATTGCCCTTGAGCGTAGAGTCACGGAGCTTCTTATCGTTTGATTGGTGGTTGATCTCGTAACTCGATATCTCTGGTAGAGGGTTCATGTTGGTGGAAGGGTCCTCGTTGGGAAAAGGGCCGAAGAGGTAAAGAACACTTTCGGCGGGCATTGTGAAGTGGTTGTTCTGTATAACCTGTGGTTATTGTTCGGGTGATTGTGGGAATGCAATTGTGATTGTTGACTTGGGAGAAGGAAAAGCAAAGAAAACCGGATAGATATGAGGAAAGAGGGCATTTTATAGCCAGCCTGAACCTTATGTTAAGGCAGATTAAAAGTTCTGTGTAGGCAGCGGAGTTATAATTCTCAGTAATTGGGTAAATGCATTGAGCAAAGTTTATTTCCAACACGTCTAGATTTGTGGGCGTAAATATTACTGGTAATTGTTCAGCCTGATGGCTCGGGTCTCGTTCTATTTGCCTGACTGGTGTCGCAATATCTTAAACACGTGATCGTTCTCTTTGATCAGGTACGAAAAGTGAATAACGTCTTTTGCTCGCGAATAATCGAATCGGATTGCAAGGTGGTACCTAAACTCAATTCAGTAGCATGTCCGCTCTCAAATCCTTGTAGATGATAGGATCGCAACTGCTAACCTCGGCATATCTGCCTCCGAAATGCGAGACTAAAGTATGAGCACATCGGGAAATGATATGACGAAACAAATAAATACAATCATATATAACAATAGCCACCGACCGAATTCTCTTGCTCAAGAGTCAACGGAATATTTGCCCTCCAAAGAAACAATATGCGAAGTCTACTCCTATACCCTCTCCTGGCCGCTTCCGCCATGTCCGAAAAGCTTCTCTACAGAAATACTTTTGACAACATCGATGCAATTGTCGATTGGGTCGCCGAAGGTTCCGTCAAAGCCACCGTCTTCAACAACACTCTCGAACTAGCTGCCCCAGGCGACTTTGTTTACTGGGTCCCCTAAGTCTTCCCCGAACGCATCCGGATCACCTGGGAGTTTTCACCCATCGAAGAACCAGGCCTAGCTATAATTTTCCTCGGCGCAGCAGCCGCCAAAGACGGTGGAAGCATCTTCGGCAAGGATCTCAAACCCCGAAACGGGTCTTACCCGCAATATCACTCCAGCGACATCCGAACGCTGCATGCTTCGTATTTCCGGCGCCGATGGCCAGAGGAGAGAGCCTTTCATCTTGCCAACTTGCGAAAGTCGCCTGGATTTCATCTTGTGGCGCAGGGAGCTGATCCGCTGCCTGATGTGGAGGATACGCAGGGCGCTTATTACAAGATTGAGGTTGTTCACGACAAGCGAGACGTCAAGTTTTCGATTAATGGGTTGGAATTATTCTCGTGGGAGGATGTAGATCGATCGACTGGACCTGTTGTTCGTGGTGGACGGATCGGTTTCAGGCAGATGAATCCACTTGTCGCTCGATACCGTAACTTGGAGGTTTGGAGCCTTTAGAGGCTAGTTCCATGAGCTCTATGATTGGGGTCAGATACTAGTCTTAAACTAGATATCCGATATTAAATGCTTGCTAGGTTGAGAAACCTCCAGAGTTGGCTTGTCTATGTCTTAAGTAGAGGGTCAGACTGATGAAGTGACAGGCATGGAGCAAGGACGCTGCCGTCGGAGAACAAGTTTGTCACATGTTAGGAAATCGTAATGTATTGTATGAGGTTGCAAATTGCCCATGGACTGAGAAATTCCATGTCAAGAGCATTCACAGTCAGCTGCACCAGTTTAATATAAAGATTGCTCAATTGCTTTGCTTGAGAAACTGCTAAAAGGACTAAACACTACTCAAACCATCATGGCTCATATCTTCCATCATTTTAACCATCTAAGACTGGTTGCTAGCAACCTGCTCAACATAAACAGCAGACCCCTTCTCCTTGGCAACACCATCAAACTCAGCATCAACCCTCTCAACCTCGGTAGTCTTAAACTTGCGCGCACTGATACCACGCTCAAAGAGAACATCCAACTCTCCGTAAGTACGTCCCTTGGGCTCAGGAAGACGGAAATATGTCCAGACAGCGCAAAGGGCACAGGTTCCAGCCCAGAAGAAACCGGCCTTGGCTCCCCAATTCCAAGCAGAAGGGTTCAACATGCGAGGAGTGATAATGTTGGTCATGATTCCAACGATATTGTATGAGTTTCGGGCGAGGACGACGGTCTTGGTTCTGAGGCGGGTAGAGGACAGTTCGGCGACGAGGGAGTAGCAGACGGGTCCGACAGTGGAATCGTAGGTGAAGGTGTAGATGAGAAGGAGGGATCCGATGACCCATTGAGCGGCGACGTTTTCCTTGCCGGCGAATGCGACACAGCCGATTGTGAGGAGGATGACGCACATGACGACTTGACCACCGAGGTAAAGAGTGCGACGACCGAACCAGCCCATGAGGAACCAAGAGAAGACAGTACCAACAGCACCGATGGCATATTGACCAAGAGACATGGAGAAACTGTTCTCAACAGCCATGCCAGCCATCTGGTAGAAGTAGGTAGAATATCCCATAAAGGTAGCACCACAAAGAGTCTGAACCATCCAAGTAAAGCACACAATCTCGGTTCTTCGCAGACTAACTCCCTTGAAGAGATCAGTGTATGAAGTACCAGCCTGTGCTTCCTTCTCCATCTCGTTCGTGTGTACCATCATCGAAATCGTCTCGTCGGGCTTGAATTCGACTTCGCTGTTGCGCGCGGTAAGGCGTTGGAGGGAAAGCTTGGCTTCTTCGATGCGGCCCTTGCGGACAAGCCACCAGGGGGATTCGGGGGCGAGGTAGATTCCAATGATGAGAGGGACAGGCCACATCCATTGAAGAGCAAAGGGGATCTTGTAACCCCACTGATCGTCGCGGGTGACCATGGCGCGAAGAACACCTGAGGCGATGAATTGGCCGAGAACCCAGCAGAGGTTGACGTAGGTGGTAAGGTAAGCGCGAAGATGGGTAGGGCAGACTTCAGAGGCATAAGTAGTCGTGAGAGTCTGGAAAACACCCCACGGGATACCGATGAAGATCTCTCCAATAAGAAGCTGAACAAGCGTCTCAGAGAAAAAGATGATAAAGATGAAACCAATACAACCGATCAGGGCACCAATAAGCGTCTTACGGTAGCCGAATCGATCAGCGATGATACCATTGATGAACAGACCAAGGATCTGACCACAGAGGGTACCGTTCGAGAGACCAGACTGCCAAGCAGCCGTGAGCTGGTATGTACCATCAGGCTGCTCAACACCGAATTTGCGCTGGAAGGGAGGGTAGGCGAAGAGGTTGTTCAGGAGAACGACGTCGAAACCTTCCATGATGATGCAGAGAGACAAGAAAACGGACCAGAGACAGGCTTTCTTGTAGAGCTTCAGGGATTTCATGAGGCCCATGTTGCGCTCTGCTTCTGTGGCGGCTGCTGCCTCGTGGGCGGTGTTTGAGTCGACGACTCCATTGTCGACCTTGGTGGAAGACATTGTGGCGGATGATTGAGAGTGTGGAGTGTAGATCAAGTGTAGAAGACTTGAATCTAGATGAGGATGAGAGTGATGATGAGATAGAGAAGTGTTATCGACGAGCGAAGCAGAGCATCTTATAGTTATTCGACCTTTGGGAGAATGAAGCAGTCAAGATAGAAAAAGCAAGTTGTAACTGTTGGCTCGAGGCGAACAAAGTCAAACCTCGGCCGTATTCCATTAGCGTGGATGGTACATCGTGGTCTAGGCCAGTCCGAACGACGCCATCATTGAACAATTCATTTCCCCATGTCGGACCGGGACTCTGGTTCAATCGTTCAATGTCTGTATTAAGTGGAATCTCCGCCAATAATTGACTCTTGCCCTCCACCCTCTCCCCATGGGGACGAGAATCTGGGGTCGGACCGAGTTGTGCAGATCATGGGGACTCCAGAATGTCTGTGTGAGACTGAGAGTGTCTGGAAACTTGGCATTCAGCTGCTTGTGGCTGAAATGAGCCGATATTTGTGTAACCGTTCAGGGATTAGTCTGAGATTCGTGTGGAACAGGGATGGAAGGTCGGCTCAATCTGACAGAAACCCATGCTGTATAAAATGCATGAACTATTCTGTCCCTTGTTTAAAGCAGTCAAGTTCATGCGGTATTTGACTTTCGTCGGACCGGTTAAGAACCAATAGGATCAATTTGTCTCGTCGGTCCGAGGTTGAACCAATCACAATTGGACCGGCGCCCTCAACGGTTGAATTACTGAATCGGTCGGCTCTTAACTGTTCTTGACTGTTACACTTCGTCGGTCCGACCAACGCGGGGATAACGAGGAGCAATCGTGGGGAAACACATGATTATGGAGAAGACTCAAGGACCAGGTTATAATCCTGGATATTTAATTCCCATCCTCACATTCTCTTCCATCATCATCATCACCCTTTCTATCTTTATTCTCATTTCCTTGTTTCTTCACAATGACAGTCAACAAACGCTCAAAGCAATGGTGGAAGCAAGCCACAATCTACCAAATCTACCCTGCATCCTTCTGCGACTCCAACAACGATGGCATGGGCGATCTCCAAGGCATAATCTCCAAGCTAGACTACATCGCCAGCCTAGGCATTGATGTCATCTGGGTATGCCCCATGTACGACAGTCCTCAAGTCGACATGGGCTATGACATTTCCAACTACGAAGATGTCTACGCTCCATACGGTACTCTTCAGGATATGGAAGAGTTAATCCGCAAGACTCATGAGAAGGGTATGAAGATTATGCTTGATCTTGTGATTAATCATACTTCTGATAAACATGCCTGGTTTGAGGAGTCGAGACTCAGCAAAGAGAGTGCGAAGCGGGATTGGTACATTTGGCGTCCTGCTAGGTACTCTGCCGACGGTGAACGTCTTCCTCCTAATAACTGGCGCTCCAACTTTGGCGGCGGTAGTGTTTGGGAGTGGGATGAAGCGACACAAGAATACTATCTTCATCTCTTTGCAAAAGAACAACCGGACCTCAACTGGGAGAACCCTGAAACTCGAAGAGCTATCTACGCTTCATCTATGGAGTTCTGGCTTGATAGAGGCGTTGACGGATTCCGTGTTGATACCGTCAACATGTACTCCAAAATCCAAGATTTCCCAGATGCACCAATCACAGACCCCAAAGCCAAATACCAACCCGCCGGCCTGCTCTACTGCAACGGTCCACGCATGCACGAGTTTCTCTCCGAGATGAGTGAGATCTTGGAGAGGTATGGTGCTATCACTGTCGGCGAACTTCCTCATACACCCGATCTCGAGCGCGTCCTCAAGTACGTCAGCGCAAAGGAGAAACAACTCAACATGGTCTTCCAATTCGATGTCGTGGACGTTGGATTTGGCAAGACCCACAAGTACGAGACTGTGCCCAAGAACTATACTCTTCCACAATTAAAGGATGCGTTTGGTCGGACGCAGAGTCTTATTCATGGTACGGATGCTTGGACGACTGTTTTTATGGAGAATCACGATCAAGCGCGTTCCGTCTCTCGCTTTACCGACGATCGTCCTGAGTTCAGAGTGGCGGGTGCCAAAATGCTGGCTCTGTTGCAGGCATGCTTAAGTGGAACGCAATATGTCTACCAAGGACAAGAAATTGGATCTGTCAATGCGCCCAAGGAGAGTTATCCTCTTGAGAATTATGTCGATATCGAGAGCTACCAATTCCTTGACATTGTTAAGGAGCGATCTGGTGATGATGAGAAAGAGATTGACAAGGCGTTCAATGCTTTACAACATCTTGCTCGAGATCACGCTCGTATTCCTATTTGCTGGAGCGACGACAAATTCGGTGGCTTTTCTAGCTCGCCCAACAAAGAGCCATGGATGCAAACCCATCCTCTATCCTCCGAAATCAACGTCGCGTCCCAAATTGACGATCCACACAGCGTTCTGTCATTCTGGAAGAAAGCACTGCGTTTCAGGAAGGAGTTTTCTGATTTGATGGTTTATGGCGATTACAAGGTTCTTAGGAAGGATGATCTTGATATTTACGCTTTTGTTAAGGAGAGTCCTATTGATGGAAGCAAGGTTGCTGTTGTGTTGAACTTTACTACTGAGGGTAAGACTTGGGATGTTGAGGAGTTTGGTTTAGAGGGAAAGCTTGTTCCTATTATGTCAACACATTCTGGGAAGGGTGGAGAGGTTTTGGAGCCTTTTGAGGGGCGGGTTTATTTGGTTACCTAGATACATATAGAGTAAAATAAAGGAAGTGTTGGGAACATCAATTTTATATCCTTATCTTGCCAGGATTTCCTCGGCCAATGATGTTGGTGCCTCCTCAGGCGGTGGAACAATCCACGATTCATCGTCCTCCCGCACCTGAGGATTCTCACTATTGTTTTGTGGCAATCCTCCGCTAGACCTCAATATCACCACAGCCTGTTTACCATCAGCGGCGAATTTCTCCCCTTGGACCTTGCCATGAATAGAGTATCTTAACTCATGTGTTACCTCAATATTGAAGGTCTTAAAAGAAGGCGTAAATCCGTCTTGCTTCCTCGTCCAAGACACTTGGAACCCAGCATTCTCCAGCCCAATACGAAAGTTGATCAGTTTCCCAATATCAATAGGGTCTGATGTTACATAGATATCCCGTTTCAGATTTTGGATAGCTTTGGACACACCAAGGTCTAGGCGTGTTTCCCAAGGATATCCTTCTCGTGCCGCGATAGTCCTCGTGCAGGTGACGAGCTCAACATTGACAGCAACCAACTTGACACTTTGGGGAACATCGCGTATTATCTCGCTGGTCTTTTCCCATTTTGGTCTAGCAGCTAGTCGAAACGGTATCGGTATCGGGTTATCTAGCTGGATGATGGTCGGGACGTCAACAAGCAAGTCAAAGTAAAATTCGGGATTCGGACGAAAGGAGCTTTTGAGTTTCTCTAGTAATGACATTTTGACTTCTTGACGCCCAGGGGCTAGTTTCCTGCTTGCGAAACTCTGTCGATGTATCCAGCGCTTCACCTTAAAGTCTGCTATAGGTGGATCTGGCGAATACAACACCATGTTGAACGGCTGTATGGCCGAGAGCTCCTCCTCCTTTCCGTGAGAGTTGATTGTCATCTTCGCGAAAACGAAATACTCTACATATGTGTTAAGAAGAGGGCCGTCGCCAGTCGCAGCAGTACGAAGTACATACGTGGGCGGGAGCTGATGCCTCTCTCCAGCAGGGATGAAACTCGGTCCATATCTGCCCGAAGCTCTGTCCTCATCCGCAAACAAGGGAATTCTCAGACTGAACGACCATCTCTCCTCATCGTCAATCTCAATATGTAGTGGGCCTTGATATATGTCAGGTTGACCCCAGTCGTCCTTCAGGAGAGACAATGCCTTATCTCCGCACTTGTGCATCCTGCCTGCCGAGGTGAATCCTTGCAGTTTGCAGACTGCGCGGACAAGAGGAGAGACGATGGGCTTTTGACGGTAGATATGTCCTGTGATGGTGTCCCCAGGTGCGTAAGTGTCTTGATTAAGGCGGATGCCTAGTGAAGGGGACTTTCTGGGGATATGTGGAGGCATATTTTATTGACATGGATGCAAGGAGTAGTTGATATCACACCATTCACTGGACTTTGGCGGGTATAAAATAACCTTTTTATGTTACCATGCCAAGTCTTGGCTTTCAGCCTCCATTCCGCGCCGAGACTGAGGCTCACTTCTGGTGCAACCATGTCGGTTAAATATTTACATTCTTGGTGAAAGGTCATACTAATATTTATCGGGGCCAATTGAATAAAGGGCCAAGACGACAGTCTGGCCTCAGGTGATAAGCTACATCCAGTTGTGGCCGAAGTCATGTGAGAAAAGACTTGGCATCAAGAGCGGTGATTGCCTATCTTGGTATACATAACTTCTGTGTGTGGTGGGCTAAGGCGTTTGATTATCCATTAATGAGTCTGTTTGACTCCGCGACAGCGTTCTTACATCATCAAGATCGTCATTCTGATCAGCCAAGTTGTAAATGATTGGAGTTATGTACAACAAGGACTCGCCCTTCATCGACTGCGTTGGCCGCCCGGTTTAACTGGCAACATATGGTAGAAGGGCTAATATTGGTGGATGTTTGAGAAATTCCTGCCGGGTATCTGCAGGTCGCCCGACCAGTTATCTGTATGTCAGCATCGAGGTCCGAGAAGGCATCAGGGCAACATGTGGGCTTGTTGGCCCTCCCGAGATCTATCCCGCCCAACCACGTGGTATTTTAACTATCTCACCTACCTAAACCTTATGTGAGGGAAGGCAAGGAAAGAAAGGCCATGTGCTGGCAAAGCAGTCATCATGCCCTGTGGAAAGTTTAAATATATTCACGAGTGCTATTAGATGGTGGCCGTCTAGCAATTACCCTGAAATAATCTGATTGGCCGAACTGTTCTCAAATATCTTCCCTTGATTGTCATCGGCTAGTAGCTGATCATCATCGAGCAGATGGCGGCGCTGGCTACTTTGACAATAATGTGTCACTCAACGTATTCACTTTTGCAGCCTCATAACTTTAATGCTTGCATGGAACCTTTCTGACTCTTTAAGCCGCATAAGCTTCCTTTAGCGATAGAAACAAGGGCTTATATTGATATCATTGGTCAGTGACCTGGTAACTTTCAAGTATTGAACGAATCCCGAATAAGCTCGAGTGTAGGCTTCACCTCCTTTTGCTTATAAATAAACCATCTCTGCCAACTTCTGTTGTCTGCTTCATTCTTCCGTCTTTACATTCCCCCATCCAACAAAATGCCTCTGGAAGCTTTACCACCAGAGCTGCTGACCATGATCCTGAAAAACACCAACTCGCTTCGCAATCTCCGAAGATTGATCTCAGCATCACCAGCCTGTCTGCGCGTCTTTAACTCCGCATCGAAGCATATTCTACTAACCGTCATCCGGAAGGGCATACCGCCACGCGTCTTGAAGCGCCTCGATAGGCATTTGAAACGGCAGGCATCCGAGACGCAACGACTTGGCTTATCATTGGATGACCAGACCGACGGGTATGTCGATATGTACATCAATAGCTACAATAAGGGCTGTGTCTATTGCAGCCTCTCACCTTCGGAGTATAGCGATAGCGCTAAAACAAGCATTTGGTACTATCGACGCTATAGACTCTATGAACGTCTGTCCTATCTGATCAAACGATACACGACTCGTTTGAAGGGACTCGGTATTGATACCACCACATTCATCTCCGCTCCCCACAAACCTACAAACCTCGAAAAAGTGTCCTTACGCTACGATACCCTCACCTTCGACCCAGTCGAGGGGATAGTCTCTACTTCAAAGAAGCCTCTCCCCTGTGACCTCTATCACGCAGTCATCGACTACAACGTTTTTCTGGCTCGTCTTGGCCTTCGAGATGTTGAGAAACTCGTTTGTGCGGAGCTATATGCTTCTTTATTCAAACAAGGCTCTACCTTACCGATGAGTAGGAATGAGTGAGCAAGACTCTAAGACAGTTTCAAGGGAGTGATGATCACGCGGACTGTGGTGTATTCCACGATATATTGGGACATCACGTGTTGGGATGACCCCTGATAGATCCAGCATATATTTAATAGCAATCAATTCATATACGGTTCTACCCATTCCCCGTTAGTAAACGATTCTTCTTTAATTATCGCAACGCCAGCGCCATAGTAGTGACACACTCCAGGTCAATAATAACAAGGGCTAATTCAGGTCAAAACCTTGCTGTCAATGCACATGTAGCAATTAACATGATGAAACTCAGACAAAACTCCAAAGAAATTCGATACAAACATCTCAAATGCAAAACAACCATCCAGCTTACACAAGACATTGATATTCATCTCCTTCCAGTGGAGTTGTAGCTTCCGTACGCGTCCCTAGGTGCAGGAGGTCTTGATCCTTGAGAAGGGCCGGGACGAGGTGTAGGTGAAGAAGTGGAACCATAACTACCATAAGGTGGCTGCCCATTCGGACGAGATTTAAATGGAGCAGACTTCTCATAATGTGTGTCGTATGCTGCGCGGTAGTACTTCGCTTCATGGACAGACGCGTCCGCAAGCCCTTCGTGCTCAGATCTCTCCACCATGTCCCTATACGCGAAGGGATGATTGTCCAAAAAGGCATTACGGGTACTGGCGTGACTACATAATTAGTCTTTTGCCCGTGTAGTAGTTACTTAAGTCTACTTACAAGTTTGTGTCTGTTGCAGCTTGAGCAGCTGGGTACACCAATTGTTGATGCTGATGCTGTTGCAACTTTTGTATATCGGCAGTGCGACTACCAGCCACTGTCTCCAGCGTGCTGTCGTAGAATCGTACCGACGTGTTAGACTGGTTACGCCACTGGCAGTATTCCTTATAGTCGCGTTCTGCTTCAGGACTAGGATGGGCTCGACTACCGACGTCCTGTCCGTAGATCTGCTGCCTAGTGTGGGTTTAGGAACGGTATTCATTGGGGGTAAACTTCTTGTAAGATTGGAAAGAGTTTTGAGACGACATGCTTAGGAAAATTTAGATAGTAGATGGAGATAGTGAAATAGATATAGATGATTTGTGACAGAGAATGATAGGGGAATTAGTTGAGGTGTTGAATGAAGCTGATTGCAGTAACCATTGAGCGGCAACATAGCCTCCTTTATAGCCAGGACAGTCTCAATCTTCAATCTTGATAATAAGTCTTTCAGCATAGTCATAATACAAGGTCGCTGTGACGAAAGCTAACAACTATTGCCAAGTCGCTGAACCAACAGATATCTCGCGACAAGAATTCAATGTGACAAAAGAACTCATACAATACAGCTACTCAAAAGGACATCAGGATGCTAAGTAATTATGATCATCATGTTAGCACGATTCCCTGCGTTTGTTGGCTGATGCGAACAGGTCTTCAAGATACGGCGGCTGCTTGGGACCTGGATGTTACGACTAATCTCGCTAAAATAGCCAATTGAGATTCAAAGAAATGCTAGCAACCGCCAGGAGTAACACAGCATGCATACACCTGAGACGAAGGCTGGATACTCTGGCCAACAGAGAGACTATTTTTAATACCCTGTACTAAGAAACGCGTCGGTCAACCGGCGGTTAGATCGCTAGCTTCTCATTGGTAATGAGACTGTGGTGGGGCAGATTAGCCGCCGGGCGTTTTATGGCCTCGCATCTGCTCCAAGCACGTGATCCCCCGAGCGAGGCTGGAATTAGGCAGGTGCTAAGCTTCAAGCTTCACCTTTTGCTTGACATCAACCACTCAACTCAGATTTCTCTCCCTCTCACGATTTCTAAATTATTTCCTTTAATTGCGATACATATCAAGATGGCTTTGGAGTATCTGGCACCTGAACTACTATCCATTATTCTGCAAAGCATCGATTCACCTCATACCTTACATGACCTAATCTCAGCATCACCAGCTTGTTTGCGAGTGTTTAACCAAACGTCGCAACAAATACTATCAAATCTCGTTCAGAACACAATACCATCTATCAACAAACGGCATATACTTGCCCTTCTTCAGGCACCTACACCGGCGACCCAAACTGGCGTCTCATCATTTCTGGACAAGTACTTTGATGAATCCTTTTCGTATGTCTTTCCGACCGATAGAGCAGGCATCGTCAATGTTTTGAAGCTCTACAACCGGGTGTCGTTTCTCATCAACGGATATCTAAATCATGTCCGAAAGCTTGGTTTTGGCGACTCTATTCTTACACCAACTCGGTCTGAAGTCGCTAGACTACAAAGGGCATTCCTACGATATGGTGTCTCTGCGTGCGTTTTCCCTGCTGATGACACACTACCATGGGAGGACCCATCACCGAACCATGATTTCTCTGCTCAGGAACAATTCGACCTATTCATTTCCCGTCTGAAGCCTTGGGAATGTGAAGAAATAGTATGTGTCGAGCAATACTTTTCCATTCTCATAGGCAACTTTGTCGACGAAATGGAAGAACAGCTGGCCGACGCCGTCAAGAATGTGCTTGTATGCGAGGCGCCAATGTCGAAAGATGATGGTAAAGACGATTCAAGAGATACCAGTGGCAAAGACAACCTCCGTCGTTTTGACGCTCTTGACCTTACTAGCCTTTCCATTTTCTCTCACGACTACAGGTATCGGATCCACCAGAATATCAGTTATATGGCCTCTTTGGGTCTGGAATTTATGTGTGACCTGATACGATCAGATCCAGAAGAACGTTCAAAGCTTCTTCGCTCCAATTCTCCTAATTTCCGCGACTCCTTGGAAGATGCGTTAAAGTTCTCACCTCCCTCGGACAGGAACGAAGACGATGAAGAGTCAGAATGGGAAAATGACCCGTCCTGCAATAATCTTGGTTGGCCGCGTTTCGGGATGCGAAGCCAGGGGTGGCTGTATCTACGCATCGATACTTGGGGATATCATATGTTACCGTTGCGAGAACTGGGATATGTCTTCTGGGATTCTTCCAGGATGAACCATATGGCGGTCTGCGACAAGCTATTCGCAGCGCAGAAAATGTCATCGGAGAAGAGAAAGAAACGATTTGATCGTCGGGATAAAGAAACACTTGAGCATAGGTTCAAGGGAGCCATGATCCCACGAAGTGAGATGAAACGACTCGAGAGCGAGTTTGGGTACATCAAGCGGCCTATGGAAGAGAGTTAGAATAGAAAGGAAGTCAGTTTTGGTCCACTCTTAGTGTATCAATATGGTCTACCCCCTAATCCTGTCTGTGAAGCCCTCACAGCCCTCGGTGGGCTAGAAATAGAGTCCCCATCTGCCCTCTCCAAATGTTCCACTGTGGCCAAAGCCGAACTCTCCACAGGGCAAATAACATCAAAGTCAACCAGACTCGATCTGGGCTGGATATCTGTCTGACTCCCAGGTCTGCTAAACGGCAGTGGATAGTTCTGCTCCATCTTGTACCGACTGAGCTTATCGAGAGCGGTTTTGAAGTCGTCCAGGACGATAGTATCTGTGAAGCATTTAAAGATGAAGGAGAATTTCCAGAACGGGTTGATGTATCCGATCGGAAGGACTGGTGTGACGGCGAGGAGATCGATAATTATGAAGATGATGCTGATCGTCATACTTAGAAGGAGGAGGCCGAAGCGAGGTGAAATGCGGATAAGTTCGATGTATTTGAACTCGTAGCGGTACTTGATGTTCCAGAACAAATTGAGGGCGGTAAATATCCACCATGGATCACTGTTGTTATCAGTCGGCGTCCCGTCCGAGAAACATGACAGGAAGAAACGAACCGGCAAAGAGCTTCAAGAGGTCTCGTTGTTCGAAATAGATTTGAGTAAGGATGATTGAAGTAAGTAAAGTTGGCGTAAATTTCAAGAACCCAGTAAGGCTGGACCAATATAATCGTGCCGATGTAGATGACGTTATATCGTTTTCTAAGGAAGGGTTTGTTCTTGATCCATGAAATGACATTATGCAGATTCCAAGAAATGATGAGAAATATGACTGTTGAAGAGAGATACCAACCCCAGATAGGTGGTCTAAAGAATGTAAAGAAGCCATTCGGCATAGCTAAAAGCAACTGATCAAAGTTAGAAGTGAGTCTTCATAAGCAATGGCATACTCACCTCAATTAAAATAAGTTTATGCAGCAAAACACCACGTCGCATATTAATAAGAGTGATCCCAATCATAATAATCAGCGCACCAATCATACATCCTTGAGACCAAGCCTCCAGGGCGATTTTCTCTGGGCTTGTAGGCGCGCCATGGTTAGCCATTTTGCAGGCCCAGATCCAACAGAAATCTGGGGAAGGGAGACGGGGTTGTTAAATAATGGCTGAGCGTTGTGGCTACCCCGCCTCTAACGAGCCGCTAGAGCCAGTTCACGGGTTGGTGTATGTCATTTGGGAGTTTCTGTTGGAGTAGGTTCGAGCTAAGATGCTAGTGTGGCGGTCTGGACAGAAATCTTGCTTCATCTGGATGGGTGGATGGTGTGGAAGATTAGTTGCGTTTTTTCTTTTCTTGAGATAGCCGTTTTAGCCACGCGATGATCTCACTTTCGGGCTACCGGCTTTGAGTGGAAGCTAACTTGAATAAGAAGCAGGAGAACTCCATTGGCCAGTAACAATAAGGTTGATGATGAGCAAGATTTATTCAATACTGTCTATCCTGTTGGGCTTGCTGCGCTTGAGGTCTATCAGCGGTTTGACCCTGGACTCCCTTCGACAGGACCCTTAAGATATCTTATCAGTGCATCGAATACCCAGGGACCGTGTCTCGGGCCTACTGATACTTCGTCTTGAGCTCCTCAACAGCTTTGATCAACTTATTCGCATCGTCACTGTACGTCTTCTGTCTATCCTGCTGCAGCTTAAAAGTCTGCTGAAATTTCTCCACCATGAATGGCTTCAGTACCGACTTCTTGGCAACGGTATAGTCGTAGATAGCAGTATCCTCAATACACTTCGCTGCAAGACGTTTATACTTCTCTGACAAGATCCATGCTTCCTTTTTGAGGGATGTTGATTTGTGTGTCGGTGCTTCGAGAAGTTTGTAGACGATTGTGATTCGGTCTGGGTACTCTAGCGGCTGTAGGGAGGAGTTAGTTTATGGGAGTATGCCAAGGGAGTTACAGACGCACGAATTTGTATTCGGTCTTGATGCTTTTGAGAATAAGACCAAGGCTCTTGGGCGTAACCAGGTCTAGCCATTGCTGCTTTTCTTCACCTGTTGCGTGTTCGGCGTGATTATGGGTGAACTGTACTCTGCCCGTCTCGGCATATTTGTTGTACATGACGTTATTCACGTGTCCTATTAATGTTAGAAATATGATTGACAAAGATAATAGTGCACATACCCTGGGAGATTTAGTTGAAGCTGAAACAAGAATAATTGAAGTCGTTACTTACCATGCTATCCTATATAAGTCACTCGGTTAGAATTGGAACTTGGTTTATCGGGTCCAACTTACCATGTCACCCCAGAGCAAAGGATGATTATCAATTCCTCTCCAATTCTTCTCCGTAAGGAATCCCTGCTGTCCAGCCAAAAGCTCCAGCCAATTCTTCTCTGAGTAATCATACAACCTCTTGGCTTCTTGCACACATTCTTTTGGATATTTCTCAGCAGTCAGCTCGGTCAATTGAGCTCGGACGTCGGTAAACCATCGCGACGGAAGAGACGGAGATTGTGTTGAGTATTGTCTTGTGGCAAGACCAATTGGTCGCTGAATGAGCCGCGTCCGGAAGAGAGACATGATTGCGATGCGGATGTTGTGGATTGATTGAGAGGGAAGACAAATTGGGACAGTTTTGGAGAAAAACTCCGAGGATCGGCCTCGGTTGTCGGGAGAGCTTTCCACGGTTAGGAGCGGAACTTCCGGCCAATCCGGAGCTAGAGTATGTGATTAGTCAGCCGTTATTTTTGCGTGCCAGAAAATTATTTTCTAGGCAAAAGTAAAATCGATGCCTTCAATGATCTAATTGAATGATTATGGCTTAGTACGAAGGAGAGCTAGATAAGGTCATGAAGGATATTTACACTTTGCATGGGGCATCATAACTCCTTAGTCCCCATATGACGTTTTCTTGTTGCCCTACCCTATCCAAAAGCTTCGGCGCTAAAACAAAGGACAAGACGAATCTATCAATAGACAGTGGTTGCTGCTATCTATGGAACAAGAAGATGCCCTTACTAAGCTATTCTTACAATGCGAGTCATGTTATCCATCATTTCCACACAATAATCTATTTAATCCATTTACCAGATCCCGTGAAACGTCGATCCTCTTGAGGGTCGTCAAAATAGCCAACGATCTTGACGCCATTGTCGAAATCAACTGTCAATGCTTTTCCTTCAACCCTTCCCTGGATTGTGTGCCCCGAATACAAATGATCCGGGCTCTCGAACTCCACAGTCACACTGATATCCTCTATGTGGAAGAGAGGTTGGTCTAGCTTGACTACAAACGGGCCAAAGTTTTCGAAAAAATAAAATCTAAGCTCTTCAGGTTGAACTGTCCAGAGCCGGCCATCAACAATAGTCATCTGCTGTGTGATCAGTTAATGCTGACGACTTGATTTCGGCAAGGTTACCTTGAGTTTGTACTGTTGGATGTAGTAATGATGTGGATGTGAATAAGGTGTGATGGGATTAAAATGATGAAGTGCAGGGTTAGAAACGCAAGTGCGAGGACGTAGGTATATATGTATATTCGGCCATACAACTACCTATCACGTTCTGCCACCCTATGCATACGCCCAGACCTTCGGACAATCCCCGCCCATCTCACCGCTATCACATATATGGGCTATTCAGCTTTCAGCTGTCACTTGGCTACTTATCGGCAATGCCGTGCAGTAATTTGGGTGGTGTACAATTGACTTTGAAAGCATGATCAATCCAAACTCTGGCAGACAATGCAGACGCGGCACCGTAATAGGATAAGATCAACAGTCGGGGCAAGCTGATGGCCTGTGATTTGCCAGACCTGCATCAATAGCGGCGCGCTGTCATGGCGTTTCGGATAATAACAGCTGAGACCAGGGTCTTACCAGTATCTCGAGCTCCAATTCCTACAGTAGCTTTCACGGAATAGAGAAAGTTGAGACTTGAACAGACCTGCGGCAGACAGTTTACGTCTTTGCTGGGCTATATTTACAACGATAACTATGTTCTCCTCAGGAAGTACTTTCTAATTCGACCAAGTTCCCATTCCTTCGAGATCGAAATATCCAATAGAATGATCAAGGTTTCCAACAATCTTTACACCTTCGCCGACATTTACTACCAATTTCTTCTCCTCAGAACTAATATTTCCCTCGACTGGGTGCGATGACGTGAGCTCGCCCTCGTGTGAGTATTCCAGCGTAATATGGAGACCAACGTTCTCTAGGCCAAATGCAGGTTTGTTCAATTCAACCAACAGGAGTTTCTCTCTGAACTCAAACGCGAGCTCTCTCGGTTGAATAAGACGAAGGTAACCGTGCTTGCTAGGCATCTGTTGCGTGATCAGTTGGAGTCAACAGGATGATAGGGGTAAATCTACCTTGACTTAGAGCGTTGGATGTAAAAATAAATTGATTGTATTTGAGAGGTGGGATTAAGTGCAATTTATGTAATGGAAAATGATGGAAAGAAGGGAACGAGATTTGAGTGCAAAGACGTGGGTCATATATGTATCCTTGCTAGCTGATATGTCTTTTCCACAGATGTCTGAAAAGCATTCTCCGCTTACAGACTGGCAAAAATGGAAACATGATGGTCTGAGAGTTCCATAAAGCAATGAAGTGTATGCGTGATTCAGCTTTCAGCTGTCATTGTGCGGTGCTATATTGGGGCAAGATCGGCGACAGGAAGTAAGCTGAAGGCCCGTGATTTGACAATCCTGCATAAATCGCAGCGTTGTCAAGCAGCCTTTGTCGTTCTTGCTGACAGGCGCAGGTGCCAGGGAGGCCCAATAGGGTAGATAACGTGTGTGCTAAATTGCGCTTTGGTGTGACTTATGGGTCCCACATCAGATATCGTACGACTTTCTGGATAACCAATCACAATGTGTAAGCGAATAAACAGGATTTGTTAGTTACCAGCTACTTTAAACAGGTACCAAGCAGCTTAGAGCACAACCACAAGAAGTACTTTCCCTGGCTCAGAGTAGTATTACTTAAGATGTAAAAGAACATACCAATTGCACTAAGATTTTAGATAGTTGGTTGCAAAAGCTGGCTATCATTAGGTACTCACAGCACTGATCACGTTAGGCGGATATCAACAGATGTCGCTTACCAGGGTCCAAGCACACAAGCAGCCAAAATGCATATCACAGCAGGCCCGCATCACGCGCTGAATAGATCCAGGGAATGGGCCCCGATTTGGGAGCAATGAGCAAGCATTGATTATACGAAGGTTGCATGTGATTATGTCCATTCTGTACCTACAGTGTGCTTCTATGCCTGCGGTCAGAATTTAGTGCATGTGCTGCCAGCGAGACGAAGCAATATTTATTCCCTTTCGGTAGCGATCTTCATCTTGAGGTCACTCCGCTTAGCTGAAGAAAAGGGTCAATCCGTTGAGTATACCTTTTCACACATCTTGTTAAGTGTTACCGCAAAACTTAAATGCTTTCTAAACTCGAGCTTTTCTAAGGAGCGGTCCTGTAGAGTATACAGATCAGACAAGATAATCATGGTAATATATTGTGAAGCTAAATGCAACCGATCTTGCTATTTCGATTTGTAAATAAAGTTACGACCGCAACGAATAGTAGAGTTCGGTCTCGTCAAACTATCGCTTTTATTTAAGGGAGACCGTTATACCATAACTTGTTGTCTCGTCTTGTTGAGCGACCAAGTGATAGGGTAAATGGTAGATTTCCCTACAGAAACATTTCTCCCACTGTCAACCAACAAAGACATTTTACAAGCCTAGGCTTCAAATGGATGCCAGTAATGGAGTACTATTCCCGCAATGAGACATTCATCCCAGCGGCCTCATTGTGTAAAAACCTAAACGGGAACCATGGGGGACAAGTAAACTCTCTGATGTTCTGCTCAAACTATTGAACAATCCTTCGACAGTGAACCAATATCATAAGAAGTCAAACATTTATCTCGCTTACAGACCGTTCACAATAGAAGCATAGTTGCCATAGAGTATAATAAAGTGATAGAGTATATACCCAATTCAGCTTTCATCTCTTATTATGACGCATTGCAATAGGATAAGATCATCACCTAGATAGAGGCTTGTGATTTGACAGAGCTATATAAATGGCAGCGGCAAATAGTCACGAGATGTCAGCAAGCTCCACTGGTGTGTTATTACCCCTCTTTATTTGTTAGTGAGGGGAATTAAGATTTGATTAGCGCTCCGAGTCGCCTACAATCAATCAGTTCCGTATTTACTTGATTTGTAATTGAGAACAATGAGTTTGCAAGGTGATGAGATTCGGCTGCTCTACGTGGGTGCGCATTCAAACTTGTATTTCCAGACTGTTTCATTGAGCGATCCAGCTCGGCCGCCTTTTGTCGCGCTTTCTTATGCTTGGGGCGACCTTGGTGACACTCTGCCACTGGGCGTATGCAAACAGGTTTTTCAAGCGACAAGAAATCTTCACAAGATTCTAGGTTGTCTTATCGAATCTCGATTGAACCAGCCGCTTTGGATAGATGCTCTATGTATCAACCAGCAAGATCAAGACGAGCGCGCCTCCCAAGTCGCGATGATGGGGGACATTTACTCAGATGCAGAGTATGTCCTTGCCTTCCTATCCCCGCAATCAGAACCATTCAATATTGGTTTAGACTACATAGAGTCTACAGCTCGCGACACAAGGATACATTTCGACCCATCTCTGTCTCCTCATTTGACAGTTCAAGGTCTCAACGCGAGTGACGAGCGTCTTCGAGACTCTCTGGTTGCCTTCTTCGCGGCTCCATGGTGGACCAGAGTCTGGACGGTCCAGGAATTCTTATTAGCGCGAAAGGTCATATTTCGATGCGGCGATCGGGTTATTGACGCGGCAACTGTACAGGAGACTTGCAGATCCTGGATAGACCACGAGAACTCATGTTGCTGGGCTGCGCGTCGACCGATTGATGGCACTGCGCATGGTTTCCTCGACATTCCCAGTGAGACCAGCGGTGGCTTAACAATCTACACTGCGACTCTAAGGATGAAACATCTTATGGATATGATTATCCCCAGGAAACTATACACTGAAGACTTTCTAGCGGCCATCTCACTCTTTCGAGTACGTCATTGCTCAAATCCGAGGGATAGAGCATTCGGGTACTTCGGACTACGTTCGCCAGGCCTGGAAGTCAAGCATGAAATACCTATTGACTACAACGTGCCTATAGCGAATCTCTACAAGAACCTGGCAGTGGTGCTGATCGAGAAATCTCAGACATTAGATGTACTTAGTCACGTATTACATGAGTCGAACATTGAGGGCCGAACAAGCGGCCTGCCGAATTGGGTCCCAGATTGGGATGCTGCCATCGATGATCGGTACCATTTGACGTATACTGAGCGCACAAATATGATCCGGCATTGTCGCGCCTCAGGAGACATGAAACCAGAATGGACTGTGCAAAATTCAGGGTCTGTCATAACTCTGGGGTTACAGATTGCCGAGATTCAAGAAACCGCACCTGGCTACCCTTCAATCATCCCTGGCTCAACATCTCGTGGCAAAACGGTCATTAATGAATGGCGGCGGCTGGCTGGTCTGTCTACTTATGCGATATCATCTCCCCTGGACAAACCGTCTAACAGCCAACGAGAGCGTGCGTTCGAGAACGCCCTCAGTGGAGGCTTTCCTTCCATCAGGTGGCCGCAAGGCTCTCGTGAGTACGGAGAGGCATATGAGGCCTGGCTTGAATGGTTTCTATCCTCACAAGTTGCCTTGTCCAAGTCATGTAAAGAGGTTATCCAAGAGTTCGATGAGTTGGTTCGGCAAACGAGTGAACGTCGAAGGTTTATCGTCAGTAGTGATGGACAGATAGGCTTTGGCCCAGAGGAAGCCGGGAGAGGCGATGTAGTTGTTATTATACCTGGAGGGAAGGTTCCGTACGTTTTGAGAAGGGTGGAAGCCTCTGAATCCGGAGTGGAGAAGTACCGTTTGTTAGGAGATGCATTTATTAACGGTGTAATGGCGGGCGAGAAGATCAGTACATCAACGTCCGACTTTACCGGTATAGTAATCGTGTGATAGCAATGGCATTTAAGCGACGGAAAACCCCAGGCGTAATGATAGCATATATACACATAAGAGAAGATAAAAGAGAAGCATAGTCACAACAGAGCAACATATATATGTTTACGTTCCTAAGAGTTATGTACTTTGAATCGTTGTGGAAGCAACCTCCTGTCAGGAATGCTTGGATGCCTGCTCACTTATATCTAGTTATCAGCCTTTTAACCTCCACCAGTCGCAGTTTACCTGCACCGTGTGTTCTCAAATTAATGGCTTCTATGATGACTCAGAACACTCTACCTCAAAAACGTTATGCTCCTAGGCCTGCTATTCTCATTTGGGGCAGTTATTCGAACCATAGGTTTAACATGCCTCCCCGTTGATATGAACGATGTCAGTCTGCGGATGATTTGGTTGCGTTTGCACAAAGCGGAGAGATAAAGCTGTAATAATCGAACACTATCAATCGTGCCACTTGCCTAGTCTAACGTTTATGAAATGTCTCACTGGCTGTTTCCGCGCTGCAACTTAATCTCTAACCCTTGCGCTACTTCTTCCAGTCCATCCAAACCTGTATTTTGCGTTCCAGGATGATCTTTAAGCAAAATTGGTAAGATGGAGCTCTTCCAAATGCTGGCTTTCTTTGCCACCGTATCCTTGGCCACCATTGCCACAAGTAGAGCTGTGCTTGAAACCAGCAGTGCTCCAGGAAAGATGAGCCATTGCCACACATACTTGACGCAGATCTTGGTCTCTAGCAAATCTCCCTCCACCTGTGCCTTTTCTTCTAATCCTATGCTTTTCCCATCTAGTCGAAATGCGGTTGTCAGTCGTTCTGCCAGAGCGTTAAGCGTGTTGTTGATGCTGTCGATGGATGCGTTGTTATTGTGGTATAGTGCTGCCATGTGTGCAGGATACGATGGTATACCATTATCCGGATGACCAGCTTCATCTTCACTACGACTGACCCTACATTGTACTCCCCTGTCGCTCATTGAAGTACAGTTTGAGTTCAGACCAAGTAAGAGTTCATTGCAGAGACTTACCCAGATACTTTGTGACATCTCGAATAGACATTCAGGTGGAGCGGTGGTGTTAACCAAACTCGCTCCCTCATATACGCTGTCCTGGTCAAGATCTGAGCGTAGCGTTATGTTCTTATCAGTATACCTCAATCCATCCACCGGGCATGGCTGTTGAATGGCGGCGAACGAGACGTTGCCTGGCTTCCTCAAGTCAAACAACTTTTCCCAAAGGGATCCGCGACCGTGCAACTGTAGTGGGACTTCTTGGACTACTGTTTCTTGAAGTCGGGCATTCTCCACAGTCGCATTGTAGTACTTTAGGCAAGGATAAAGGGTACAAATGGCGGCAACAGGGTCATACGAATCCTCGTTGCGGGGCAGGCATATGTTGTCATCTTCCAATGTGCTTTCCCCGCAGTCATGGGGACAGGACCAATTGCCATCCGTGTGTGTGCAGCCGCTCCGCGACGTTGTAAGGACGGTGAGATTGGCAACTGATATCTGAGCAAGATTGAGAAACTCTGATGTGAGTATACCTTCTGCCCATGTCAAATCCTCCACTGTTGTTGTGGTCATCACCCGCCAGCCGTCCCTGTTCGTGCCAGTGATCCTGGGTTTCCCTCGAAGGCCGTGCCCGTCCCACGGGTTGTGGATTTCAAAAGGTAACTCGAATATTGTCCGAGTATCTATTACGTCGTCAATCGTTTCGTTGTACTCCATTGGTCCTTTGACGAGGCTTCTGATATCGAAACAGCTGTTGCAAATCCCGAGGCTCGCATGAGAGTACGATTTGTCCTCTTTGTCTTCTGTGAAACTCGCAATATTCGGAAAGTTACAGTTTCCCGAAGAGCATTTGAAAAGCGGCGCCAGGTTATAAGCCTGAACCCGATTCACAAATGCATCTTGTATAATGACTTGCGTCTTGAGATTCATCCTCAGGGTAGGTTTGCCTCCACTCACCCACCCGTCAGTCAGATCATACTTGTCCACGATGTTCGCAATCTTTATGAACGCAGGATCGTGGTCGTGTGATGGTTTTCTCAGGCACTGATATGTCTGAATCGATTGCTGAGTGAAGGATCCAATACCGAGAGATAGTACAGCTATAGCGATTGCTGCGACTGAGAACGGCTCATGCCGAGCTACAGTGGGGATGAGACGAAGGGACCCATAAACACCACGCGAAGCTGCATCAAAGGCTTGGGCATGATAGAGGGGACGAAAGCAATTGGATAACCATTCCCACTTCAGCTGGGCAAGTATTTCAAAGGCGACGAATGCAATCGCGGTGCGGAAGATAGTGGCAAGAACGGAGATGAGGGTGTTGAGTGTGATATAGAGGTCTTCCCAGTCTGGTAAAATCTCATCATCATAATGGTCCAAGATGAGGCAGATGCTCATAAAGATGGCGCCAGCAAACAGCAGCACGAGGATTTCCAGGCTCCATTGTATGAAAGCAGGGTTCTCTTTTTCAGGTGAAAGTCCAGCTGAGTCGCAAGTACCCCCTGCTTGTCGGATAACAAACGCCGAGTCTTGGTCATTGGGAGATTGCTCTGCAGCGGACGTCGTGTTACCAGCGTCGGTGTCCTGCGTCGGTGGTAAAAATGCCTGAGATTGCTGAGATTCTAGGGATAGTGGAGTAAGGAGTAGCGGCTCCGGCTCCAGGTGGACGTTGTGAGCTGACATTGGGAATGAGCTTTATTGAGAAAAGATACAGATTCGATATACCGTGACAACTAGATGGGAACAGCGATCTTTAAGACTAAGCGCCAACGCCAGGAGCACATCACAAGGAGTATAGGACATCATGTAGGATCACGACAGCCTACATACCTAAGCCACCATGTTCGGGAGATTGAGCCAATTGTTGCTTGTTGGAAACGCACCCTGGTTAGTTGTCTAACACATACCCTGCCCTGGATGACGATCCAGCCTACTAGATTCGGGCGTTTTGCCTGCCTCGGCATTCAAGGCGCACAATTCACAATAACAAGTTGACAGAAAGAATGGTCATGAAGGAAAGTTGAAGATCTATAAGCAATGCTACATATCGTGAGTGAATGTGGTTTACATCATGGACTGATGATGAGGATGAATCTTGATGAACGAAAGATGTGCTGGTAGGTACTACAGATACGAACTCCAGGCTGAGTCCTCAGGGTCAGGTCAGTGGCGGCTTACCCGCTAGTTGTCGATCCTTTCAACTCCCCTGCATTGATTGCACTTTCTCTATCCATCCTGCCTGGTTATTTATATTCAACCAACGAGCAACGAGAATGCACAGCCGAGTCCTCCACCGCACGTTCCACTCATTATTATACCTTGTTTCAGCTGCCAAGCCAGACATTCCCATTGACCAATCATAGAATCCTTCTAGTCAGTTGAGGCTCTTGTGAACCCACGAGCTGACGCTTGATCACGCGATCCTTTGCCCTTTCTGGCGCCGTCAGGGGAACGGCTGGGGAAGCGCCAAAGCATTGGAAGCATCCTCGTTTCCATAAGCCAATCAAGGTTGGTCTAGATTCGTGCACTTACAGTTGGCCACGCGAGCTTTGGCCTGCTCTAGAGCGCCGCCAGGATGCGGGCAAGCACAATAAACCGCCTCAAGTCCGGCTATTCTCGGAGTCAACCTTGCAAATTTACGACACGGGAATCCAACACCCCTGGCTGGTATGTTCCTGCATCTGCTGGGAGCATGATTGCGGTACGCGCGCTGTAGAGACTTGAGGAGTTCTAAGAATACTATGGACCTGTACTAGCATTTAGGTTCAAGCACTGCGATTATTCTTGTGCTGATTTGATATGTATATCGGGGACTTACGCCTCAGAAAGACTCAAAAATAGCCCAGAGTACTATTTGAAGCATTTCAGATATACCTTGAACGTCGACTTGCCCTTGTAAGTAGAACAAATTATTGTTTTAATGTGCAAGAGCGTTAATGAACAAGTCCAGTAACTGGTGCTGTGGCTCAATAGGCTTAGCTTTGCTTCAGGGGCGAGTCATGACGGACGAGTGTCGCAAACTATACTCACCTGAACCTTGTGGCTTGCACTGAGAGCGAGAGCTGAGTCGACGGCGAGGCGAATAGCCAGTGTCAAGAGGTTACCACGCATCGTATGTTGTAGACAACTTACAGCAGGGGCGTAACGAAGGTGGGAGGAAAATAAGAAAGAAGAACGAAGAGAGTCGGGATGATGGACACTACTATGTATGTGACACACGGATAATATTCAGTCGCTCGTCGTTCAACTCAGCCACTTGCCCAAAACTAATAGTTCTCTGTAAGCATGGAGGCTAGACCTACATCAAAGTAGACATTGCTTCACCTGCAGAGAGGCACACCTTAATGGCAAGTGGAACAAGTGATCCACAACAAAACAGCTTGGTACTGTGGTCTAGTTGGTCATGACATCTCGTTAACACCGAGAAGGTCCCCGGTTCGAGCCCGGGCAGAACCTCAATTTTTGCCCAGACAACTACCGTGTCATTGCAATTGTATTAGATACAGGTAGCAAAAGAAAGAAGTTTATCCTGGTTGAGACTATTCCTTGGGAAACTGATATTTGAATGGGTACTTTCCCGTGCTAATTAAGTTGACCCGAAAGCGAAGCCCTACGTCGTCTGGGTCCAACCCAAAGCCAACGCAGGGATACATCTTTCCTACCGTGAACTTTTCCTTCGCCTTGTCAAGAACATTCCCTGGTGGCAAGTTAGCCATACTGCAGCTTCACACTTATACTGACCACTTACCTATCTCTAACTTCTTGCCATCTCTCGTGCAAAAGCCCTCGCCAGTCTTTGTGTCAAGATAAACACCCACAATAGCACCCTCACTATAGGTGCCGTTAGCTCCAAAGCTTTCATTAGGGTCTTCCGCTTCTTCCCCATCAACAACTAGTTTCCCATCGTCGCCATGATAGGCCCATGATTTTGCAACCCAACCTGGCAATCGATCTTCACCAGTGTCGAAGCCACAGAAGCCGAGAACAACGACCCTAGATAGCCATTAGCCGCAGTCAGTCAACTGTTACATGTACGACTTATCTTACCCCGAACCTGGATCATCAAAGATCTCGATCTCGAAATAATAATGGTCTGCTGATAACGGAATACAATGTGTTGTTCTTACACAGGCCCATGAGTCTACGTCTGATTTCTTGGTGACAGTGAACTCTTAACGTTTCAAGTTAGCATTTTTTCAACCCAGAATTGATCACATGACTTGCCGGAAATCTCTGCGCCGGTCATCTTGACGTTTTCCCAAACGTTTTTCGAGTCACAATGCCATTGCGCTTGTGGTGCTGAGTTTGGCTGTTCTGTTGGTAGGCGTTTCCTTATCTCAGTAGCAAGGTCTCTCAGTGATCCATTCGTGTCGTAGCGGTCGATGTAGGTCGCGCAGGACCATCCGTCTATATCCTTTCCCTGGTGTTCATCGATGATGCGACTCTTTATTATCTCCCGAATCTCTTTGTGAGAAAGTGCTGTTACCAGTGCGTAGAGGTCTGGCAGATCGAACCCTCCTTTCTGCAACACTTCTACCAACGGTTTCAGCAATGCCAAAGCGTAGACATCGCATTCCTCATCATCCTCTTCGACGTCGGTATCCGTGTCAGTGTCAGTGTCAGTTGCTATCGACGGTCTTTTGGTAACAAGCCAAAGCAAGAAGTCCTGGATGATGTCTTCTTCGATAATCTTTCGGAACCCTTCTTGAAGGATCGGTTTCAAGTTTGAATCTTCGTCTGAGCGACAAGCCTGGACAATCATCTTCAGACACCGAAGTCTTTCGCTGGCACTAATTCGGTGGTGTAAGAATAGGGTCCTGATTGCTTTAGTGCATTCCTCGTCAGGTGATCGATTGTCGATGCACATTTCTAGAGGTGTCCGATCGCTTCCGGATCGCTCCTCAAGCTTCAGTAAACCTTTATCCTCCTTGCTCGGTGCTGGATACCTCTCAAGGTCATTTTCAATAAGCAGATTCAGAACCTCGAAGTGTTCCTGCATAGCACAGATGTGTAACGGCCTCAGATTACTCCAGCCAGTGGCTGGCTTGTTCACGTCTGCCCCACGAGCAATCAAGGCTTTGACCACGTCTTTATATCCCTTCTCACAGGCCCACGCAAGAGGTGATTGATCGTAAGTTCTGTCTCCCGCATCAAGAATGTAGTCCCATCGATCAAGGATGGCAGGTATGAGTTCGGAAAGCCCGTTCGCACAGGCAGTGAGGAGTAGTGAGTTCTGGTCGTCGTCATATGGGTCCTTTTGAACCTTTTCTGGTTCTTCAAGATGCAACAGATGTGATGCTATCTCTTCATTGGGTTCTTCGAGAGCCATTTGAAGTCTGGTCCTACCGTATGAATCTTTGATGGTCGTGTTAGCCTCCCTGCTGACCAAGAACTTGACCATTTCGAGGCTTGTTGCATGATGGAAAGCACTCTTGCGGTCATCATCAACTTCGTCAATGCTCCTCAGCTCCACGGCGTCTAGCAACGCCTCCGCCACTTTCAGAAGATTGAGCTGTGCTAAAAGCATCAGGGTTGTGATGTTCCGGTTGTCTTTCAACAGTGCATTTGACCTGAAGCTCTCCCTTTGTCCTTCAACCAGCGCCTCTCCTTTGATAAGGCTTGTGGCAATATCCTCTCGTCTGGCTATGATTGAGTAATGTAGGGGTGTCCGTCCATCATCGTCTTTAGCATCAGTATGAAAACCATCTTCTAATAGCGTCTGAATGCTGCATTTATCTGCAACTTCAATAGCAATATGAAGGAATGTCCTACCATGTGTATAACGACAATTGGGATCCTTCCTAGAGAACCTCAGCAGGATACTACTGGTTTCTCTGTCCAGGTAAAACGACTTAGCTTTATTTCCGTCCTTGGAATTCTGTGTAGTGTCACAAACAGCACCGTCCTCTGGCGGCACCGCTCCAGCGAACTTCCGTCTTTCGCTTTCCAGATAGTAGTCGACAGACGACTTTCCAATGTCGTCAAGAGTATTAGAAAGAGATCCAAGCTCCAACAACTTCAATGCAACTTCTTCCTGTGCAAGTCTGGCGGCGACATGAAGGGGTTGACGGCCCCAAAAGTCTTTCTTCGAAAGAAATGGCAGCAAGTCGATTTTTCGAGCAACCAATTTGAGAGAAGAAAGCCTCCCGCGCTTAGCGATCAGATGGAGAGGGGTCATACCATCGATACCACATCCCTGCATAGCTAGCTTCTGGTCCTCGGAGCTAAGGTAATCGAGGATTTCCTCAATCTTGGCATCCCTACCTAGGAGACAGGCAATATCAAGAGGGCTGCGGCTGTATTTACAGCGAGACCTGCAAATTTGCTCCGCCTTTTTCTCCCAATACGAAGGCAGCCGACTAAACTCAGCTACACATTCGTAATGGTACGCTGTCCACCCAAAGATATCCTTGCTTCTCGTAAGCGGCTCTAATGGTAGGTTACTTAGCAAAGAGTTAAACGATGGTTTGATTTCCTACCTTGGTCTTTAACATTACGATAAGCTTCCTCTCGTACGTAAAACGTCTTCATTCAGTGAACATCAGCATTATGTGAAGGGATGCTGTATGCTGGACTTACAGGTTCGGCGCTCCTGCATGCTTTCACATGGCTCCTTGTGAATTCAAGGGTTTTCCTGGCAAAGTCATAGTCAATTTCTGCTGTGGGGTTGTCGTCCGAAAGCTTCAGGGAATCGGCGTCGCTAAACCGCTTGAAGATGCTACTGAAGACATCCCAGCGATCTTGCTTCAAATATACAGGCTTGAGTTTCTCCAAAACCTCGGAGAATTTAGCTGAAGCAAGGTCTTCGACAACGAGCCTGAGCGCGGCGTCCAATTCTGGTGATGGGGCACTATGCTCGTCATAGTCTTCACAAGCAAATGACAGAAAGTCCATGGTGGCTGTCACAATCCCAACATCTAGTTTGTCATCGATGCTCATCTTGTCTGCTTTGATCGTCGCGAGGAGCGTCCTATGACAGTTGGCTATCTCAAGCCACCCGGAGCTCTGGTTCATCTGAGGAACAAGCTTGAGAACTACCTGATTTGGCAGAAGTTTGTGGGAACTCAGGGCCGGTATCATGCAGAGAAGGATGTTTTTCCTATCTCCCATTCCATATGTCTCCATTTTCCTGATCAAGCCGTCGAGGCGCTGGTGGTTAAGTTTGAGTTTGAGCCACGTCTGGTCTAGGTCATGGGATTCAAAGACCTGATGACGGTTCATCTCAATCTCTTTCTGAGCATCTTCATCTTTCGGTTGAAGGCAGCCCTCGGGTAGATGTTGAGCAACTGTCCACATGAAACTTGTGAACATATGTTGGGCTAGAATAACCGGGAGAGAGTCCTCCGAGCGTACTCCTAGCTCTTTCTTCTCACCGTCGATATGATTGTCTGGATACTGGTCAGCCTTATTTCTGGAATATTCAAGGCCATTTCCCACCTTGCACATTATCTCTTTCAAATCCATTGAAGCCAATGACGATCTCCGCGTCCTCTTTTCGTTTCTCATCCTTTGACGATCTGCTCTTTTCGCTGGGTTGTGGCTCACTCATTTTAGCGGTAAGATTATCTACCCACCAAGATATATCCCGCTTGAGCACATCGTCTTTGAGGTTGTTGCCAATGATTCGATAGTAGTCGTAGATCAGTGAATCTCCAGTCCTCTCTCGCCGCCAATCTGTGACTCTCTTGTTCTTTTTCTCCTCCTCGCTCGTATTCTGGGGCTTTTTTGCATCGACACTGGCCATCCAAAGCGACATTGCCGCGTCTATGAGGCCAAGGTCAACCTCAAACTTGCCTTCTTTCTTCTTTGGTGCAATCCTGAACTGAATAGTATCTTGGCTCCCCGTAATGTCCGAGTTGCCAGCTCGTAGGAGCCAGTTCAAAGACTCTAACTTACGCGATGAGGAAGCAGGGAAGAATTCATTCATGACGAGCTCGATCGACTGGACAAGAGCAAGAGCACTGGGGGAAGACCTCGTTTTCCATCTTGAAAGATCTCCAAGTCGTCTCCTTACACGAAGAAGGTGCTGACTAGTTGGGGATGTAAAGTTCTTATCCGTAGATTGTCCAGAAGGCTCCTTGCTCGTCTTATCGGCTGGCTCGTCTGTCGTCTGAGTCCCTGGATTCTTTTCAAACTGCACAAAGTGATGGGAGTTCTCTAGTCTCTGATCCGGTGTGATAACTTTCCATTCAAAACACTCTTTAGGATCCACTTCCTTACCGTCCCCCTGTGAGACCCAGTAGCGTGATCGAGGCCCCTTACTGAACACTATCCGCGCGGCAAGGAAGTCTATCTCGTACCATTGGAAAGCACGGATGTGTTCTATGGGTTTTCCAAGTCGTCTTCTAATTGCCGCCCTAATGAGTGCCATTGCGAAGATAGCGCCGAGTTGAGCGATAGAACAAGGAAATGCAAGACCTCTAAGCCCCATGAACTGTGCTGTGAAGCCTAAGGCTGCCGAGAGGGCCGCTCCAACGGTAAGCCACTCCCAAAGAAGCTATTCATAAGGTCAGATATCGATGCCATCTTACAGTGTTAGGACTTACTTCTTCATTATCGCTGCGTCGGGTCACTTTGGGTTTGGATTTATCCCTCTTCCGATGCCTTTCGGGCTTATCATTCCTGCTGGAAGTCACGATTCTCCTCTTGGGCCCTACTGCAATGATATAGCCGTTAAATGATTGGTCGTTGACTCTCTGCTTATTTTGTAACCATAGAAGTCGTGGTGCGTTATCCTCAGAAATTGCCTCACCACTGACCTGGGCTTTCCAAGAGTACTCGTCAGTGCTCCACTCCACGATAAACGAGCAAAGTCCAGTACCAATTGACAGTAAAAGGGAGCCAGCGGCGTAGCAGGGAAATCCATAGACCTTGGATTCAAAAATGTCTGATGAGTTAGGACTGACTCGGTAAGCAACAATCGCAGCAATAGCGATCAATCCAGTCTGTATAAGAACTCCTGTGACGGCTGCTAGAAATATTTCATGATGCTTTTTGATCCAACGGCTGTCGAAGTGATCAGATGTATTGTTGAGTTGGATATTTGGCGGGCTTCGATATGCCCGATCTGCACGGGGAGGCAAACTCCGGGGCTTCTCAAACTTATCCTTTGCCGTTTCCTCGGACTCTTCCGTCTTCTCCTCTACTGCTGTTTCTAGGTCCTTTGGTTCGTTTTTATCTGTCCTCTGTGGCTTTTTGGGGGTGGAGGATGGACTAGCATATAACTTGCGAAGCTGTCTCTTCAAGTTCTGAATACGAGTTTGGATGAACTCGGCGCTTCGACCCAGGTATTCTTCATGGTCCTTTTAGCCAACCGTTTAAATTGAAAGACAAGATATACCACTTACCCTGACACCTGAGATGCCCTTGCTCTTGCGCTGTCTGTAAGGAGTGGATTCCACACGATACCTTCTCAGGATCGTGTTTCGGCGGGTTGGGGTCAACCATCCGATCAAATTCCTTCCAATTATTCTCACACTGCCCATACTGATTTGGGAAGATGAGAAACTGCGCGATCTCAGGGTTTCCCATAGCTCGGACAATAGAGTTACCGTTAAAGATTTCGCAAACCTCTCCAGATGTCGATGACATAAGCTCTATCTCAGCTTGTGCTCGATTCTCTCGGGCGCGACCGATAAATGCTTTTGCTATAGGCATGCCTTGAACGCGAAGGGCTCCAGTGATTGCTGTAATGATGCCCAGTGGCACCATCGCAAATATAAGGTGGTCTACCCATGTCAGGCTTTCGCTTGTGAATTGCTTTGCAAACTGATCTCCAAACAAGGCGAGGATTCTAACAGAGAATTTTTTAGCTTTGTAAAACCATGGGCTTGGGTTACAATAGCTTACGGGGCGATATCTGAAAGCAGATTGAAGGCGAACTCGGCATCGTCTGCCGCAGCGACAGGCATCACCATAAAGGCCAGTATGGGGAGACTCATTGCGGTGCTCATGGTAGCGTTACACAGATCCTCCACGAAAGCGAGGAGTGCTGTTGTAGGAACTAAGTTTCATGAAGAAGAGGGGTTTTCTCACAGGTAGCATGTGATATATGTAACCTTGTTCAGGCTTCCAGTCAAGCGCTGTCAACTCTGAAATGCAGGCTGTCACATTCTTACCTGGTATACAATTTCTTGACCATGTAGGAGGGCGGCCGAGCAACTAATTGGTCCTGATGGCCTCATTTCGTGTGGAGGGGCGGAAGATCATTCTGTTTCAAGGTGTCGGGGCGTCTTATTAGCATAAAAGGCGTTCAATACTACGCAGCCAAGATGTGCTTTGGGCGGTAAATGGCAATTCACGCGAGAGCCTGCTTTTCAGCTGACCAAGGGTTATGCTGACGGTAGTACAAAGTGGAGGACGACACCCTATCAGAGTTGAGGGGTAGCCTGTTGGTTGTAAAGTGAGGCGGGCCGGCATCATCTGCCATTGATTGGTGCACACTTTTTATTCATAAATGATCTTTCGATAAAAGTCATGAATAAAAGATACTGCAATGATGCTATAATGAACTTCCAGAGTCAAGTGAAAATAGCTATAGCCTTTGGTTGAAGTAGCCTCTGGCTGCATCTGCAGAACAGTTACTGCACTTTTGTTTCCGGGACGTATTGTAAATCTATCTTTATAGGTTGAATGATTGGTTCGAACAAAAATAAAGTAAGTCGACCAATCAATATGCTCTGATACTTGCACAGGGTCAGCTGATTAAAATAGTGTTATAATTGGTCTACAGTCATCAGATGCAAGTCAACAGCATTTAAGAATTGATAGTAAATGTATTATGTCTGGGTGTCTATGTACGCAACTAAGCTGTCAGATTATAGCACGATCTGAACAGTCTTGGACATGCTAGGGGTTCCATTGGACATAACAAAGAGGTAGTAAAATCCAGGCAAAAGGATACCGTTGTCGCTAGGCAGCTTAACAGAATAATCGTTACCCTTCTTGGAGAAGTTGGTAAGAGGAACACGTCGCTGATCAGTGTTGACAGAGTGGGTAGCACTACCCATACGGACAAGAGACATGGTGATCTTGCCAGTAGCGTTGGTAACCTTGAACTTGAGAGTGGCACCAGCCTTGACACCCTTGGTGGTAAGACCATTGATGAGAGGTCGGTCAGCCAGAGAACCGTCCTTCTTGAAGAGGTAAGGAGGCTGGAAGATCTCGCCGTCGGCGTGGTCAGCGCCCTTGTTGCAGCCAGCGGTGGAGCCACCGATCTTGTTGACGTAGCAGAGACCACCACCACCGATGAAGACGGTGGCATCGGGGAGAAGGATGGAGACGGAGTGGTAGTTGCGGGGAACAGCGTGGGGAGCAAGCTGGGTCCACTTGTTGGTAGCAGGGTTGTACAGCTCGGGGATCAGGATACCGTCGGTGTTGGTGAAGACCATGGACTTGCGCTGGCCACCAGTAACGAGGACAGTTCCGTCAGGAAGGACAACAGCGTTACCGAAACCACGGGGGAAAGCCATATCAGCGACACGCTTGACAGAGGCAGACTTGTAAGCCTCGCCGAGAGTGGTGATGTGAGCGTGCTTGTTGGCGTCGGCGTTGGTGTAATCGGGAGCACCACCAGCGGAGAGAATCTTGCCGTTAACAGCATCGTACATGACAAAGATACCGCACATCGCGTCGATGTTGTCTCGGGTACCAGACAGACGGACAGAGCCCTTCTGCTTGGTGCTGTACCAGTGCTGGGTCTTGGAAGGACCGGCTTGGAAGACGGAGCCCTTCTTCCAGCCGAACAGCCAGGCGTGGTTGTCCTCACGCCAGATACCCTCGTGATCCTTGGTGAGCATGGGCTTCACGTCGGCGCCGGTGAGGAGGGTCCACTTGTTGGTCTTGGGGTCGAAGACCTCACCGGGCTTACCCTCGCGACGACCAGAGTAAGCACCACCGATAGTGAAGACACGGCCGTCGGAGAGGATGGTGGATGATTGGTAACCACGGGCCATCTGCAGATCGGGACCACGGGTGAAAGAGTTGTCGCGGGGGTTGTAGAAGGTGACGGCCTCAGCGTCAGAGCCACCCTGGATGATAATACGACCATCGCCAAGCTGGCTCATACCAGGGCAGAACATGTCGTGGTGAGTATCAGCAACCTCACGACGAGCAATGTTTCCGGTGGGAAGGTTCATGGCACCGAACTGGGTGCGACCAGAGGCACCACCGAAAGCATCGGGGCCCCAAGAAGAGAAGAAAAGAAGTTCTTGAGACTGGGGGAATGTGGGAACGACGTAGGCAGCGACAGGAATGAGAGGAAGGCGGATGATGTCGGACCATCGGCCGAGGGTGGCAGGCTTGACAGGGGTGGGCAGCTTAACGACGCTGTATCGCTTGCTCTGAACCCAAAAGAGAGAATTGGCAGGCTCAGCAGCCTTGATGTGGCAAACCTTGTCCTGGTTGTCGTAGACAGCCTTCTTGCAAGCCGCAATGTTGGAGCACTGATCGGCGCAGGCAGCCAGAGAAGCAACATTCTTGATCTGTCGGGCCGAAGCACCAACAAAGTCTGTCTGATGACACACATCGAAAGTCTTACCCTTGCCCTTACGAGACTTGTACTGATGACCGCCGGTAGGGCAAACAGAGATGAATTTGCCCTCATCAACATTCTTGAGGACAATAGCGTCAAAGTTCTTGTCAGCCTCCCAGTTCATGCGATCAGCGTTAGCCTCATCCTTGACATGGCAGACGCGACCCTTCTTGTCGTAGACGGCCTTGACACAGCGAGGATCCTGGTTGCAGATCTGGGCGCAGGCGTTGGTGTTGCGGACATCCTTGACGACCTTGAGAGAGCCTCCTCCGTTCTTGTAATCGGTGTTGCGGCAGATGGAGTAGTCGGCGCCGGATTGGGCGGTCCAGGTGGCTTCCTTGGTGGGACACTTGGTGAGAGCGGCGGAGGTGAGGGGAGAAAGTAAAAGGGCTCCTAGAGCCACAGTGTTGATTTGAACCATGGCGATTAATCGAGATTGTTGGTGTTGTTGAACGAATGTGTGGTGTTGTTAACGATAGTGTGGTTATTGTTGAGATAACGATAGTGGTGTTGAGTCGGATTAATAAAATTAATTGTAATTAAGTACGCGCTGCGATCGATCACGAACGAATATTAGAATTGAAACAAATAAAGAAATAAACGAAGGAATTACTCGAACAAAGAAACGAGTACAGAGAAGGAGGGAATGATCCTGTCTACCAACAAAAAAAGAGTGGACGAAAAGAAGGGTTTTATGTTTCTGAGCGGCTGCCTCAATTGGATTTTTGCTACCCTTGTTCGATCTACTATGTTTAGAGCACCCTTGATCTTAATCGTCGGTTTGTATGGATGGAAATAATACGACTCCCCTGTATTGTGGAGTCGTCTAGGAGTACCTGACACTAACTAACCCGACGGGTCCACGCCAAGCAGGGACAATACGACTTGAACGGTCCCTGGGCGGGTGGTTTTATTACTAACGCTATCTGATATAGCTCCCGTTCACGTTGCTCTGTGATGGTGCCATGGTGGAGAAGGCCCTGAGAGGAATCCAGGAGCTATGACGGTTACAGCTGTCATCTGGTTCAGAGCACGGGTGAGTTTTTAGGCGAAGTCGTCTATCCATTCTTTAGACTTTATAGTCAGTTTGATATAGATCTTGGCTTATCAACACAACTATGATCCATCTTGGCTTTATCAACGCAACTATGCTTATCACAACTCATCAGGCAGTTGACAAAGTCTTGGCAATAACACGGCGCTTAAGAAAGCTGTTTGTAAACACGACCCAGAATAAGTTGCATAAAATCCTTGTACTTCACCTGAGCGCTAAAACATCCACATGTGGTGAGAGGGTTATTATTTCCGTCGGGAAATATCTTTGCCTTATCCGTACAAGCTGTGTCCGTTCTGAGAAAGAGAATCGTACCGGCCTATAGCCCCCGGTTTGGTTCGGCTGTTCCTGGTAACTAAGCCAGGGTTCGAGGTCAGGTGGGTCTGATAACGGTGCTCGTTCCACGATCCCCTTTTTCTCGTTTGATGGAAGCGGGAGATCTGGTTTCCGTCGCTGAGAACGGTTGGGTCGGCCAATTAGATTCGTCTTGGCTCATTGAGCGTCACCTCAATAGGAGAAGTCCCGACGGGCTTAGACGAATGTCCGGAAGAAGAAAGGAAGAAATATCAATTGAGCGGTGGTGATGGATACTGATTGCTGATATTAGTTAGCACCTGGAATAAAGTCCGACGGCTAAACTTGTACTTTGCGAGATGGTATTCCCGATATTGGTCATCTGTTGTTGAATACACTGAGGCAGCTTGCACGTGGGAATGACGATTGCTGATCTTTGCCTTATCGCGATGACACTCTCAGCTGAAAGTGTTTAACGATCTTGCAGGGTACAAACACGACAGACTAACGAAATACGCGATTTCCAATTTCCGGGCGTGGTCTCAATCGTCGGAACAAAATAACGGCTTCCACTGGGGTATCCAAAGAGGTTCTTATGGTTTTTTGCAAACACATTGAAATCAAGACAACACTGAACACTATATTACCCTAGGCCATCAATCGCACTCGTAACGCTTCACTGTGCACAGCCTCATTCTTGAAAACTCTATTTATTTTCAGTATACCGATGAATTGCAAGGGGCTGATGGACCCAGACGCGAGCTTCAAAAATGCGTTACCCTACACCTCCAACCGGGTGTACCCGCCCCGGTCTCATGGTGCTCGGGCCGATATGATCTGCATCCTGAAGGTTTCGGCATTTGATCATGTCCTCATAGTTGTTGAGCTACTTAAAGTAATGTTGTTCTGAATGCACAAACAGAGAAACGTGTTAAATAAGTTAAACTTCTCGGAAGCTGCCAGATCAGCGCATTTACTACCGGCGCTCGCTTGAGGTTTTTGAACTGGGTCTTGACTCTGTAAATAAACAAATTGCATGATAGACTTTTACAATTTATAAATACTTGAAGGAGCCATGTCCTGGGCATATTGTGGCAATGCGCGACTGTTAATTCTCTCCTGCTTGATAAAATCGAGGGCCTTACCATTCTGTCGCAATTCCTGCCATGCTTCAAGAAGGCGCTCCCTCACCAAAAGGAAAAAGTCATTTCTCCAATGTTTAAAGCATAGCCTGTGAGTCTTCGCAATATTTCCATTCCTTTGTTGCTGCGTTTGTACCCAAAGATCAAGGGGGCGGTACCAATGTATGAGGGAATAAGTAGAAACACCAAACAAAAACCACTTTTTAACATAAAACTCCAGAAGGGCTGTCCCTGTATGAGTTGCCGAGATGTCTGCGAGATCCTTGAGATAAAACTTGAGGCATTTCGATAAAACATCATATAATATATCGCGCAGTCGAACAATTGAGTTTTCAACTGTGTCGAGGTGCTTGGCGATCTTGGTTTCCGTAATCATAAAGATGTCACTAATTGTACAGTCAGTACTTATAAGAGTAAGTTGATATAGCAAGGCTTTACTTACGAGGAGGGCAGAGGCGTATCCGATGGGAAAAATAATATGGTATAATTCGAAAGCCTCCGTGGTTTAAGAAGAACGTTCCATGTTTCTCTTTGAACACTCACGATCCGCGCGTGAAGCTTCGGCAGCTTGACAGTATCTACCTCACATCTAGGATCCACCTGTTGAATTCTCTGCAATTTAGTCAACGACTCCTGGAGATCTGTCACCGTGAGATCCTTGACGGTCATCCCCGAAAGTGTCTTCGCACCGGCATCGGCACCATTGGCAAGGAGTATCGCGGCGATCTCCTCCTGCGGCCCTCCAAGCCAGTCTATTGCCTGTGATGCAACATGTAGTGCTGTATAGCCGGAGTTGTTCTGAGTATCCAGATTAACTCTGTACTTCTTACTTGCCAACAGCTTGACGCCCTCCAGGCAACCTATATCGACGGCGAGATGGAGAGCGGTTCTGCCACGGAGACCTTGCTTTCCCCAGTCTGCTCCATGTTCCAACAGACGTTTCATTATCGCCACATTTACTTGCATGGATGCGAGCATCAAAGCGGTACTCCCGTCACGGCCAGCGTGGTCTGTATCGATGTCCGCTGCTGTGAGAAGTTGTTCCACCACTTCGTCTTTCCCGGCTTTTGCCGCTTTGTCCAATGCTGTGTTTCCATCTGCATCCTCATCATTGACGTTTATTTCTTTCTTCTTCAGCAACAGGTTCACGACCTGTGTGTGGCCCTTCTCCGCGGCAACCGATAAAGCCGACCCTGTATGTGGGCCTCGAATATTGATCTTAATAGCCGAATGTTGAAGAAGCTCCTTCACGACAGAACGGTGCCCAAGCTTTGCGGCATGAATCAACGCGGTAACTCCAAACACGTCGATTGCATTTATGTCCACGTTCTTTATAATGAGAAACCGCCTGACGGTGTCAGCCCATCCCATTTTTGCAGCAATTGATAGCGGCGTGGAACCCATGCCGTTTTTAATCGTAGGGTCGCACCCAGCCCGTAGCAGGAGCTCAAGGATATCATTTAATCCAAAGCCGGCTACAAGATGCAGCCCGGTCATACTTCGAGACTCCTGCGGCGACAGGCTGTATTCCATAGCCTGGGCGCAAGCCTCCGCTTTTGCCAAGTTCGTGAGAAAGTCAACTGTCACCTCTTCCTGTATCTGGGATGCATGACGTGCGTGTCGGCCCCAGTACTGTGCCACATAGATGTAGAAGGGGTTGCATCGAATGCGTGCTTCCATCTCTTGCACTCTCTCACATATTCCGCTCTGAAAGATATCAAAGGCCAAATAAGTGATGCATGTCATGGTAATAACGTACTGTGTGTCTGGGAACCAGCGTTCCTGTGTTCTCTGAAAGTATTCTTTGGTGGTAAAATGGACCAGGCGAATCTCTCGGCTCTCAGGATCAATTCTGACCAATCCAGCACAAACCTCCACCATCTCCTGCGGAATATCACCTTTATCAAGACCGGACTGTCCGATCTTGACTGCGAGTGCATGTTCGAGTTCAGACTCTTTCATTGGCCTCACGGCACAAGTGACCCAGGATAGAAGCCTTTTAAATAGGTCTTTGCGCTTGCCATTCTGACGCTCGATTCGCCCCATGCATCGCTCATACGCTTCATCATACGCTTGCCGTCCAGTTGGTAACAAAGAAAATACCTCCATGATGTCATTCTCTGAGATTTGTCCAATTAGGAAGTCCATATAAAGTGCCGCAAGTAGAAACCTGCAGCTGTTAACCTTACTATATGGTTGCAGGGGATGAATACACTTACATCCCGTTTACCCGATTAATAATCTCTGTCTTGATCTTGCTGGAAAGCTCATGATTGTTTTCCACAAATTGTGGCAACTTGTGCATGTTGCCATCTATGTATCGCTCGATATCGTGATTTCCGGCATGTATCTCTAATACAGTACTGTTTTGAAACCTTTGCTGGATCTCTGTATCATGCCTAGAGGTTCCCAGAATGCTTGTGCTTGTCTGGGCTTGAAGATCAAATATGGCTTGGAGAAACAGTTTACGCGTACCATTGTTCTGGCACTCATCGACAGCATCGATGACAAGAAATACCTTTGTGTACGAAGCAGTCACGGTATGGAGAGTCTTAAGAATTTCCTCCCACGAGGGTTTTGTCTGGTTTCTCTGGTGATCTTGATAGAGACGTGACAGGGCTCCAGGTCGTAGGCGAGTTAACTGCTTTACCAAGCTTGCAATCAGGTTGTCAGCCGTCTGCTCGTACTGTCGATTAAAATCGAAGTAGATAAAAATGACAGCAATGTCTGGATCGTCTCGAAATTGTTGCTGGAGGTGATCGATGATGGTTGCAGCTATGAATGTTTTCCCCGCTCCAGGTATCCCCGGACAGAGTAAGGTTTCGGGCTTAGTGGCACATAGCCACTCATGGAATTCCTCTGATTCAAGAACCCAGTGACCCGTTTCCGCTTGTCTCTGGCGAAGAACATCACGATGCTTACTGCCGTGGTCGATTGGGGTCAGCCAGTTTAAGTATCTCTCTTCTTCTTGAAGTTGCTGATTACGAACAAGCTCTTGGGTTTGCTTTTCTATTCTTTGAACTCCTAGGATAGTGAGAACAAGTTAGTCTTGATATTCTAAATAACCATGTACATTGTTTGACTGACCCTCCGTTATCTGCCTCATGGATTTCATTTCCTTCACTCCAATAGGTGATATAGTGAGAAGTAGCTTCTTGCCGTATGCTGCAGCCACAGCAGAAGCATACGGTTGCCAGTCCCACCTCTTGTATGAGTCGGCATAATCGCTGATACCGCGTATAACCAAGCATGGGAAATCGTCCATGATACCAGCGGCCTCCATTTCGAAACATATAACATTGTCTCTCTTGGCGAGTTCATCCCGCTCCACGCCGTTCTTGACCACGGAATTCCCAGAACCGATGTTACCATAGTGGATCTTTGGCATGTTCGTTGGTCGGGAAGATCGACGTGCTGGCTTGGATCTGAGATACCATATGCCGACAATCCATGCACAAGACATGGTACAACAGGTCCAAAGAAGAATTGATAGACCCCACGGTGTGTTCTCGGTATCCCCACGCCATACCTGCAAGTAAGTGGCGGGGAGTAATAATGCAGCACCACATGCGACCAAAAGGTCGTTGCTCTTGGTGGTTTGATAATAATCGGTGTTGAAGAGAACATCCCTTGCTCTCTTGGGATATGTCCATTCTTCGTCCGGATCCTCTTCATCGATAAACTTGTCATTGACTAGATCTGAGATAGCTCTGCTCAGGTTCTTAGTCGTGTGCAGGGTGTTCATTGCTGATAGCAATAGACCCGGCGGCTTGTTGAGAGTTCCCAAACGATGAAACCCATCAACTTTCCGCCTGCCCATGTCGTATTGAATAACTCCCCCACCTTGCTCGGTCGGCTCCGACACAACAATGTCGCCAAGCCGAACATCGTTCCAGGAAGAGTCCTTGCCAGGTACACCACCTCCCACGCCAACCATTAGGCAGAACCTGATATTTGGAAAGGTGTTTTGCATTGATTTGGCCGCAGTGGCTGCACGATTGGTGCCAGCTTGAGGGAGTGAGGTAATTGCAACATTGTGCTGCCCAATACGTCCCAAAAGATAGTTATTTCCGTCCTGCTCTGACTGAACCATTAGTGCTGGGTGTTCTTCATCCAGCATCGCGCGTGCTGCTTTCAGCTCGCATTTCAGGGCACATATCCAGCCGACTGTGTAATTGTCCGGTGGGAAATGCACACCGGCCTCACTGTCACTCGATGCCTCTTGGCTGTCATCGATGCTACCGGACGCGTCCCGGGCCATTTTTTGATCGGCTGGTTACTGTTTCTTGTTGTGAATTTTGCTCGGCTCCGGAGTGTAGATTGAAAAATAGAAAATGGCACAGTTGCGCTTGGTCAACGAGAGCCTTGTTGCTTTGTATATAGGCTTGCTTCCATGTGGCCACAGCACTGGTCAGATCATCTGCAAATACGTGGGGCTGTGCAAAACGATTGTCAGGCTCAAGATTAAGCTCATAGGCGATTCGCTCGACCTTGGCATCCAATAACAAGCCATATGATGCAGCCACTGCCTTTCATTTACCCGTTTCAGAAAGATGAGGCCTCCCATCAACTTCCATCATCGAAAAGGATGTCAAGGCTTTATGGCAGGCAGACTCACAATGGTTGAAATGGTAAGCGCCAAGTTGAGAAAAGCAAAAGACTGATTCGTTGTTGTCTGCCTTGATCAAGTGCCAAGACCTGGTCAGCCTACAGCAGCTTACACGTCTAGCGTTTAGGCATCTAAAGACCGCATTCAATAATACCTCTTTGAAACGCGGCTTGGTTATGAGACCTGTAAAATGATAGCTATATATTAATGAGGAGATGTATGTATCCATTCAAACGCCACTCAAAATCACAACCTGGATATCTCATCTTTGCATTACAGGTGGACTCAAGGCTAGAGACAGCCCTCGGCATTCAGGCTGTTCAAGCCTCTTTTCCACTTTTATTTCATAGGCGACCCTAGCATGCCTCTAACCATGTCAGATTGTAACGCAGACTGTCAACATGTGATCTGCACTTGTTGCACCCATCCTTTTATCATACCTGCCGTATTTAGCTTAACAGAAGCTGAGTAAGCAGTTGAAATTCAGCCTAGGATTACCGTGGAACCTTCACGCACAGCATCTCAGTTAATATTTGCCTCAATCGTTTAACATATCTCGACATCGAGTACAGCAGTCTCATCTAGGTCCAGCAAAAATCTATACTTTTGCCCTTTATCAGTATTTACGCCAAGAATGTCTGCTTTCCATCCTTTATCTAATAGTTGGTTTCGCCTCCTTCGCCTTTCTCCCATTACACCAGAACATAAAAGCCATGAGCTGGTCTCCTTCGAACTCGGCGATTCACCTTGCTACAACGCTCTCAGTTATTGTTGGGGCGAATTCGAAAGGTCAAGCTCAATCCAGTGTAACGGTAATATTATGATGGTTACACCGCACCTTAAAGAAGCCATCGGCTGTTTAGGGACTATCAACCGTGATACCGAATGGATATGGATTGACCAGATTTGTATTAATCAAGAAGACGACTTGGAGCGTGCTGTTCAAGTCGGAATGATGAAAGACATATATGCATCATGTAAAGGAACTATTATCTGGTTAGGAAGCCACGTTGAAGAGATTGAAACAGTTCCTACTCTTGTTGAGCGTCTTTCAATCTTTTATGCTGAAGACATGAACCCCGACGGAATACGGAAGCGCAGTAGATACACGAGGGCCGAGTACGAAAGTCTGAAGCTACCCCCAGCTCACGATACCGCTTGGGATGCCCTTAATAATATCCTGTGCCGACCATGGTTCATAAGATCCTGGGTCATTCAAGAAACCGCTCTCTCGAGACACCTACCCCGCATATTGTGTGGGACCGAGGAGCTGTCATGGCGGAGCTTTGTCTCGGCGACGCTGTGGGTATTGGATATCTCTTATGAGTTCACCCCGCTGAGCCGCACCCCAGCAAACGTTCCAGCTCTTCGGTCTATCAAGTTCTTCAATGAACTCTTGACGTTCGGATTACCCTGGGACCTGATGACCTTGCTGAATAAATCGATCCAGTCAAAAGCGTCGGAACCAAGAGATAGAGTGTACTCGCTTCTTGCCCTGACGAACGAATTTGGGGACAAAGGGAGCCTGCCCCCAGCTTTACGGGCAGACTACCAGAAGCCAGTCGGAACAATCTTTCGTGATGTTACTCGGCATATCATATCTACGACTAAAAGCCTGCGAATTTTCACACTCATTCGCTATACCCCTGATTGGAATAGCCTGCCATCTTGGGTAATTGATTTCAGTGCCAACGCCGAATGGTTTAGGATATCATATTTCTCTTGGGACCCGTATAGTAAGAACGGACATTCCTTAATGGAAATTTCCAATGATGCTGCCGGAGGTCATCAAGTTGTCATTGATAATTACTTGCCCGATCATGTTCTTGGTCTACAAGGGCTTCGAATCGATAATATTGACGAAATAAGCGACATCATGAAACAAGACGAGGTCTCTTCATTCAACCTTACAGTCTGGAAGGCCTGGAAAAAAGCCTGCGAACGGCTTAGCAGTAGATACCAGACCATCGAGGCGATAGCTCGCGCCTTTATGGTCACACTGACGGCTGATTGGAGTCTCAGCGATAGCCAGCGAATTGGCGATCTGCCTTTAATTTACTTCTGGCGCTACCTTTTGGACGTCTGCAATGAGAGTTCCACAAATCCAGCGCTCAAAGATGCCTTTAATGCGGAGCGTGCGTACATCAGGGACATCATATCAGCCGAGACAGAGAGAGCCAACGACGAAAACCTATTCTCGTTACATCTTGACGCTGCACACGAACGGCGATTATTCTTCTCGAAAGACCTGGCATACATTGGACTCGGACCGAAGATCCTGGAGAAAGATGACATTATCTGCGTCTTGTTCGGAGGAGCTACGCCTTTCGTTCTACGACCACCTGGAGATCAGTACCGGCTTGTCGGTGAATGTTATGTATATGAGTTGATGACAGGAGAGGCTATTCAGGATTGGAAAAGTGGCAAGCATACCTTGAATGATTTCCAGATCTATTAGGAATCGCTGCTTGCTATCAGTGTTTATGTTTACTGCTATTTGTGTCACTTCTTTCGAAAGGACACTTGGCTGTATTTTCTGGTTGGCGGGATGATAACATCAATGGACTGAACCAAAAAGTTTATCGCGATTCTCATGTCATCAGCCGAACCTGCAGTTTTATTGGAGAGGACTCAACCTAAGCTAATACATCTATAGCACGAAGATTTCCGTATCATTCTGCGCCATTTGACACCTGTAATAGCATCCTCATCATCGCAGGAGATGGCAACGCCGGTGAGTTGCCTGTGCGTACTGATTCAGCTGTCAACATGCCGTTCGATACCCTATACTATTTCCTATTTGGGGTGCTCTGTCTCAGAACCCCGCTCTGATAGGCCGCTTTGATGATTGACAACCAAGGAATACTAGCAGATCCCTTCCTGAAACGCGATCTCAGCTGAAGGAAGAGGTCAAAGCTCCAGCATGGGCAGGATTGATATCAGCCCGTCGTTGGGAACGTGCCGTGCCGTGGCTTGACATCATCGTCAAACTTTAGACTAATCGAGACTAGCACCGGTCAACTGCTACTCAGCATATGACATCTTCCTGCATAATCTGATAAGAGAAGAAGAGGTTGGGACAGATACATAGAAACTTAGTTATCGAAGCTAATTCCCCCGCTCCTTCGTGAATGACGATGCATGGCAGTCGCTGGAATAGTTGTATGATTCATATCGGAAATATCCTAAAATTCTTTCAATCTCGTAGCTAAACTTCCTCAATATTAAGGGCTGGTAAACCCTTGTTCTCATCATCAAGGATATCCACGATGCTCTTCAAATCACTCGGATCATTGACCTGCAGCATGGATCCATCAATAGCGTTGTAGAAGAAGAACTTTCCACTGCTAACCTCGAAAAGGTAGAGTACCTCTCCCGTGTAAGGTGCCATTCCATAGTGCGGCCTGATATCCCCATCAATGCCACGACTCCGTACCTCATCTTGGATCTGGCCACCTGGGGCCCAAATCATGTCCCCTCCCATGTCTTCGTAAGAATTGGTCCAGTTCATCGGAGGAGGGATCTTTATTTTCCTGGTTAGCGACATTGGTTTGTAAGAAGAGGAGGGTTGTAGTATACCCCGTTATCGGTCACTACTACGCCGTCGGAAATTGTCGTATACTGACTCATCTTGGAGGGAAGGCGTATGTATACGCTGTGTGAGGGTCGAGGAGTAGAATTTGATGAATGAATTATGGAAGTAGAGGATGTGATTGAAGTAGAGATGATCGAGGTACAGTTATGTACGCGGCTCGGGCTGATGATGTCACATGTTAAAGTCCAAGCTTAAAATGGCATGGTCAGACTGGTACATGAGGCTGACATAGGTACCTTATTAATTCATGAGATTGAGCAAGCCTTGTGGATCCCAACGGAGAGCGCTATCCGCTTAGATGCACAGGTTAGCTACTGTTAGATCTTAATTTCTATTTAGCCCAGTTACGAAGTCTTATCAAGAAATTCTGGACCCACGAGGCTTACTCAATTTCATAAGCTGATACGGTAGTAGAATACAGGTATGACTATATTGAACATATAGAGCAGGTCATTTTTTGACCCATGTTCTCCAAAAGACCCTCCTCTGAGGTTTCTTGAAGTTCAAATGCATTGAGGCCCCCCCTCATCGAGACCTGCTACAATCTATTCAAAAGTCAAGTTCCCATGTATAGGGTACATAGAATCGTCGAGAGCATTTCAAAGGATGAACTGGCTGCTGCCGACCCGTATCAACAACAGGGCCTCGCTCGTATAGGAGCACATGCCAAAGAAAAGCTGGACATCTCCATCCAAGCCTCGATCTTTCCCCATCTCTTCCACATCTTCGTTCCAACGCATGTCGCTACCAATGTCTTTCTATAAATTGGTCCAGTCTTGGGAAAGAGGAACCTGGTAAGTCGTCAGACAGTTTTGGGAAGCTGAAAAGAGAGGATCAACAGTGACTTACGACAGCATTGGCGACGGCGACAACGTCAATGACCCGAGTCTTATCGCTTATGATAAAAGTTTGTCATTTAAGGACTGGTGCTTTCGGTAAGAGGTACAGAGTTTTCGAAAATTGTTATATAAAGTTGTTGAAGACTTCGACGAGATAGCGAAGCATGATACATATTTATAGGCCACCAGTCGCAGAAGACGGGTTGGCATTCCTAGGGCGGCAATTTAAGGGTAGCTCACCCGTAAGCGCCGATCTCTGGTCTTGGTTAGCATGATCGACCGCCCTACATTACTAAGATGCGTTCATCCCTTTGGATGAACCGTTTGATAATACTTTCAGGGAGGGTAACAGAGGAGTGTATAACCACTTACCCTAATATATATATATAGTTAATTTCTTCACACAGAACTAAACTATACCGTCTTGGAACAGGAGTAAGTAAGCTTTTTCAATTTTCGGTCACCATAGAAATGTAAGCGTCCACAGTCTACTAGCACTCCTAGACGAGGTTCAGCAAAAACATCCTGATATTGACATCCGTTCTCAAACCCAACACTGTTTCATTGACCGCCTAGACTATGCTTTCAATGTAGTCTGGAATTCTACCATACATCGACCTTCGATAGGCAGCTAGACGTATTGCATAGCCAAAAGTCGACTCTCCTTCCTGTATCTCGTCAAAGCCATTCAACTTGACTCTCACCCGGACGGGTCCTCGCCATTGTCCTGTCGCTGCCTGCCGTCCCTGTATCGGTGTATCACTGTGCCACTGAAGGCGCATCTGGTCAGTGAAACGACCAACGAGCAGCCATTTCCTTACCACTTCCGATCTTATCAGGTCCATGACGCTAATCCAGCCATGCTTTCCATAATAAACTGGGTTTGCCCCCCTACGCACGAGGAGCTTCACAGCAGAAAGCTGGCCACAAGCACATGCTACCATCAGCGCTGAACCGAGAGAGCTCCCCTCAAAGTTAATATCAGCTCCAAGAAACAAGCAATTCTCCATTGCATGTGTATAGTTCAAAGAAGCAGCTCGGCAAAGAGGACTCCAACCTTTTGTAGGGTGTAGATTCAACCAGCGCTTTGAAGACTCAGAACCAAGTAGTTTGTTAACGGAAGTAATCTTCTCTCTTAAGAAAGTGAGGTACCCGACGACAGTAGCCTCAATCAGATTCCAGGGGAAAGGCTGGCGATGTTCAAGGAAGAAGCCTGAGTTGTGAAGATATTGAGTCCCTTGGCGATCAAGTAACAAGGATATATAGTTCTGCTGTGGGATGTTCTTTCCAGAAGCATAACCAAGGAGAGCGATCCCGATGATCGGCCCACTGATGACAGTCTGCATCGGCGACGTGGCATCGGATGACCATTCCAACACTCGAAGAGCATGGTGTAAGCCTTCATTTAGTATGGTAGTGAATAAAAGATCGACAATCCTTGAGGAAGCGTTGAGCCATAGATCCACGAGATCGTATGCAGTCTCAGAGACTAGCAGACCTAGCGATATACCAAAGCTCAAGAGGAGAGCTACCATGTCAGATGTATTTGCTTCTAGTAGTACAGACCTGCCATTCGAATCGAGACGATCGATATCCGCACCATGCTGAAGGAGAAGCTTGACAATTTCCATGTCGTTTCCCCTAACTGCATGATGCAAAACACCATCAATGTTGTTGATTACTCCAGTGATGACTGTATCTCTGTCTAAGGGACACCTAAGCTATGGTATTAGCACAAAAGGCAATTCATGAATAATCAATAGTAACCTACATCGACTTATCCAGGTGGACTTTCATAAATGACAGGATGACTTCGAGGCCCGGACGATTCACGTTTATTATTGCTTCCCATATGGCGATCCAACAATCCGTGATCCAGTCCGGGGTTTGTTTGACGTAATGGTCAAGTAGAGTTGGAAGAAACTGTACCAAGTCCGCGTGACTAGAGGCGATTGTTATTGCTGAAGTAAAGCCAGGTTGGTACGCGGAATAGGATCTTCTGAAAACAGATACTCCACAATCAAGAAGCCAGGTAGCGATATATAATTTTCTCTCACTGAGGGTCAACAACAGGGGAGTATAGCCTTCTTCCAGAGGTAAACCTATATCAAGTGGGCAGCCCTCCCGGTACAAACTCTGACACCCCTTGATATTTCCGCTGTAAATCGAGGCTCTCAAGCTAGTGAGGAAGGCTTTCGCCTTTCGAGTTGTGATCGTTCCAGCCATGTTATCATAGAATGTTGATCCGAATGCTTCTTCTAACACACCCACGATCTCCATATAGCCATTTCTCGCAGCCAGAGCCTTGGCGGTAGAGTCGCTGGTATTCAAAGTATCAAAGGCATCTAAATCGACCAGAGACTTGACAGTAAAGAGGTGTCCATTGTCGGCTGCAAAATGTAACGGTGTATCACCGGTGTCGGTATATACAACGACTGAATGCCCCAATCGTACAAGTTCGTCAATGATAGCCGTATTTCCGCTCATTGCTGCGAAGTGTAATGCTGTAAGTCCCCTCGATGCTTTCTTCTCTATGCTAGCAGTGACTTCATTCAGGAGGAGTTTGAAGCATCCATCTTTGCCCTTGCTGCAAGACATGTGGAGAGGTGACATTTCTATGTTATGGAAGCGCCCCAGAAGCTTCATAGGATAGACGGAATATGCTTCCCAATCAATATTCTGCTTCTTTTGTCGATGCAATGTCACGAGCCTTCGCAGGAACTGAACATTTCCAAGACGTACGCACTCATGGACAACCGTCTTCGAGCTGTGGCTGACTTTCATACTTGCATTCGCGCCCATTTCAAGGAGTATATCTGCTACCGCAAATGACCCCTCGGACACGTGATGTAATAATGGAGAAATGCGGAGATGAGCTGGTGCATTTTCATCTACCCCCTCAATGTCAATCCCTCTACTGATGAGTTGAGTTACCAACCAGCGAATCCCGTCTTGTTCATTCGCGTCTGCTCCTTTAACCGCAGTATAATGTAGGAGATTCATGTGGCCGCAAAAGTCATTAATCTTGCTCTTGTGACTGTGTTCAAAGAGAGCCAGATAGATAGCTTTACCCCTTTCCACAGACTTTAGCAATACTGGCCATAAGACGCAAGCACAAGCTATCGTTGTCAAGCCTCCTTCCAAAGGCTGGTGTACGTCCGCACCATGTATTAAGAGAGTGTTTAAAATATCTTGACTTGATATATTCAATGCTTGCCGAAGAAATTTGGTGACGTATACAGCGGAAGGATTCCAGTACAAAGACGACTCGATAGCTCTGTCCAGCGTACTGCCGGATATAAAGTCACTGACCGGGCGATGCATGGACTTCGCTAGGTGACAAATCTGCGGAATCCAAGCGTCCAAACCACACTGGCCGGTATCCTGTTCAAAGGCTTCCATAGCCCCCAGAGATACAAGTGAATCCCATAAAGAGTCAAATTGTTTATGATACTCCAGTTGGTTTTGGTTCATGCAACAACCGATAAACTCGCAGATATATTGCCACGGCATCATTCTATGTTGGTCTTTTGAGGAAAGTATCTCGTGAGAACTGAGCATGGTTGCTATCGTCCGATTGAGTGGTATCTTTCTCTCGATCACGGTGCTCAGGTAGATCTCCAATGGTAGCCTATCCTGATATCTTTGTACTATGGCGCCTGGAAACATGCTTTTGAGGAAGTGTACCCAGGTTGGCGATGCCTTGGGAGATAGGTGATGCAAGGGAGATGGATTGTATGTGGCAGGAATGGTGGGGCAGACGCCGATATCTATCAGCTTTTCCATAACTTTGACCGAACCAAAGTCGAAGGCGATGTTCAGGATCGAGTCATGTTCGTCCCAAAATCGGGGAATAGCGTTACAGTATTCGATGAATTTCAAGGCTTTAGCTTCCCTGACCCGAAAAGGCTGACCATATTCATAATCATTGTTAGCATCTGAACTCCTCAAAGCGATGCACAGAGGTGTCATGCCGGATTCAGTCATGTAGAACATCGCCTTCAAGCTTCCCTCAGGGTTGGTGCGAATGAGAGCGTCGAAAAACTGTGGATTGCTGGGTTTTACTGCCACCATATGCCAGAGATTTGCTCCATAGGTATTCGGTTTGAGCGCATCCATGCCATACCGCACAACGGTATCAAGTAGACTGCCATCCCCTTTGGTATTCATTAGTGACACGGCGTTCTGGCCATTCTCGCTAAGGGCATAGGGATCACTTCCCAGACCTAGCAGAAGATCAAAGCATCTGCCTGCGTTTTGCCATGCTGCGTCTTGGAGCAGGGTTGTTGGACTCGTATTGTCTGAAGTCCAACAATCCTGAATACTGACACGTCCATCTTTCACAAATTTGCGAAGTGCTTCGGCATCATCGTTCTTCACCGCCACTTTCATCTGGGTTTTGATCCCATCCAGTGAAAGAGAGATCCTAGTGTCTGTCAAGGCAGGGTTGTTGGTAAATGACATTCCCATAGAAACAGCTGTGGACCAGAGTAGAGTTCCAAGTTCGAATCCCCACGAGGTCTCGAGTAGTGCCATGTCATGTAAGTGGTTGTTTAGTTCCAAAAGGGCCGATTCCAATTGAGATGAAACCACAAACGTGCGGCGCCATTTATGGAAGTATTTGTCCAAGCTTTTCAAGTCCGTGTCTGTAGGTACCCCACCTTTCGATAAAAAGTCAATGATAGTGCTGAAGTCCTGAAGATGCCAGGCAAAGAGCATCATGTTGGTGAAATAGGTCTCTGTACTGGCGGAACGCGTCGCGCCGGCTTCCACAAGGTACTTTGCCGTGGCATTACGTCGTATTCGAGACGGAACCACAAGTCTGAAAATTGCTGAACTCGGTGTTAGGGACGCAACGTTAGGCCCAAATAAGCCAAAAAGAGACACCTCCGAAGCCGACAACGCTGTGAGGCCATTGCAAAGGCTATTCACGTCCCATTCTTTACCTAGAAGCGTCGGACAGAGCCCATCAAGGTTGAAGGCAGAGGCAACATAAAGAGGATCAAGTGAGTTTTCGAATGATAGGTATATGATAAACCAGTCCTCCTTTTCACGATTGACGCTATTCAGTTCCGTTTGTTCTGAAGTTTCACGTCGGATCATCGTTGCGACCATCGCAATCCATAGACGGAAACATGGTCTACAAGGGCGTTGGAACAATCTCGTGGCAGCTTTATCTGCCAGGGGTTCATGTAACTGGTCCGAAATGAGGGTTGTCCAGTGGTTCGCGGCATGAACGTAGAACGTCGAACAAGCTATCGCTTCCTCAATCCTCGAAAGTAGTGCCAGAGGATCTGAAATTGGATTGTTGAAGTTGGCGAGCTGTAAGAACCTTAAACATTGTAATCCCATCAAGAACCTACTTTCGGATGGGACTGGCATGAAAAAGGCAAGCTCTGAGACTTGTCGACTTTGGAGAAACTCCAAAACAGTGAAATGAGCTAATTCGAAAGACTTTCTGTCTGCTGATTTTCGTATGAGACTACTGCAGCTCCGAGCAATACTCGTTTCAAGAACTGTATTAGTGGAGTCCAGATGTTCCCCTAGTGTTTCTGAAACAGATACTGCGTCGCACAATTCGTCGATGGTCAGACGATGGGGGAAAAAGGCAATGAATTGGAGAGAAAGTTGAACCATTTTTCTGATCTGCGGCGGACGTTTGTTGACCTTTTCCAAGATGCGTTCGTAGCTAGATTGTAAATTGGGTGGTAGTTTGTTGAGGGCATCTTGACGATCTTTATCTGTCTCGAATTGGCACAAATAGTCCAATTGACAAGAGACCCAACGGAACCTGGACTGCATGAGTGAAAAGGCTAGAAAACACTGCACAACCTCTACTTACATGCCATGAGCTCGGGTAATAAGCTCCTTCTTAATCTCGAGCTTGATGCTCTCGGTCTTTATCATGAGTTGGCCACTAATGCGACGTCGTTCCATCTCAGCGCGGACGTATATCGCTATGTCCTCTCTATGAGCTTCAATGCTAACGCTCTCAAAGTATTTCTCTAGCCGCATCCTGATATCAATCTCGTCACGAGAGAATAGCGCTATACCGATGTTGCTGGAACTATCAGCTAACTCTCTCAGTGAGTCGAGAAGAAGTTGGCGGACCTCTTCCTGGCACTCATCAATTCCATCAATGACGATCAGAACCTGAGAGAAAGATAAAGCCATTTGAGTGATCCGGGCTCGCAACTCGTCGACATCAGGCTTACTGCTCAGGTTTCGCTCTGGGTGAAGGTCCGCGTGATAGTTTTCAAGACAGACGAAACAATCATCCTTTTGAATCGCCAACTGTCTTGCAATCGCTCCTAGGATATTGACCGGTGATAGCGTACCTTCTTTTTTATAGTCACAAAAGAAAAAGGCTCTTCCACAATCTGGCAAGTTCCGTGAAAGTGCTTCTCGGATGATAATGGTAGCCAGAATGGTCTTTCCCCCTCCCGCTATACCGTTCATCCAAAGAAGTGATCCCGGGGTATGGAACCAGTTTTTGACCTCTTCTGACTCTAGCAGCCAATTCCCAGTTGTTGGTTGATGTAGACCAATGTTCTGCTTTAGGATAGGCTCGGGATTCAGATCAGGCCCCATGAAAAAGTCCAAGATGCTCTGCTTTTTTGTGTTGAGGGAAATAGCAGCTGTGATCTCGATCTTGTTTCTTATATCAGTTTGTAACTTCTTCGTCTCTTGGTGATACTTGGACTGGAGGGAAAGAGAAGCTTGAAGTTGGCGCAGAGTATCCGCTGATGCAGCAAGAGAGATCGTGCCTTTGTACTGTGCAATTTCCGAGACTAGGTCCCTGGTCTCATCCTTTGAGAAAGGCCATTTCAATTGTCGAGAAAGCCCCCGCCACCTCGCCGGTTTGTCAAAATCATCGGTAGCTTTCTTGACACGTTTTCTGATCTTTTCAATGGTTTCTTGGCATTTGATCAGATGCTGTATTTTCATCGCAGGATCATATAGTTGGTCCTCCTCCTCCTCTAAGACTGCTGCAAGGGCGTATAAACTGCGCAGTACTCCAGACAGCGCGTTGAGTTCTTGTCCAAGTTGTTTCACGTCGTCTTTAGCGCCCGCAACGGCCCGGGTGTACCTGAAAATATGTTGATACACAGTATCAGATAGACTGATAATACCTGCAATACTTGCTGTGACTCCAAGAATATCCGCCATTGTTTTTAGAAAACCGTTGTAGGCTTATTGAATTCTGTGTAAGTAACAAAACTTGATGAGAGGATTGCAGATTCAGGTAGCAGAATAGTTAAGGTTTGGACCTCTGATATTTTCCCGCGTCAAGAGCGCATATATCGTATCGTATGACTAGAATATGCCTTGACACGTCAGTAAGGCTCACTTGCGAATAAATGGAGAATGCCTAACATGGGTTACGATAGCATGATGACTTCTTATTCGCCCGATAAGGCTTATCCACATACATGGGCAGGTTTTTTGATTTACGATTTATTACTACCCCCACTTCTAGTACACTAACATCATGCAAGAGCATAAATAATCAAATATATTACTGGAAGCTATATTTATCTTACTCAGTTGACTTACTCTTACCTTCTTATAAAAGACACATACAATTTGGTAGTAAACATCCGAGTAACTATCTGTCTAACAACCTTATCATAGGCACGCGCTTTATGATAAGCATGAAAGAGCAAGCGGAAGCTCTAGAACGACTTAATAAGGACATGAAACTGAGCAGGAAACCGTTCCATGTTATTGATAGGAATGGGCGACATATCAAGCCTCCTCTACGAAACGAAATGAGAGCAAATACGTCTCATTCTGAGGCTAAACGTTCTTTACAACGATTAAACAAGGACAGAGCTTCAGCTAGACATGGTTAGTCACGAAAAAAAAAAAGCGCGATAAGAAAATGGAAACAATCTAAGATTTTCTGATGCTCTAGACTGGTTCAGGTCGATGATGAACTTGGGTGGCTGGGAGGTGAGGACTGTTCCACCAGCTCACAGAATGCCATTCGTTTTGTTGGGACTAGTAGCAATGGTTCCAGTACTTGGCGTTGGATTGCATGAAGCTGGGATATGTTCCGGCTTGTCTTCACATGTGTACCCAAGATCTAAACGGTATGATCAGAAGACTAGGAGAGGAAGGTGACTGGGGGTTGATCTCCCTGATAAGTGAGTTTGGGAGAATTGTAACCGAAGTTAGTATTGATCCTCTCTTTATGGGTGACTCTGCCTAGCTCTTCGCCTGTGTGGTACGCTAAGCTTCAGTTGGGAAGCAGAACGAGAACCAGATTAAACGAAGCCGCTGAGCTAAGGATGCAGGGACTTCTGCGCTATATCCGGCGGTATCCATAACAGCCCTGGCTTTGCCCAATCCTAAGTCATCATGTCTTACAACCGTGAGCTATCTATGCTTCGGATTGGTTGGATTATGCAAAGACGGTACCTGCTTGCTTAACATTCGACCTACAAAGAGGTTGTAACAGGCTGACTAAAAAAGACGATTGCGGGTTGAACCTCACTAGGGTTAGTACCATAAAGGATGAGAACTTCCGTATAGTTCAGCTACTACCGCCCAACTCCGCCATCCGCCATTTGGCTGGTGGGCAACTCAACAGGTGGGCTCCAAGAATATGTAAGCAGCTTTCGTGCGGGGTCTAAGGCAACAGCAAAAGCGAAAGTCAGGCTCTGGATCAAAGCATAGCCTTTTGGACATGGGCTCTTCAAATACGGGAATATTCGTCACCAGGGTGGCTGGATAAGGCTGTGCTGACCACCCATTGAGGTGGAAGGCAGCTTATGGAAATTCGGACTTCCGTAGCATTTGTAAGGCTGAGTGGATTTGAACGAAACGATATTAACATAGAAAGACATCAGTCAAGATCTGTCTAAATTATTCCCGTATCACAATCACAACACACAATGTCTGCAAATAACCAACCCGCTATCGAAAATGAAGCTTCCTCATTTTCGCACCCGAAGCCTACTGAGGATCTGTCACGGGAGATTCTCTGCAGAATTATCCAACAAATGGAAACAACCAACAAAAAAGATAGCGATGATCTCGAGTTCTTCCGTTTTTTTGTGGTCACTATGATCGCCATCTCCGTCTTCGGCGCCTCAACTTTTGCAGTTATATTGGGCGAAATGACCGACCCCGCCGACATATGGGAGTCGCCAATCTTTAGTCTCAAAACAGTCCGACTGTTTCTGGCTGTTTCGTGGCTTTCATTTGCCATGTCTATCGCTTTGGCTGGGTACAGCGGCAGCGTGCTCGCTTTGATGCGACAGAAGAAGAAAGGGGACCTTGACGAGGCGACAATTAAGAAATGGACGCCTGCTGGACTTGTGGTTTCTGTAGCTTTGCATTTGTTGATTGTGACTGGTTTTTTCTTTATATCACTGAGTCTGGTGGCTTACGTTGGGCCATTTGGGTGGGTTATCGTGTCAGTTTCTGGCATAATGTACATCGTGGTGTTCTGCCTGATTGGTGCGCAATACAGCTTAATGTAAATATTTTATATATTAAACAAATGAGTTGAGCAGTATTACAGTCAGCTTGATGCCGTAATTCAACAGTTTCATAGCCATATTATCAATAGCTATAGCTTTTTCGTTGAATCCTCAACTACAGGCCTTTGTCAATACAGGTAAATTTAGGCTTCGTAGACATTTACTTGGAGTCATGCTGAAGCCTTGGAGTGTTCCTCGGCTGTGTGGGGCGCAGTTCTGGAAGGATGATGTGGCTGAAACAATTGAACGAGTGCGAAGGTGGAATGCGAGCGTCAGGAGCGAATCGCAGGCGTTGTGTGACAGACTTGCTGACTTTTCAAGGCTGTCAGATTGAAATCCGACGGACGTCCCAGGCTATATTTATTAAGCATGTGGGGGCTGTAAGCTGAAGGGGTGTAATCACACGGTCAGAGTCTAGCTTGTGACTTTATTTGTACATCAACAAATTTTACAGCATAAAACCATCAGCTTCCCATTTGAAAAGAATTCTCATTACACTTCCAAGTAGAAGAAAATCCACCTTTACCATTCTCAAACTACCCAAACTTCTTCTTATCGACCTCTCATTACTATCCCTACAATGTCACATTCAAGAGGTCCACCACTACCCGGTTCTGTACATGGTTCTTCTCTACAAGCTCAGCTAGAAAGCGAGGGCGCTAGAATCGGCCGCAACAACAACCGTCCTCTAATCGAGCACATCATCAGCCAGTCAACCCCCGGCTATGTTACAAGAGTCGTCTGGCTTCAAGAGTACAGCATTATTGAACACGAGTATCTACTGCTCTGCGTCAAGACGTACGACGGAAGACTATCTTGGATGCGCGTGGAACGCACGGGCGATTTACCAGAAGGGGCCGATGCTGCCAAGGCCATGACAGACCAGGCACAATTGATTGTGACCATCGCACCGTCTCGAGAGAAGCTTGTTTGCGGCGACAAGATTCTTGCTGAGGCTGACTTGGACTTGAACAAGGCACGCCTGAGCGATGTCGCCAGACTTATACTGACAGTTCACAAAGAGGAACCTCAGTATCAGATTCAGTGGCACAACTGCTGGTGGCTAGCTCGGGTCATTATGCAGGTTCTTTCGGGGACTTATATGAACAGCAATAAGAAGCTGAAGAAGAAGGTCACGAAACAAATCGATGCTTCGCACCAGAAACATGTCTTTGGTATGAGTGCCGGTGGGCCTTTTGCAGGATTGGGGCAGTGGGCGACTCATGCGCACTTCAATCGAAGGACGAAAAGGATCGTTGCCAGTTTTAATGAGCAGGTGACTATTTAGTTTCTTGTATGGAAAGCAGCTTTTAGGATTTGTCATTTCGCAAAATGGAATCAATATCATCTTTTATAAACAACACGTAAGGAAAAATACTCGTCTCTAGAAACCACTCTTCCACGCCGCACCCTAATTCATCAAGTCTAGTGTTCGCAAAAGCTATACTCAACACTAGCCCAGTTCTGCTCTGCTTTCGATTGAAATTTGGTTCGCTCCTCCATTAACTTCAATCTATGCTCTTTAGCCTCGGCCAAAGACATAGGCATGCTCGAGGTAGCCTCGCTCCGAACCATATCCATCAACTCCTGAGGCAAAGGTGTACCATGCTCAAGAGCAGCTTGAAGACCAGGATGAAAAATCTTCTCAGCCTCCAAGTTTCCAAAGGCGCTCTCCAGCCACCAATCTCGCTGCTGAGGCGGTACGTTGCCCGTGTTGATGATCCGAGTGTGAGGATCGACTAGCCACAGCGCAATGAATCGACGATGACCTGGCTTCGTCTTGTCCTGTAGCTCGAAAGGCGAGACGCGATGGTGAAAGACATTGGGAAAGGCGAGTAGCCTTCCCTCCTTTGTTTCAACGCTACCGTACTGTTGAAGGCAGCTGCCCCCCCTCATTTGTGTACCGTACACTCGTTCCATCCAAGTAAAAGAATCCTGACCTACCCTGTCCTGAAACTTGTACTGGTCCTCGGCTGTCTGCATGCGGAACTTCAAGGAGCTGGGTTTGACGTTTTCTGAATCCAAGTAGTAAAGAGCCGTGCCCACGATATGCTCGTTCATCTGACCTTCGACGTGCCATCCACCAGCTGGGAAGCTGGGCTTGTCGGGGGTCAATTCAATCGAGGCCATCTTGACGATGACTTGGATGTCCTTGAAGCGCTCTCGTAGAGACTCGCCAGGCTTGACACCGTAGTCGCAAGCCTTAAATTTTGGCGCATCAGGCTGAACTGGTCCCCTGATAAGCTTCCAGTACTGATGCTGTCGCTCTTCGTCGTCCTCGGCTTCATGATACTCCTCATGGTCCCAACGACTGTAGTCGCTGTCATCTTCACCCGGTACGTCATGGTCTTCGCTGCACTCAGGAACATCTTCGAGCTTGATGTTCCAGTTTTCTTCATTCTCATCGCTGGAATGGTGTAAGTAAAGCTCATTCCAAGTGAATGTAGAAACTTACTCGGGATTAGTAGGCATCGGAAACCGAGGCTTTGTCCTGCAAGCCCCAACCGTCCTGAAGTTTCGAAAGACAGGTATGCAAAAGTCCCAGGCCGGTAGTGCTCTCTCAATAAGCTTCTCAATGGTGCTGTATATCTCACGGTGTTTCGTAGGGTGAAGGCCATTGATGTAGCTCGTCAACTTCACACTTCCATCATCCTGGAAGCGAACATTGGAAGGTAGCCACTGATAGTTTTCGGACCAATAAGATTTATCGACACTGCTTCCTCCAATATGTGCACTGTATCGGTATCCTCTCTCATCACGCATGGGTTCGTTCTTGGGTATGATCTCTCCTTTGCCGCTCCATCGGTCGATAGCATCCTCTACCCCAACTACCTCGTCGCGAAAGACTCGAGTCTGATCGTAGATGAGTGGGTAGAGAGAGGGATGCACGAGGTTTTGAACCATGTCGTTGGAACGAGGATGCCAGTCTGGATCATCCTTCTGCTCGAGCTTGAGCTTGGTAAACGCGGCCTGGAGACTCTTACGCAGAGACTCGTCGATGTAGTTGTCTGACTTGACAACAGAAGCACTTGCATCTAGTGTTGGAATCAGATTGGTCTTCTTGAAGAACTCAGCCTTGGCGCGCAGTTCTTTGATACACTAACGACCTGTTAATAGAAATTGAGGCGGATAACTTAGTATTCTTACATATTCGAGACATTTTCTATCAAGGATGGTCGTGAGTTTCTTTAAATGGGACATCCCTGTGTCGACAATATCGTCGTAAAGAGGCTCGACGGGAAGTGCCAGACCTTCTTCAATCCATTTCTCAGCGATGGTGTCATCAGAGACTTTGACATGCCAATCCGGCTTATCAGTCAATCGATCCATGACAATCATCATGGCAACTTCCCTGACAAGAAGCATCTCAGAATCGGCGCCATGGCAGTGGGGGTGGATACCAATGGGGTAAATTTCATCGTCGCGTCCATCTTGGTCGTGGTGACGAAGATTCAGACCAAGACCTGGATAAGAATGGGGAGACATGGTGTTGAAGTGATGATATTTTCAGTCAATTGAAGGTAGAAGTGCTGATTTCAGTTGAGATGTTTCGTAGGATGCAAAACGGACTTAAATATTTCTTTGTTGACCGTGCGTTCGTTAGAACCAACAGTAAACTGGGGTGGTTTAGGCAGCTGGTGGATCCAATTCAAGCCAATTCTAGGTAGACATGCGCTAAGCGACGAACCAACCTAGATTTTGGCGTCAAAGATGGATAAAATATTATTGTGCAATTTCACTAGTGCGGTTGTTGTGAAGATGTAGTTGAATGTGGGTAAATGATGTTGGGGGAAGGAAGAGGAGAAAACTGCATTGTGTAGCTAGCTTAACGCTCATATTACGGTAGGGTAGAAAACCAAGGGTCTGTTTCTGCATTATGACACCTTTTGCAAAACGTAGGTATTTTTGAACTTTATCTGACAGATGGCTATCTGATGATGGCAATCCCACTAACACAAATCTAATCTAAGCTTTCCCATTGAGTCTTGTCCTTTGCTTGTCAAGATATTGACTTAGTGGTCCATTGGGCGCATCCTCCCTATCCATGTGAATCTCCACCATCCTCAAACACTCACCATCACTCAACGCCTTCTCATCCAGTACCTTCTGCAACTCACCCCATGTCTTGCAAGAAGCAGTGAAGGCGCCCTCTGCCGCACCGAAGAAGCGCGGTCCATCTAAGTATCGCCAACGTGCGACATCATTGTATCCTTGACTAACTCCATGGATGCACCTCTCAATAGTGTATCCGTCGTTGTTGATGAGAAACACGACGACGTTAAGGTTGTGCTTGATGATGGTTGAGAGTTCTTGAGCTGTCATTTGGAAGCTTCCATCACCCATGAGCAGAACTGTACGTGGATTCTCAACACCATGCCAGTTGTTAGTACCCGACATCTCTTTCTGCGCAAGTGCGGCACCTTGGGCGGCTGGCAGCATGTATCCTATACTGAGCCAAGTCACAGGCCCGAAGTACTTGGCGTGTGCTGGGAGGAGAATATGTCGAGCACCATAAGCTGCGGTACCAGTCTCTGCCATGAGTATATCTCCAGGGCGAAGGAAGTTACCCAGCAGTTTCCATAGACTCTTCTGGTCGATGAATTCGGCTGGAGGAATGCTGGAGAAGGACAAGAGGCTATCCTTGTGAAGACCAGGGTAAGTCTCGTACTTGTGAATCTTGCTGAGATCAATTTCGCGCAAGAGACGGTTGAGCAGTGGCTTGGCGGGGCAGTTTCGAATCTTCTCATCTCCCAAAGAAACCTCGGTATCGGAGATTAACACACTGACTGCCTGATCAGGAATACTCGAGAACAAGAAAGTGTTGGTAGAAGTGAAATGGGGACCGAAGCACAAAACAAGGTCAGAGCTGTTAAAGAAATCTTGGGATGGAGACGTGTCAAAGGATCCGTTGTAGACACCATGGAAGTTTGGTAAACCTTCATCTAAGAGGCCTTTGGAGTATCCCGTGATCCAAGTTGGCCAGCCGGTAGACTTGACGATTTCTCGTACTTGGTCCACAACGCCCATAGGACGTACTTCACCGTCGACAAGGATGATGGGTTGCTTCGCAGAATAAATTCTGTCCAAGATTCTGGATGAAGAAAGATCGGTCAAAGCATTGGGTTCGTCGGTCGGCAAGGTCAGGATATTACTAAGTGGCGTTGCAGAAACAGGAGCATCGACAAGGTCAACGGGAACCTCGATGTAGACGGGACGGCTGTGCTGAAGACATTGCTGCAGGATTGTATCGATCTGGTCCGGAATAGTCCTGACATCCAAAAGTCTAGTCTGACCGACAGTGACATGACGAGAAATCTCAGCAAATCGACCATATTCGCCATCTCCAAAGGTATGATGGACCTTTGCTCTAGACTCTTGCGTGACTCTCGATGGAATTCCCACGATATGAACAACAGCTGCTCTTTCGGCGTATGCACCAGCAATGGCATTTACAGCCGAAAGCTCCCCGACGCCGAAGGTGGTAACAAGAGCGCCGATCCCCTTGACACGGGAATAACCGTCTGCCGCATAACCAGCGTTGAGTTCATTGGCATTACCGACCCAGGTCAGACCGGCAGGCTTAACGTAGTCGAGAAGAGTAAGGTTATAATCGCCAGGAACGCCGTGGATTGAAGTAATACCTAATTGACGTAGTCGCTCAAAGAGGTACTGTGAGACGTTGATTGAGGTGGTCTTCATTTTTGCGAACAACTAAAGAAATGATTTTTGATGATTCTTTACGTTCCTGTTGTTTCAGTATGTTATATAAGTGAAGATCAAAGATGTATCATTGGGTGGTGGTGGTTTCGTCGGAGCTTGGGAGAACACTCCGACACCTCGGCGAGATCAACTCCGAATGCCCTTCAAGCCGAACAGGGCATCCAGTCGAAAAAGCATTTACCTCAGTACTTCCCCGCAAACAACACGAGTCATTGTTTCCTATTTTGCAGGTACAGGGCGCGGTTCGGACAGCTATCGGAGCACTGTCCAAGATTGCCGAGTCTGGGGTATGGTTATCTTGCTCTTGCTCCCGAGCGTGGTTCCTTCCTGTCCGCCTAACCCTCGGTAATTCATCCTCCACTTGTCCCCTCGGCCACAATCATGACTCCATCAACAAAGCGTCCCAGGGCTCCTCGCACAAGAGCACCAAGGGCCTGTCGACATTGTCACGAGCGTAAAGTCCGTTGTGATGTTACACGCCGACAAGGACCTTGCAACAATTGCATTCTCGATAACAAGCCATGTGAACTTATGGCAAGAAAACCTAGAAGGTATGGTCTGTTCTCTGTTGTCTGAGACTTGCTGACCTCTTCTCAAGGACTCAGTTCAAATACGGCATTATGCTTGATACTTCACAGTTACCTAGAGACGTCGAGCTTTCAAGGTGGAATCCTACTCCGATTGACCAGCCTTGCGCGTGCAAATCTCAGGGACAAAGCAAAGACTGCACTTCGGAAACCGAGACATCACCTTTCTTCCAGACTCTATCTCCCATCCCACGAACTCAAGCCACTACGGAGGATGCTACAACCGAAAACCTGACCCAGGAAGCAGTCCACGACAACCAGCCGGCCCATGCCCACGGCTCGAAATATATTCCAGTATTTGACGAGACCGAGCCTTCCTTAGAGGAACAGCTTCCTGAGATAAATAAGCCTGACTTGGAAGGTCTTCTACCTCCAGATACCTTCGCTCTTGACTCTGAGGACGATCTCAATCTCCATGACCCGATGGCACAACACTTCCGTAGTCCTCCCGATTTCGATATAGAAGTCTTGTTAGATATCCTAGAAGCAGGCGAAGCGAGCAATGAGGGCAGCCATCGCACTGAATCGTCTTCTTCAGTTGATGAAAGCAACTTCCAGGATGGTTTACCTACGTTTGAAGATCATGTGCGTCGGGATTGTCTCGGTTTATTTGGTAGTTTGATTCCTGCGTTGTAAAGAAGACGAGTTGGTTTCCATATTTTAAATGAGATGCAATTCTATACAACTGCTGCAGCTGGAATGCCCATGTTATAACAAGGCTACTTCCCCACATCGCATTATCGAAGCTGTAGATGAGACCGTCGCAGGCACTTTGGGAATATTGTTCAGCGAAAAGACAAAATTAAAAATGATGCATATTATCGATCTCAGTGATATTGTAGACGAGAAATAACTATCTGACAACAGCAGACTCCAATGTCTTGACCGAGCAAGACGAACCATTCTTGCTCACCAATCTACTACTACTACCTCCATTAAACGCTGAAGGTTGAACAACAGCAGTGATCTTGTCCGGCAACACAACTACTTGACGGTCGGAATTCGTCGACAAAGCCACTTGAAGCGTCTCCCAAAGTTTCTCCTTAGGCTTCAACGTAGCATCAGGAGTGCAACTCTGCCATCCTTCAAAGTTCAACCTCTCTCCAACCTCAGCATCCGTAGGAGGATCAACTAATTCGACAGTAGGCTCATCAATTGCGGCCAAAAGCATGGCTGCTGATTTGACGCCTCGCATGGTGACAGGCTTGAGATTGGCCACGACCACGACTGCACGATTTTGTAGATCGCAAAGAGGGATCTTTCCGACAAGGCCAGAGCACACTGTTCGGACTGTAGTGCCGAACTCTTCGTTCCAGCTTGTGTTTGGTGTACTGGGTGCATCGCCGCAGGAAACTGTTGAAACATAAAGACTATCCGCATTTGGATGTGGTTCGGCTCGTAGAATCTTGCCAACTCGAAGGTCAATCATGGCTGGTAAGAAGGGCCTCTTGGTATCTGATGAAACCTTCTTCTTAGTAACCTTCTTCTGGTCCTTCGTGCCATCTTCTGTGTCTGCTCCACCAAAGCGCTCCCGCCATTCCTCGGTCTTCTTCTCGTCGATCTTACGGAACAGGTGCTTGGGTTCTCCGATAACGTGTCCCGGGAGTAGATCGTCCCCAATCCAGTTGTCAGGGATGGTCCGAAGGGGCGCATTGAGTTGAGCTGCGATTTCAGTGGAAATAGCTGGCATGAAAGGATAGACTAACGCCGATAGTAGGTACGCAAGGTTGAGTCCATGTCCTACCACCGAAGCAGCTCGGGTAGGATCTTCCGTAACCATGGCTGATCCAAACGTGTTCTGGTGGAGGTATAGGTTACCCCGCGAAGAGATAGCCATTGCTACTTCCAGACCTGCGCGAAGACGTACACCTTCCATGTTGTCGAGGTACTTCGCCAGGAGCTCATTGACATCTTTGCTCAATGAAACGAATGATTCATCGCTAGCTCCAGAGCGATAGTCTGGGACATGGCCGTTGAAGTGCTTGATGGTAAACTTGATCAAGCGGTTAACAAAGTTACCCAGATTGGCCAACAGCTCCGAGTTGTTCTTGTACATAAACGACGTCCAATCAAACCGTGTATCCCCCGACTCGGGACGAGATGATAGAAGGTAGTATCTCCAGACAGACGCACTGATACCAGTAGAGGCAGCATCGTTGCCAAAGACGCCAACACCTCTTGACTTGGAGAATTTACCGGCTTCATAGTTGAGGTAGTCGGTGGCATCGAGATATTGGCACATGGTCCATTTTTCCCCAGTACCAAGCAGACTTGATGGGAACACAATGGAATGGAAAGGGACATTATCCTTGCCCATGAACTGGTACAATTGCACCTCGTCGGGGTTCTTCCACCACTTTTCCCAGTCAGGAGTATTGTTCGCTGTGATCGAGATGTACCCGATGCAGGCGTCGAACCACACATAAAGTACCTTGTTCTCATATCCAGGCAATGGTACGGGTGTGCCCCATTTCAGATCCCTCGTGATAGGGCGGGGTATGAGGCCCTCCTTCAACAGAGCTTCAGTGATACGAGCACCATTTTTGGACCAGCCTTGAGACTTGGAGAACCAACCTCCAACTTGTGCCTCTAGTTTTTCCAAGCGTAGATACTGGTGGCTTGTTTCTCTTGGGGTAGGAGTCGCGCCATCGAGCTTGCAGCGTGGGTTGACTAGATCCAATGCACTGAGGAGGTTACCACACTGGTCGCACTGGTCTCCTCTCGCGTCATCGTATTGGCAACGAGGGCAAGTCCCTTCGATGAACCTATCGGCTAGAAAGGCATTGTGCTCCTGACAATAAGGCTGCAGAGCCGTTTGTTCCTCTAGAAACCCATTCCGGTGCAGACTGTTGAAGATTTCCTGAGAGATCTCGGTCTGCTTCTCCGTAGTGGTACGACCAAAATAGTCAAAATCAATATCAAACCAATCATATATCTGCTTATGCAGCACATGGTATTTATCGCAGAGCTCCTTCGGAGTGACACCCTCCTGGAGCGCACGAGTTTCGGTCGCCGTTCCGTACTCATCTGTTCCGCTGACATAAAGGGTATTACGGCCGCGCGCTTTGTTGTACCGACTAAAGACATCGGCGCTTAGAACGCTTCCGATGATGTTGCCCAGATGGGGTACGTTGTTGACATAAGGGAGGGCACTAGTAACTAGAACATTTCGCTGGCCGGGGACTGGGAGATGATTGTTTTGAGGAAGTAGGGGTTTGACTTGTGCATTGATGTTTCTGTTTGCCATGATGGGCAAGAATAGCCTCTTTGCTAGGGAGTGTTGTTGCAGGGAAGGTCTTGAGAGGGAAGAACAAACACTATGACAAGAGTACTTAAGATGGCGGATCGGAAAATGAGTCATGCCAGGATAGAGTAAAAAGAAGATCTTGTGTAAGCATTGGAGTCACAATGCTTCAAAGTGTAATTCGGTGGCGGAAAACCCTGTACCTGAAAATGAGCCATGACCCATTGCTAGAAATCCTTGGAAAGAATTTGACAGAGTTCCAGGTTGACTGAACTCTGGCAGACTTTCGGCTCCGCTCATTCAATTGGGTCACTGGATGGACTAAGCGTCTTTCAACTTCACTTAGTATGACAATTATATCTAATAGTAGCATCGGAGAAGAAGACGCCGCCGTCGGAGTATGGAAGTTGTGGGGCCGAGCTGACTCTCCGGACCTAAGCCTATATCGGATAGTATAGTTTACAACAGGTGAGGCGAGTCAAGTAGGCAAATGATCTACGGCCTTAACACGGACCGTAATGTGATGTGAATGATGTAGTTTATTTTATCAACGTTCTTCAAATTTCATCAATCTGCCAAGGCTTGAAAAGAAAAAAGAATTTAGCGATAGACTCATGTTGCTGTTTTGACTGTGAATAGTTAAGAAAGATGGAAAAGTTATGATCAAGTGTTACAATTTTATTTTGTCTAATCGATTTTTATTTCTTACTCGGAGACATATAGACTTAGGCTACTCTTCCTGAACTATATCCGCCCAAGGACTGCTCAGCTTCCCAAACATGATATCCCTCATACGGTCCCTCAACAGCACAACATGAGGTGTCGTACCCAAGGGGATATTAATACTTCTTCCATCAGTATTAATCTCACCGATCTCCTGGATCCAATAAGCCGTACCAACTGCAAAGACGCTAATCAGTCTCTCCTCGTGCGCTGCCTCCTCCACTTCTCCCATAGTGAGCTTCCTCTCCAGCACCTCGCATCGCACTCCATCCTCGGCATTCTCATTGCTGAACATGGTCTGCGAAAGCTCGATGATACTTCGCCGTGTATTACCAGCCAGAATCAGGTTATTGTCGTCAAGTGGAGAAGTGATCATCTCCAATGATCCAGACGATGTCTTAAGATCAGCTTCAGCTTCAGCCAGTCCAGCACCATCCCCAATTCCACAGCAGCGTCCTGAGATTTTTGCCCAATCTACTGAGTAAATGCTATCACTGTCTCATCCGATAATTGACTAACAGCAACAGAGTACCTCAAGCTGATGATGACTCAGCTTCACCTTTAGGCCTGTTGCCAAGGCATCACATCTATCCCAACGCGGGTTATCTAGGCTCGTCTAGTCACCCCGCGCTCTTTAGCCATTTACCTGTCGGGATTGAACAAGTAATGGCTGGAGAGTGTGTAGACTTCGGTCCCCAGTCATTCTCATCACATTCAAGAACCGTAAATGAAGCACACGTATCTCACGGCGCCCAACTCCTTACCCAACTGTGTCGCTGTGCAGATATCTCTGCCTGTATAAGTTTAGCCAAGTCATGGCTCCAAACTGGAGCGAATCTTGTCTTGGGTGGAATATTTACAGAAGTTTGTCTTGAGGCCATCGGTCCTGTTCTAGAACAGAGTGCCAAGGACATTTCGACATCTTTGTTCTATAATTCCCGCCAACCTCTACTTACAACACCAGATACCACACTTGAAGAATATAGTGCTCAGTTTAACCACGTGAATCCACGGTGGGAAAGCATCTGTTTGGCTTTGATTGTGATTTCTAGAGCTACGATGGGGTTTCGGCCTCCCACTGGGCCTTTCCCTACTGAAGCGCAGAGACGACATATACGACGCTTGACTATGCATTTTGCTGATAGATGTCTCGATATCTGTCTCTCGCTAGATTGCCTCAATGATCTACAGCTCATATTGCAATATGAAAACTTCATCCTTCATTCTCTGGTTGACGGAGATCAAAGTATGTTACCACATCCACGTTTCAAACTACTATTCTAACCGTGATCCGAGGTTACGAGTCATGGAGGAAGTTGGGCGACCTTTCCAGTTCACTGTTTGCTCTCGGATATCACCAACAGCTCGAAAGCAATGGTCCAATACCACCATTTCTCAAACGTCTACGACAGGCCGTATTTGCATCGTCCTACTCTACGGATAAAAATGTCTCGATATTCCTCGGCAGACCGCCGCGAATATCGAGAAAGTTTTGTCACTTTCGCCAGCTTAGCCTTGATAGTTACTATTCTTCCGAATGGTCGCCCGATGCCAAGCTTGATCTATTCGCCGACGCGCGGTGGGCGGCTCTTTGCGCTATCCTTAAGGAAGAGATCATAGTAGAGCTCTTTGGTGAAGAGACTCTCAATACCAGGATTGAGAAAGCACGGTTCGTCATGTTCTGTCATGCGTAGACTCTGCTGACATGTTTAGGAATATTCGAAATAGTGCGGAACTACAATGGTCGTCATTGCCGCAGCACTTTCGACTCGAAATGCCCATGAAGTCCTATGATCGGTCAGCAGTGGAGCTAGACCTTATGCTTGGGATAAGGCTCAATCACCTGCACGTACTGTTTCTTCTACATTTAGCACTGGTCCAACGAGTCTCGGAGCCCGATGCGCAACTCTACAATGTGTCAGTGGAAATGCTAGGTCTGGTAATTGAGGGGGTCTTGTTCAAAGACCATATCGTGCACTCTGGAACCTCCCTCACCTGGAAGGTAAGACACTGAGCAATTCGCGATCTACAAGCATAGCACTAAATGTTTGGCAGGTAGTATACTACGGCCTCGCAGCAGCAGGCGTGATTTGCCTATCCCTCCTGCAAAGAAAGGCCTCAGAGCATGAAATGGCTGCTACTCCCAAGATATTCCGAGACCTTGGAGTGCTAGTAGCAGAGATTGAATATGGGACTTTTGTCTACAAGGAAGATGCTAATTACGCACTACTGGCGTCAGCTACAGCGACCATGAAGAACATTCTGGATAATTTATCGAGGTCGAGACTTGACCAGCGGGACTTGAGCGGGCAGTTATCTGAGACTATGGTCCAGCCTGGTCCTGAGCTTGATGATTCGAACTGGGAACCATGGGGGACGGGGAGTCTACAGGACTTTGAGACTAACTTTTGGCTTATGCTGTCAGAACATCCTTTGACGTTTAATCCATAGATGCTTTAAACTCTGCTACACCTTTAAATAGTGGCTGGTATTTACAAAGTTGTATCGGCAGATCGCTTCCACATTGTTGTATCATCAAGATTGCGAAAAATAGCGAACCACGATGGAGGAGGTACGTGCCTGATCCTTACCCTATCAGGTTCATTTGCCGCTCATCTCGGCGCGCCGGGCCATGCATTTTTCACGGCTAGATGTACCGGCTCGCTTATATCTCCACTCCATCACCAAAACAGTGCTGTTTGATTGGCGGAACGGCGACAGGACGCGAGAGAGTACATCCGATTGTGCAAACATTCATTGTTGTCGCCAAGGTCAGCAAAGAAATGAGCATGAATGCAACAAGTGCCCTTTCTGGCACAGAGGTATCCATCTCATCTCGTGTTGTTTTCTAGTCAAGACTGATATCTTTTTCGACCTACACCTTTGAACAAAGCCAATTCACTTTCTGCCAACGATACATATTTAACTCATTCATCAAGTCGAGATGTCGTCAAACTCTCCATGCACTCGGTTTTCATGGCGAGAGTCGCCTCAAGGCGTTTGGGAGCGTGACCTCGACGAGTGCGAGGAATTCTACCGCCTCTTCACCAAGAAAGACGAGGGCTGTTATCCCATCACGGGTTGTGCATCATTTCAAATCAAGACTTCCGACGTTGATCGTGAAGATCGCGTCGAAAGTTCTCTGCAAAACGCGTGGACATTTCTTCGCTACAAGCACCCGACACTGGGGTCTCGCATGGAGCGTGACAACGACAGTGACAAATGGAAAAGAGTTTACGCGCCGTTCCGGACTGATGATGATGTAGACTGCTGGTTGCAATCAACATTCAAGACCATTGACTTAAGCCAGAGTGCAGTGGATTGGTTCAACAACGACGCGCCCGATTTTGAACTCCCGACCGTTTATCTTGTCAGGTCCACACACGATACGCCACGCCAGACCGTGTTTCTCAGATGCCCTCACGATATTACCGACGGCGTTGGTGTCCTCCAATTGATCAATCAACTGTTGACCCAAGCTGCTCTAGTCTATGGACAGTCGACCGATTATGCATACCCATTGCCCGATGACGAGCTAGATACCAGACTCTCACCCTCTCTACGCGTCGCAGGTTCTATCCCTGATTCATTGTCAGACACCCAAATGCAACGTTTTGAGGAGATACAACGCGAGAATGGAAAGGTTTATAACCATCCGGCCTTGCTGAGTCTCCCTCCCAGCTCTTCATCCAATACCGACCAGGTTCAGCGCGTCGCCGTCTCGATTCCCAAGGATGAATCGACCCAGATCTTAACCAACTGCAAAGCCATCGCGCCAGGAGTCAGCGTGACTCACGTCTTTACCTCAGCTCTGGCAATGGCTCTCTGTGAGGTACAACCTCGGAGACAGGACTCTTACCCTGTTCGCTACGTCAATCATGCCATGATCAATCTCCGTCCATACTGTTTCCAGCCTTACAACGGCCCTGATCATGCAGCTTCTGCATTTCACACGGTATCTGCTCAGGCACTAGGCATTGATCTGGATGTACTTGCCTTGGCTGATGAAAACGAGTATAAACCTAGTCAACTGCCTTTGGTGGCCACTCAAGTTCGAGACTTTTACAACCAAGTCAAGCCAATCCCAGGGCGAGCATATGAACAAGTTTCCCTGGCCCCACAGACGTTCAAAGCTCTCTCTCCCCCACCTGGATCAGATCCATATGCTGCCTCAAACCCTCCGTTTTGCCCTGTCGCTCTCTCCTCTATCGGCAATATTGCATCGATAGTCGAAAATGCCAACGATGTCTTTGAGCTCGCCGACGTTTGGGCTGCTAGCCAACCTATCGGTGCGGGTGTCGCAACGTTTCTTGGATGTTGGGATGGGAAAATTGAGCTTTCTGGCGTTTTCAACACGCAATATCACGACCAAGATCACATAGAAAAGTTTCTGAAGTCTATAGTGGGCTATGCTTATAAAGGCCTTGGAGTTCTTGAAGCATAGATTATGTCCAAGCAGAACCGCGGGATGATATGATAGGGCCAGCAGTTGAAATGTATCTAGATTGAGAAACTAGATGAGGCCGTTCCAAAAACTCCCAGTGGTTCACTTTTTCCAAAGTTGTTTTAGTTAGAAGATTTTATAGTTCTTTGCTAGCCTGAAATAGCATCCCCAGTCAAAAGCGCTTTGATCATGGGTGTGAATAAGAATTTCGACGACCAAGTTAGAACGACTGGTTTCGTGGTCTAACGGTTATGACTGCGGATTCTGATTCCGCCAGCGAGGGTTCGACTCCCTCCGAGACCTTTCTTTTTGAGTTCCATTCTTCTTCGTGGAGTCATCTAACGGACTTTTCAAGTGGAGGGTGGGGCATGAAGCGGTCCCTGTGAAGTGGGGAAGCTAAGCAATTCTATTTACTTTTTTTTCACTTGTTTCATAAATGATCAGTAAGCCAATGTATTGAACTGATAAGGCGGTTGCCGATCTAAGTGAGGGGGCGCATTGTACAACGTATGTTGATGACTGGTAGAACCAACTGTACCGCTTACCCCCAGCTTAACTAACTGTATTGGATATTTACATTAGATGAACCGACCTTCTTGTCGCCCACATAAACCGCAAACTCAACAGCTGCACCAGAAGGAACCATTTGGACATAGAATGAAGGCCTTACATACTTTTGACCCTTAGAGTTTTGCTGTTCCTCCAAGTCAGAATACGACATGCCTGTCTTACATTCAATCGTAACAAACCGCTCTACGCTGTCTGTCCACCGCGTTGGGGGAGTGTCAGCTTCGCACCGACACAGTTTTAGCTTAATAGTACCATCAAACCTGTCTTTAGTAAATGTCTGGCTGAACTTGTGCAAGACCCTCTTTTCTGTAAGTACATTCTCACCCTGGAACTGATGTTAATGCCTACCGTACATAGAGGGATCCAGAGAGATTATTCACCTTTATTAAATACCATTTCATCTGGTTTTGTGCTTCAAGATACTCTAGCAGAGGATTCCAGTGTTTGTCGTGCTCCAGGTGAAGACCTTCCACAAAGGGCTCGTTCCATTCATGGCCATAACTGGCTCTGGATATAGTGGACGTGACGGCTATGCTCGATGGGATAGTGCTGTTAGAACGGAAGGTTGGCAGAAATCCCTGATATACAGCTCCACGGCAGATAGCTGTGCGTCTGGTCATTGAAAAGTAAGCGTAGGCTCCTCATCTGCAACTTGAAACTTACGGCCTGCTTCCGGTGGACTGCAATATCGCTATCTTTGCGTAGTCATACCGTTCTTTTAAATGGTCATATAAATACGGGCTTGAGCCCAGCCCCCCAACAAGAACAATTCCCTATTGACCACCATATTAGGTCAGAGATATGCCGGAGAAAGAACAACAAAACTTACACTTGGTTGGAGACCTTTATCCCATGCCTGTCCAACCTGATTATCTACCAATTCATCGATTTCTTTAAACACTTTTGCAAATGCCTTTTTAATGTGGGATCTGTAGCTGTGATGAGAACCCAGAAAGTGCACCACACACAGCATTGACTTACTCGCTGAGATGCATGCGCGCATTCTTGATATACGGTTCCCTTGTGACATCCGTAAAGCTGTCCATGTGGCCGAAAGCCTCAGCTGGTATTTGGACCGTGTACTTCTTATTGGAACCGGTTAGCTTGAACCGCGGTTTAAGAGAAAGTTCCCATTCTTTGTGGAGCAGCTCCCTTGCCACTTCTGTGGTCAACCTATCCCACTTTCGACCGAGTCGGTTCTGAAGAATGGCTTTAAATTCTTGATCAATGAATATCCTACCACAAAGTCCGCCTATCCATGGAAGTCAGTGTTAGCCTAGCTTCAAACTTGAAAAGAGGCAAAATAACTGACCAGTCCCTGGAACAGCTTCTTCTAACAGCAATGGGTCAACTGAACCAATCTTGTAAGTAATCAAGTCCTGAGTATAGAATATCAGGCTCTACTGTGATAGATAAAGGGACTGTGCAGGCTTACAACTGTACCACCTCCTGCATCGCAGACGATGTAGATCTCGTTGGGCTGCAATTGCCTCCCTAAGTCATGCAGCGTTGCCAGAGCTGCAGCCTGCGGCTCAGGAGCGAAACTGAGTTGAGTCTGCCCCGCGGTCCGATAGTTCAGGATCCCTGCTCTCATGACGGCATGCATCATCTGCTCTCCCGCATAGTCTTTCCAGATTGCTGGCACAGTGAGGACGACATGAAACTGCAATGCATCGACCGCTGAGCCACGTTCCTTCGTTATAGTATCAATCGCATGCTTCCAAAGCATTTGAAGGTAATCTGAAATAAGTTCCAAAAGAGTCTTCTTACTCTCTCGTATACTTTGGCGAGCACGTTCCAGGAACTTGGAAGACCGTAGATCAGGGGTTAGATCCTCATCCTTCAGAATGAGAAGTTTGAACCACTTGATAGGATTGACTTCATAGCCAATTTCAAAACCCCAGGTGACTTCTCCGTTTTTATACAAGATCTCGGTTGGGGTTTTACCCTCTTCACGGACACCTCCCGGCCAGGACGTGATCGGAATGATATTGTCACGCGGTAAATCGGCCTCGGTGGCCCATGCGACGCCTGAGTATCTAGACATTGTCCCAAGTTAGTGATTGTAACCATTTAGTAGAGTGCGCCGCTTACGTAGTGCCAAAGTCGATGCCTATTACTAAGATTCCGCTGTTATCGCCATAGTCCTTGTTTGGATCCCTTGGTCTTGAAAGGGTAGAACCGCCCATTGCAAGCAAGAAGATAAAGTTTCAGTTGGAAAGATGCAATGATTAAAGGTAGAGTAAATATTCGTCAGTGGTCTGTGGATGCGAGGATTTAGAGCTGAGTTTTATTTTCCAGTGCACTGTCGATTGACATTTCAGTTGACCATGTAAGCAATAAAGCCTCAGGCGCACCAACAAGAATGTATAGCATGCTGTGACGTAGTCTGCTGCAATTGGGTTGCCATAGCCGGGTTTGGAACTGCTGACACGCAGGGTGTAAATGGGCAGAGGATTAAGCCTCATTGACCAAGAGTGGTTGAAGACTTGGCTGTAAATCAGGCTGTCAACCCGGATCTGGACAGTTGCAGCTTATGGGTTTCGTCATGCTTCAGCCTCCTTTTCACATATATGGTGAGCAATGTCACTTAGCACTTTTGATTTGTGCCCTCATCTCAACATATGCATACTTTGGCTTCTCGGTAAATCTTCATGTCCAGCCTACCCACTTCCTGGTCTTTGTATCGTTGTCTTTTCCACACCCTATCTCGCATCCGGGGATGTAGTCCGACCACATCACCCAGGAGTGCACCGAACATGATCGCCTGATCTAATATGAAAGCATACGTGGTAGATTCTTAGCCATTCGATTGAGGGATTTGAAAACACCCAACAATGATGGTATAAGCAAAAGCTGTGCTATACTACCTTGTGGGCGAAACTGTGGCCGCATTTATACCAGACACACCGATCGCCCGGCTGCGGAGAGTACGAGCCTGATTTGATAGCACGCAAAAATGCGACCTGGCGCTGATGACATCTTTCAGCAGTCGATTGATGCCTATACAAAGTCCTTGGGTGGCAACCCGCTAAGGCGCACAAACAAAAAGACACACCGGTGTCAATTTGGTCATATTTTGGGTCCCTGCAAGTCTTTTCTTCCATGTCTCACTTTACTCAACCCCCATATTGTAACAGAATAAGGTCAACAGGACACATGATAACACACCTAGTGCAAGCCAACAAGAAGATATGGACGTGAATAACTACCAAGGAGAACAACCTCAATTGCCCTTCGAAGGACCTACATTAACATTTGGAGCGAAGATGGAGGATAAAGATCAAAAACTTCAAGAACTCCAAAACGAGTGCGCCATCCTCAAGAAAGAATTGGTGAGGAAGCATGACGAAGCGGCGGACTTCCTCAAGCGCTGAAGAAAGACAGCCAGCGAACTGGACGAATTTCGAGCTAACAGTCAAGTTTTCTACCGAATAACGGATGAGTACTTGGCTAGTCAGATAGGCTGTTTGAGGCATGACATCCGCGACCTTGCAATCCAATACTTTGAGGGCAGGTCATCGCAAAGATATGGGCTGGCCTACGTATTTAAGGTTGTTCGAGATGCTATTTCCGAAGGTCTAGGCCTTGCCTCCCGTCCACCTTATCTCTGCCACCTAGAATCCATCTCGGAACACGGTTATCATGAGTATATTGGTTCGCCAGAGTACTGTCACAAGGCCATCCAGGCTTTTATATGGCGCGTCATTGTGGAAGAGGTTCTAAGCAAATTTGAATCGGTTGGTCGGGAAAATTCCAAGCACTTCCTTCAACTTTCACGTTACCTGCAACCTGGTGAGTCCAATCCCGCACTGTAGCAGTCGTATTCTAACACAATTCCGTAGCGAGACGAAATCACTCAGGAACTCAGTTGTCAAGGCAGGAGTCTGAGGCTGAACGGAAGTTCCACACTTGGAGGGCTACCACCACCGGTTTATTTCTGGAGCATATCAACACGGAAAAGGTTGATAGCTATATCAGACAACGGGCATCCCAGCACGCTCAAGAGGTCATCAACGCACTCCATAATCTAATTGACATTGAAGAAGTGAACGAATTCAAGGATCAGCTTGCTACTATCATTTATGAAGCTTTCGAACTCGACCGCGAGGTCAGCCGACAATCTGCGTGTGTAACTTGGCAATTCCGCCAAACTCAACATGAGAAGACAAGCGGCCAGACTCAGAAACATGGGAATGTAGGGCTTGTTATTAGTCCAGCTGTTTTGAAGAGAGGGAAATCAACAGGGGAGTGTTTCGACCAAGAGATGATACTTCTACGGGCAGAGATCGACTTCAGGGAATGACTTATCATAAAGTTAAGGCTCCGAGAGGGGCTTTCTAATACCGCCCGCGTTAGATAATGAATAATATTGCCAGAAGCTTATATAAATCATCACGAGGGGAAGATGTCCGGGTTTACCAAATGGAGATGTTGAAGAAATGTATGATGTGATTCAATCGACTAGAATAAGTTTCTAAAGGTTTCAGTAGACTATCGTAACGAGAGATAGCGCTGACCGTATCATAGAAGTTTTAAGACTTCTCTGTCAGTGTGGGTGTTAAGATAATTATACAGTAATATTTCAACAGCCCTATTTTGTTTGTTATTCCTTTGTCGAGACTTTCTTCTTCTTTGTGAAATAGACATCTGTTACCTTTTGTCCCTTCCTCAGATCAGAAATATCCGAGCAGGGGTCCCTTGCTCCGGCCATTTCCAGTTAAATCAGCTTACGTAGGTATTGCGTTCTGGCCTGATTGACCAATCATAGGTCAGGTCAGCAGGCAGGCGCAGCATTAATGAAGCTTCTTCCCCTCTTTGCGACTTGCGGCTGCTTTTATCAAGCACATCCCATTCTTCATTAGCATCGATATTCAGAAAGTCATTGCTGGATATAGTCACTAGCCTTGAGGCTCCAACAAGATGGATAAGTCTTATACTTCAAAGCGCCCGGTACAACCGGCTCCAGCTGCCACCCGCTTGGATCCGACGTACCATGTCTACCGCGGACATGGTAAAGCGAAGAGTCTGAGGGTTGCTCTCAGCTCAGAGAAAGGCCACGGTAATGAGGCGACTGATTCATACTTTGAACACTCAACCGCCAAACGGATTAATACCGATTCCGTCTTCACCTCAGCTCTAAAGAAACAGTACCCTGAGCTTGACCTCATTGTGGTCAAAGAGTATCAGTGCAATCTCTTAGCCTTTGCTGGTGCTGGCCACGCAACCTTCCATCCAATCCACGACAAGGGCGACCTTCCATCATCGCTTGAGATGACCGTCTACCTGCCACCCGCTAGACGAATGAATGGCAACAAAGGACAACTGGGCGAGGCTGTTATCTTTGGCAAATTTCTGTATCAGTGGGAAGGCGAAGAATTTGTCGTCTACTTGGTCGACGGTCGTGATGGTTCAGAGGCCTATCCACAAGTCAAGAACTATTACATCCTCACATCAAACGTTCATAAGGCTGAGCAGCTTGTACTTGCCACCGGGTCATGGGCAACCGACCTGCATGACGAAGTGTGGGTGTATGACCAGGGCAGCTTCTTCAAGGATAGAGAGCTCTGGAATAGCTCCCAAAAGGCGACATGGGATGCTGTGATTCTGGATCCAGAAATGAAGAAGCAACTCATCAACGATCACATCTCTTTTTTCGAATCCAGACAGACCTATAAGGATCTCGGTGTTCCTTGGAAGCGAGGTCTCATCTACCACGGCCCTCCAGGAAACGGCAAGACGATCAGTATCAAAGCGACCATGCATATGCTGGCGGACAAAACTCCGACCATTCCCACTGTCTACGTTCGCAGCTTGGAATCGTGGATGGGGCCTCAGTACTCTCTTCACATGATTTTTGAAAAGGCGAGAGAGTTTGCGCCCTGCTACTTGGTTTTTGAGGACATTGATTCACTTGTCACGCCCGACGTCAGGAGCTACTTCTTAAATGAGGTTGATGGTCTGAAAGAGAATGATGGGATATTTATCATTGCCAGCACCAACCACTTGGAAAACTTGGATCCCGGAATCGCGGTAAGCTATTCTCTGTCACTCGGTTGAACTCTTGCTAAACGACTAGAAACGCCCATCTCGGTTCGACCGAAAGTATTATTTTCCCGATCCGAACCTCGACCAACGCGAAGCATATTGCCAATTTTGGCAAAAGAAGCTCAAGTCCAACAAGGATATTGAGTTCCCGGACAAGCTGTGTAGAGCGATTGCTGAGATCACAGAGAAGTTCAGCTTTGCCTATATTCAGGAGGCGTTCGTAGCAGCACTGTTAGCTATTGCTGGACGGTCCAAGACGAAGCCAGCAAATTCGAGTTGCGAGGCGGCCTGGGTCTTGGTGGACGATGGCCAGAGCTCTGGAGTAATTTCTGATGAAAACGATCTGGACAAACTGGACCTTTGGGTTGAGATCAAGAAGCAGGTCAAGATCCTCCGCGAGGGCATGGAGGATGAGGCTACCACGTAGAACAGGGCCATTTATCCGTAATGTACTTCTCGTTAGTGTTTTCATACTTCAGCAGGGTTGTTTCATCACTGTTTACTATCTCGTTATGAAGCTGAGTGGTTGGATTTGATAGCAACGTTGAGATTAGTGACGGCAGAGGTCAAGCCAATTGATCAGAGTCTCAGAAATGTATAAAGACAGAGGTTAAACGGTACAATGCTCTTCCCTTCTTTGAGCAGCGATATCCTTAGTAAAGCACTTGGAAATCCTCATAGGTATTCAAGCCAACTTGTCTAACTACATACCACAGCTCCTCCCTGAAACATCGTACAGTCAATTAATGCGCAGCAAATCCAAGCTTTGGGGTAGCCTCCTCTTGACTATGAATAACATAGTAGTTCTTCATAAACAGGTTCCCCAGCACTGAGTATTTTCCGTTCAGCTGAGTCGTAATGCCACCAGCGCAAGTGTTGACGTTAGGGTCGTAAACAGTGTAGTTGACTTCTCGTCCCGGAATGGTGAGCGTCATGCCTTCAGTCTTGAAATGAAAGTCGGGAATGGTGCTGTTGCATGGAAATGTATGCGATCCTCCCTCGATGAACTTATATCCCTTAATATGACCGTAGTAGTCACTGACCACAGCTTTGGGAAGGTAGACAAGGGAGGTGCCAGAGTCGACAATAACCTCGCCGACTGTTTTCTTGCTGTCGGTGAATGAACCTTGGCCTACAGCGTAGGAACCAGCATTCATCGCCCAGTGCTTCTTACTGGTCACGGGCGTGTAGCCAATCTTCCCTTTGAACTTGGAGTTATCGATGTACCCAAAGTCCCAGGATGATGGCTTGCCATCGGCTCGAAGGTTCGCAGCAAACAGCTTCCTTTTGAGAGTGGGGATAAGGGTTTCGAATAAGGTGGTCTGCTTTTCGGGCTTGACAGTGTTGATGGCAGAAAATGCGAGACCAAGAATACCATCCGTTTCCATATACATTGGGTTGATAACGGCGGCCTGGACGGCCTGCTTGTGGGCAACCACGGAACCTGCCTTGACAGTGTCTTTAAACACCACGCCGCTGATCTCGTTTCCAAAGGCGTACTTGATAGCGAATGTATAGTTGGGCAGGAGCTCTGATGATGAGGTTGGCACATAGGTGGGATGTTCGAGCTTCTGCCACGGAGCTGACTCGTTGGAATTTACCCATCTTTAGCGATAAATGTTAGTCTGTATGATTCACGATTTCGAGAGACCAGGGACTCACAAATCGGCAGAGCCAGTGTCGTAGATAAGTTTGAATGTCTGATTTCCAATGACTGTAGGGACAAAGAATGACAAGCCAGCTGAGGAAGGCATCACCTTAGCAGAACCTGCTTGTTTGTGGCTACGCGCCTTGACGCTATTACCACCTGAGACAACAGGGAATTTCGCCTCGAGCCTTTCCAACTCAGCCGCAGGGTCGAATTCTTCTAGGGTGGAAGGCGTAAAGGCATCGACGCTGAAAGCGTCGCCAGGCATAGCGAGTCCATTGACCGATGTAGCGAGAGCGGCAATTGCCACGCTCAATTGAAGCAATTTCAGAGACATACTGGAAATAGTGGTCGAGGGTTAAGTCTGCTGCGAACCAGCTAAGTGAAAGAAGGCATGCTTGCTTTATTATTCGCAATAGCCTTCCTATTTCTCGTATTCTTCCCATGCTACGCTGTGACTCTTTGTGCAAGGATGCGAGAGAAGTGCCGGGGTTAGCATGGAACGTGATTTCTTTAAGATGGGTCCTGGCCAATAGAGAAGCAGTAAAGTCGGCAGATAAAGGAAGCGACCTCGTATCGAACTCGTATTGACGGATAAGTCATGGAGTAGTCTATGGAAAATAATAATTCCATGCTTGGCTTTGAATGTATAAGATTACATAGAGTTAAGCAATTTATGTATGCACCTGCTCTTATATAGTTACCTATGGCATTATCTAAAGTGATACTGTACAATGGTTCGTCTTTGTTAATTTAGCTGGTCTAAGTCTCAGTATTTTTACTGCTACGAAGCAATTGCCTTTTGCTAATAGAAAGGATTCCAATCTTGGATTGTCATAGTGTGGGGATGCAACTGGGAATAACAATTATCCGAAGCTCGGAGTAACTTGTATCCGCTTAGTCAGTCATGGGCGCAGGTGACGTAGCTTAGGTTGTGGAAATTCCTGTAACCTGGATCTAGAAAAGCAAGGCTTTCAGAAAAATTACTGATATACCCAAATCATTGTCCAAATCATTGTAACACAACTGGTGGTTGTACATATGCAGTTTCGTACTCTAGCTGTAGAGATCACGTGGGGCTGTAAAACGCACCGACTGGATGAAACGTGGTAACAAAGAGTAATATCCTGCTTGCGCATTCATCATGATCAGTCCGACTTCAGGAACCAATTTTTTAAAGAAACAAATTATAAAATAAAAAGAAGAACATAAGCAAAGTCACAAGAGGGAACAGGTCCCAACGTGGAATGACCTGTCGCCTGCTAGGCTGCATTTATCTGTACCACTACCCTACAGAGAGCGTGCAATCTGTGTTGAACTCGGACAGCCTGAGAGTGGGGCACACAAAGAGAACCAACGCGCCAATGATCATACACAATGCAGTGGTAAAGCTAACAGTTTCCATGCCGATCACATCCGAGCGAGCTGAGGCACTTATCGGTCCTCCTTATCAAGTCCTCGCTTTGACCTCGAGACAGAAATACTTGCTCACTTCAATCACAGCGCCAAGGTCGGCAAGCCCGGGAATTAACAGCCAATCAATTTTCTCAACAAGCTCTCTGAATCATTCGATTGCGTAGTGCTACGCTTTGACAGCGCCGAGTGGAGTCACGGATCTAAGACAACCAACCATGATGCCACAAACCCACAAAGTGTCCGTTAGCGTTTGGCTGACAGAACAGCTGGTTCCAATTTCGACTTAGGGCTAATTAGTCCTCTGGTTAGATCGTCGGACTAAACAGATGGAAACACTCATGACTCCACAAAAGGATCTGCAGTCAGGGTAGCCTGCAGAAACTCCCAAGGCTCAACTTCGTCAGTTTGGGCGGGAGAATGTCATTGTCATCCAAAGGCCAGACAGCTTTAAATAAACTTTACCCTGTTGGTCGATCGTGAAACATTTGAGGATGAAGCAGTTAATTGTTACATAGAATAGATCGATAACCTGTTTTGCACCAGTCAGCCCATGTACGATTAGAAAGTGCCGTAATAACCGACCAAGACTAAAACCTTTGCTTTAAATTTCTTCATCGGATGATCTTCTCCTCTAGTACAGACTCAAGAACTCTCAAGATTTAGTTGGTGCAGATCGGAATCGAGCTACCGGTCAGATTGCCATAAGTACATCTCACTGGGATATTGGTGAGAGTGACAACGGAACATGTGCGCGCTGCTGCGGAGGCAAAGGTTTGTCCACCTAGAATGCCGTAAGGCCAGCCATAAAGTGGAGGACTGGAGGAGCTCCGAAATGCAAGTAAAACAGGAGCCAAAGAGTCGGGTTTGTCTTTCCCTTTTGAGGAGGCAAGGCCGGCTTTATACTCAGCTTTGATCTTCAGCTAGGAAGCTTTGATCAAGTTGAGGAGGTCAGGTTTCACACTAACTTGTGTTGAGCTGCGGTATGAACGGAAGATCGATCACACTACTGACAAAGACAGTTTAGTGCTCATCTATGAAGCGTCCATCCCCACGTGTTTATTGTTTTTACCAGGGCCTTCTCCGTTCTAGAGTTTCGCTTTTCGGCATTGCGTTTCATTAATTTGTCATGGGCCCGCTACTATTTACGGACCACCTGTTCGCGTGACTTGCTACTTAAACACTGCATGAGATGTACCGTAAACTTCTTCTGAGACCGCCTTTATTTTCGTCTACAATCAATCTCAGCAAAACATGCGTCTCCTCAGTTTGATACTGATATGGACGTGGCTCGCTGGTCGAGCGCATTGCGTCGACAGCACAGCCCTTCTCACTCAACTTCCAGGATGTGCGGTAAGTAGACAGCTTTTGGGCATCACTGACCAAGACCGCATTACTAATCGTTTCTTCAGTCGCCTTGCCTGGTAGAACTCATGACGAAGTCTACGTGTGGCGTAGATATACCATGTCTTTGCGCTGATCCGCTGCTCAAAACCGACGTCATGGGCTGTGTCAAGAGCAATTGTGAACCCATAGAAATGCTGAGTGGGTCGAATACTCCGAAAGTTGTGATACCTGCTAATCAAGCTGCAGCGACGATGAACGTGACCTCGACAGCGTGCGAGTACCCCGTGCGCGACAAGCATCAGAGCATTAACATAATGATTACCTGTATTATTACCATCTCTGGAGTTATAGTTGGACTCCGGTTCTACGATAATCTGGTGTATAAATCTGGGCTTCACCTGGACGATTACCTCATTTTTGGTTGTCTGGTCAGTTATGCGCTATCCTTACATGTTTAAACCACTAACATCAAGGATAGCTTTTGGCAATAGCAAACTCCGTCGTCGTAATCTATGGACGTAGGTTGAAACCCACCCATTGACTTGAAGCATTGCTAACTCAGATATTTCAGTGTCAACACACGGTCTTGGTCAAGATATCTGGCTTTTTGGCCCTGGAACAATCACAACTTACCTCAAGGTTTGTCACTCGTAATAAGCCGTTCAGAAGAAAAGGCTAACAAGTTCCAGTACCTTTATGTCGGACAAGCTCTCTACGCTACCGAAACGTTTACGATTAAGATCTGTGTCTTGTCCTTTTATCTTCGCATCTTCCCTGGCAACACTACGCGAATGCTTATTTGGAGTACTATCGGCGTATCAGTTGTTTGCATGATCATCTTCGACATCCTAGCAATTGCACAATGTCGACCGATTAGTTATTTCTGGCAAGGGTGGGATGGCCTACATGAGGGCACATGTATTGGAGTTAACCCCTTAGCCTGGGCAATTGCTGCAATTGGTATTATCCTCGACCTGTGGATGTTGGGAATCCCACTATCCGAGGTTCTGTTTCTCCAAATGAAGTGGAGAAGGAAGGTCGCAGTTTCGATGATGTTTATCGTTGGTACTTTGTAAGTCACCTACGCAATCCTGGGGATCAGGCGGCTAACACTCACTCAGTGTTACCGTTGTAAGCGTGCTGAGGCTTCGCTATCTCGTCCAGTTTGGCAAGTCCACCAATCCTACATGTAAGCTGCTTTTTCTACCGTACCTGGCTCTAGCAGGACTAACATCACCCACAGGGGACGGTTATGATACTTGCTACTGGTCGGCGATCGAGGTCAACGTTGGAATCTGGTGTGCTTGCATGCCCAACATTCGTATGCTATTGATCAATGTTTTCCCAAGGCTGAGAAGCTCTGCCGGCTCACGCCCAAGCAATGCATTGTCATCAGAAGAGAGATACAAAGGGTCAGCATCTCATACCGCCAGATCTCAGAACCATAATAAGTTCTACGAATCAAGGCCCCCTCCAACACAGAACAGTGAAGCTTTGTCCAGCACAGTGGATCTAGTTGAGATGATGACCTACACAAAGCATGATAAGAGTTTAGTATGAAAGATAAAACATAGAATAGTAATCATATAAACACATTAGCCATATAACCCTGAGGAAACACATCGGTGGTGTAGCACTAGTTGCTGAGGACTCCTCAAAGACTGCTCTAGAAGGAAGTTGCATTATTCTGAGCATCTGCCGCTTTTCATTCATCCTAATAGATGAACTCCCAATTTCGTGAATCTGAGCCTCATTCGTAGGCCTTCAAAAGACAGGGGGGAGAGAAGGAAACATATGTGTTTTCTGGCTAGTTGATGGCAAAAGCGACCTGAAGATGGGTCTCCAATGTAGCCCAGGTAGGGGCACACAACGAGGTTGTCTGCATGTGATGTAAAGCAAACATCCTATCGCCTTGAGCATCCAGGTCAGTGTTTTAAGGAGTGGAGATTATATCTATTGGGTTGACAGGACGTTCTGTGTCCCACAATGGCGGCTGACGTTTTCTTCGCCGGAGGGTGCAGATACCACGCACAAGAAGACCGACACTGGTCACAGTTCCGAATACAAAATTCCAAAGACAACATATGATTGTCCATCTTTGATTAAGAATTGCTCAGCTATTGCATTATCTCTGCCTCAACTCTTGGGCATGCCGAGCAGCCTCAGTCGCAAAACGGCATTTCTGACGTATTCTTTTGCCATACTGGTAAAAGAGAAATGGAAAGGGTACGCAGGCAATGGCTAAAAACCCTGGGACGCAACTGGCCCAATGTATTCCTAGATCATGGTACATGTACTACACGCATCCCAACGCGAGCAGCACGCTTGTGTTAGCAATAATCCTGTACGGTGAACGAAAAGCTTGAGAAGCAGCCTGTAATGAATACAGCAACGTACACTGGTAAACAACGGGAAAGTCGCGCCGAAAATTGACCTCAGCATAGCATTCGCGGCAAGAACGCTGGCAGAATAGATGGTATATGCATCTACTAGATAGTTCTGAATAGAGATATAGACGAGGACAAATCCGAAACCAAATGGCACCTGGGCGGCAACAGAGATGAGCCAGTGAAGGGAAGGGTCATTTGTCCAGGCAAACCAAAATAGGCCAAGCGGAATAGCAACACAGCCTACCAAGGACATGGGGAGGCGGACTTCCGGGTTCCATGCCTCATCACTGTTGTGTTTGCTAGGTCTTGTGGAACGAATGGTTACGTAGAGGGCGACAAGAATACCGAAGGCGATACCGGCGGCAAGGCCAAGGAATGCCAAGCCGCCAATGTCTTGGCTCCAGCCTCGGTGCTCTTGATAGACAATGGGAAACGCAGCAAAGAAGAGATACAGCTAATCTGTCAGCATGATCAAGTTTGACGCATATCGAATCGACCTACCGTGCCGTAGAGAATTGCCATGTAAATGGTCAGCAGCAAAACGATGGGCTCGTAAAAAAGCAGCACCCAAGGTCGGACCAAAGCCTCCTTGATTGACTCCCGGAGGGCTTTTCCCCGGCGATCCTTGGCGAGTTTCGAAATGTAGATCTGGCCTTGTATCCGCGAGATGCGCTCGGCCCGTCGGCTCAGAAGTGTGGGAGCAAACGTTTCGGGAATGATCATCGTCATGGACAAGCAGCAGATGCCCCCCAAAATGGCACTGACACCCCCATCAATGATCAGCATCATACGATCACTCATTCGTGATAAAGACAAGGAGGGACTGGACTCACAGGAAGCCTTGCACCCATCTCCACCCGGCCGCCTCCCCTATGAACCCACCAATGACGGGACCTAGGGACGGACCGAAAAGTGGTGCCGAGGAGAAAAAGATCATAGCCAATCCACGCTGTTCGTTGGGCCAGATGTCCGCGAGGATTCCGCCAGCAATTGTCAAGGGCGACGAGCCGAAAGCACCAGCGAGGAACCGCATAATCACGAGGCCTTGAATTGTGGGGGCTGCAGCACATCCTGCAGTCAACAACGTAAAGGCGAGGTACTGATATATTTTAGTACATGACGGTAAATCGATGGTGGGGAAAGGGAGCATAGCTGACTGTACAGAGGAAAACGACGCGTCGACCATGTAATTCACTCAAAGGGCCCCAGAGCAGAGGACCAACCGCGAATCTGAAATGTAAGCAAAATATATTGTGTTGGTGTCAATTGGGCTCATAGGTGGATCAGGTGAGTTCTGATGCTTACCCCAATATAAAAGCAGACAGCCCGAGCTCAAATACAAGTTTGGTCGCAGAAAAAGTCGCCATGACTTGTCTCGAAGGGGCGGTATAAGCACTCGTAGCAAGAGCAACTGTGAATGTTGCCAGAGACACCAGACCTGTCCATGCCCATCTTACAGCCTGACTGAATTGCATCGGGTCCCGAGGATCATTGTGCGTCCACCCAATGATGAAAGGGTCCTCATCCGTTCCGGAACCCGGGTATCGATGGTTGATAATATCTTGGTCCACCCAGCCATTGTCAAGCATAAGGGAAAGATAAGGAGCTCGCCTATGCGATGGTAAACGGGACTCGTGCGCGTCCATTTGTGCGTTTGCAGGAAATCCTACGGCAATGCAATGTGATGATCCGATTACGCCTGCCGAGGACCTATTGTTGCGCAAGTTGCAGCGGCATGTACCTTGGCAATACTAAAAGAAAGACGTGAACAAAACTGATCAGCTAGATGCAATCGCGTATTTATTGTGTCGGCAAGGAACAGGACGGATTCGTGTTACATCTTAATGACGTTATAGCCAGGGGTGTATCCGTGGTAAGGTAATTTCAAGATTACATGGTTGGGCCGAATCTCACCTGATCTGATCCGGAACAAGTGTTCCTGTGCGGGGAGATTTGAATCCCCTACCCGTCCATTAATGTAAGGCTGATTTGCAGGGAGCCCCCATAGTTACGGTTAATCTATTCGGGCAAGGGCTTCATTTGATTGACAGGTTTGTATTGATCGACTTATAATTTGGTTCAGCAGCTATACTTCAGAGAAGAATCCCCCATGCCCTTTGGTCATGTCTAAGAGTACCAAGAATCATCAAACTTCAAGCTTTCATCTTTGTTTACAAACGGCTCCCGCAGATATCCGTTCTCCCCCCATCAAAGAGCTCTACTCTCAACGGGGAACTAGCTATGACCAAGGCCGTGTCAACAACATGCAAGGTCTGGATGATACAGAGCTGGAAACCTTGTACCCAAAGTTTATCTCTCTGCTCCAGCAAGGCTTTGGCTCATCCACATCCTCTCTCAAAATGGTGGATTTTGGCTGCGGCACTGGACGCAACACGCTCAAGTTGATTGGGATGCTTCCCGGTGCCGAGGTTGTCGGTCTCGACGTAACCCCAGCCTTACTGGAGATCGCCGAGAAACGATGCAAGGAAGTTTGCTCTACGTTGCTTGAAGGTCAGCGACCGAAGAGCCTATCCTTTCATGCGTACAATCCATTGAAGGACAAAAGCGGGAAACTAGCTATCACGGGTCAGGCTCAGGGCTTATCAGTAACCTGGTCTTGGGACACTTGCCTCTCTTAGAGTTCTTCAAGATGTGCGGCGAGATAGTTGCGCCAGGAGGGTGTATTCTTGTGACAAATACCCACGAAGATCTTGCTAGAATTACTCATGGCAGCATTATGGATCCAGAGACCGGCGACAAAGTCTGAAGTGACAGCCACATTCACACGAATGCGGCCGTCAAGGAAGAGGGAGCGAAATGGGAGTTCAACCTGATCGAAGTCCAAGAGCGGATTTCAAAGGACCCAAATATGGTTAGTGGCATGCGCGGTAATTGGGAAGGAGTCAAGTGCTCGGTTGGTTTCATTTTAGTCAAACAGAAGTAACTTAGCCTTCACCGACGCAAGTGGCATAATATGTCGTTGTTCAAACCCTCTTGCCGTTGAGACTATTTAGTATCCACACTATATTCGCACCTTGTTGTCATATATTTCGTTTCTATCCTGTGAGTGACGGAGCACCACAATATCTTTGAAACCCACTCGTTTGAAGCGAGAGCTAACGTAAGATTCAACTATCTGTAGATTCTTCATAACCCAAAGCCGAGTCGAAAAGCCAGTAGATGATTAACTATAGATTTGTCGAAAGTCGATATTCCTTAAAACTTCAGCGCAAATTGCTTTAAGTACAGGTAATGAGGAAGATTCTCGTCGATTGTACTTTGAATTGAGGTAGCCCCCTCAAGGCCAAATTCATCCACCCAGGCCCGGAAGTCTTCCCCCTTGGATCGCGGAGACTACATGCATATTTAGTAAATTGGATCCCAATTGTAGATATCAACACTGGAGTCTGCTATCATGGATCAGATGGGGTCGAGGAGATTCTGTGTCGGCTAACGTTGCAACTCAAGTAAGCTTTGGCTCTCACGATTCGGCTCTTTTGCACTTGAACCAATCTTAAAAGGCCCCTACACGGAATAAGCTTGCTTTGATGGTGCAAATCGATTTTCGACGTCATACACCGGACCTCAGTCTATCATACGGTGCTGAGATCGAGACCAAAATTGCTCAGAATGTTGGAAGCACTCTGTCTAAAGCACTAGCTCAGCTTGTGTCTCTAGATGCTGGATCATTCATGTCTATGGGCGAGCTGGATCTGTTGAGTGAACGTGACCAACAGCATCTTCGAAGCATGAAACATCATTATCCAGTGTCTATTGGCTCTTGTCCTCATGACAGGATTTCAGCTCGGGCAAGGGTTCAGTCCACACACAGAGGCAGTCCATTCATGGGACGGTAGCTTGACATACAAGGAGCTTGACGATCTCTCCGCCCGTATGGCCAAATATCTTTGCAGAGAATTCCGACATAAGATTGGGCCAGAGATGGCAATTGGCATCTGCTTCGAGAAATAGTTTGCTGGCATTGTATCAGAGCTTGCAGTTCTTAAAACTGGCAGTTCTTTTGTTCCATGAGATGGAGAATATCCGGACGACAGACTTAAAGTGATTTCGGAAATAGCGGAGATCTCATTGGTCCTTGCCCCGCCACAATGTTCTGCTCGCTTGGACCATCACTTGCAATCCGTTGTTTGTGTGCCACCTTCGAAGAGCCTTCTAGAGACAATGCTCCCGTCCCTACAGCCGGACGAGATTACCTCTTCTATACCGATGGCAACACCTGAGAACGCCGCCTTCATTCTCTTTACACCAGGTTCGACAGGCAAACCTAAAGCAGTTGTACAGCCTCATCAAGCAATATGCACGCTTTTTCAGAGTCATGCTGAGTCACTGCATTTGGATTCAACCTGCCGTGTGTTCCAGTTCGCGGCATATACCTTCGATGTCTCAACCATGGATATCTATACGACCCTCATGCAGGGAGGATGTCTTTGTATTCCCAGTAAAAGCGATCGTCGTAATAACATCGCTGGTTTTATCAATCAATCGCAAGTGAACTGGGCTGATCTCACAGCAACTGTTGCGAATCTCATATATCTGCAAGAGGTACCAACGCTGAAGACTCTGATCTTGGCAGGTGAAGCTGTGCAGGAAGAGCACCTGGAGCGGTGGTATGGACACGTGCGCCTGATCAACTGCTATGGTCCCGTCGAGAGCGGGAACTGCACTGCTTACGAGTTTCGCGACAGGCGCGAGAATCCCGCAGCAACGAATGGTCTTGAAATACGTGGGGCACGCTGTTGGATTGTCGCTCACCAAAACCCAGACCGCTTGGCCTCGGTAGGGGAAGTCGGTGAGATATTAGTTAAAGAACCTACTCTCTCAAGATGTTACCTCAAAGACCCTCTGCGCACGCGAGCCTGTTTTTTAAAGAACCCGATACGGAGCATAGATGGTCGCTTCACCTATCCTAACTATGCGGGTGTGCGCAGGTTCTACCGGACTGGAAACATAGCCTATATAGATCCAGATAGCCTGCTTGTTTTCGTCAGTCAAGCACACTAACAAGTAAAAGTCCAGATGGGAGTGCTAGATATAAGAGACAAGAATAACAGCAAAAGTGCACCCTCCAAGGCTGGCTATTATCATAGAGCTGAGTCTAGAATAGGATCAATCAGGGTGGCGCGAGGCATAATCTTCTACTGTGGCGTGAAATCCTCATTTAGCGTCAGCATTTAGTGGTAAGCTATGAGTCTAATTCAGCTTCCGCCACTTGTTGTACAATTTTTAGAATATCCTCATTAGCCTCCGTTCAGAGATGGAGATATTGAATTGTAGGATTGATATACTTCCCTGTTTAAAATACAGCTAACTGATGATGGCGACTCTCTTCTGACTAGATTGCTACGTAGTAAATATTGGAAACGCTTGGACCTTCTGATTGCTTCCAATTATGTGCTTGTTGATTGAGGCATTCCTGGCACGGAGCCAAGCTGACGCCACATAGCAGCAATTTACCCTAGAGACAAAGCTGAAAGAGTACGCGGTCTATGTGACTACAACAGCGGTGAATACTTCTGGTCCGCTAAGCAAGCTTTTGTGAGACTGGGGATTTACTCTATAGTTAGGGGGTGCATAGGACAAATTACACGGATAACTCAAAAGTCAAGAGTGGAGATGTGGAGTATCCTCAATGCGGCGTTGGACTATTCTTAGCTTAATAACTAGGGGAAGGGATGAAATAATTAATAACCGGGATGTATACAAGACTCATTCTCCCGTGTTCGAGAAACTCAAGGATAACCTGGACCCTAGTCTTCTGCTGGAATGAACGGCAGAAAGTTGGATGTTGCTGATCTGGCTTGGAAATCTTGACCGACTTGACAGCTCGCTTCCGCCGATTGAATACGACGCAGTGCTGGGTTGACGTCTTGGCGTCATTTCGGTACTCGAGACCCGGTTTCGAAGATACCCACCTTTCTTGACCCTTGAGCAGTTCCCATTGGACAAATAGCTATACGAGAGAATAACAGCCGGATACTATAGGGACTAAATGTTTGACTAAACCTTTTAGAGACAACCCCCGTTCTTGGGGTGATTATTTTAGTCATGTTCAGTTCCTTTATAAACTGGTGCTCCCCGACTTAATGCATACCTGATTATCTATTCATCTTGGTTCGATATTGCTCTACTCTCTAATAAAATCATTCCTCAATATGCTTGCGCTGGGCACTGTCCTTTTATCTTTGGCCGCCACGGCTTTCGGCCAGGATCTCAGCGGTAACGACACAACCAACGGCACTGCCCCGATTCGCGGAGACTACATATGGAAGCCAACATGCAAGCTACCCTCGCCTGAAGATTTCATGTTCAACATGGGTTTCGACTTCCGCGACGGCTGCGTTAAGGGCACGGGGAACCTAAAGGCCTTTGTAATGTTTGTGGATTTCCCAGATGCCGAAGATAAAGATCCCGACTCGCTCAAGGCTTTGCACGACAAGCTGGTGCCCCCAACCGTCGATTGGTATACCAAGTCTAGCTACAATAAGCTGAAACTGAACATGAAGGCCGATACCTCTCAGTACTACCGCATGCCTAAGGCGTCGTCTGAGTATGATTGGCTAGGCAGAGGGGCTGGCATTTGGCGACATGATCGTTATATTCAGGACGCCCTTGATGCTTTCACCGCCAATGGCACTCGCTCGCCCCCGCCCAAAGTGGATGTCCTTTATGTGGTTCCAACAAGCCAAGCAGCGAACTACATGTCTCGCTCTATTACCTACTACGACCCTGTCTCGACGCGTCAGGGTAAGCGGGTAGCCAAGAAGACTGTGACATTTGGTGCTGCTGACTGGGATCTTATTGCTATGACCATGATTCATGAGACCGGTCATGCCTTCTGTCTACCAGATTACTATTCATTCCAAAGCTACGCAGGCTTCTATACAGGAGGCTTTGGTGTCATGTCCCAGACTGAAGGCATGGCGCCTGACCATTTCGCCTGGGACAAGTATCGCTTGGGGTGGATCGAGGACAAGGCTGTAGACTGTGTTCTTGAGGCCGGCAGCACGGAGCATGTCCTTACTCCCCTTGCTGTCAATGGTGGAAAGAAGGCGGTCGTGATCGCAGGTAGCGAGATTGCTGCTCTTGTGGCTGAAGTTCGCACTGCTGATGGTCTGGATAAGAATCTTTGCGCTCCTGGTGTCTTACTCACTGAGATTGGTACAAGAATCGCAGCCGGCAGTGGCCCTATTCGTGTTCTGGATGCTACGCCTGGCACTGCGGGCTGTGCTGGAGACTTCGATGACAAGAATGATGCTGCGCTGGCTTTGACTTTGGAAGGCAGCAAGTCTCTTGCGTATAAGCCAGTTAGCTCGTTTGAGGTGCCTGATTGGGATGTCACAGTAACGCTGTTGAGTGTGGAAGACTCAAAGTATACTATTCGCGTTGACCGCAAAACGTCTGTTAAGACTGATTCCTGGTAGTGCTATGTTCTGAATGTACATAAGATAAGCGACAATAGAGAAGCTTTGTATTGCGACGTACAAACTTAGATAAACTTAGTTTACAAGACTAGAACACTTATTGTTGCTACCCATTGCTGCCTTATTGGAGGTATGGCACATAAGGAGTTCCATTCTCCTGTGCCTCGCGATACAGCCGCTTATTCTCCCGCCAGAGACAGTATTTAAGGGCCATAGCAGAAGAAATGCACAAGCTTCCCATAAGAAGCATCAGGATAAATGCCAGCCGGTATCGTGGCTCATCAGAATCAATAAAGAAGAAGGGCGCAATAACATTACCGATCTGGCTCAGAACGTTGCAGAGCGCCACGGAGACAGCCTTCTTTTCCGGAGTGCGAGCCAGAGTGGTGGACAACCACGTCTGAATCAGAGGGTTGGCACCGAATAGACCTCCGATAAACAGGTATGAAGCTGAGTATCGAGGAACAGTCGCCGTCGTGACAATGCAAATGATATATCCAGCGAGACCAACGGCGATAGGAGTCGCAAAGTGCCAGCCACGTTCTCCCACGCGGTCAGAGTTCCAGGCAACGGCAATTGATGTGAGTGCAGCGACAAAGTACGGCGGAAACGTGAGGAGAAGAGCTGTAACCCTGTCATAGCCTAGTCCGCGGACAATAGCTGGATAGAAGTTGGAGAAGCCGTAAGCAGCTGAGATAGAGATGTTGATACCAGTAAGGAGCCAAAATTTGTAGTCGATGATTGTAAGTTTGACTCCTGTCCAAATGGTTGACTTGATTTCGACTTCAGAAACTCGGTCGGCAATGATCCTGACTTGTGCAACCTTGCGCATATCCTCCGTCATAGTCCACATAGCGCTTCCGCTGCTAGACTGAGGGTAATCAGGAAGGAGAAATACAGCAACAAGGGCAAAGGCTGATCCAAACAGAGCCAGCACAATAAAGAGCCATTGCCAACCGGCGACACCACGTGCCCCCTCAAGTGTACTGAAGACAGCTGCAGCGATCAGACCTGACAGTCCGTTGGCTAATGAGACACCAGTCGACATGATCGCAATTCGTACGGCAATCTCTCGGCGGGTGTACCAACTCGACATGACGTATATAGCCTATGGAAAAGAACGTAGGCACAGGTCAGTATATACAACAGAAAACATTGATGTCGAGTGTAGTGTTGTAAGACTTACACCAGGGAAGAGTGGTGCTTCTACCAATCCAAGGAAGAAACGGACAGCCAGCAGGCCCTCATAAGTCTTGACGCCTGCAATTGCCGCAGAAACACCAGACCAAAGAATGGCCATACCAGGAAGATATAGACTAGGTCGGATCTTTCCGATGATCATATTCGAGGGGACCTGACCGAGAACATAGCTGGCGACCATTGCCTGCAATTAGCTAAATTGGTCCTGGAGAGAATAAAGGATTATGTGTGCTTACCCAGCACTGAGAATAGAGACGGCAGACCCAAACTGCGATCCCTCGAGTCCAAGATCCTGATCAAGAGTACTCAGGCGAGCTTGTCTATTGTAAACTGATCAGTCTTATGTACACAAGGATCATCTCGAGCTAAGAAGTGCTTACCCGATAGAGGCTCTATCAAGATAGTTGAAGACATAAAGGAGCCAGAGCGTTGGCAGGAGAGTCATGTCCAGCCGGCGGACAACCTTCTTCTCTAAGGCTTCCCAATCCGGAATCCCAAGTTCTGCAAAAGCAGACTCACGAGCAGATGTAGGTGTCGCATTGACACCTAGATTCTTGACGCTACCTTTTTCGGCCAGCTCGATGGCTTCGGCCTTATCGGTATTAAACGCATCTTTCTTATCATCGTCCACTGCGGCCAGGCCAGCAACAGGGTCTGCCACACGGTCGTTGGAAGACATAGGGTTTTGTTGAGAACGATAGGATTGATGAATACGAGTTCTTAGCCAGATAGTTAAAAGTCAGAAAAGCCAGTATACTATTGTGATAAACGGGTAACTACCGTATCATCATGTCCTTTTTATATTTACAAACAAGTTCAACCTGCTGATGAATTCATTACCCCGCAGTCTAAAAGCGAACCCCAGACTTCCCCGGATTGTCAAGATGTTCCAGTTAGGTAAAGATCTCGAGCTCACCATACTTTTGCATGCCGGGACTGGCATTAAATATGCCAAGTAATGCCAAGTAATAAGAAAGGCCGACAAATTTTACCCTACGGGCTTTCGGAATACCGCCGAACCGGCCAAAACCCGAGGAAGTTTTCTACTCGCCCAACGGACTAATTGCTGTCTTTCAGTCGGCGTTTTATAGCTCCACTCGGCGTTATGCAGCTATATTTGGTGGTTTAGAGTTACCCTCGGTTCTTTGCCTGTTCCCTGACAGTGGACCTGGACGAAATGCATAAGCCAAATGAGTCTAAGGCGTATATGCAAAGTATAATACAAGTACAAGTTACAGATTGCAATGAAATACAGAACCAGGCTTACATCAATATGTAAAATCAATCAATATCCAGTGCTAGACATCCGAAATCCCTCAAGCCGCTTCACGTTCGCGGGTATACACAAGTTTTCCACCACTGACCCTGCCCTCCCTAAGTTCTTCCAATCCACATAAGATACCCGGTAACCCACTAGCTCCTCTATTGAGATAAACTCTGGGTGGCTTGACCGACCCGTCTGCAAAGTACTTCTCAGCCATCTTCACAAAATCCTTCTGAAACTCAAAATCTTCTGGCACAGCGTCGAAAAACTTCTTCTCATACATCCAAGGTTCGCCAAAAGCAGAATACGCAAGGATAGATCTAGCCACTACATGAGGGTTCAGACGCTGGACGTCATCTTCGAAACCGGGAACGAGAGCGACGTATCTCGCTTCCGCGGACTTGTGCATAATTGATGCAGCAAGGGCTGTGCTGGATTTGCTTGGGTAGGTATCGAAAACGAATTTAACTGGCCCGTCGGCCAAGCGCAGAATGTCATCGGCAAGAGTAGTGGATTTGTAATCCAATACATGGTCGGCGCCCAAGGACTTGACGTATTCGGCGTTGGAGGGTGACGAGGTCGTTATCACCGTTGCACCGGATAGTTTTGCAAACTGAACAGCCGAAATACCCATGGCTGTACTGCCGCCATAAATGAAGACATAATACGGTTGTTCGGGGCGTGCATCTGGAAGAGGAATTTTTAATGTCTGATACAAGCCAACGCCCTTGGAACAGCATCATCAGCGCACAATCCCATGTTATGTTTGTTTGTGAAGATATGCTGAGCTTACCATAGTTATGAGCGCTATACCCTGCGTCGCAGCATCCACGTCGCTGAGGTTCTCAGGTATCTTCATCTGAATGTCGCCCTTGACGTGGATCAAGTCCGCGAAAGCTCCATCCTGCCTCCGCAAAATATTCCTAGCCCATCGTCAGTTTACCTGTCTCACTTCCACGGTGGGAAGGATACTTACTGTCCCGAAATGACCCCAGCAACACGATCTCCAATTTTAAAGTCACGAGCAATTCCTGGCCCAACTTCAACGACCGTTCCAGCGTAATCTGACCCAACAGGCAAGCCAGCACAGATTTCTCCCTCCTCTTCTAGGTCTAGATGGTAGACATCGTCGGGATTAAGGGCCCATGCGGTGGGTTTGACTCGGATGAAGCCAGGTTCAAGCTCGGGAACTGGGATCTGTTTGATCTCTGCGCGGCCTGGGGCGACATTGACGATGCCTGTTGCTGTAGTCATAATTTATTTGAGGTACTTTATGTCTCCTCGAATTTATGGATCCAAATAAGGTTCTGTTGTGTGTGTTTTTGCCGTGTTGGATTGCTAGTTGATAATCTGTGGATATCATGTTTTTCTTATATTCGTTCCTGTCCTTATATGCATGTCTCATGTCCAATGCCAAACTCTTGAAAATGCTTATACGATGATATTAAGCCAGTCCTGACAAATACCGGTGTGGCAGCATTTGTCAGACGTGTAACGTTTTTGTTTGTCATCCTACTTTCCTATTTAGGTATCAAGGCGCGCCAAGGAAATAAGCATAACTTAGCAGTGGGGGTCAAGAGTCTCTGGTGGTCGGCTCGGTGGAGTCGGTACTCTTGAGTTTCAACTCAAAGCCTGTAGTGCAAAGGTCGAATAATAAATTTTGTCGGTGGAAGTGAAGACGGGGCCGATATAACAGCCACACGACAGCCAAGGGTGGCGTTCACGGCGGCTTTCATTGCGCCATTGTCGGTCACCACACATCGGGAACAGACCGAAGACACTGCTGGGGAGATTTGAGTTCATGGTGCTAGCTTTGCCAATGGTCGCTACCGGGAATGAACTCTAGAATTATCACGATTAAAAGAATATGCGTCATTCAATGGTTGATAAGTCTATCCGAACTCTACGCTATCTGCGTATGCAAAGTTGTTCGGCATGTCTTCTATCAACAGCAAGTACCTCGCTCAAAATGCCTCACCAGCCCAAAGACGTTCCCAGGCGTTCGTCAGCACCTCGTCCTGCAGCTTCTTAAAAAAGTCATCCACAGCAACTGGCTCCTCACCCTCCAACATTATCTTACCATCTTTGACCCCTTGCCAACCTTCGATAGGAAGCTTGATTCTGTCTTGGCCAAGGCCATAAAAATATCGGCCCTTGAAAGTCTTTTCGCCACGCTCAATGGCGTCGTATTCGGCTTGACAGTCCTCGCAGATAATACCTGACTCAAAGGCCAGGTATAGGTAGGCTGAGTGACCTCCCCACCATCGGAACTCGCGTTCGGGGTTGCAGAACCCTTCGCAACCATACCAAGTATCGTCGGTCAGGTCGCCTTCATCTCCGGGTGGGGTATCATCCTCTTCCCCGTTGGAGCCTCTGTTGATCTTGGCTTCTTCTTTGCCGTCTATGACATGTGCTTGGTCATCTACGTTCTGTATACCATTCGGCTCCTCTGAAGATCGATTTGTGCTTTCACTTTCAACAGCCACTACGCCCTTTCCATTGTCGTCGGTGTTGCTTAGTCGCGAGAACAAGGCAGAACCGACAATCCTAGCATATCTGCGTAGTTGCGCGTCGCCACGTAGCGCCTTACTCATAAGGCCCAATAGCTTTGCTAACAACGTGAGATAAGGTGCATCATTCCACCCAACGGAATCATCAAGACCGGCGAAACAGTCTTTCAGCAGAGACTGCACAGTCTCCTGGAACTTGACCAAAGGTCCCATGACAAGATACATATAGGCAAGTGTCACTCTGTGAGCACTGGTCCAGGAGACAGAGGTCCGTGGAATATTCACCATGAACGGTCGCTGGTCGAGGCTAGCCAGTGAAGCAATTCGCTCAGCTTTGTATTCTGGATCTCTAGATTCGCGGAATAGGGCCAGCTGAACTTCCGCCATTAGATCGAGGAGGTTATCCATCAGCCAGAGTGCACTTCCGCCCAGAATGGGGTACCTGTAGGTAGTTGAGTGGATATCAAATAGCTGATCAAGTACTTCCATAGCCCTTTGAGGATTTCGACAAACTTGGAAGTATACCTTTGCGAGGTGGAATCGTAGGGGTGTAGCAGCATCCAGGTTATCGAGAAACTCGATTGCTTCTTCGTAGAATCGTACAATAAATTCCTGCTCGCCCAGTTCACAGGCAATGTCACAGAAAACTGCTAGCTTCTCATCCGCATCATCCATGAATTCTGACGCGAGCCAGGTAATTCTCTCAAGAAGGCTCCATTTCTTCAGCTTTAGGGTGTAGTCCGTCTTGTTTTCTCTCCTCTCGACGACTGTGAGCTCTCCGGTAAGATCCTCACCGGGGGTGATTCCATCTGGGTCGCTGGCCTTGGCTTTAGCGTAAGAGTCTAGTGCAGGCTCCGAGTAACCGAGCTCCCATTGAGCTCTCGCACATGTTGAATGAATGGTTCGTTGAAGTGAAGGAGGCATTCCATTACTGGATGATTGGTTGACCGCAGCGATTGCCACCTCATGTGCCTCGTTCTTCTTCTTCCGCCGCAACAGAATACCGACCAAGTGGTTGGAGGCTTTATACCACTCCTGGTCGCTCGGATTACAAAGCTCCAGAGCCTGTTTGCAAGTTGTCTCAGCTGGTCCCATAAGGTCACACCAAGCAAGGATTTCTGAGACAGCACGATGTGCTGTTGCGTCAGGTTTGATATCATCACTGAATAGATTCAGGATTCCCAGACTGGCGACAGTCTCATCATATTCCTCCTTGCCCTTGACTGTGCCCTTGTCCCTAAATTCGGCAGGAAAGTTTATTGCAGCTTGGCCCATTAGAAGTTTCTCTAAGCTACTCTAGTAGAGCAAAACCATTTGTTAGCCTTTGTAAAACATCATCCTGGACGTAGAAGGGGACAAATGATAGGGTAGTTCGTACCGAATGAAGGAGATCCCGCAGCAGTTCCCATGGCTTGATAGCGGTCAATAGGTCAGGCGCCTTATACAATTCGCGCAACAAACCCTTGACGACACCAAGGCGGCAAGATGGGAGATCTAACCCAACCCGTTGCCACCAGTCCAATGCAAAGCTGCTAAGATTAAGTCTGATCTCTGGCTTTTCCAGGAGCGTATACCACTTCGCTAGCTTTTCATGGGTCCCGGTAACTAAGGCTGGGCTCTTGAAATTGATATCAGCCTTAATCAGGATCTTAGCTAATCCGGTCTTGTTAGATATGACCTCTGCACAAGTTTCAAGAGCCTCAATCTGCTCTTCAGAGGTGTGTTGGTCCATATCGATATTGTTAAAGTGGTGTTGGAATGCGATGGCACGAGCCTTTAGCTTGCTCTCATCGTCGTCAATAGTACGTAGAAACTCAGCGCATGTTATAGCTATCTTTCGATGTGCCTCTGAAGACCCCCATCTGAACTTGCCTGCGTTCTTGGAACTGTTGGTAAAATAAAGCCTAATTGAGCGTTCTTGAAAGGTGACTGGAAGTGGACCATCGTCGTAAATACTGTCACGATTGTCATCCTCGTCCTGCTTCACGTCTTGAACAGCACTAAGGTTGCTAGCCACGATCTTGGCGTACACTTCAGGGTCATAGCCGGCACCACCAACTCGAAGGAACTTGGAGAACAGCTCGGGCATCTCTTCGATACTAAAGTCATCGTCTTGCGCCAGGTGCTTGACGAGCAACTGAACTTCGGTGAGCGATAAGCTTCGCTGGGAGAAAGCTACCCAATGAAGTAACGAGGCAGCAACTTGTTGGTGCTTGGCTGGCAAACGACGCTGGCATTCTGCAAGAAGGATTTCGTAGATGCCAGCGAGATCAGCTGGCTTCTTTTCTTTGAGTGCTCGAAGAGCTGCCCCCTCGCGGCCTGATTCGTCAAGCCGAACAAGGAGATGCTCGGCATATAGCATGTCTATCACAAGTTATTAGGTATTGGGTGAATATCAACACAGGTAGAGTACTCACTTGGGGAGACCTCTTCAATACTATCAGCAACCCTTTGTTTGACATAACGCCTGAACTTTCGAAGATTGTTCAGTGTGTTGAGGCGGCTCCAGATCAAGGCCTTGAAGTCCTGACTCTGCTTTTTCTTGGTCGCTTGTATTTGGACCATATTTGTGCCTTGGGGGACGTCCTCCAATCGGTCAGGTCGCGAGGTCACTACGAGCGAAATTCTCAGTCCTTTGTTGTTGAAGAATTCGGATAAGAATTCTCTGAAACTCTCCCAGTCTTCCAGCTCGTCCAAACCATCGAGGATGATAAAGAGGCTGAATTTGGAGCCGGGCCCAAAGACAGGGACGAGAAGATATTTGACCAAATCTTGCCATTTCATGTTGTCGATACACAAGTCATCTCTCGATATCTGAGCACTCAGTTTCTCGCAAGCAATATTGTTGGTTTCTGCAATTTGAATGATAACAGTGATAACGCCGGAGAGAAAATAATTGTAAGTATCGTCCTGCTCACGGAAATAAAAGTGACCAACATAAGTATGTCCACTAGCATCCTCTTTTGCCCTCTGCGCGAGCTTATCGTGCACTGCAGCGGCCATGTGACTTTTGCCAGTGCCGGGTCCTGATGTAAGGGCCAGGATTGGGCGTTCAACCACGGGTAACTTCAACCACTCTTCCCATTCGGGCTCTGCGAAGATCCAACTACAGGAATCTGGAAGGATTGTCTCTTCCAAGCTCTTGTACTCTTGGTCATCGTTAAACACCACAGGCATGAAGTTCCGTACTTTGTTACCAGAGGCAGGTTTCTTGGCTTGATCCTTCTCCTGGGACTTCTCTTGCTGCTTCTGTCCACCAAAGAGCTTGAGGAGTTTTGCAATATCACCTTTGATGTTTTCCGTGTTTTCCTGAATCGTGTCGATAGCATGCCCGACTCGTTGTAGCATCTCGGCATGGTTTCTTTGGTTCTCGTCTAGCTGAGACGCCATTGCGAGAGTCTCTTCTGTATTGCCGAGAATGGCGAACTCAGTGGCCTGCTGAAGATGTTTCAAGTTATTATCCATCTTAGCACGTGCACCACTGAGTTCTCCATCGTCGCCGTTGAATAGATTGGAGATCCATTTCTTGAATCGTCCAAGCTCGATGTACTTGTGCGCGAAACCGCACATAGTCAGCAGTGAAGTAAAGACATCCATCAGGCAATTCTGATAAGCCTTGTGCTTAGGCAGTCTCGTTTCTAGAATGGTAATCCTAGCAAGGAAGCTATTCATATCCTCGAAAAACACAATGACGATGTCATAATCGGCCGAGACAGAGCGACAAGCCTGAAGCATGTAGGTCAAGGCCGTTCCGATGGCAGCCGCTGGTGGGAAAGCGGGTGATGCAGCAGCTATGATCTGGTTTGCACCTTGTTCCACTAGGTCCAAGTTGGCCGAGAATAAAGTCCTCAAGCGATCAACTTTGCCCTTGTCATGTCTGAACTTGTGGAAGTTATTCATTTGGTCAGTTCCAAAATCGATCATGGACTGCACGTTGTCGAACTTGCGTTGCAGATTGAAACCAACTATACTCTGATAGCTGTTGATAGCCTCTTTCCACAGGTCTGCGACATCGCGATCGTCGTTCTTGAGCTGCTCTCCCAACTCGGCGGGCACCCTTTTGGCTACCATACTGCGCAAAGGGAGGAGAGTCAAATTCTTGATAGTTGAGATATGGCAAGATGGTTGGAGAAGAAGAGGAGGAGAGGATAAAGAAAATGACTCATCTTCTGTTTAGAAAATTGAGCGATTAATGATATTGCTCTTAACAAGGGTTGTTGTAATCTTTGATCATATGCAGCGCCGCCTTTAGCCGCTGTTGGTTAAGTAGATAAGAGCTGAGTGCCTTTGACATGGGTTTAAATGCAGTCAGCAGAGGATGACCCATAGTAAGGCTTAGTATTCGAAGGATATGGCTTTATTGAGATTAGAGCGCTAACCTGCTGCCGCAAGTTGACCTGATCGAGTTAGCCACTGTATGGCTTCAGGCGCGTGCAGGTCCATGGAATCTTCACGAAATTGTCGTTTGTAAATGCAATACAGCAAGTTGAGGATTGGTAACTGCCTCTTCATGAGTTTAAACTCAAGCATTGGAATGAAAAAGGCAATAACGTGTGGTAAGCATTGCGATCCAACTAGCCGATAAACCAGCTATAATAAGACCAATGCTCGATAAGCGTTAGTGTTTCGCTACCACTATAGTCTTACGCTGAGGTTAAGGCAGACCCAAAGTTCGTTGCAAGAAAGTGTAAAGAAAAGATAAAAGAAAAAGAAAAAAGAAAAAGAAAAAAGAAAAAGAGCTCAAGATAGATTCTCCTAGTGTATCACTGTTCTTGTAGGTGGTTCTAACCCTCTTCTATTTCCAACCTCAAAGGTACTACTAGTAACAACGCGCCCTACAAGCCTGGTTTCGGACTCATTGCGCCAGGCTATGAGGTCACACTACCTTCTGGTATGATATTTTAATACTTCGTGATAATAGATATTTTTCTAGATAATAACAAGATAAAACTTGCGGCTGAAGAATCTCAAGCTGTTGTTGATTCCAGGGCAAACTCGACATAGGACTTAAATCCTCTCAAATAACAGAGAGCGCAAACGTATAATAAAATCAGAATAAAGACTGATGGCTACACTTGACTATTGCCGATGCTTTGAGGGCATTCTACTCCTGTTCGAATCGCTGTCTATACCCAATTATATAATTCCGCTACATAGTCCTGTCTAAGATTTTCATTTTTTCGCGTCGGGCGCCAATCTAAAGGCGGATCGAAATATGTCTCTAGAACAGAATGTGCACGTCGTTTTGAAGATCTGTTGCCAGTGGCTTATGGATGGTAGCAGGGACTTTGGATCGGGTCATGTCGTGGGTGAATCACGTGAAGAAATGTAGTAGGCAGAAGATAAACAGACGCAACAAGCGCCTCGTATTCTGCGTGCATATACAGGCGTCACGGGATTCCATTATTTGGCATACTGCAACTCTAAAACCGGATCATCGTTGGTGTCAATGCGGGGGAATGATGACATACCACGGGATGTGAGGTTTAAGCGGGGCTTAGTCTTACTTTTTTATCGTGAGGTTGGCGGCGATCAATTGGGTACGTGGCACAAAACAACTGCGTCATAAGTAGATTTGCCGGGAGTTCCGGAATACGATGTTCTGGTCAAGTCATTGTGGCATATTATTCCAATCAATTTTCTGCAGATGTAAGCGATCGACGTGAGGGTTGCATTTCAGCTACCATTTCCTCGTATTGGTATACCAAAGTGGCATTAGTGCGCTAGACAAACACATGACATAGCTGCATCTCACCCGTCCCGCTGATCACAGTAATGTTGCAGTAGGATATCTGGTAAACAATGTAGAAAGATGCAACAACTATCTGGTTTGAGGAAGACTATTTTTAAATACGAGCTCGAGTGGGCTTACACTTGCGTAGCTTGTATACAGCGGTTGCTCAATTGAAGCAGCATTTAAAGCCTGCTGAACCCCCTCAATAAAGCAACCCTTCAGTCTCTTCACAACAGAAACAGTACTTCAATACTTAGCCACCAACTTCTCATCCCCCCATTTATTAATCACCAATATGCTTTTCGCTACTATCCTCGCCACAGCTGCTCTCGCCATGGGTGTCGCTGCTGAACCCCAAGATGACGAACTGCCCTTCAACATCATCGGGTCACGTATCTGGAGTTCTCCCGATTGCGGAAACAACGAGAACATAGGGAACCTGGGCGAATTGACCACACACCGCGACGAGCTTGGCGAATGCTTCAAGTTCAGCGACAAGGTCAAATCGGTTAGTCAAACTGATCACGCCCGGGGCTGCAAGCGTAAGTAACTCCACCTATACACAGAATGGAAAGCTGACAGGAGCTAGTTCTGGTCTATCAAGACAAGAACTGCAGGCATGGTGTTAAGAGTCCTAAGGACTTTCATTGCCTCAAGGCTCCGACCTATTTCAATAGCTACAAGACTGTTTGCAAGTAGGATCTATGAGGAATGTAATTAGTGGACAGGATATGAGAGTATAGGACAGAAGATAAATTACTTTTAGAGCAACATAATACAACTTGATACGTATGGAATCCGAGTACATTGTTGAAATGGTCGTGACATAATAACGTTCAATAAAGTGACGTTTTTTTACAAAAGCCGAAACCATTCAGTGGGACCTCCTCTCTTCTTTAGAGCTTGTTCTGACATTCGCGGGTAGTGATACTTGAATCCATATCGCCCTGGCTCAGTCTGGGGATACCTCCAAAAAGAATAAGGTTGATCGTTATTTTAAATATACCCTTCGTCAAAAGGGACATGATCCAATCGCGGATCCAATCGACGTGCAGGTTCTCCCTCTTTCCAGAAGACAGTTTGCACATGCTCTGAGCTCCATAACCTCTGCCAGCCTTGAAAGTCGTCTCCCAAAAGAGCCTAGCCCTCCATATGATCCGGTTGATAGCAAGGTTCTATAACAGCATACACCTCAGGTTCAGCTTGGGGCCGTAGAACTATCGCAGTTGAAAGACCAAGTAGGACTGCAATCTTGTCACCGCTGCGCCTTCCTGGGGGGACGCGAACGTAACTTCCGCCTCGAGTTACTGGGCAGCCGGTCTCTGTTCTGACCTCTTTATTTACGTTGCGCAAACATGGGATTCCTACCTATTGCTCTCGAGTAGCGCTGTCCCAGTCTAAAGGACAACCCATGAATTGACGCACCCTTTTCCGCCATTCTTCCAGGGTGCTAAGCGACCAGTCGTTCAATGGCTGCAACTTCTCCGGGATATAATTTCGGACGCCCCCATATGTCAACATGAGGATCAGCTGGTCAAGAGATTCTTCGTTATGGACTAGGTCGCCCATGGCGAGCTCTTGGAATGTAGAAACAACGTCTCGACTTTAATCAGCATATCATTGTAGCACAGTTATAGGTGGTAAATCAATAGGGTCACTGCATATTTCGTCGCATGTTACGCCAGCCACATCCGGCACACCGGGTTCGATAAGATAAGCAGAAGCGGCAGATTGTCCTGAAGCATGACAGGTGATGTTTAATGAGTACAATTCAGTCTCTGCCGGATCTTCTGCCCAGCTTGGATTCGTATCTGAATTGCAGAAATTGATCTCTTCTCGATGCGCGAGATGATTGATGCAAAATGAAGTAAAAACCTCTTTCGCAGATCTGGTATAGTCCACTGTTACTAACCGAGCAACGTCAGGCACCATCAAGTTTCGTAGAGAAAAAACTTGATCGCATGCATCCGAACATAGGTAACATGCTGTTACGCCCAATTCCGGTAGCCAATTGTGATACCCATATCTGTCTCTAGATGATATTGCCTTTTTCACAAGCTTGTATATTTATGTTGTGATTGATTGGATCCAAGAAGGCTCTAGAAGGTGGTGGTCTGAAAATGCAGAGAACGGTGACTGCATCTTTGAAACTCTCCCATAACATCTCCTTGTTGCCCAGCTGAATGATGGTTGTTTCTTGATTTGCCAACATGATTTCCTGGTAGATCCACAGGCGACGGGGCCAGTCGGTGCTAATAACTTCTCGACAGCTAGCCACAATTGTGTTGATTTGAACTGTACGACTTGATGACTGAGCTCCAAAAACCTTAAATAGAACAGCTAGCCAATGACTTGGGCTGAGAGGGAGAGGGTCTCCATGCCTTGTGGAATGAACAAAGTTTTCTCCTGTAGTGGTGTACATGACCTTGTGCCTCAATCCGTGAGTGGCTGAGGACATTTCTACAGAAATGGTCTCACTAGCTACTCGCCGAATAGTCTCCATAACAAGCCCAGTCCAGGGAGCCACAGGCCCCAGCCAAACGACGACACGTTTGGCACAGCGATATATATCAGAGATGCGCTGTACTTGTTCAGAACGCTTTTTGACATCGCTTTGATTAATGCAGATAGAGTCGCACCAGACTAGACATGTAAAGATGCTTTTTCGAAGGGCACGAAGAGCAGAGGCGAGATTTGGCCCACCATCGAACCGTCCTGTAAGTTGAGATTCGACAAGTTGGTCTTCGACTGTGGGTCGTTCATCTGTAATGCAAATAGAATCTGGATTGGATTGGTTACCCTAGACATAAGACAAGACTTCGAAGTCCGGTATTTAATTGTTTTCGGGCGATAAGATCCTGTGCAGAAGAATCCCACCGAGAGGGTCCTTCGGTGACCCGGGTCGCAATTCAAGAAATCGAAATTCTAGATAAATCGGAGGGGAGTACGCATAGCGGTTCATTGTGGTAATATCTGATTCCCGGTGTTAAGGACTCTAGTGTCAAGAACTCCGTGGACAGACGTGAGTTGCAAGACCTGAGCTAATTTGGTTGTCATTCGAGATTTGAGGTTAGCGTCGATAGCTCTTGCCGCGGGGTAGGTTGTGGTAGAAGCCAAAACAGCATAACAGCTCAAGATTATCGCATTTCATTCCTGCTTGAAAGCTCGCCTCAGCTGGGACGATGCAGCACCGGTCAGAGCGGGCTGTTGGTTGCGTCACGAAACCTTTCGGTATTGGTGATCCACTTATCTGCAAACTGACCTCTACCCTGCATCTAGAAAACAGGTCAACGATTGGACATAAAGTGCAGGAACTATCGTCGCTATGTGGACTAATGCAGTTAAAAAGCTTGATATCGTTAACGTGAAACTTTAAAGTTGTTTCGCCCAGCTTATAAACTTCCGCGATCAGCGATGACAGGGTGGGATGGAATGACGACTGGAAAAGCTTCGCCGTTTCCGTACAGGCTAGCGTTCTAGCGTAGAAAATAGCTGGGAGACAGGTTGATGGAGGCAGAATTACTTAAAAGACCGCGTAATCCTCATCTCTTTACCTTTCCATGTAAGGGTCAGAATTGGGAGCAGTCGCGTGTTGCGAAATTTCATTGTCTAGCAATGTTCCTCTGGACTCCATCCTCCCTAGGTGCGTTTACTGGGCGGAGGAATATACAGCTCCTGGTGATACCACTTGTCGCTTTTGCTGTTATTGGATGGACTTTGTACGCACACAAGGACCATTTCGTTACATATTATAGCGTGCAAATGGGTCGGTATGTACATAACGAGCTATACAAAACGAATTCACAAATCGCAGTATTAGATGGTATGTTCTTTTCTCTTCCCTCCTCTATTTCGACGACTTTCATGTTGCGAGCTGAAATTTAACGTCCCTCCTCAAACAGGTGATGTTCTTCCATCAGCCAATATCTCTGCCTACCTTGATGCCATATTTTACCGCCTTTCAGCGCAACTTCCGACTTTTCAGTGTCCAATCATCAATGGAACCCGATATCGTTCTCTTGTTGAGTCGCCGGGACCGTCCGACCCCGCTATTAGATACTTCCTGGCACTCGATCTACGACAGAATCTGATCCTACTGCCCCGTCTGATTGGCAGCGTCGTCGAAGCCATTCAGTTTCTTGGCCCTCAACATTGCATGCTATCTATTGTTGAAGGCAATTCACCCGATGGTACTGCCGATGTTCTGTCAGCCCTTGGACCTCACCTTGAAGCTCTCGGTATAGCATACTTTTTCCAGCAATCGCCCATCGACCCCACCAAAACCGAGCGAATCATGAGTCTTGCAGCACTACGCAATCTGGCGTTGCAACCTATACTCGAGAATCGCGACAAAATAACGGAAGATACCACTATTGTATTCTCAAACGATGTTACAGCATGTCCAGATGACATTCTCGAACTTGTCTACCAAAGAAAGTTCCTCAAGGCTGATATGACTTGTGGAATGGACTGGAACGGTAAAAGGCCAAGGTTCTATGACATCTGGATTTCTAGGGGTATAAACGGCGACTCATTTGTGGATGTTCCAAACGGCGATTGGAACAATGTATCGGAGCTGTTTTGGAATGATAAGGAAACCCGGGCTCGATATGATGCAAGACGACCTTTCCAAGTCTTTGCATGCTGGAACGGTGCCGCAGTGTTTAGTGCCAAGCCCATCATCGAAGGTCTGCGATTTAGGGCTGCTAAAATGAAAGGTGAATGTCACCAAGGTGAGCCACAGCTGTTCTGCAAAGACCTGTGGTACCGCAACTATGGGAAGATTGCAGTCGTGCCATCTGTTAATTTTGAGTATAAGCTGCATATGGGAATGTCGCTGAAACAGAAGATGGGCTTTACGTCAGATGTCGTCTCACAACAGGATCCAGCTGGAGACTTCATCGAATGGAAACAAGATCCTCCGGCTGAGGTCAAGTGTATTTCGGCTTGGAATAAACAGTACTGGGTTCCATGGAATGAGTCATTATCATAGCATTTACAACTCAAGCTATACCAGGTTTATTGAATGAGACAATTGTTATAAATGCTTATCTTTAGACTTATACTAGCATTGAGGCCAATATAAGAGGTTACATAGCTGCCATTGCCCCAAGCTGACTGATAGGTGTCACGTCAGCCTTTGTTGAGGCTTTTCTATCAATGAGACCCGGCTTGAACCCTTCCCGAAGGGCGATGATATGCCACTTTATTAAATCGTTCTCTGTCACACCCGTCTCCATCAATCCGTACCTAATGCTCTGCTCGAGAACGCTGTAGTTACCGTCTGCACGGTGAAGACGATAAGGTTCCTTCAAGCTCGTCTTGGAGTTTGTGATGGCGCGAAACAGTCGCTTCTCATTTCGTGTGGTGGAGTGGATCAGGGATGGATGTAAGAGGAAGACATCACCGACCTTGCCCGTCGCCAAGTCGAAACGACCATTGGCCTAGTTAGCTTCATTAGCCCACCCGAAATAGCTTCCATGAGTATTTTCGAATCGTTGATCACTTCGCGGGATCACGTCCGGGTTGCAGCCCTCGTGGTGGTTATACAGCCATATTGCAAGAGCCCACGCACTACCTAGGGTAGAGAAAGCCCAGCAAATATCTGCAGGGACCAGATTTCTACAACAAATCAATTAATAAACAGATATTCTCTAAGGATTATGAAATACAATAGTCTCGAGATATGCTATAATAGCCTGCGTTTCAAAAGGCAGAACTACACTGAGCCTCTAATCTCAGATCCTTCTCCCCTACGCTCAACAGAGTCTCGCAGCACAAGTTCAGTAGCAGTTGAATTTTCGACTTCAAGTATGGCCTTTTCAGCCGATGACTTCTCGTCCTCAAATACTAGTGAAATTCAATATTAGCCGCTAGACAGGGAGTGAATATCAGGCTTTGTAAACTTACAGAATGTTGCCTCTTCAAGGGTTCTGCCAGATGTTTCCGGAAAGCAAAAGTACACAAAAACAACTTCGAAAGCGAGAAAGCAGCAATAGGTGATAAAATAGCGCCAACTTATGTTCGCAAGCCCGATAGGATTGACAAAGGTAGTAAAGAACTCCGCACAGCGCGAAAAGAGTTGGAAAATGGCTATGCCACGGGATCGTTCAGCGTAGGGCCAGATCTCAACCAAATACGCTAAAAGGCATTGTTACTATGGGGCCGTATCATGGGCCAGATTGTGCCACTTACTATAGGTGACCGTATTGAGCGCGAGGCAGTAGGCGGGAGAATATGCAAACAATAGAAAAATGCTAGCCGTACCGGCAGCATCGTTTGCCTTCCCAGACTCCTTTGCTGTGATTGCCCTCTCCATGCTAACTGTGTAACTAGAGAAGACGACGAGCAGACTAGCTGTACAGGCTAGATACATGTGTCGTCGCTTAAAGCGACGAACAAGCATAGATGCTGTGAAAGAGCATACAAGACTCCAGCAGGATAGGCTGACGTTGATAGTCTGCTTGAAATGGGAAGAGTCCTTCCCAATGATCTGTAACAGGTCACCAAGGTAGTATGAGATCAGGGTCGACCCAGACCACTGCGTAAATAGACCTAGCATGCAGGTAGTCAACAAACGTTTTCGCATGCCGGCAGTTGCTCCAAGGTCAAGCCATGACCTCTTGGTATTCCGCATCTCAATGCGTAATGTTGATTGAATCTGTGCTAACTCAGCCTTGACGAATCCGGATTCCCGGCCCTCGGCATGATATTTTACCAGCGTCTCCATCGCTTCTTGACTCCGGTCCCTAGCAACAAGCCACCTGGGACTTTCAGGAACGAAGAAGACAAAGCATAGCTGGAGCATTGGGGGCGCAATTTGAAGGAGAGATGGAATACGCCAGCCCCAATTGCTCGAGATGTCATTGGTGCCGAAGCATATACTGGCCGCAGTAATCTGACCAAAGAAATAAGAAACACTGAAAAGTGACGTTAAGACTGCTCGCTCCTGGTAACTGTAAGCCTTATTTTATTAGTCAAGGGAAGGTTCATACGTTTGGATATCCCAATTCTCCAATCAGTGAGGAGCCTGATACCAAACAAGGAGGAATGCCGAAACCAAGAATTAAGCGAGCAGCGATATAAGAACCAGCTACAGATGTTCAGCCTATCTTTCTGATACTCATACTCACAGCGATTGTCCTTACCTGAATTGGCAAACCCTTGTACTAAAGACGCAATGACCATAATGAATGACCCAATGAAGATGGACCAACGTCTCCCGAGCCGATCATTAATGATGGGTATCAAGGGAAGCGAAAGAATCGCACCTAAAGGATAGGCGGCTGCAATAATACCCTTGAGAGATCCTTGAGGGTTATCAAAATCTATTGACGCGTTATTTATTAGCGCAATCTCTGGCCAAAGGCCAACATCATGACATACAACTGATCCATGACGGTAATATCTGCATAGCATTGACCATCTGTGAATGGAAGCCAGAGGTCATTTGAATACCCATGCATGTCGGTATAAGCATAAAATAGAGACTGCGTAGATTTGGTTTACGATACCATGGCACCGTGTCTTGATTGGCAAGATTGGTAACGATGGTATTGAAGTCACGTTCTTGTGTGCTTGACGAAGGCACCTCAACCGTTGGACGATTCATAACAGCGGATTTTTTGAAAACCACAAATGGAAATGGTTGGAGGCCGGGAAGACTTTTCGTGGATGGGTTAGAGAGTTGGGAAGGTTATTGAACAATGGACTTGGGACCTTGTTGTTTTGTAGAATCGCCTGCAGTTTGAAGCAGCCGCGCGTCCTTGTCCTCACCGTATTGTAATCGATTCCGAGTCACGGTCATGCATTATCTCGCATATGCGTCCGTCTTCTGTTGGTCGTGTCCTTGTGACCTACCCGGGCATGCCAGCCAGGGTAAGATATTGGCTAAATAGCGTCTTAGTCTCTATGCACCAACATAACCAACAGTTGCTAGTTCAAGTTAAGATCTGCATCCGTTGGGGTTGCACCGGCGAGTTCATGTCATCTCGACAGTCGATTAATCACAATCACATAAGAGAGAGGCCTAAAGGGATCTAGCAAAGTTTAGGGTTCTGATGGAACTCGGGCCGCCTTTTCCCCAGCGCAACAATGATGGTGGGTCTACAAGATGAACCTGGTATACTACGTCTCCGCTTATTTGGGTGGAGCAATCCGGAATAGCAGCAACTCATGACCAGCATCAAGCATCAAAGTAACTCGAAGATACATCATGATACATTGAACCCAACGCATACAGCTTGTGAAATTAATTTCTTGTGGTTCGGGAATAATTCAAATTTGCGATCGCATTCAACTTACTCTATACTTCCATTTGGGTTTCTCGAAGGCTAGGTTTCCAGTCAAACTCTGTATTTGGATAATCGCGGAGCTTTGGCGAAGCCTTGCATCAGAGAGCATCATGCCAATCGTTCTAATTACGACCCTGTCGTTGCGATGAATTCCAGGCTTTCATCATGCAACTTTTCGTCGATCCTGCGTTTCGAACTATCTACAGAAGAGATGATTATTTTGTCCGAAAGCTTGTAGAAGAATTAAGGCCGCCCCTTATCACCTCATTGGCTGGGTGATGTCTAACATGTACTCATCCCCTGCTTGCGGCAACTGTTATAACAGCCCCACCATATTTACCTCTGTAGCCTATCTGATTAGTCTTTTCAATATGCATGTTGGTTCAACAGCGGTTTAAAACCAACTTCGCAAGCGACTATGAGGGGTTTAAGATCTCAATCCTTTCATCATCAACTCGGCACTCTGTTGAGGAAGAATCTAAAGTCGTAACTATTCACAATGCCCGTCTGTGTTTCTTGTCATACCGCTATATGCGATCTCTATCCCAAAGGGTTGGACTTTCACCCTCGACGGGAAACCATTTTAACCTATCCTCCTTATAACACAGAAGATAATCAAGGCTGTTGGATATGTATCAAGCATGCCCAGTTTTTGGAGGAGCGTTACCCAGGAATCCATCGATTATGGCTCACGGACCAATTGGTCGTGGTCTTCCAAGCTGAATATGCCTATATGGAACAAGAAGTACACCCAAAAAATGGTCAATGTCATCCTGGGGAGCCCCTACCGACCGAAAGTCGAGGTGGTAAAAACATGGATGTCCATCAACTATTTTTGACCAGAAATCATAAGGGTGCGAAAGGGGAAGGTTGCCTCATAGAGCTGAGATTCTATAAAGACGAAGGTAAGAGGGAGTGTTTGGCTCCAAACGTGCGATCGAGGCTAAATATCAGAAGAGATACCAGATACAAAATCATATGCACTGGACCCCGCGCGAGGCGGGATTGATATCAACCGGATCCAGGGTTGGCTTAGCAATTGTAAAACCCATCACTCAGCGTGTGGTTCTTATTCTGATGCCCTCTGGTATCCTACGCGTCTCCTGGACTTAGGGAAAGACGGTAGTACGATGGGTCTTATCATCAGTGAAGATGTGAAACTCACGGGACCATACATGACCCTAAGCCACCGTTGGGGTAACTACGACTATGAGAAGCTCACTTCCACATCGCTCAATCGCTTCAAGCACTGTATAGACTTACAGCGCCTACCACGTGTCTTCCAAGAAGCGATTAATATCACGCGCTTACTTGGGGTCCGTTACCTCTGGATTGACTCTCTTTGTATTATGCAGGACAAGGCCTGCGGGGACTGGAAGGTCGAAGCTCTCAAGATGGGTCAAGTATATGCCAACACATATCTAAACTTGTCTGCTTCATATGCAGTTGAGGACGGGGAGAATCCACCGATCTTCTCTCCAGAGACTTGGAACTGTGTCCTCCCGTCAGTCCTCGATCTTCAGGATACAGAGGAGTTGAGAAGAAAAGTCTTCATCGATGGGTACCTATGGTCAGATGAGGTTGACGAGTCACCACTGATGGGGCGTGGTTGGGTTTTCCAGAAGCGATTCCTATCACCGCGAATACTGCATTTCGGGATGCGGCAACTTGCGTGGGAATGTAATGAAGGCAGCGGACTTGAAATGTTTCCCAATGGTTTACCACCGGGGTTTGAGGATTCATTCAAAAGAAACGTGTGTGTCCCGATTGTACAATCGATGCAAATGACCACTTCGAGAGATTTCTGTGTTCGATGGCATGAAGTTGTCAATAGTTATTCGTCCTGCGACCTCACATTCCAATCGGATAAGCTTGTCGCCTTCGCAGGAATTGCCAAGCTTATCGAGTCCCGCAGAAATGATGAGTATATTGCGGGCATGTGGAAAAGTAACCTGAGAGAGGATCTTGCGTGGTGGCTATCGGAAGATCAAGAGAGGAACGCTTCCAACAGTGACGCCACCCAACGGGCCCCTAGTTGGTCCTGGCTTTCTTTGGACGGCGAGATATGCTTCTACCCGCCCCCCACTGCACACCATCAGCCGGAGTATCTCTCCCGTGTGTTAAGAGTCCCCGCGCGACACACTTCTGGATCTTCAGCACTTATTGCGAGAGGGGTAGTTGAGTTGGAAGGGGTGGTTCTTCCTATTACTTCTCTCGAATGGTTGAACAACAACGTTAGGTTCTTCCAGATAGACGGTCTTCGTTTTGAGACGGCACAGGGACCTGAGAGCACGCACTTTGACTATGATGGAACTCGGACAGACATAGAGAGCCTTTGCCGTCAACAAGACCTTTCCATGGTGCCATTGTACGCAACAGGAAGACTCTTAATTGGTATTTTGGTCTCAAGAGTATTCTCACACCCATTGTGGCGACGGGTGGGTGCAACTTGCATTCAGTTTGCAAATATCCCTCCTACATCGGATGGACCCTGTTTGGAGGGATGGATCTCCGACCCCAAAACAAAATGGAGATTGCACGCTGATGGATACGGCCTTTATACTCGTGTCTCAGAAGGACTTAAAGGAGGCAAGCTTGAGTATATTGCAATAACTTAGCATTAACTGATTGACAACTGGATAGTACTTTAAGTCGATATCTTAGCATATTATTAGATTGAAATACCAGTTACAAGTTGGTAACCGAGTTGAAACAAGGGTTACATTAACGCTTCTAAGAGATATAAGCGTGTACTGCCTTGAGAACATATATCTAAACGACAACCTAAATCATCAAAAGGTCGTTCTTTCACACGCGATGCTAAGTGTTTTACCACTCGGGCTAAGGTTAAGGGCTTTTCGAACGAACGAAACAGCAATAAATCCGGAGCCTATTAAAACGTGATCAAAGTGTCCATACAGCGGTATGTTTGCCCGGGTCTGGCCAACTTGCCAATTTGAAACTCGCGACAGATTATTCCCTCGGCATAACCTGAACACCACTCATGAGCAGAAACCCTTATAATAAAGGTGATGATAGTTGCAATTAGCCCAACCCCGAAGAAGAAGAACGATAGTTGTATCCTCAAGATGTTTGGCATTTATATAAATAATCCTAAAACACCTTATGTGATGCGCGCGATCGACATACGGCCCCATCACGATATAGACATTTGGCCCGATACCGAACGCTACTCAATTTTATATTCTATTAGCCTCTTAATAAGATAAACTTTATTTGTATTACTTTTCTTTTCTTCTTTTTTGTTTATTTATTAGTATTCTTTAACAAGCTGCTAAGGAGATGCCCTCTTGGCGATTTCAATCAGCAATTCGAGAGTGGAAAGTCTTGCTATAATAAGTCGTGAGCGTTTAATAATATTTCATTAAAGATGTTCCATTTATTTATAAGTAAGCGGAACGTGTCACCTTTTTTCAAGATACCAGTGTGCAATACACGTATACTCTCTAATATCCAAGTTTATACGCAAGGCAAAACTTACATGAACTATCTGTACCTGCTGATAACCCCCTAAACCTTGACTTCGATTTTAAACGATGAACTATTATTTAGATATATTTTGGCTCCAGTCAAGTAGTGTTCAAATCCAGGGTCCTGACCCTGCTCTCCAAGACTTGGATTTCGGGCTCCAGGAAATCCTGCAAATGACAAAAATGAACTTTAAGCCGTCCGGGGGCTTTGTCTGCTGAATCGTCGTCCTGTGGCTCGAAACTGCTTCGGTGTTTCTTTTTTTCGCGATATGACGAACGAACGTCTCTTTGCAGTAACCACACATCTTCGTTAGATTCTTTTATAGAACCGAATGGATCATAAGAGTATTGCGAAATGTTGGACGTAGGGAGGTAGAGAGATGGCGAGTCGAAGCCTCGCACTGCCGCAACTACCGAAGACAGACTTAAGTCAGAGAAGGGCCGTGCAGGACAAGGTGAATGCAGCTTCGTGTTGTGCATCTGTTTAGTTAACGCCCCAAGCATTATGAGCTCACATTCAAAAAAGTGGCAAGAGTAGGTCGAGCACAAAGTTTCCAAAACCATATGCAACTGGCCAATGAAGCCTTCGAGAAGATCCTGTCTCTTTTGCTCGATCTTATCTGCTCTGGTGAGAATCGTGCTTCCAAAGGGAAGGCGAACATACCAATAATTCCTGGAAAGATAGGAAGTCCTAGGCTATCTATAGGCTTAGTGCTTTGCATAATTGCCACTTTCGTCGCCTGCCTATATATATCGTCCAGTTTGAATACGGAAGCAATAAAGATCCATTGAATCAACTCATCGGAAATTTGGCTCGGTAGTGTCCGGGAAAGCTGACTACTCCATATGTTGGCAAAGAACGATACAGATCCATAGCAATCTAGGTCGTCCACAATTTCAGCAATCGAGACCATCGTGTCAAGCGTAATACTATCCGGCAAATTTTGAGTCTGGGCGTGGATGATCCTCAGAACAAGTTTCAGAGACTCCGAATCGAACAGAGGCTCGATCTTCCAGTGATAGAATCCATCATCCTCTGATCTCTGAGCTTCAAGATAGTCTCCTTGAAACATTCTTCTAGCACGTCGTGACGCTACTGTAAGATGCTTTTTGGACACCCTAAGCCTTAGTTCAGTCAATGATTTATTTCCTTGATCAGTAGAAAACAGTTAGTGACAAGGTTAAAGACGGAACTTTCAAGACGGGGTTTTTTTTTCTTTTTCATACCATCATGACCTGTCTCGTAGGTGATCGCTGGCTCTTCAATAGCAGACTCTTCAATAGCAGGCTCTTCAAAAGCAGACTCTTCAATAGCGGGCTCTTCAAAAGCTGTTATCTCTTCGCTTCTCGTTACGTTGTCCGCTGCTATTGACTCCTCGGTAGAAGGCTTCTCTGCAACCACCAGTTCGTTCGCGCTCCGAGAGGTTCTGGCTAAGTAGTGAATGATTATCAAAGTATCTCCATCCGGGTCAATTTCTTCGTAGTCCATGGTAACGTTCGATGCAGTTAATATGCTGCAGTCAAAGATAGGCTGCCACTCGTAGGATCAGACAACAGGATCACAGACGTTGAACAACAAAAGACCATGCAATGCGCCATGGAATTCAAGAGATTTTGTTTATTTCGTCTGAAGTTCTTACACGTCACATTATATTGATATGAGTACTGCTCTAACGACGTGGAACGCTTTGTGATCATGGTGTAATGCGTAATGACCGAGACAATATTGGCTCCCTACCTATCACGAATGCAGTATCTGGTCCAAACCCCGCCCGTGTCTGGCCTCAATATCCTGAGACTACACCCACTGCGACGATCCGTTGGTCTTGGTGATGACAGTATGAGCAAGTTTTGTCATTATATCAATTTTGACCAAACACGAGATGCGTCGTGGGAGGCCGACCAGCAAGAGGACGCAGGCCCAGCCAATCATTTGCCTCCTGAAAGCGCTCAAATGTGACTTGATGCATTTACCCCTCACTTTCATATGTCACCTATACATGCTAGTTTATCATTGCCAGCCTGAGTGAACTGTTAAAGCGTTGTACTGCAGATCAAGTTAAAGAAGATTTGTCTTGTGCGTTGCGCTTGTTGGGCTTGCAATGTGGCACGACCTTATCTGACTTGGCTCCTACCTATTTGACCACTACCACCAAGTCGGTCATGTTTTCCAAGCAAGGTTAGAGCATAGTTTTATTTGACAAAGAAATTATGTCAAATGAATGCTAAATGAATGCTTTGTTCGCCAAACGGCCTCTTAAAAGGACCTATCGTAGCTCATTTGAAAGCCTGACTGTGCCGTCTGTAGACTTTCTAGTAATCACTGTTACAGCAGCGTGAGCCTGATTTCAACCTACCCCGCAACCACAGGATCAAGCTATGCGATGCGCACAAAAGGTTGACAGCAAGGCTTTACGATACGCAGTCATCCAACCAGCTCCGCCACATCTGATCAATTGTGACGCGCTTCTTCTGCAGTCATATTAAGCCATGTCGCCTGTCTTGACTTTTCTGAGCACATATTATCCACGACATTACCTTTTGATGTGAACATGAGATATAGCACACTTTGCTCAATTTGCACACGTGCTCTACACTTCGACCAGATTAGCTGGGAAGACGAGAAGCGTAATGGCTCTATGTGGCCCATGCGACGGCACCATAAGTCGTTGGAATCGTTCCGAAAAGCAGCGTTGCACAAATGCTATATCTGTTCTAGAGTTTGGGATATGCTCGCGTCAGGCAAAGCAACTGACGACGAGCATCAGCCTAGCTGGAAAGATGGTTCGGAAGTAGATTGGGACGGCATGTATTACCTGGTCCAGCACGACCATGATTGGCCCACAATCCTTTTCATGGTTGTTTGTCCTGGGTCGAAAGAACACTCACACTATGTACCATTTCAATTAATGCCGAGAAACGGTAAGTGGTTCTCCTGTGGAAGAACGGTGTACAGCCCAGATCGATAGAAAGCTGACTCTGACGGAAGACAACCGCTGGGTTCGATATGATGCACGTCCTGCGTTGTCATCCTCTACCTCCTCTTCTTCCACGCTCATGTTGATATCCAAATGGTTACAATCATGTCAAACGAGTCACACATCGAGTGGCTGCAGGCAGGATGTAACGCCATGGCAGCCTACCCGCCTGTTAGATATAGGAAGATCCCGAGATGAGACATGCAAAATTGTTTTACGATCGCAGAATCCTAGCAAGACCCGTCCGTATGTCACATTGAGCTATAGGTGGGATGCGACAAAGCAACCTCGACTTCTATTGTCAAATATCGACAGCTACCTTCAAGGTCTGGTGATCAAAGCCCTCCCAAAGACATTCCAAGATACTATACTTGTCGCTCGCGCGCTTGGTGTAAGATATCTATGGATCGATACATTGTGTATCATCCAAGATTCTCGTGAGGATAAGGAGCGCGAGATCGCCTGTATGGGCTTAGTGTATGCCAATGGGCTATGCAACATTGCCGCTTCGGCATCCGCTGGACCAGATGGTGGATTATTTCGAATGAGAAATGCCGATAGCACCCGTCCTGGTTGTATTCGAGCAAATCCTCTTCCTGATACCGGTAGTCAAACATACAACATCATCGACACTCTTTACACCCATCGGCAGCTGAAGCATACTCCATTCTTCAAAAGAGGATGGATCTTTCAGGAGAGAATGCTTGCGTCCAGAGTCATTTACTTTGCAGAAGAGCAAATATTCTGGGAATGCCGTTCAGAACTAAAATGCGAGGCGTTTCCAGCCGGAATACCTTTCGACTCTTCATTCAAAAGCCTTCTACCAGAAACTCGGACAAATGCAATAACGTGCTTGTGGTGGCGAACGCATGTGTTACGCACCATATTCCGACAATGGAACACCATTGTCCAGAGTTATTCAGCTAGTCAATTCACGTTCCTGAGCGACAGGCTTCCAGCTTTCATAGGTATCGCTAGCTATTTTAAGCCCTTCATGGGTTCAGAATACGCCTTTGGTATGTGGAGTGCCGGACTCGAGAAGCAGCTGGGATTCTCCATAGAACGGCCGGTCATGAAGCGAAGTTCAAATTATCGAGCACCATCGTGGTCGTGGGCGGCTCTAGATGGTCCTGTGGAATACACTTACCTGCATTCTGAACAGCCGTTAAGAACATCGATACACGTTAAAATCGAACAGGATGGGTTTGCGCAGGGGATGCTGCATTTGCAAGGAGTTTTGACTCCTGTCACTTACTCACATTCAACGTCAACGAGGAACTCGAAAGTCACTTTGGAAAACGGGACAGGTCTCGACCTGATTCTTCTAAGAGATCATTTGGAAGTTAATTTCTTTCAGGGAAAAAGGCTTGCCCTCCTTGCGTTCGAGTCATCACGTCATCCGTGTCCATCTCTGGATTGCCTCGTTCTCGAACCTATTCTGTGTACGCTGCCAGTGGCATACTATAGGAGAATTGGGTTTGCCCATGTATTCCAACAGCAAGAACTGGAACCTCAATTACTGGATGAAGGGAAATTCTGCTCTCTAGGGGTTGCATTTACTGATTATGAGGCTGGCACTGAGGCATCGAGATGTTCAAAGCTAGTCATCGTCTGACCAGTATACAGCTATCCTGTGGCAAAGGGCAACTATGCCTGTCTAGCAGCGATAACTGATAGCTATTCCCGTCAACCCCGCGAAAATAGCAGCAAAACCCTTATCACTGGAACTCTTCCATCAGGCTTTGACTGGCATGGATGATGATGAGTATGGCGATGTTTGAACTTGTAGAGGGCGGCAGTATAACTAGCATGCATAGCGATCAAATCTATGCTAGCGCAGGTCCAAGATCCAGATACTAGGTGCCTTAGTAAAGTTCACTAAGATAGTGTTGTTGGTTAGAGGGAATTGATGTGCCCTATTTGAACTGCTGTTGAACACATATGTAAATGAGCTTCCAAAGAGAAGAGAACACACTAATATTAAATAGTTACAAATAGAAAAATCCTAACACAGCATCCTCTAATCCAGCAGAATGAATCTTGTCTCGTTAACTCGAGTAACATTGTACTGAGTCCAACGCGAATGAGTTAGGTCGGTGAACCCATTCGGGCTTGCAATCGTCGTCGCTAGTGTTGATCCATTCACCTTGAGGACTGCTCGCAACAAACCAAATAGTAGTCTCTCCACTCTCAGGCATAGTGAACGAGAAACGTGCGTTGGTCCATATGTTTGTCTCGTCCGCGCTCTCAGGGAATCTGTTTCCGATCATGTCATCGCCTTGGTAGACGCGGACATATGGAACCAAGGGGCGACCACGTTTTTGAGGAATCTCGTAGTACTGATCCCACTTCCATCTATACGTGCAGTAGAAGGTGGTGCCTGCACAAGCCTTGACGTCTTGATAAATCCACATGCCCTTGTCGAAGTCGAACTGACCAGTCTGGAAACGATAAGGCGAACCACCCTCACTATTGGGAACAACCTTAAACGCTACAGGGTCTTTGCCGCCAGGGTTGGGATCCGCTTGCCATGGAGCGAATTTACCGTCATTAAAATTAATGGAGTTGTCGTAGGAGCAGGTCGGGGCTGGCTCAATGTCTGTGTCACAGAAGCAGCTTGTCTCATAACTTTTGAAAGAGGTTTCATCCGTGCTGAGCTCAGTGATGGTGCCTCTCCAGAGGGTACATTGCATGTTCTTCTCGTAATAAAAGGTCACGCAGTTACTCTGCTGCATGCAAGACGTGTAACAGTCGAGAAGAGAGGAAGATGAGCCTTGGCCCAAGTACCTCCAATCGGCAGAATTGCTTGACACGTATCCCTTTTTGCCACATACGGAGCCTTCAGGTGAAGGCTTCTGCAGATTATTGACGCAGCCGGACACAGCTTCAGAAGTGGTTGCAGCGGCAGATTCGGTGGTGGCCGTAGCATCTTCGGTGGTAGTAGTGACATCTTGAGTTGTAGTATTCGCCTCCTCAGTTGTAGCGGTAGTTTCTTCAGAAGTGGTCGCAGCAGTAGTTTCGGTGGTTGCGATGGCGTCTTCGGTGGTAGTAGTGACGTCTTCCTCAATAGGTTCTGCAGAACTGGTGGCAGCCCTGGCTAGTAGATTTCGAGCATCTCTTCGGGCACGGCCTCTCGGGACAAGATCAACAACTTCAATGGTTGTCTGAGGAGCCTCCTCGGCATGGGTTGCAGTGAAGGGATCGTCATAGACAGGAGGTTCTGGGACGGGGCATCCAGTTGTGGTGGTTGTGTCAAGAGTGGTGTCAGTGGATGAGTGACTCTCGCTGGTAGTGGTGGCAATGACAGTTGAGAGGGCAGAATCCGTGGTGGTCGACTGCTCGCTGGAAGTGAGAGAAGTCTCGGTTGGTGCACCGGAAGGTTCCTCAGTCGAGCTCGACTCCTTTGTTTGAGTCGTAGCAGAGCCAGTTGCGACGCTTGACTCAGTAGTGGTCAAGGTGACTGCGACGGAGCTGGAAGAGGGGCGGCATGGTCCAGCGTTAACCAAGGAGCTGAGGACCGCAGCAATGACAAACGAATGAACGAGAGGGCGAACCATCTCTACAACAATTGTGTTATTTGTAAGTTATACAAAAATCGCGACAACGTGGTTGAAGGAAAGATGGGAAAGTCTGGATTTAATGGTTGTTTTCCCTCTCAGTTTATCCCAACCGTCAGTCTTGTTTAGGCTTGGTCGTAATGATTGAGTGCAGATCAACTGAAACTATTGATAAGTAGTTCGCCTAAATTGTGCTAAGTGCCTCGCTAGTTGACTGTTTTTAGAAAGGTTTATCAATAGTCTTGACACCAGCTGAGCTGAGCCCGTTAATTTGACAGGGATCATCAGGGGGAACGCCAGATTGATTGGTTCTGAAAGTTCAGCACTCAGGTGGGAAATTAGTGGCGTTCAGGTACTCCTCCTACCCTACAAAGCAAAGTATTTTCTTTCTCAGGGCATTTCGTGATCTACAGAAACGGGATTCGTACCAAGGACTTGTCTGAGTGATTGGGCAATGGAGTAGGGTAATCACTGATGTGCTGATCTAATTTGTGCGCCTTGATGACTGGACATCAAGAGAAATCAGACAACGGGCCAGCCACCGGGTGAGGTGAGGTGCGAATTCTCGAACTCTGTGAATAAAACCCCCAATTCATTGGTTTGGAGTTCACGAAGGTTGAATTTCTTAGCGAAAGGCTCATCACTACATTTAGCATACAGTAAACTCCTGAAGGAAATTTCCCATTCGACTCTAATCTCCAATCACGAATGGCTCTTTGCAATAAGGTTTCGGCGATGCGTTTCCAGGGAAATTTCCACAAATCCAATTAACCTGAAACATTGAGGCAACTTTAAGACCATAGACGCCATTATAAGTAAACCAACATCCACCCCGATTTTCTCATTGCTGTTCCAAAACAAAGCAATCGAAGGAACCCTCACAACGGCCACAGCCTCACTTCACCAGTTTCCCGAGCTTCCGACAGAGCTCCGTCTTCAAATCTAGAACTTGGCTTGTGTTCCACGACTCCCGAATCGACACGCTGTACACTACATCAACGTGGAAAAAGATAACTCTTTGCTAGGTCGTCTCAAGATTTTCCATTGCGATTTCGGGGAGGAGGAGAACAAATCCGCATGCCTGATTGACGCTGGGCTATGGACGGCTTGCCGGGAGTCGCGCGATGTGATAACCAAGCACTGGCATGCCATTCAGAGCGATGGCTCTGGGACATTGGCGAATATGTTGATCAGAGGAAATGGCGAGAAGGACGGCCAGTGTCTCGTCAGCACGTTTCGAGATAGGGTTACCTTAAAGCCAGGGATTAGAATATCGATCCTAGTAGCTCTAGAGCTTGGCAGATGTTCATCATAGACACTGGTGGCCCCAGCGATACAATCAGGATTCCAGACATCCCAGAGACCTGCCACTTCAAACGTTATTGCAGAACTAACAACATCGTCCTCAAGTTCGATCCATCCTGGGTTGCAGATCTACCCGAGAAATATAAGGATCTAATGAAAGAGGCTTCTCCGTGTAGATTTCTCTCGCGAATCCTGTACTGCCAACTGCATGGTAGTGAGCCTGGGTTCAAAGTTTGGCTGATCAACAAGGATATATAATGGTCATGGGATCCGAAATAGTGCATCCATCGGGGACTGCAACCGGGTCAAACTACTGATTTCCCAGTTGATAGACTCAGTGACTATGATGGAGGTTACATGGAAGTCAACCTAGTCCTTCGATGCAGATGGTGTGCGAACAAAAGATCTGGAATACTTAATGAATTCCTTTTCAGAGTTTTATGGCTTGGTGCCGAATGCGTGGGCATTAGAGATGACGAGGACTACGTATCCATGATCTCTGTGATATCTTAGTAACACCTTTCGTGATAGGTCTAGGCGTACCTCGTTTACAATCTAAGAGTAATAGATAGAGAAAGAAGAAGAAATACAGCAAAGGGAATTAAGATAGAGACAAAAGGAGGAATCAGAGAATTTATAACAGGCTATCATATATAATTGCTATTTGCTCATAGTCTAGACAGCAGTAGAGGGAACGGACAGTAGCAATAAGAAACAGTAACACAAACTACTCTAACGCAGAACAGTTTATTACTATCTGCACAAAAGGAATCAATAGACAGGAGGTTTTTATAAACTAATCGTTTTTTAACTACATATCCATTCGTTCTAACTTCCATATTTGAAAATAAGTTACTACCCATAATACAAAATGTTGTATTTGTTGGTTTATATTCTTGCTTAATTATTTAAGGAAAAACCAGAACAGGTAACATCCGCACCCAGTTCGCCAATTCCAAACAGTTACTTTAATAAGAAAACTGTTTATTTAATATTTGTATATCCATCTGTATCTTGTTTCTATTCAAGAGTACATTTACGTAAGTTCCAGACTTAGATGTCCGCAGGGCAAATTACCGATTGCATGTATTTGAGCTACAGCAGGAGCATAGTAATTGGTGGTACGGCACTTGTCAAATCGAAACATCTGACAAAAGACTGGTGTATATGCATTGCCTGCTGGCCTGATGGAGACCATGCCATTTGAACTCAGCCTCCTCTGCGTTCGTTTAACTGTCACTGTCAGTTCGTTCCATTCCTTGACTGGGACGAAACAGAAGGATATGTCGTGAGAAGCCTCTATCACGCACATTACCTCACCTTCAGTCTCTTACGACTTACCGTTCACGTCGTCTCCTAGAGAGAAATGTTGCAAAGTCCGTAGGAAGATCCAACAGGCATGCTATGCTGGAGGAGAAATTGAACTTAGTAGCGAAAGTTGTCCATCTTGAGTTTTCTTTTTCGGGGACCAGGTCTTGAATTATACAGACAAAATAAGCGGAAGTCGATTTCGTATTGAGTAACATTCCTTTCTGCAAATGCTAGTGCGAGGCTTTGAGGGTTTGATGGAGGTCCTTTTGAAATATATCCCTTTCGTAGTAGATAGAACTGAACAAGAATGAACACAACTCGGTTCAGGCTGCCCTTCAAGCAATTGATAATAATGCTTCTGAAATAGCTATCAATACTATCGAGAAGTATGTAACTCCTAGCTAACAATTCTGGCTTCAGTATTTAGACCTTGTATCTCCGAAAAATGCTAACAGACTTTTCCTATCTGTCTTGCTATCCTAGCCGTTCTTTAGTAACTCGGTGTTAGAGCCTTAACAGCACGCTAAAAAGTTTGCTGGCAATGTAGTAAAGGCTCTGTCTTGTTAGAGAAGGGGAGCTGGTGAAAACTGGGCATTGATGCTTTAAGATATGAAAGCCTGATAAGATATACATATAGTTATAACTGTACGTATTACTTGTCGTTGATTTACATACATTTTACTTTATCTCCTTGAATGCTTCAATTCCTTGCGGTAGCAACATATCAATCTGTTGGGTTACAATCTGTAGGTAATAGCTTATCTAATGAATCTGCTGAGAAGTTTCCGACAATGGTGACAGCCCCTCCTGATACTCATGGATGTTACCTTCACCTTCCAACTCTGCAGGCCGGGCCCCTTTGGTATTCCTGGTAATTTGAATGTCACTCTTGGGGCTCATTCCCCGATGCATATCAGGCGATCTTTGCTCACTCGTCAGTTCAGACGGGGGATGCGTGGGCCACGTTTGTCCTCCGTTATAAGACGGAGCTACCGGAGACGCCCAGCCTCCTGCCCCAGGCATGACCATATGATTCTGCGGTGGTGGCGCCGCCACAACATGATCCTGGCTGTAATACTTCCGCCTCCTATAAACAATGACCCCACATCCTGCTAATGCGAGAATAAATGCCAAACTGCTTCCAACGGCGATTCCCGCTATTGCTCCAGAGCTAAGTCCCGATGACGGCTGAGTTGCAGTCCTGTCCCCTGTTGGCGCTGTCCGGTCCATTTGCACAGCCAGGTCTGGAGCATCGAATCCACCAGCTGGTACTGTCTTCGTTGCGGCACCAGTAGTCTTCCCCCCAATGACATTTCGAATGTCAATAGGCACAACATACGTTGTTAGGTTGGGCTGATAAGCCCCCCAAATTGCATTGTCTTTGTTCTGCCTACCCAGGTTCATGTTATGTGCGCCCTGGATAATCGGCACATCGCAAAATTTGTCAGTGGCGTTAGAGTAGGTCCCACCAATAACGAGCATCTGTGCGTCGTTAACCACGTTGCAGCTCATCATGCTCTTGGGGTAGGTTCCAGTTCCGTTAGAGTAGGTCGGGTACGGTCCCCTAATCCATTGAAAACTCGGGATGGTGAGTATATAGATATCATCGTAGCCTGTTGTTTCTGGAGCGAAACCTCCGCCGCCGTAGATGTAACTAACAAGATCAACATCTGGAATGTAGAGGGGGATTGAGTGAGACTCACATGTTGTAGCTTGAATGATCTTTTGTCCAGGTGGCACCACCGCAAAAGCGACGTCTATCGTTTGGAGTATCGCCTGTCGTCTTCTGGGTATACCATTTTGCATTTGCAACATCAAACAGATATATCTCATCCAAAGACTGAGGTGTCAAAGTCCCGTTGCCGTATAAATCTTGACCGCCTCCAAAATACACTAACATTCCACCATCCCCTGCAGGAACAAATACCATAGCTCCCTCTGCTCGTCCCATTTCATCGGGTCCAGTGAGGTTGCTCCATGAATTTGAGTCCATTTCGTACTTAATAAGTCCACTGGAGGCTCTTGGTGGCCCTGACCAGCCTTTGATAGATGCGTTACTAAGCCAGCCACCATAATAGTACGCCTCTCCCCTTGAAGAGATTGAGACACCAGCTCCATAGCTAGCGGCTTGAACCTCCTGTGGAGGAGCTCCGAACGAAACCCATTTATTGTAGAGGATATCGTAGCTATAGAAGTCAGCTGACGCTGGCGGTGTACTATAGTATTCACCACCGTATAGATAAAGTCTTTTGTTAATCGAGTCTTCCCAAAGAATGCCACCGTTGACGCTTGGGATTGTGTCATTCTTGGATAGATTGGCGTAGAATGGGGGCATTCCATTTTTGTCGGCGCTTTCGATATCGTTGAACGATAGAAAAGTGTCTTGAATTGGGTCAATGCATATTTCGGAGATATATGTTATGGTACTCACTGGTCACGTTGTTTGTTGCATCCTGGTAGTTGGCTAGGCCACCATCGATGTACAGCCTTCCATCCACTACAGCTGACTGATGACCCCATCGGCGACAGAAATTCTTGATGGGATCATTCTGCGCCGAAGCGCTACTGTTGATCAAGCACAGAAGGAGTAGAATGGATAAGATCACCCACGAGAACATTGTCGGGGCACCCATGGCACTGCAGTACTGATTTGTGTAGTGGACAAATATTCTTGAGACGATTACAACCCTTGGGCCCGCATGACTGTTTTGTAGGCTTTTATTTCAAACGGTGGAGAGAAGGGATATAAGTAGTCCATTCGTGAATAAAACTCAAGTACGATCCAAAGTGGCAATCGGAGCTTCTGGCATATTCGTGATAAGAAGACGTAGATGTGACAAGTTTCTCGTAGGTATTCATGCAGCCACACGAGACTATTGGTAAAACTATCAGCCACGGCAGATTGGCTTTATTGTTGAACACATTACGAGGCCTTCTTCAAATCAAGGATTTTATGCCGATGATGGTCTTTGTGCTTTCTTGTACTGTGACAACAACGAAACTGAGGAACGTACTAGTCTTGGTTTGAATCAGACCCATAAGAAACGCCGAGCTGAAAAATACATAAGCCACGGCGAAATCCAGACTGGAACATCTCACTCAATGGTCTAGCCCTTGCGCCGAGGAGAAGTATAAGACGCATTAGCCTTGCTTTCAACCTTCTGCATAAGTGTGGCGTCGAGCTGAGCAACCAATACATAAGCCGTTAATGGAAGTGCGCCAATTGTAATGAGCGCATTGGATCAATATTTTGAACAGCTGGTAACCTGAAGTAAGAAGTCACTTAAGAGATGTTATTGTAACTGTCAGAGAATCCTGCTCCAAGTAGGTCTGTACTATGTCTAAGATACCTGATACTGATAGGTGTTATTTTTAAATTAATATGGAAACAAACTTGGTGTTGATATTTACCAGGAACAAAGACGTAACATAACAGGTGGTGATGTTTCAGGCATATTTTATACATCCAGGTCCTTTGCTAAGTAAAAGTCGACGCCCTGCGTTGTTTTTCGCTGCTAGTCCTTGTATCGGCCCTACATATCTTTTTAATCTAAAAAAAGATCCTCATTCAACGCAACAGAGGTTCCAGCCAAAGTGCCGATTTTATTATTCTACCAGTTTAGATTTCCATTTCTTTCTTTCTTCGTTTCATTCTTCGTGTTTCAATATTCAGCTAATATCGCAACGCGACAGAAAACATATAACTGGGTGTTTACTTCGTCTATACAGTCGTGGAGGACTTGAACTTGGACTGCAGGGACTCTGGATCGACAGTCACCTTTTCCTCCCGGACAGGCTGGCCAAGAAAATTTACTTAGCAGACGCGGGAAAGAGCCTGAGACAATCTTCCTCAAAGGCAAGGCGGGATTGAATACCGCCTTGTTAACTATTTTGAATCGTGACATCCGGGTCGTCGTCTTCACCTATAACGCCGATGATGGAATAGCTCAACTCCGTTGCCTCGATCTACATTGTTTTATCCCCATTTGAGACATCAATATGCATCGGAACTGCGCAGGGAAGTCTCCCGATCGGCAGACCATGTGTAGCAAAATGCGTTGCCGTAAATTAAGATCGCGGTGCTGAATCTTGCAAAACACAATCCCCCAATGGCAATAAGGACCGTGAGCGTAGAGACTAGGACTTCTACATTCGTCCGCACGCAGAATATGTGTGTATTCCAAGTTGTTTCGTTACTAAAATGATCGCCGGCGAAGATGGTGGGTAGGAAGTCGCTTAAAACAATCATCGTAGCGACTATGGGCAGCATTGTATACCTGCGGCCTAGATATGTAATGACCGCAATGTAAGGATTTGGGTTCGATGGCATCAGGACGGACTAGTTGACCTTGGTCGATGGACGTCGAGACATGTCTTAAACAGGCAGGATGATTGCCAACTTAGATCGCATTAGTAGGAGCCTGCTAGTGACCGAAACATACAACTTACCATGGAAGATGAACGGCCAGCTTAATCGAATAATAGGTCTGGAAAGGATAAAAAGACTCGTGCCCTAACCTGTTCTGTGAAGACATAGGTCCTTTAGACTCGCTATCCGTCTGGGTAAAATAGTAGTAGATGATCAGAATCGATACACCTAGTAAGAATATGGTGTAGTTTATCACCCTCATCGATAACCTAGAGACGATCCATCTGTTTTACGATCCTGAATTGGAGGGTTGTGGGGTAACTGATTATGCATATTTTCTTCTCAAGTAGGTGGGATCACGGCTGCACTGCGAGATTGACGATTCCCATGGAGAGTCTGAAATAGAAAGTTGGCGCACACGACAGAGGAATTCATTTTCGTCATGACAGCGAACGGAGTTTTTCTATTGCTAAGGCGGCCTTTCCAGGAGGGCGATATCGTTGTTCTAGATGTGGCAAGGTTCTCATGATGTTGAGAAAGATTAAGCGACTACCTCAATGCAGGATAACTATGGAGTTTCACAGATTGGCTTCGTCACCTTGAGTGCTTGGGTTTATGGAAGGGCTGGCAGATCACGAAGTCACTGAAAAAGGATCATAACTTATGAATTACTGAAAACCTGAAGTATGGTGTCTCGAGTATCAGGGAGCTGGTGTGAAAACCCACCTTGATCATTTCCAGGGCACAAGACTCCAGAATGTACCTTTGTACCTTCCCTTTTGGGAGGTAAGAAGTCATAACGGCAGGTAATGTACCGATCGGTGTGACTCATCGGCGATTTACAGAAAACAGCGCATTAAGTCTTTTGAATGTTCCCCATATCCTAAGTGTATAAACGCACAGAAGGAATCATCACGTTTTTCTGAAGATCAGCATAGAGACTTGACCCTTCTAAACGCAGACAACAAAGGACTTATGATCGTAACAAGTGTACCCCAGCACTAGCCTTGCGGCCGGCTGCGCGATGTTATGCCAGAGGCGCATCTTGGGTTTTGGCCACCAGGCCTAAAAAATGGCATCACAGACGTACCTGGTGTCCTTGTCCACACTACCACTATCCGAGGAGAGAGTAGGCAGATCAACACAGAATTAACGACTATCCTACACCGCAAAGATTGGTTCCACAAAGCCTGCCATGCTGGCGTATTTCGTTTAAATGGATCGGGAGAAATGACCGGAAGTCACTGGATTGAAGAAAGCGGTCTCTTGCATTCGCCCATTCTCATTACCAACAGCTTTGCCGTAGGCCCATGTTATACCGGTATCTACAAGTACGCAATCGAACATTATGGGAAAGGCGAGGAGGGCATTGATTGGTTCCTACTGCCAGTCGTTGCTGAGACATTCGATGGGCACCTCAACGACCTGAGGCAGTTTGCCGTGACGCCAGAACACGTTGTGAATAGTATCATTAATGCTTCCAACAAGCCCATAGCTGAGGGCAACGTGGGTGGCGGAACAGGCATGATGTGTCAAGGGTGGAAAGGCGGCACCGGGACCAGCAGTAGAATAGTGCTTGGGGAGAATGCGGTTTCTTACAAAGTTGCCGTTCTCGTCCAAGCTAATTATGGGAGACTCCAGCATCTGCATATCTCGGGTATCCCGGTCGGTCGAATCCTACAAAAGAGAAATGCAAGGAGTCAGGCCGCCACTGCTCATGACAAAGAATACAACGAGGCAAAAGACAGAAAGGACGGGTCTATCATCGTCATACTTGCTACGGATGCACCTCTTCTTCCCGGCCAGCTCCAGCGGTTAGCCAAGCGAGCAACGATGGGCCTTGCACATGTGGGTAGCTATGCTCACAACCCTTCAGAGGATTTGTTTCTTGCATTCTCTACAGCTTCTGAGATACCTGTACAGACAGTCACTGGCCAGCACAAGTCCATTGATCCCTTCAAGCCTAAGCTTATTGACATTGAAGCGATCGACAATCAAACCATCAAGAGTCTTTTTAAAGTAGCGGCCGATGCTACAGAAGAGGCTATATACAATGCACTTACTATGGCTGAGACAATGGCCGGCAATATGGGCCGGACGGTATAAGCACGACCATTGGAAGCCACGAGGGTTGCTATAGCTGAATTCAAGAAAGTTGAAGATTCGTTGTTGTAAATAGGAGAGATACAAGAAAATCTAGTCTAAGCTGGTAACTTGCTCCTCCGAATGGTTTTTCAACAACCTATGTGCCTAATCCCTCGCCTTGAAGCAATCAGTTGGAAGATAAGTCAAACGTAGCAAAGATTAAACTTGCCACTGGCATTGCATTGCGCTGTGAAGCAAGGTCCCTGAACAGATTGTGTAGCACTTATGAGCTCCTGGAACTATGAGATGGTAGATGCTCATGCCGGTGGAGGTCCTCGAGCCTCGACGACTTTAAAGTGAAATAATCTCACGCTAGCCAAGTAGTTTGAAGTTCCTCAGAGACTGCATGTTAAGCTCAAGTCGATAAACTGATTGATGCGCGGCGCTGATTTCAGCTTTTATCAGCGCTGTCAGGCATTGATCAAAGAAATCTGACCAAGTAAGAAGGCTAAGCTGACAGTATCAATGACCAAGTGGATCCATAAGTTCGCTTTTTAGGCTGTGTCGAAGTTGTTTTTGTACAAAACATTCTGGCACAGCGGATTACCAGCTGTTCTCTCTCCGGCGGTAGACTCATCGTGTCTGTCTAGGACGAAAAGCGACATGAAGAGCGTAGCAGTGAGGATCGCGTTAACCGGGATGACGGGCATGGTTAGGTAGATTGCTATTGGTTTCCATCTTGGCAAGCGACTGAAGCTAAACATGCTAGCTGCTCGGATCTGTACTTCAAGAGTCACAATGTGATGCTTGAGTAAAGGAATTGCCGATTTGAATCAGTACCTGGGATCGGGACGAAGAGAAATTTTAAGTTCTAAGTCACTGATCGCCAAGGAGCCAACTGCGCCGTTTTATCACCATCAGTCTTCCTTTAACTTTATATTGCTCAGTCTGCTCTGCTCCGCTTTGTGCTCTTGCAGCTGGGCTGGAGGATGTAGTATGAGAAATGTAAGAGTAAAATATCTTAACTATTCTTTCTAAACCTAGCAAATGCCCTTGGATAAGCTGAAATAATAATCCTAAGTGTTAGTAAAAGAATCTTGTTTAGTATATAAAATACCCCAACAATTAGAAATGTACCTAAACAAAACCAGACGAATGGCTTGTTAGAAAGCCATTTCAGAGCGTGAGCATCCCAGCCATGCCAGGTTGCTGTCTGTAAGTCGGAAATGTATGGCTTGAGACTAGTAGGGGCAATAACTTGAACTGTTGGCGAAGGCAATGAAGGCTGCTCGTACAGATAGTCTGCAACAGCCAGAGAGATAAATAGAGGACCCGTCGATGACATGATGGCAGCATATGGCTGCAATTTAGCCCACCACCAAGTGAGGCTGTAGGAAACAGGGAGGAGGTTGATTGCTCTTTCAAATGCGGGGTGTTTGGGAGACGAAACCATAATATCGTTGGTGACCCCAGTCGGCAACGTCCCCTCGAAGAGGCAATTATGAGTTATATCATCAATTTCGATTTTCTCAATAGGAAACGTTTCATGGCAAATGGTATCCATATCAAGATAGATGCCACCATAGTGGTAAAGAGCAAAATAACGGATAGCATCGGCGCGTTGAATAGGGAATGGATAGTTGTCCCATACTTGCAAGAACCACGGATATTCAGTTGCAAGGAAGGATCGGGCTCCATCGTCCGTCCACAGCTAGACGACAGCATTAATAGACGGCATGGCAAACTGATACGGAGGCATACCTTGTATTCGTAGCTGGAGTAGGTTGTGAGGCAGCTCTCCTGGGAGTCGACCCAGATGTCCGGTATGGTTTCATTCTTAGCGGTCTGGTGAAGAATCCTTGGTATTTGGTGGTTAAGATGCATGGAAGATTGAGAAACCTGTGTACCGGCAACTTCAAAATGGGCAGGAAATAGGTCTTGGTTATTATGCAACAAAGATATGAGCGGTGATAGAATGTGAAGTATAATGCTAAGAAAGACCAGATCCGCTACTAAAAGTAACAACGTCTTTCTTGTAAAGTATATAACTTTTGGAACTCTCCACGATAGAAGACTGTGGGGAAGGTAGAAAGTAGAAACGGGTGACTGACGCTCTGCGCTATCGATGAGTTCATATTGGTTTGAATTGGGTGCGAGGAGGCGGCCGTGTGACAACATGGCTGCGTGAGTGTAGAGTTGTTGATATGTGGATTCTTAGTAGAGCCAGGAGTATAGCGAAACTATCTCAATGAGATCAAAAGTCTTAGTGGTTGCGATATTCCCTTAATATATGATTCTTTTTTCGCACCAAAATGCGATGCCTAAATGTTTGGTGGCAGATCCGTATGGGACTGGGCCAGTGGACTTACTCGTCTATCAGCCCCATAAACCGTTTCCATGATGATAACTCTGACAAGCTTCTCCCAAAACACCTCACCGAGACTACAGTTGCGGAGTTGCAATTTTACAGCCTCGCTGGAGGCATCTCATCCCATCACACCACAGCCCTCGGACGCTTCCCGATCTGGTCATATTGGACCCGCAAGACGGTACAATTATTCACCGCTCAATAAATGCTGACATCAACGGTAGCTTATGTGCGCTTAACTGTTCTGCTAAGTAAGCCATGAGGCAAATAAATGTCTCCAGAACAAAATGGATCCCCATGTACTCTTCGAATGAAAATTAGCCATGGCTTATTCAAGAAGGAGGTAATCCCATGTTTCAGCTGATGAGGCTTTTAACTAAGCTCAGTCACGCCACAATAACCGGGACGGTGTCGGCTGTATCACCAATGACTCTATTCGACCATTCTAGAATCGAATCCATCTTATTTAAAGAATAAAAAATAAAGAGAGACTTCATTCTAGACCACGTTCCCAATCGCTGCGGACCCGATCCGCCCGTGGCCAGACAACTTTATAAAATAAGCGGTAATTTATTCATGGCGTAGCTCTATTTGGTCCTTCAAATAGGGCTGGCGTCAGGATTAATATCTTCTTGTAAGGGGACATTGCCTACTTTACCGTTTCCAACCTGTAATCTGGTCAATTCCTTCGCTTAGAAGACATATAGACCTAGCTAGAACGCACGGACGAACCACTCCCTACTGCAAGTCTTCCTTCTCTTTCTAAGGTCAAAAAAGCCGCATCAGCCCGCACTCTCGGCTATGAAGAAGCATTGATGCATTACGTAGTTCTGGATACTCTGTCCAAATGTAGTAGTCGCCGGGGTACAGCGCCATCGGTCTTTACGGACCTTTTCAAAAGACCGCAGTCGTCCATTACTGCCAAGCCTTGCCCCTTTATCTACGCCCGACTAGACTACGACGACTGGTCATATGTTCAGTGGAAGATTCATGATATACACAGTTGAGATGCAGGATTTGCGTACACAGAGATTAGGAGGACGGGTTCCGAGATCGCTGCACGCTTTATTTAGGTAGAAGGAAAAAGGCGACTTAAGAGACTTCCTAAATTCGTTGTATGAAAATTATCATAGAAGAATTACTTGAATCACTATCGCTCCAAGAAACATTTCTACTAACCAGCAAAGTATTACCACAGACATGCACCATCCTACTATCCTCACCAATGTCATCACCCTGTTTATCAACATGGCCTTAGCTGTGAACCAGAAGTACGACGTCGACGTCACCAGGATAAACTATAATGGGGATGACTACTCGCTCCTCAGTGTAGCTCCCAGTGTCCACACAATCAACAGGGACGTTGAGGTTACTGAGCTTAAGATTGTCAGTGTCTACTCTAACGTGCCAGTTATTACTTACCCGATGGGCAACCGTTAGTGGGACACTGTCCCTGCTGGTAAAGACCGCCAAGATGCTCTCATTAGTATTAATCGTACTTCTGTTAATATATCAGGACGAAAACACGTTTAGTCTCAATTTCACATTCTCCTCGCATGTGAATTTCGCTACATTTGTAAGGAACGATTGGCTTTATAGGGAGGTACTTTTTACAACAAAAGTATCCTGTGGACTTATAGTCAAGAGCTGTTAGCAGAAAGAGTTCCACTGTTTTCCAGGCGAATACGTGGCATAAAGCCGACCATGACATTGGTAAACAAAGGGGTTCTATAGCAACATTGAGCTGAGGTTATAAAAGTACAGTTTGATCAAAGTTGCGGACACGTGCATGTAAGCGTGGCCTTGCGTAGCTTTATCCTCCTACTTTGACATTTTAAGTAACGGCCTATTATTTTTCTAGGGTCAGGTATAAGATGATTCGGTGTTAAGTTGTTGCCTAGTCTTGAACTAAAAGAACTGAATGGTCAGAATGAGCTACTACCAAGGGAGGCCCACTCTATTCTTTGAAACTGGGTCGTTTCTAAGTGTTCTATATGGGATTACTCTTACATCGGCAATATCTAGTTCTGGTAAGTGTTTATCAGAGCGCCTCAAATGCGTTGTTATGCTGACGACATGTGTTAAGCAAGGGTTTACGTAACAGCTCATAGATCAATTTAGGCACCGTTCAATTGCAAAAAAATATAAATATCTATACTTGATACCTTTTGTACTGGCTTTTTTTAAACACCTCAATACTGTTTCCTATATTCGAGAGTCTACCCTGAATTCAGTATCTTTCTTTTAGAAAACTTTTATCTTAACAATGCAAACCAAGCCTTTCTTCGCCGCTGTACTGGCTCTACTGCCCCCAGTTCAAGCTTTCAAATTTACTGGGCCTGACCCCTCAGTCGATCTCGACTTTAGCAAGAAAATCAGCATCACTTGGACTGGAGATGTCGGAAAGGATATCTCCCACAAATTCGATCTAGAGTGGTATTCCGAGCCCGACAAATTTAACACAATCGGCGCTGAAATCACCCACAATGTCGCAGATGTGTTCCTGTCTGACGGCCAGTATCAGTTGAAATTCAGCGAGAACACGAAAGACATGCTTCGCCCATTTGCCGATGAACTCGCTACAGACAAGTTGTTCTCGTTCAGAGCTATATTCAAAGACGGAGACAAGGATACTACATACTACAGCCAGAATTATACTGTTGTCGGACTTGATTAGGGGAGGGGCAACGCTTATACGTGGAGCTGATGTCTGTTCAGCTTAGAGACACTTTCAGATTTGCGATATATGGGGTTTTTGCTGCAATGAAGTTTCCCCAGTCTAGCTAATCTGACTTTCTTGAAATGCAAGCAAACATCCAGCAGGAAAACACTTACTTGCTTGTCCTTTAATTCTTAAGAAGTTCTCGATAGCTTTCGCAAAGTTCTATTGATTGTTTCCAGTTTATGGTGAGCAGAACTGAGCAGGATAGATGCAATTCTGTTAGTTACCTGCTGTATTACTTTTTGTCAGATGCTGTCTCTAGGCAACAGGACTTATCTCTTCCTCGACACGTTTCATTGTCATGTTATATCAGTGAACAGAAAAGTCATGCGAAAGCCCTTAACGTAGTTTTGAAGACAGAGCTGATGAATCCAAACGGAAACGCCGCGACAGTAGCTAATCAGCCTAGGTTTTTGTCTTCAGTTGGCCTGCTAGGCACTAGTTGCGGTGCTGGAAAATTAACATCGTAATCGAGTTGTATAATATCGGGGTAGTAGTAGCTGTAAACTGTGGTATGCTTATAACTATAGTTGACAGAAGATCTTTGTGTTATATTAATAGACCTCCTATCTGCAAATAGGCATTAAGGCAGTTGCCGTCGATAAGCGGTTAGATAAGGTATCGCTGTCAGCCCTAGTTTCGTTTGGGAATAGCTGCGTTACATCCAAGGCTAAGCATTGTGGCTCATTGTCCTTAGCCCCCGCCAGGATGACGATCCAATAAACAACACAGAAATAGTGAACAAGCTGCCTCTTTCACTTCCAAGTATTTATTACCTACTAAAGCTCAAAGACTCTTGTCAAATCTATCAGTCGCGATGGAAGCACAACAACTGCCATACCGGGGAGCTCCGTTCCCTTCCAAATGGCGCCGCAATCATCCACGATCTAAGAATGGGTGCTTGACTTGTCGCTCAAAACGTAAGAAGTGTGATGAAGTGAGACCGATCTGTACGGGCTGTATTCGGTCCATCCTAGAGTGTACCTGGCCCACTCCCGATAAGAGCCAGGCGGAAGAACAACTCAGCTCTCAGGTTGATGGCGCTTTCATGGCCAACGACCCCAATCAGGGACTCATCGACACAGTCGCAACCCTTAGTGCTGGCCTGATGGTCTCACAAGGCGCCACTACTGCACCATTATCGATGCGGGTGGCACCCACGTATGGCAACCTGGCCTATCTAAGCGACAGCTCTCGGCCTCTTTATCAACAGTACCTGGATTTCACAGCTGAGCAGTTAACGCGCGGACCAAGTGAAGACGGCAACCCCTTCATGAATTACTTACTACCATTGGCTGCCAGTAATGAGCTGGTTCTTGATTGCATTCTTGCTATTGGCGGGGCGCATTTGACGGTCAATAATCCGACGGATCGTGGCTTGGAGGTGGCTACACGAGGCCATTACGCAAAGGTCCTGGCTGGTTTGCAGAAGCTACTGGCGTATGAGACGTCCCAGATAGCTGCCGGGACGATCGACGGAACTACATCAACGAGGTCTTCCCAAATTCTGTTGATTCTGCAGCTACTTTGTGTTTATGATGTAAGCCGACCTCTACAACTTAGCACGTCCTACTTACTAACTCTTCTTAGCATATAGAAGGCAATACACGTGGTGCAGTTTATTTACACCTCAAAGCGAGTCGTGAATATATCGTCACGCTCACATCCTTGTCTCGTACTTACGACGAACTCGAGTACCTGCGCGGTTTTCTCTTGGAGATGTACACCTACCATGCCATGAAGCTTGCTCTTTCTCCGCGGAATGCGCTTCATGACCATAAGGTGGAGATCGATCCATCTGTCCATTCACTAGACATTCTTGCCCCGTACAAATCTCGCGGATACCTCCTCGGTTTTGGGCAACGTTTATTTGAGATGATACCTGAGATACACCAGCTTGTTGAGGCCCGGCGAGAAGAGGAGAAACTAGGCGTCGAGGTATCTTTGGGCATGAAACATCAGTATGAAAGGCTGTTGGCGATATTGGAGGCATTTGATCCATATGAGGAAAACCTCGAAGGCCTCCGTCCTCGTCAAGAACGCGCTGGCGCCACGATGATCTATCAAAATGCTCTCATCGTTTATCTACACTCCGCATTTCACGAAGATTTACTCTCAGACCCGAACATGGCTACAGAGTTAGAAGCGCGCATCGACAAGATGATGCCTGCATTCTTCTCTCTATTTGTCGGGGACTCACCTTACCGTCGTATGTTGCTCTGGCCTGGAGTTATCATGGCATCTTGTGCGCGACGCAGCGAGCACGTTATTGGCTTTCGTCGGGGGTTAGTCGGAAGAGCTACGCGGACGCCTGGCGCTGTGAAGACCGGTGCGCGGATGGTAGAGTTGCTGTGGCAGGATCCGGATCCGCGGGTCTTTGGACCAAGAGGGCTTTCCTATATTATGACGAAACACGATATTAGCATTAGTTTAGGCTAGGATAGCCTTTGTCACAAGGATGATATGCAGCTCTTGATGCAGCCTTCGGCATCTTCGTGTTACTAGGATCTATAGCGATATCAATATTCTAAACAGCATTAACCATCCTCACTCATAGGCATGGGAAGTGAAAACCGTCGCGGAGGTAGAAACAATAATGGATATTGCGCTACTCAACTCCAGTCCCCGAGTTAGATCTGGAGGTTCAGGAGATGTGCATTTACTTGCTGATCGCTGAAGTACAGCTTCTCAAATTATGCAGGCATCAACATACTAGGCTTTTGTGTGCCAATGTATCATTTAGATCTACGGGTCAGGCAATTCGAAGGCTGAAAACCTGCTAAAGAAAACCATTTCTTAGCTTATTTCTGTCACAGCCATCTTCCTCATTCTCCTCCTCCGCCCCCTCCTCCACCACCATCACCTCCACCTCCACATCCACCTCCCCCACTGATATCATCATTTCTTTCTGTCCTTGGAGCTTTATATCTTTGTCTGAATGCATCTCGTCCTTCAATGACGCAAGCCAGATCAGCCCTCATCACGTCTCGAGTAGCAAACTTGGCCGAACAGGGAACATATTCCGAGAACCACTGATCCACTAGCGTTCCTCTGTAAAGCTCCCGGATGTGCCTGTCTTTCCACTGCTCTTTCGTATAACCCAACAGTGTCTTGCCTGCATCTGGACCTAAGGTCACTTGTGGTTCTAAAAGCCAGTCTGCTTCTTCGTTGGAATATATCCAGTAATGAGCTGGGAAGAGTCGGTGGGTGTGCCATAAAAGGTCAATTTCCAAGGTTGGAGGCACTAAACGAGGGAATCTCAATTTGGGGTGCTTCTCGGCTTGTGCGCCCGATCCATGCTCACCAGCACCCTTCGGGTCATGTTTCGATTGGTAACGGCCATATCTACCGTTATTCGGCAGCACACCTCCGAAGAGACCAAGAAAATCTTTGTAGTCGTTCACATGTTCGCTTAAATTCTCAATGAAGCCTGGAATGGTGTTTTTCGCGCTGACCATGACTTTCCAAAATGACACTTGCTGTTGCAGTTCACTTCTCAGATCTTGTAGTGTAGGCCATGGCTGAAGCGCACAAGTCGTATGGAACTGCTCATGTTGACTTTGAGTCCGACACCGTTCTTCTACCCGCTGTATCCGTATCGCAGTGTATGCTTTAATGTCCCAGACTTTAAAACCTTGCTCGGGAACACTTGTTCGGCAGCGGAACCATTGATGCATAAGCACAACCCGCGGATGTTGACCCTTTGGCGCGGCTGAAGAGTTTCCATCTGTCGGCGTGAACCATTTCCGATCTGAACTGGGCGGTCGTGAAGCGTCCCTGCCAAAGACTGAAGCAACGCCCCTCGAGGACCGTTTGTTCCAAGGCTCAGAAGGCCACAGCTGATATGGCAGGTTCGGTCCTGGACATGCAGCGGAATCAGGCATGTTCGTATCAACCCAAAGTTTCCGGCTACACCTCGGGTACCAATCCCCCGAAAGAAGTTCCGACAGTGGAAAGTGACGATGCAGCAGCCCAAATATGCCATTCAATACGCGATGTCGGGTATCGTAGACATAATGATGGAATCGTGATGGCGATAGCATGTGTAGATACATAATAAGCGCAACATCCCTGAAAACTGTTAGCGCTGGCTCTGGGGACAATCAGTGCTGCTGACCATGGCGGTGGAATGTCGGATGGACAGTAGCCTCGCGCGTCGATCATCCGAAGGTAGACGACATATCGCCATTCCGAGTACGCTAAAGTCTCATCACTTATTTTACCATTCTCATTCCCCAGATGAGTGAGAAGCTTCAGGAAAATCTCAATAACCTCAAGGTGTTTCTGGACATGATATCAGGTTACCAAGACACCAGGACAGTAGGTGGTGAACTTACAGCTGCCGCATCTCCGAGTTCCATGGGGTTCCTGGACCAAGGGTTCTCGAACACTGTTGCGAACCCCATCTCTTCACTGCAATACACTCTTCCGATAGAGATTCAATTTTTGTGTTCAGTGGAGCAAAGGAGCAATGAAGATTTGGGTCACACGCTTGGTTTTACGACCTGTATGCAACGGGGCTGTGCTGTTGTTCCGTAGACTTGGCAGCTGAATACAGTTAGCTAAGGCATTCTGGTAGACATTCCGTTGTGCGGAAAGGTTCCGATTCCAGCCCAAGACCCTTGGCATTATTGATCAAACGTCAGCTGTTGCGACTCTACTTCCTCGCAATTGTTGGTGGCTATTTCCAAACAGCCAATCTATCAAATGTGGTTGTAGGCTACCATTATATGATATCATAATATAACATTAAACTTACGAGATCTTCAAGACAGTTTAAGAGTCAAGGAAGCTGTTACAGCCTATAGGGTATCGCTTACATTTAAACATGGTATTTGGTTGGACGTGGTGGGATAGGTTAATGCTTGAGTGCTGTCTCTATCATCCTTAGTTCCAGGGTTCATTGTATCAAATAACAAGTATGCGCGTTGAAATGGCGTATCTTAGAGAACTCTTACATAAAGGAAAAAAGAATTCTTGACATCGTGTCCGAAGGTGTAGCGATTGGATGTGGAAGCAATGTGGAATTTGTCAAATGAAAAGCTCTCCACCCCGAGCTTGGGGGTCACACAATAGCTGGCCAAAAGCACTTTGCGCCGATGTTCTGCCACGACGAGGGTACGCCCAGTCGGATATTTCTAGTGTATGTTGGTAGGAACGTGGTGGACTGACTCATGTCATCTAAACTTCAACGTTAGACAGGGATGACGTGTCAAGCGAGACGTGGTGGAGTAGCGAGAAACGTCAATGCGGTTGTGTGCTAATTACTATTTGAATGATCTGTTGCATATAACTGTTGCCCCCTACAGTTTGAATGCAGGGAGCCACATTTGCAAGCCTCTGGGGCGGCCGATCTGACGTTGATCTTTAGCGGATACAGGGTTATTGGTACTGTTGGGTGCCAGAGGAGGCCTATCTGCCTTGGCACAAAAAGGTCATACTGATTGAGACCAGGAGGCAATTTTACCGGGGTAGTTCTGTCAGCTCGCAAGCCTTTCGAAGATGATGCAGAGTCTGGTCTGGGACTTTCCTTCGCGGATGTCTTCTACTCATTTGGCGTGAACTATCCTGGCGCCATCCGAGCTCACAATATGTCCAACTTCCTACGTGACTTGAAGGCTCCCGGTGACAAAGACTTTCCTGAGGGAAGACACATCGATCTGGGAACCATCGACATCCTTCGTGATCGCGAGCTTGGCGTTCCTCGTTACAATGAATTCCGCCGTCTCTTCCACATGTCTCCAGCGAAGTCCTTCATCGACCTTACAGGCGGCGACGCCAAGTTAGCAGCTGAACTAGAAGAGGTCTACGAAGGCGACCTGGAGGCTGTCGATCTTCTAGTCGGTTCACTAGGCGAACCTCTTCCCAAGGGTTTTGGCTTTAGTGACACAGCCTTCCGTGTTTTTATCCTGATGGCTACGCGACGCATCAAGTCTGATCGCTTTCTGGCTGGAGACGGCTGGTGTCCTGAGGTTTATACTCGTGAGGGGATTGAGTGGGTACAGAATAATACTATGAAGGATGTCCTGTGCAGACACTTTCCTGAACTTGCTGCGCCTTTGCATAATGTCAAGAATGTAAGTACGTCTGTGACTTGATCAAGTTTTTGAAGCTGACTATGACAGGCTTTTGCGCCATGGACCAAGCTTGGTCAGACAGCGGCTTATGCTGGACCAGAGACAAACAAGGCCAAGGTTTAATAAGGTCATGCTTATTGGAGCATTTCGTACTGGAGACCCGACTGTATTGCTGGACCTGGGTCTGCCTGCAAGGATACATTTGGGATTAGGAGTGCATGAGTTATAGCTTTGAATACTACATTTGCCTTAATGCGATCCAGCACCAGAATGTAATAAAATGTTTACTACCTCGGTGCTTTCCAGGTAGACAGAAAGATGCAGTGGGGTGCCCCAACAGCCATCGGCCGACTTCAGCAAGTATGCAGCCTCTGGGGAAGCTATCGCGTGCTGCAAGGTCACCAGTTCATTCTGGCAGATAGATGTGTGCAAAGGGTACTCTGAGTCCTGCCTTTTAAATGAGTGTCTGACACGATTTGCGGCAGACTTGTGTCTTCGCATTACGTTGGGTGCTATGAGATGGATAGAAGCGATGAGGATCCCGGCAGCAATATGCGAGAATGTGCTGGTTCGTAACTCCACTTCAGTCTACCGGTACAGCAAACCAGATCAGCCAATGATCAGAGATACCACAACCATACCCGCCGGATAAGGACAGTTCATCTCCAAGGCATGAGATTGAAGCTATCATTGCGTAAAATAGTTCAATTGTTTCCCCATTATGCTGATGACGCCTTAAACTGCATCAGATCAATTGCAAAGCTTGCTCCTGGACACTTCATGTTGGGGATATTCCTACACCACTCCAACTCACGCTCAAGCCCCCGGCGAGCAAAGTATTTCAACAACGTCGCTTGAGAATAACAAGTTATCTGCGGACCAAACGTCCCATTCTCAGATCGATAGCAGAATTCTATGCTCTGGCAAAGTAATCGGGCTATCTTCTCTGAATCAGCCTGGTTAGTACTGCTACGGTTTGGTGCACCAAGGAGAATAGTATCGAGGATATCTAGCATTATGCTAGAGCCGAATATCCACGCACTGGCTGCTCCCATGGATGAGAAGATAAGTGCAAACGGGAACAGCTTTTCTGTATCGCCACTATCGACTGGATTACTGGCCCGAGCTGGGACGGACCAATATACAGGAATTTTGCTTTCAGCCCAGGTTCGTTCTTGGTACTGAATCCGCCAGCCATCGAGGTCATTGCATTTCTGGAGAAGCAGGTTGATGTAATAGGTTAACTCGACAGACTCGGCATCGGTTTGAAGCAGCTCATGAGCGCTAGCCATGATCGAGGGTATATCGATCGTAAGGTCTAGCAGGCCGGTAAAGGTTGCTTCAGTAGGAGGGTTGATATGCTGTCGCCATACATGAGGTTCAAGTACAAGAGGACGTTTCTGGACCATGGCTTGAATAACCTGAGATGATATGAGCTAGTTTCACTTGGATGAAATTCTTTACTCACACATATCACGCACAGTCGTCGACAGAGATCGACCCAGCTTTGCGATTGTGTGCCGTACACGGCACGATTACGAAGTATTGCGGATATGCCCTGAACATGTGCGTTCCAACTGGTACTAGCCTGGAAAAGAAATAGCTGTCTCACGTCAGTATCTGTCATCTCTCGAGTGCGAAGACCACTCACCTCACAAGTGGAAAGTATCACAATCGCAGCAAGGCTCTGATCGCTATTTCCAATTGACGGACTATCAAGAATTGTAATCACCTTCGATATAGCCTGATTGTACAGCTCAACCGTCTGATCATAAGAGATTCGCTTGTTTCCAGATAAGCGAATCTGAGTTGCGCAGAACGCCAGGAGGGAATGATCCAACGCGTCACTCGGGCCTTCCATCTGACACACGGCTCTGAACCACGATGATGGAGTTGAGTCACCCTCACCATTTCCCACTTTTGACAGTGGAAAGTAGATACCGTCTGCGATTGAAAGGGCATCTTGCCGAAACCCTTGGACGTCATATAGCCCGCCAAGTTTACTTTGCATTCTCTGTAGTAGCCCTAGCCATGACTTTGAAAGCTGTAATCTTGCCTCCTGCACAACAGATAGGGCAGACACATTAGGGCAAGCTTGAGTTCTATGGACCCAAAGCATCGATTGCTCGTATCCCCGACAGGGAATTCCCGCTTTGGAGCAACGCAGACATTTCGGGCGGGTAAGATCGCACTGAGATGAATTAGTAATGGGCTTTTTGGTGTCATCTTTGGGATATACCTTTATGCGACGTCGTTTGCAATCGGGGCAGGCCTTGGATTTACCAGGGATGCCGACCATGGTATTGGTTGGAAAGGCTGACAGGCTGAGCTCTGGGTGACGAAGGTCTTTCCCAGACTGATGGTCGGAGAATATTTGACTCCGGCGCCAGACTACATTCAGAAGCAATTTTCGAGGTTTTCAGAGGGATGTTTCGAGAATATGTGGAAGAAGGTAAAGAAATGACGAGACGTTGAAGTAGCGTGCATTCATGAGAAGACTAAGATGGAGCGAGATAAGCTAGGCCGTAAAGAGTAGCATCCTTCGAGATGCTCGACAGGGAGACCCCGCACCGAAGATCTGAAGGGGACTTGACCTGATACGGAACCATCCTGCGAGGAATTGATCAAGGGTACAATTTGTCAGAACTCTGGCATCAAACGCTACAAAAGTCTATAAATAAGAAGGGTCAAAGAACGCAATGCATCACATAAATCTTTTTTCCAACATATCCCAATACTATACTCTCCTCAATGCCAATGGCTAGTCAAGATCAAAACCCCCGCCCTTCATCGCCCGAGAACGATCGGCAGTCTGACACCATACCAACAGAAATGGAGTCAGGAGAGGAAAAAGCTCCTGCAACGGACTTTGGACCAGCGCCTGATGGAGGACTAAAAGCATGGTCCGTTGTCGCCGGTAGCTTTTGTGCTGTGTTTGCCAGTTTCGGATGGATCAACTGTACGTTCATTATCTCGTCCAAGAACCCAACTAACACCCACAGGCATCGGCATATTCCAAGACTATTACGCTCAAAACCAATTGAAAACCTACTCATCCAGCAGTATCGCCTGGATTCCCTCTGTAGAATCCTTCATGATGTTTTTCTGGGTACGTAGCTTCCCTCACTAAATGCTGCGGCATCTTCTCACTGCCTCCAGGGCCCCGTCGTTGGTAAAATGTCAGATGAGCTTGGTCCCCGTGTACCGATTCTTCTCGGATCGTTTCTTCATGTTTTTGGTCTGATGATGACGTCCATTTCGAAAGAGTATTATCAGATTCTCTTGTCTCAGAGTTTTTGTAGTGCTATCGGTTGTTCGTTTCTCTTCTACGCTCGTAAGCCTTGACCCATCTTCCTTTGCTCACAGCTACTAACTTTCTCCCAAGCCATTGCCGCTGTCGGTACTTGGTTCACTAGACACCGCGCCATAGCCTTTGGTATCGTCACAGCTGGCTCTAGTCTCGGCGGTGTCGTACTCCCAATCATGGTGAATCATCTGGTCGTTCGAATAGGCTTCGGCTGGGCAATGCGATCCATCGCCTTTTTGTTTCTCGGGCTCTTGGCCATTGCCAATTTGACTATCAAGTCGAGACTTCCGCCACCGAAGAGAAAGTTCAATTTGAGGGACTTCATTACACCTTTTAAAGAGATGCCTTTTCTTCTCTTGACGATAGCTGCTTTCATGCTATACCTGGGCTCTTTCCTGCCATTCAACTTCATCATTGTGCAAGCAAAGGCGTTGGGTATCTCGCCAGGCCTGTCTGAGTACATGGTTCCCATTGTCAATGCTGCATCGTAGGTCACGGCATCTCATCTAAGCGACCTCTGACTAACAATTCCCAGTACATTTGGTCGACTTCTCCCGGCATATCTCGGCGACCGCATCGGTGTCTTCAACGTGATGATTCCTCTGACTCTTCTCGGAGGTATCTTTACTCTCACAGTCTGGCTCACCGCACACTCTGCTGCATCAGTGATTGTTTACGCGGCGCTATATGGATTTACATCCGGGTGTACACTTTCCATCATTCCCGCCATGGTAGCTTCATTCTCGGATGTGCGAAGTATTGGTACGCGTAACGGGTCGCTTTATGGCATTGCTGCATTTGGTGTACTTATTGGTAGTCCTGTCGCAGGAGCTATCGTCGGTGACCAAAATGGAAGTTTCTCTGGGTTGATCATCTTCTGCGGAGTATCCATTCTCGTTGGAACTGTCTTTGCTGTTATGTCTCGATGGGCTCTTGTTGGGGCTGGATGGAGAATTGAAGTGTAGAGGCTGTGTTGAAGTTACTTATCGTAAGCTTTGTTATGATAAAATCAAAAAGAATGGGGCTTGGCTTAAACTCAATAGAAGCCTAAGTTCACCTCTTGTGGTTTTTGCTCGTGTGTCTCCATTGTACTCTATTTTGCGCATGCTGCGAACTTTGCCATCATAAGGTTATGTGAAAGGTCTGCAAACCTTGAATTCGTTGGACCTTACTACTTAAGGCACGATTTTGCTTTCTTCCTTTTCAGAAGCGATCGTGCAACTTGCAGATAACATTCTCTGGTCGCATCATTCAACATGGCTACCATCGCTGGCCTTCCCCCCGAAATCCTCATCGAGGTTGTGAAGCTGAGCAATCCACTAGATGACATTTACGCACTCATCAACGCGTCACCTATATTTCTGCGACTATTTATTGTCCACAGAGAGCACCTCTTGAATTCAACCGTCAATCGTCTCCGACATGATTTCTCAAAGTCCAAAGAGCCTCGATTTCTGCACAACTCCATTCTAGCATTACGACTCCGCTGCAGACACCGGGAAAATGCCACATCCAAGGAAACAGAAATAGCTAACAACTACATTTCTCAGAGCCTCTACTCGGGCTTAGAGCTATCTACGTCAACCGAACTCTTGCTGCTATGTGGTTTTTCTCGGCTTCTTACCGAGGCCCTCTGGATCATGAAGTACTGCGCATCAGAAGCCTGGTATGCTATGTACTTCTATTCAGAGTGAGGTGCCACAATTGGATACGAGGATGATTCGATTCCTTCCGACAATGAGAGGTGGCAGATTGTGCAAGCCGCGATTCACTATGAGGCCTACTGCAATATATTCTTTTCAAACGGCAAGGCTCTTTTCAAGAGGAGTAAGGCGAAACGCGAACGATTCTTTTCAGTTTCATTTCAGGATGGCGTCTTAAAGTCCGGTATTCACTGTATTGCTCGGTCAATCTTCAATATATACGTGGACATTTGGGATGATGTCATTTACTACCTTCCCGATTGGGCGCCTTCAAGTTGTTCCAAATACGGAGGCGTTTGGTTATACTGGGAATGCTATGTCAAACGGTTCAACGAACATACAGAGCTTGAAAAGGATATCTTTATACACTTTCTCACATCCCAGGGCCTCGGCATGATATACAAATTGCATAGCATGGATTTTTGTGATCAAATAAGATTCATACTGGAGAATTTCTACGAAACCGACCTCAATGCAGTCGATTGGTGTCCTAAGCGGAGTTGGGACAGAGCTCTTTGGCAGCCATGGGATGGTATTGAAACTGAACACTTCCATAGAAGAATTTGGCGAGATTCCCGTTGATTCTGGGACGAGGATCGATTCGTGTGAAAGCACAAACTCTTGGTGTTGAGTAGCTTAATTCAAAAAGTACTGTATAGACTTAGCAATATGTACATCTATACAAGTAAAGACCGTGCAATGTAAGAAATTCGTAGGCTTTTGGCACAATCTCTGGGGAGGCTGACGGCAAGATGATACTGTACACCGAAGCAGGAATACTTTTTTATGATGCTGCTGGACTGCCAATTCAGACAGGTCCTGTTACGACAATAGAAGCCGAGTATGTTGGATGCTCCTAAACAAGGAGACTGATTATTGATCTATAGGATCTCGAGATTCAGTAGAGTTATTCCTAAAGGCAGTAGTACGCTGGCTCTCTATAGTTTGAAAAGACAATAGACTGACTTATTGGCAATTAATGAGTTGACGACACCAAGATAACACTGTTTTGCACATCGGCCTTACAGTACCTGTTCACTCTCTGTTTAGAGTCAAAGCCACTCTCTTCCTACCCCACATTGAGCTCAAATCCCTTCGAAAGCCATCGGAACATTGTGGGTCTTGAATGCGATGTGTATCACAAGAGTATTTTACTAACAAAACTCCACCAAGTTTCAAGCAAGTCGAGTCAGGAAACAATTGTCAACAATGATCCACCTTGCTTTTTCTCTGTCAATCGAGACAATTCGGCCTCGGCCAACACAGATGTCCGATCCCCATCAACCCCAGTTTTGTACCCATCAAGACCAACAAGGCTCCACTGCGAGAAACTTATTTATACATGACGCATTTCCTCTTGACCGTATCACCCGGTTTCTCTACTCTGCAATATCCAACTCAACCGTTTATTTCATCTCACAATGGCTCGAATTCTCATCACTGGCTCAACCGACGGCTTCGGCTTCGAAGCAGCCCGTCAACTAATTGAGCGCAAGCACGAGGTCTATCTCCATGCCCGTAACCAACAGCGTGCCGAAGAAGTCAAGACAAAACTACCCGGAGCCGCTGGTGTTTTCATCGCCGACTTGACAACCGTTGCCGAGACGCGTAAACTAGCTGAGGAAGCCAACGCTATCGGGACTTTCGACTCTGTCATTCTCAACGCTGGCCTCATGTCCGGACCCTACCGAAAGGTCGACCTCGGCGTACCAGCCAGTGTCTTCGTTAACCTCGTTTCACCATATATCCTATCAACTCTCCTCAATCAGCCCAAGCGTTTCATCGGCATCGCTTCAATACTGCACCACCAGGCTGATACAAGCCTCAAGGACATCTTTTGGCTTGAGCGAGGTGAACAGGCTTGGCAAGATTTCCAGGCCTACTGCGACGCCAAGTTCCATGTTATGCTTCTTGTGAACGCGCTCGCGAGACGATTCCAGGATAGCTCGTTCGTTTCGGTGCATCCTGGTTGGGTTCCAACTAAGCTTGCTGGTGCTGGGGCGCCCGATAAGATGGAGGATGGTATTGAGACATATGTCATGTTGGCTGAGGGTGATTATGACACTAGCCTCAGTGGTGTCTACTTTAATCCCAAGAAGGAACAGGGTCAGCCTCATGCGTTGACTGCGAATGAAGACTTGCAAGAGACTGTCGTCAAGGCATGCGAAGATCTTACAAGCTTGAAGCTTCCTAGCTGTTGAGTCGAGAAGCAAAGTTAAAAATTAAAATTATTATCTTCATATCGTCTTATGGGAAACGTGAATGTGTTCCTCAATGCTACCCGCTCCAAAGCACAGCTTTTTCTTTTGTCTTGGCATTACGTTGAAAGTTCTACAGAGACTATTTTCCATTGGCTTATGTCTTTTGAAACTGCCGAGGTTGCAAGGATCGTGGGTAAGTCTCGGCTTGTCTAAATTTTCTAAATTTAGCTACACAACAGACTGTAGGGTAGATGTTCATTTGACTCTGGTTGTTATCATTGATAACCTATCCGTACAATGTGATACAATAAAGACTTTCGTAATAAACATTGGGAGTCAGTGTAAACGTCTGTCTTATGAGAATTCATCAACATCTGAATATTTGTGTGCTGATTGAAGAAAAGGAACTGTTTAATTCCACTCATCGACATTTTGTTTCACCGCTGTTACAACTCAGACGTTAACACACCGAGATGCAAGAACATCATTCGCAGTCCTTTCAATTAGCCAGTGGGAGCCTTGAAGTTGAAAAAGGCGATTTACGACATTATTCCTTTATTAAAAAACAAATACAAAGACTCGGATATGTAAAATTCACCGTAGGGAAATTGCATCAAGAGGCAACGAGAGTCGATGACATCATAAACATGGGGCCAATTTAGGAATTGCCGGTTAGTCAGCGGAAATGACTGTCGCAAACGCGCGGGGGTCCGTCGCGTAAACACTCCAGTGGTAGAAGAGACACATGCGCCATACGCTCTATATACGGTCATAACGACCTGGTGATTTGTAAAATAATCTCGCGATGTTTCTTAATCTAATGACTGCTAACAGGTTCTTTTGTATCTCTCCGCCCTTCCAAGCTCCCAGTGTCACCAGACTCAAAGCCATTCGCAGAGACATCTTCGTTAACAGCAAGACGCATCTCCAGATCAGGGTTCTTCTGCTTCCACCTCTTCATATACCAAACACCACCCATCAAAATCGCCCACATCGTAAACTCGAAAACAGTCGCGGCCGGATATCCATGAGGAAACTCCGGTGCCTCAACCGTCGGGAACGTAAAAAGCGGAATCCAAATCTGGTTACAGAATCCCAGCGTCATCATCGATGAGATAATGAGACCTCTTTCTCCGTAGTTCTCTTTCAGTGTCGAGTTGACCCATGAGTAAAGGATCGGTGAGGCCATGCCTGAGAATCCACCGAAGTAGAAGGCGACGAATTTGAGACCGTCGGGTACTGTCCAGATGGACAAAACGATGCAGGCGAAGAATACAAAAGAGGCTTGGAATGTCCACAACCCTCGTAGGCTGAGACAACCGGCCAAGGTAGTGCCGAGCCACGAGGATATTGCGCGTAGAAGGTCGATGAAGGTTGGGAGAATATTGACAAGCTCGATTGAGTAACCGGCGTGACGAAGCCAGAGAGCCATGTATCCGGTCTGACAAGTGGTTAGCTTGTGTACATAAGTACGATGAAAGGATCGACTAACCCAGTAGTGAGCCTGGCAGAGAAAGATGTAGCAAGAAACACAAATCCACCACATAGGTCGACTCAAAGTATACTTGAAAGTCTTCCAAGTGATACCCTCTTTCTCGACAGTAGGTATACGCTTCAAAGCGAGAGCATGATCTGCCTCCGTCATATACCATCGTCTTGGAGAAGTAGGCAAACCAGGCCAAACAACAAATCCGAGAAAAGCAAGAGGAAGAGTAATAATACCCTGGACGACAAACAGCCATCTCCAGCCTGCACGTCCAAAAACACCGTCGAGGTTCTTGTATGCGGCTGCTTGGAGATATCCGGAGAACATGGAACCTAGTGAGTTGCCCATGAACCAGACTCCTGCTCTTTTGAAGAGTTCTTCATTTTTGAACCAGGAACCGACTACAACGGTACATGTTAGTTATGCATGGATCACTGTGAGGGCTTTACCTACGGATGAGATGAGTTCCACCGAATGAACTTGCCTCCAGGAAGCCAGTCAGCGCTCGCAGGATGTAGAGATGCCAGCTATGTTGGATTTCAGACTGGCAGAAGGCGATGATAGCCCATAGTACTTGGAGGGAGGGAAGTAGGAACGGTGCACTGATATGATTAGTGCGATGACTACTACATGGGCTATCTTACCTACAGCTTCCCTTTGGTCTGCAGTGTCATGAGCGGGATCTGACCCAAGACATAGGCCGTATTATCTGTATGTATGAGCTCACCATATTCCGAGAGCCGGTGCGGCCAGTCATAACTTACAAGCAACAACATAGTAATTCAGCTCATTTCCAAAAGCGTTGAGATCCTCTCTCATGCCCGAAACATAAGCATTGGTGATATTTTGCTGCCCGAGGAACTGTATCAGACGTTAGTACCATGCCTCGGTTGGCGGTCGGCTCATGAATGGACTCACGCGGCAGAAGACTCAATTGATGTTAGCATTTGTCAAGACTGGGACCTTCTTCAGACTTACAACTTAATGATCCAAAGATCAAGATAGCCAAATCCAGCTTTCGAAGAAGTTTCCTTTCTTCTTTCGGGTAGTGGGATGCTGATTCATTGTTAGCTAAACTCTGCCACATAGGTACACGATAAAGAATTCGGAGACATACGATACCAGTCAAAGACGGATATAACAACCGCCCCGACCTTGTTCTCTTTGAAACGCGCCGCTAAACCCATGTTCGTAGGATGTCGGACTGTTTGGGAGTTTATTGGATGATCATGTACCAACGACCTGGATTCACAAGACCTTTTAACTTCATCATCTCTCTCGTCTTATCTTACGATCGGGGAACCCAGCCCTGCCAGGAACTACATCACAAGCTGCAAATATGGCGAGATCGATCTAAAGATGAACTCCCCGTGAACTCCCCGCCCTGTCAATACTTCTGAAGTCCGCGGTTCCTAATGTAGAAACCGGATACTACACTAGTAACATGGAAAAACATCGAGTTATCTCCGTTAACCCACTATTAACACTATCAATGCTTACACCATATCGATAAGAGTCAACTGCCAAGGTTATTTGTTGATGCTTAAGGAAAACGCCATGGATTATCGTATGGCGACATATTGCGACATCTACCCCACCCGTGATACTCCAACCACATCAGTCGAAAGTGCGGGGAATGAAACAGCTGACTATCGATGGCGACATTGTGTTGTAGTGTCACGCGAATAAGGGTATCCTTTTCCGACTTGATAAATGAGTCAAGGGGTAATAGTGCGGGTTGAGGAGGATCGTTGACAAGAGGAGATCGAGTATAAGTCGGTCCATTTCCTGGGCATTGAATAGGGAGCCATGACGTCTTTATCTGGTTGATTTACTCGGTTTAACACTGTATTACTCTTTCAAAATGCCGTCTGCTACCCAGCTTTACCAATACAACCATGTCCCCGAGACAAAAGAAAATCTGGACTGGGCAGATTGTGAGTCCACCGTTACCTGCCAATAACCACTACAGTCCAGTCCAGTCGCTAAACTGATCTCCAATACAGTACCTACAATCGACCTCTCCCTCTACGGCTCTAGAAGTGGCAACGCAACACTCGCCGAAACCCTCATCGAAGCAATCCGCACGAAAGGGTTCTTCTACGTAACCAACTACGGCATCTCCCAAGAAGAAGTAGACACACAATTCGCTCTCGGTCAACAGTTCTATGAGCTTCCACTCGAGGAGAAGCTCAAGTACCAACCGGACTTGGACTCTGGCGACTACAATGGCTACAGACCTGCTGGCAGACGGGTTTTGAGTGGGGGTATCAAGGACAAAACCGAAGTTTGGAACATGGCTAGTATGTACACGATTATAGATTGTGGGAGAATCTAGCTAATATCTTGCAGCGAACGATGGACAGATCACCCAACCTCTTCCCGAGCTTCTGCAAAAGAACAAGACCTTGATCGAAAACTTCTCTAAAGACTTACATGATAAGGTCCTCGATCCTCTACTCCACCTAATCGCCATTGCTCTTGAACTCCCAGAGGACTTCATCACCAAGCTCCACCAATGGAACGTCCACGACGAGTCTCATCTGAGATATATGAAGTACTCCAAGTTTAGTCCCGAAGAGTTGGAGAAACTAAGTGATGGACTCTGGTCACTTGGACATACTGACCTTGGCACCATCACTCTTCTATTCCGCCAACCGGTGGCTGCTTTACAGATCAAAGATCATAAGAGTGGTGAATGGAAGTGGGCTAAACCTTTGGATGGAAGCCTGACTGTTAACACATGTGATGCCTTGAGTTTCTTGACAGGAGGTTATATCAAGTCCACCGTGCACCGAGTAAGTCAAACCTACAACCTTCCGACGTAATCAATGCTAACTTGACAGGTTGCCGCACCTCCGAAGGACCAACAACATGTCGATAGACTCGGTCTCTTGTACTTTGCCCGCCCACAGAACGACTTGGTCCTAAACACGGTTGATTCGCCTGTGCTTAAGCGCGGGGGAGCCGTGCAGAATGAATTCGAGGCCGGCGGTCATAAGGTGCCGACTATGGGAGAGTTCACGACGCTGAAGCAGACTTGGCAGCAGCGGAAGGGCAAGACATACAAGGGTGAAGACGGAGTCGAGATTCTGCCTGGTTTCAAAGGCAAATACCACGAATAGAAATGGGTAGTGAACAACTTCAATGTGAATGATAGCTGGCATGCTATCAGATGGTTCGGATGAACTGACAAGATACACCACCGCGTGAAAAAAATTACAACGTTGCATGTACGACGCTATCTGCCTTCATGAGAATTAAAGAGTATATTTGTAAAACATAAGATTGAACCTTACACTGGTTGTATTGAACATATTGAACACTCACCTTCTATCGTTTCCTGGTAACTCATAAACAAATGAAGTCTGATTATCCATCTCAACAGGCCCACCATCACCACTCATCTCAGCAGGAGTCGATGCATCGCCTGTCTTGTACGTATCCTTCTCGTACATTGGCGCTGGGACTGTGACAGGAGTACCTCCAGCTTCAGCAACAGCGACGTCTTCCTTCTGCGGGGGCGTCTGGGTATTGCGTCGCTTCATGAAGAACCAGATGAGCGCACCCAGGGCAATGACACCAGCAGCGACTCCTACGCCGACTCCAGCCTTGGCACCAGTGGTTAAGCCAGTGTCCTCGGGAACCGGCTCAAAGTCGTCTGTTGGCTCATCCGACTTGGTCTCGTTCTTCGGAACCGTTTGCGGCAGAGCAATAGCCTTTTCCCATTCACCGTCATGGTTCTTATGAGCCTGCACAATCGTCTCGTTGGACCAGTAATAGATCCACGTCATTCCTTGGCCCTGATGATATGCCACTGCGAGACCGGCACTGGGGTCGTCAGCAAGAGGCCATATCTTTTCGGATCTATTCGGTGCCATTTGCCAGTCGTTCTTGCCCCAGATCGCGATCGCTTCGCGGAGTTCTTTATCATCGCCGAGGTAGAAAAGACTTCGGGTCCGTGATTGATCGGTGGCCATGCCTATGGCTTCGATAGAGGCGTTCCATCCTGGGAGGGAGAATTCGGGGGTTTCGGAGCTCATTTGGATTTTCGCTGCAGCGGTGTTGTTTGTGTAATTGGCTGCTAGTTGTTGTGGGAAAGCAGCTAACATGCGTCAGTAATAATCTGTAAACAAGGATGAGGAATACATACTGAGCGTCCAATTCCCAGTCTTCTGTAGACGACTCGTCTCAATGTTGTCCTCTCCCTTGGGGAATGCTACCGTCATATTCTTCTTGTCATAGAAGACAGTTCCGATTGCAAGTCCATCTGCAGAATCCTGCGACACGTTGCCCGCATCGATCCAATTGGTGTCATCAGTATACGACATCATTTTGATCTGCCTGTCCTCGTTGTGGTAGAAGACACGATATCCGTCATCTTCACCGCCGCCAAGAAGGTCAACAGCGATACCCGACTCGCTGTGGACAGAACCGACTTCTGCGGTTGACGAGATAGTGTATTCGCCGACGCGCTTGAGCTTTCCCGTTTCCATGTCGCATTCATAGTATCCGTTTACTATGACGCTGTCTTCTGACTGCCAGAAGATGGAGGCCTATTCTATCAGTCAAGGGTTCCTTTCTTTGTCTGAAGGCCGCCGCTTACAATGATCTTTTGGTTGTCCCACCAGCCGACTCCCGCAAGCGCAGTGCCATTTCGTGGCTTGTGATCTGTTTCGAGGACATTCGGTTTATCGAGAGGAAAGATCGGTGTATCTTCGCTATTGCAGTTGCTGTAGTAGATCTTGCCTGTCGCGGGATCTTGGATGCCAACTTGGGTCGTTCGGTCGGTAGCGTAGGCGTAGAGAGCGGAACTGTAGCAGGGCTGAATCCACGCTACAAGAAATAGTAGGCATGACAGCACCAGCTTCGGTTGATGTGGAGCCATGATGGCGCAGGATCGAATTGGGTGAAGGATTTGCGGAAGGTCTCGACTAGAGAGAGAGAGAGTTCTGGGGAAGAAATGGATTTAATACAGGATCCTTCAGCTGGTCAACTCCGCTCGGTCATCTCTTCAGCCCGTGGTAACATCGTTTTTCTCTGAAGGATCTTGTTCCCTGACTAGTGTCGGGGTTCGGTCAATGCCCAGCAGGGGTCTGCCCTGCTTCTCTCTGAAACACAGCCCTAAAGTGCTTAACCAGACGGGTCCGGATATTTCCGTATCACAATGCAATTTTACAGCGACCGCTTTTTAACAATGTACTTATTGCCATTGTTTATTGAATATCGCTGAGATGAATACTCATCTAACTTCCAAGTACCTTTACTCGAAGGCCACTGAAGAGATATTAGATGCTTTGCTGACATTTTGCGGACAAGCTTTTGGTAAGGCAGACCGTTGAACAACCCATGCCGATCTTGCTACCCACTAATGCATGTAAGATGTATCTATCGGTCTCAATTGGCTGCGATTCGCCCTAGACGTAAATGAAGGAGCCTCGCTGTCTTACAGCTAAACAAGATCACCATTTCGCCCCCAATAATTGGCACGACTTTCATTAATTGGAGGAACAAAAAGATTAGCCGCCGGTCGGCAAGTTTTCGCCGTCCAACCTACCAATCATGCTTTCCGAGTTTGCTTCTTTGCAGCCACTCACCATTGTTCGTATGGTGCCTGGTCAATAATATGTAGCCAAGCATTTTGTCTGTCATCGGTAAGCATTGAGTGACGGAAAAGCTGATCGCCAAGTCGAGTCCCAACGGTCATCGGAACAAGGTGCAAGGATAGACTTTCGGCAGGCAAGGGACGACCCGATTGCTTTTTAAGTAATAGTCTCGACCATTTTTGATCAAATGCTGACATCGCGGCTTACAGGTCAATAATTAGCCCACCAGATTACTACACCCTAAGAAATTATTAGGTGCAACGTCTATTGGAATCCGTTCCGTTCATCTTATGTCACGAGATTCAAAAAAGGTCCTAGCGCCAGTTGGAAGCAGCCCAGACCTCCAACAACATGCACAGTAGGTAGCTGTGATTAAGTATACACAGATGTACTTTGTAAAAACTTCCAAAAAAGGTATAATAGCGGAATTAAACCTCCTAGAATGGACGAACAGGGAATCGAACCCTGGACCACTCCCATGCTAAGGGAGTATTATACCACTAAACCATTCGCCCAGTGAGTTTTTAGATATAATTCTAGAAATTTGGACTTTTGTTGATGATAACTTGAAATCGTGATAGTGTGGTGGGGTTTTACTTACTGTATGGACTTTTTCCGACGCTGCCAAGGCAAATCCTTATCGCTAAGAAGATATCGGTGCAGCTTCCCTATCAGCTCGGGACTGATGAACCGAGTACCTAACACTTGTATGCGCTAGCTTCCAATCCCCCGTTGTTTCAGCCAGGATTCAAAGATTGAAACAGTTCAGAATGAAGGAAATTTTGCAACAATAGAGCAACTAAGTTGCAAGGTACTAGCTGCATTCAAGTTAAAAAGAAAAAGAGACAGAGGAGCATCTAAAAAGAAAGACAGGAACTTCCGATACAGAGAACTTTAAGACTGCAACGGGGTTCAAACATGCAACCTCCGGTAAATTACGTTTTGAGACTTGGTCTAGGGTGCCCGTGGGTGTATACACATCATTAATAAAGCCCCTGAAACAAATTATTTGTAGTCTTCTTATTCTATATAGTTATACCCAGAGCCTAATAGCATTATATTAAGTATTCTGTATTTTACTAGAGTTTGCTGTACGTTTCAGTGCTATCAGTCTAGTCAAGTCGGCGAGATATGTATGACAATATCGAGTGGAAGATTTCCATCTGACTTTTACACTCTAGTTGTCAGCTCCATGTTGCGTGAGAGTTTAACATCTATATAGCTTTCATTACATTACAGTCCAGCTGTACAGTATTTGAAGTATGGCTGTTCAGTTACTTCCCCGCAATGAAGTTGTAATATGAAGTACGCTCTGTCGCTCATGTCAGCCGCCACATGGATGATACCATATTACGATTGGTCCGCGGCATAAAGGGACTGTTGTAGCGATACGCCATCGAGAGTTGACCGTTACGTTTGGCGTGCTCGAGGCCGTTCTCTTCTCCATAGCTAAAAGAGCTGAAACCTGAACTCGTCAGTCGACATCCGCGGGCCGATTGATACCATGAACTTGAGGCATACATACATACGCGATGGAACACAGCTTGTCATTTGCTTGACCGGTTGCAATCCGCAAAGGAATATTGATGATCGTCGTCATGTAATTGGGTTTTACATAAATGAGACTTGAGCACTACAGAAGACGATGGTTAATCAGCCAGCCACAATATGAGCTTACGACCCCTGATCGTAATGGGAGTATCAGGCAGTCAACCTGTTCCAGGTCCGCTTGGTGCCTATAAGAAGGACACTTTCCTCCCTAACCCTGCAAACAACTATCCTCTTTCACCCAATTCACGCTTCAAGATTGAACCTGTCAAGCGTGTATTTAAAACCCCACCACTTGCTTCCAAATCCATCTTCCATTATCTTCCATCACCATCTAAGTCAAGTCCTGCATCCAACATGTCCGACTCTCCCAAATGGGCCAGGTCCCAAGGCTCAATCACCGACCTCCACTGGCGGGGTGATGGCCAAGTCCCAAGGACAGGCCTATCCGCTGGACCCTCAGCCGTTGTCTTCCAAGACAAGATCTACTGCTTCCACCAAGGCAGTAGAAACAGAGGCGAGCTGTGGTTCAATGTCTATGAAGACTTCCAGTGGCGTGGTGATCAGAAGGTTGCCAATGTTGGCATGTCAGCCGGACCCTCTGCTGTCATCTTCAACGATAAGGTCTATGTTTTTCATCAAGGTGGTGGGAACAATGGTGAATTGTGGTTCAACGTGTAAGATGGAAATGGTTGGTGGGGTGATGCTAGAGTACCCAACACTAGCATGTCGGCTGCTCCATCCGCTGTGATCTTCCATGGTACGATCTGTGTGTTCCACCAAGGAGGAGGTAACAACGGAGAGCTATGGTACAGCGTCTATGATGGAGGAAGGTGGTGGGGTGACTCTAAGGTCCCGAATGTGGGTATGTCAGACTCTCCTACTGCCACCTACATCCCCTACAACGACACCATCCAGGTCCTTCATCAAGGATGCGGGAATAATGGTAAACTTTGGGGAAATGCCTTCAACGGATCGCGCTGGTTTGGAGACGAGAAGGTTCAGAATGTGGGGACCTCTACAAGCCCATCTGCAGTGGCCTTTGACAACAAATTGTTTTGCTTCCATCAGGGAGGGGGCCTCAACGGGGAACTGTGGGTTGATCAGTTCAATGGGGAGTATTGGGAGGGCGATAATCGGGTTTCCAACACGGGTATGTCTGCAGATCCGTCTGCTGTGGTTTACCATGGCAAGATCTATCTGTTTCATCAGGGTGACGGAAACAACGGCCAGCTTTGGTTTAATGTTCTAGAATGATGGTGGATTGCTTACTCGATGAACTTTCAGTATGTATCATTTTCTAACTCGGTAAGAATGGATAATAATTTGCTATTGGGAAAGGATGGTATTCGGCCCTTAGTATTCGTGATACGAGAGGCCTCACTCCATGTTACCAGCCTCACAGTGACTCGAGGGATATCGTCAGGTACCCTGCATTTACAGTCGCAGAAATCGTGACTCGGTCTCTGGAAACAAATGTTTGTGAACTTGCATTGTTATACTTTTCTGAACATACAGCAACGGTGAAGTGCAACGGGTTGCAACCACCAATAAGTTAGATAATGTACTTCGCGTTATATCTGCCGCTGAAAAACTTGTTATCCATTTTAACCATAGAAGATACATCATGGAAGTACATAATCGGGCTGGTATCTAGTTTCTTTACTTTGCTGTTGCCATTTTCGGGTGTTCAAGACTCCATAGGCTATATCCCTGTCTGCTGTTCAGTGGCTGCAGGACTGGCCTGCTGTTGGTGGATCGAATAGGGGTACAGTACATCGACTGCTTAGGTAGGCTCAACTAACCCAGTGCGTCCGGGTTGAGCGCGAGGCAAACTGAGCGCATTTGCGGAGTTAGAAAATTTCATAAGAAATGCTGAATTGAATCATTCATTTATCAACGTAGACCATATTCCCGACAGTAAATATGGATCAACGGAGTTAAGCCAATCAATGGCCAACATTACCCAGTGGGGTAGGATCGACAAGGGAGTCAAATATTAAGCGAGTTCTTTACGGCCTGTCGTCGAATATTAAAATTTCTCCTTTACATACTCCATTTTTAAAGCCTGTCTCCCATGGAACCTGCAAAGAATCCAGGTCTTGGTTCCAGCATGTTCTGCTCACGATGCTCTACAATCGATTTTGACTCTCTTTCAGGAAGTTCTTACAAACCAAGCCATGACAATGACATTCTTACAATAGAAGGAGCTATAGATGAGAGCTGGGCGTCGCCTTCCTGTGCTCTGTGTCTGCTTTTCAAAGCCACTGCTCCTCCACCTGCATATAAGAATTTGGGGCCACTATTGGCGTGGCAGAATGAACGCTCTCTCACACTTCTCAGTCCCGACAAAGCTGGGCAGATCGTCGGAGACACAAAGTCCCATGTGCTTATCATTAAAAACAAACAAGGCGTGCAGTCTTTTCCGGATCCTAATAGAAGTCTTTGTCTACAATCGGATACAGCCCAGACTATCAGAGTATTAGACCCTCAACACATCGACTTTAGCATTCTCGAGCATTGGCTTTCGACATGCCACAACAGTCACGGCGAATCCTGCGGTCTGGAAGAGACTGCTGTGATACAATGCTTGCAAGTGATAAATGTCCATACTCAGCAGGTGGAGAATGCAGGGAAGGGAGCGCGTTACGTCGCCCTTAGTTACATGTGGGGACAGCAGAAGCAGACAGGGCCACCTGCTCCTCTATCTACTTCCCAAACCATGTTAGCAGAAAGACGTGGCTCAAGCCCTGGAAGCCTTGATACTGGTTCACATGAGTTCCCACCAACTATACGAGATGCCATGGTGGTCACCAAAAAGATGGGATTCCACTATCTTTGGGTCGATCGGTACTGCATTCCCCAAGATGAAAGTAAAAGTAAGGAGAAAGACGACCACATCAAGCAGATGGACAAGATCTACCGCAAGGCCGAGCTTACCATCGTCGCAGCTGCGGGACAAGGACCCGAATATGGCTTACCCGGCGTGGGATCAACCCCACGAATACCTCAACCATCAGTTCAAATAGGCAAGCATACTCTCATCTCGACCATGACCACGCCGCGATTTATGATTTACAGCAGTCCATGGTACAGTCGCGGATGGACCTATCAAGAGGGCATATGCTCTCGAAGACGCCTGTTGTTTACCGACGAGCAGGTGTTCTTTGAGTGTCAGCAAATGAGCTGTCGTGAGACAGTCGATTACATGTGGCCGACTTCCAATGGTACGAGCGCGTGAAGAGAGTACAGTATTTTCAATGAGGTACATACAACACAAGGGGGATTGGATTCTGCTTTGCAACATATCATGAGCTACAACAAGCGACAGCTGACATATGACTGCGACGCACTTAACGCGATCCTTGGAGTCTTGCGACTGTATTCCAGAAAGGATGTTCCTGTCTTTCACTTTTGGGGCATACTCATAGCTCCCCGGTACTACATTGAGGCGGAAGCTTCCTGGGAGACTGCCCTGGAAACTTTCTGTCAGATGTTTCTACACACGAGCAGTCAATCTCTTGATTCAAGGACTTTGAGGAGCGCCATACGGTACACTCTTTTGAAGGTCACGTGGAGGTTTCCGTCCAGACAAACTCTACAAAACACCATTTGTAAAACCTTTCTGCAAACGAAAAGGCTATTTTCCTCCCAGGATAGCATGGAGAAAACATTCATCAAGTCTCTTTGCTGGGTACCAGACAGTACAGGACGGCGAAGACCAAAGTTTCCTTCCTGGTCATGGGCTGGCTGGACGTGTCCAATAAGATACTCCGGAGTTGCCTATGAACCTCGAAGATATGCGGTCACAGTATCCATTGGGTTTGACAATGGACGGTTTAAGTCTCTTGAGTATGTGTATCGTCATCACATCGTATCTGATAACCTGAAAAACACAATGGGCATCTTACGCCTTAGGGCCATGGTGGTGAAGCTAAAGACAAAAGTGCTTCAAAAGAACTTACACGACGGAAAAGATATCGGAACTGAGGTACTCTACGCCTGGACCATGGAACAAGACAAGGAATTTGGAGAAAAGCAGCTTGTGGCACCTGTTCAACTTCTGGAACCAATGGATCCAGGAACGATAGCCGAGTGGCAAAAGGAATCACCTCATCTGCTGGGTATCCTTATGGAGTATTACGAGGATGAGCACCTTCCGAAAGATGTGCTTGTTCTGGTGGCTGCAAAGGTTGATCATCGCAAGTATCAGCGTGTGGGCCATCTGCTCCTTGATAGTGGCTTGGGAGCTGGTGGGAGAATGAAATCTAAGAACGTAGTTACAGGTGACTACGTCAGGATTGAAGTTGATGAGCGGATACGTAGGCGTAAGAGATGGGAGACTAATCGCATGTGCAGCATATATCTTGTCTAGTGTAAAGACCCTCAATTTTCTTGACTAGATTCGCAGTAACCCTGAACACAGCTAGCAGCTATTACTTTGAAGATGTCCACTTCCAGGTTGCCGAATTCTGGAAGCCGCTGTAGTAATTTAATAGCAGTCGCGAGATTGATAATTCACTGCCCTATTCCCATTAATAACTTTAGACCATAAATACAAACCGCATGGGTTAGATGAAACGGATTCACGGGAAATAACTGTATCCAGAATGAGGTTTAAATTAAGCAGCCCTCTGACTATTGCTGTTTTTCTGTAAGGACGCGTTGTAAGCACTTTCGAGCGTTACACTGTGAGAACGCCAATAGTCGAGCACAGCCTTACGAACATCCATTCGATGATAACTTCAATTAGACTTAGTTTCCATCTTGTCATTATGTACAATAGTGGGGTACTTGTAGTTGCTGTTTGACGTATCTCCAGATGGCTATCAAATGAGAAGTGCTGCAAGAACAGGCACTCCATATAATATAACCATATTCGTGACAATACCATGTGTCGCCTCGTTTGGTTCAACCTCCACAGGCCCCGTGGGTGTTGTTGGAACTGATCCGGTGGGATTGCCTGTACCAATGACAGGCTCAATACCGGTGCCAGTTTCGGGTCGCTGCTCAGTTATAATCGTCCCTCCATCACTTCTAGCAGGTTCACTAGGACCTGCAGTTTCCAGAGTTCCAGGAGCAGGCTCTGTTTCCACGACGTCTGGTGGACTTGTCTGCTGAGATGGCTGAACTGTAGTTTCTTCACCAACAAGAGGAGGTTCTTCCACGGACACCTTCGGCGGGGCGGCTGGTTCTGGTGCAGGTTTATCAGTTTCTTGATTAACAGGAGGGGGCTCTTCCCCAGTGGCCTCTGGCGGGGCAGGTGGCTCTTTGGCTGGCTCCTCAGTCGCTTGACTACCAGGATTAAGCTCCGTGTTAGGGATGACTACCGGCCTATTCGGCTCCTTTGTCGGTGTCTCCGATTTGACAAATCCTAGCCCACTGACTGAGAGAGCCACAGGATTATCACCAGACGTCTGAAGTACTTGGACAACCGGATTCTTGACAAATTGAGTCTTCTCACTCTTGATTCGTTGGAACTTGCCCGCAGTCTCGTCAACTTCCTTATCGTAAATGATCTTTTCGTTCATAATCATCTGAAGACGGTTGCCTCTATCTTGTCGTCCGATTAGGAACCTCTTACGTCGACTGGAAGAGCTTTCCACCACTTGAACTACAGCTTCAAGTGCAACGAGATTACCTTCCTCAATGTCTAATGGCTCCTCCACTTTGATACTAAACGTTGCTTCGCCATTAGGAGGCGGCTCCAGTACACTACGACCCATGTTAGTTAATGGACACATTCTTAGGGGTATACGTACATTGCCTCCTCGCCAGCGACTGTAGTAAATCTTGCGTTAGGATTGAGTGACGCATCTCCGAGGTCCAACTCAGCAACGTCCCCTGTAGGCTCAGGTGGTGGTGTTGTAAGTGTCGTGAAACCTGATGGGGCCGCTTCAGTCTGCTCAGGCTGATCAACTGGTTCATTTGTGCCAATGTCTGGGCCTTGCGAGCTTGCAGGACCTGCAGTCAACCCTTCCCCACTCTTTTCAGGGCCGCCTGACACCTCAGGAGCTTCTGCTGTTGAAGCTGGAGGGGCGGTAGCTTCAGGCTGTTCTGCAGACTCAGTAGGTTCTGCTGGCTCTGCGGGAGCTGGTTGAGTAGTCTCTGTGGGGATAGTTGCTTCAGATGCCTCAGACTGTTGTGTAGCCTCTGTAGGCTCTACAGCCTCGGTAAGCTCGGTAGGCTCGCTTAGTGGGACAGGCTCCGCGGACGCGGTTGGCTCTGTAGGAGGACTCGGCTCAGAAGCCGTCGGTCCAACTGCTTCAGACTCTTCTGTAGGTTCGACAATCACGGTAGGTTCGGTGGACTCATCCTGGGCGGTTGGCTCTGTTGGCTCTACAGGGGGAATTATAATTGACTCGGTTGCCTCAGTCGGCGCGGTTGGTAGGGTGGGCTCAATTGGGTCGGTAGGCTCTGTAAGAGCGGTTGGCTCAATGGGTTCAGGTGGCTGAGTAGCTTCATTCGGGGCAGGAGGTTCTGTTAGCTCAGGGGTATCAATTGAAGCAGTTGGCTCGACTGGTTCTGTAGCTGTGTTTGACTGGATACCATCGGTTGGCTCAGTAGGAGTCGGAGTAGTGGGAGCCTCTGGAACAGTTGAGGCTTCTGGAGCAGTTGAGATTTCTGGAACAGTTGAGATTTCTGGAACAGTTGAGATTTCTGGAGCAGTTGGAGCTTCTGGGACAGGTGGAGCACTTGGCTGCTCAGATTGACCGACAACTGTAGGCGGAGATGGGTCGATTTCCAGTGATGGATCAGGTGGGGTAACGACTGTTTGACCCCAAACCCCTCTAATAAGAAGGCCGATGATCAGATTGTTTAAAAGATACATTTTATTGTGTTCTATTATTTGCACAGGATAACATGAATAAACTGGGCAATAAGACGGAACGAGTTTTTAATAACGGGCAAGGTTTTCTATGGCCTTCGTTACCTGTGTTTTAATTGCATCACTTCACATGTCCTGTTCGTCTCCGCTGTCAGACGGGTATTGAGGTCTTCAAGCCTTGAGGCTGCAGAAGCTCAATGCATGTCTAGTGTAAAGCATATGCAGGCATATTAGTCGTATCTGACTTGCATGATCGTCACTGATAAAATCTGTACTTTGCTCATAAGGCGTTGAATGTGCTGCGCCAAGGCCTATGGCTTGCTCTGACTCCGTTAGCACAGTGTCTATCACAGTGCAGTATCAAGCCTTTACAAAAATGGTACAAGTAAACCTTAACTCTCCAACGGATCAACACATAAATCTGGGACTGTCTCGGCGGCGCCCGCCACCAGGGACCTTACCAAATCGGTTTTAGACACGTCACATCGCTGTCAGTTCTCGACTGGCGTTTTTAGCTCCTTTTCTAGACGGAGTTTGAAAAAGCGGAGGCGGAACGGTGACAGCCGAGACTCTTATTACTGACAGAAGCTTAAATACGATTACCACAGACTGTACATGTGGTTTCAACTCCACCTCTGCTTCGTCTGCATAATGATGTGATATTGTCGTCTAAGCGGGAATCTACGGACGGTCTCGTCCGGTGCTGTGTAAGCCACACATTAACCTTACCGATGGACTGTAGGGTCGTTTTCAAGAATGCATCAATCTAGACCAGGTGTTCTTGCCACCACAGATGGGCAAGTCCTCAGCTCGAGATATTCAGCCCTTCAGTGCTTTTTGGTGTGGATCCCAAGCGTCTATAAAGCAAGTTTCAGCCATTGCCTCCACCCACCATGAAGTGGTAAGGGTCTCGGGTAGCATCACGGGTGCAGAGTAAAGTGTTACACTATACACCAACCATTACCTCCCGAGACCCGTATATACCAGTGTTGTAAATCTTATCTGCAGAAACCTGGGAATTTGTGAGACATGTTGTTCCAACTATATCCTCTTGGTAACTTCGTCCTTTTCAACGTTAAGATGCATCAAATCCTTAAATCTGTCATGTTGCTCGGCCTTTTGACGGTGCCGAGCACACATGGACGATTTCCATGTGACCCAACAAACAGACCGCAAATACAAGATTTCCATCAGCCACCAGAACCGACTGTTGCCCCTGGACTCAGATATGAGGCAAAGCGTCAAGAATCATCTATCAGCTACTTCCCCGTCACCAAGGCCCCAGACAAAACCTGTGGTTACCTTTCAGGACGCGCAGTGCTCCCCATTACCTGCGAGAATACCAAACCTTGCATGTGGGCTACCGAGCTAGGAATATTATGCGGTGAGATTGAGGATGACTTTGACAACTGGCAAGTCCATATCAGATGTATGGACAGGGAGATGGCATTGAATCCCGCACTTTGCAATGACACCTGTGTTGACAACTCAGTAATTCTTCGCTGGTGAGTAAAAGATGCTCACAACCTTACGGGACTTGATTTGACGTGCACTATAGTACGGAGGAGTCGGCACCTTATTGTGCGACATACCTCTACCCGGACGCTATTAAAGATTATAGATGTTCATCAACCCCAGCAACTCGAGTCTCAAGCGTGGACTTTACCTACCGTGGGCAGGAGAACGCGGCCTTTGTTACCACGTTGATGCCTCTAAACGGCCCTCGAATCTTGTCAACCAAACCGACCGAGTCGAGTTCTGCCACCGATTCATCTTCCAGCATAACAACCTCATCGCCCCCTTCAACCGATTCACCTTCGAGCAAGAACAATCTCGGAGCCATCATCGGTGGTGCGATTGGAGGGCTCGCTGCGCTTTCGCTTGTGATCATTGCCATTTTCTGGTTTGTTCGACAGTCAAGGAAGAAACAACATCCTCCTCCGACTCAAGTTTCTCAAATGGGACAAGCTCCGCAATCAGACTCGATGTGTGGAAAGCCGGTCCCAACATCTCCGGTACACTCGGAATGGAGAGGTTCAATGATGACGGCTTTCAGCTCGCCCCATTCCGCTTCACCGCAAGCGTGGCTGCATCCTCCAGTGTCTCCAAGCGCACAAAGCGATATATCTCAAGGGCTATGGCCGCCTATGGGTAGCAGCTTGGCTCATGAGATGAGTGGAGAGTCTGTCCAGCCTACACCGCAAGAGGTGGGAGATTCTCGCGTTTATGAAATGGCTGGGGACTTAAATCATCGTTGGGCTTAAGTTGTCTAAAACTAGAATCTGATGAAGCAGTTACTTTATTTGTTTATCCTCTGTTACAATAAGGTGATGCAGCTACTGATGTCCTTGAACGTCATCTTGTTGAACTGCAATGTCTTACAAGACAATAAGTACTACTAAGTACTACTAGTGATGTAAGCCAGATGCTGATCCGTTGTTTTCCTTGTATGCCTTTAAGAAAAACCGCAGCTGAATAAAGCTTAAACTCCAAGATCTGCACGGTCTGAACATTATTCCTTGCATTATGGTGCTAACCAAATATACTGCAAAGCCAGGCCCAGAAAGAAAATTTCTCAACAGCAATTCCTCAATTACAGAAGGCAGTGCATAATGGCTGGAATAAAGTTTACAGAGCTTTCAGCCCGAGCTGTCAGCGAACAAACACGCAGGCTGCATGTTGGTGGCTTAATAAGGTTTTATGCGTGTCAGCGATGTCACTCGACGAGAATCTGGACCCATTATACATATCTCCGCGTCAAAACGGAAGGACGCAGTAGAAAGGCAGAACCATAACTGTGAAGAAAAAGGTAAGAAGAGTTTTCTTACCACCGTTGAAAGCGCAGCAAGTAGCAATGCTGCTACCAGAAGAGAATATAAGGGTGAGGTAGCCAATCCTGTTTCTCGAGACCCTAGGAAGCGATATGGATGGATTAAAATACAGTTGATCATCGCTACCGTCACATTATTACGCCGCTTTTGAGCGGTGGTACAGGCTCTGGAACGTCCGTCGGCATAACCCTCTTCGTAACAGGTCTGGGTCGAGGGCGTGGTATTAAAGAAACCACATCGCATCTCGAATTACAGTTCTGAAACATGTCACCTAGTGACCTATGTATACAGTATTGTCTCCGTCCCCACTCTCCTCTGCAACGGGATATGTTCGCAGTCTTTGCCGGTATGGTCCCAGTAGTCTTATAGCTAGATCACTTGGTTGGCGTCATGGCTATGTTCATATTTGCCCTGGTAGGTTGCGTTGTTGAAAGCTTTGTGTCGCGCGGGCAGTTATTGCAGTGCTGTGGACTGTCCCGCAGCCTGGCTAACTCCTGGTTTCTCGAAGGCCACGACATTCGCCATAAGATGCTGAGGAAGCAAATATTGGACGGCGGACGACTTAGTAATCTAGCTGGCTGACTAGCAGCCCAATACATGGGCTCGGTGCCCATTTCTTCTGCGCACACCATCTCTCTTTGCTGGACGGCCAATGCCTGTTAGATGAGAAGGACTACTCGTGCCACGCCCCGCATATTTCAGGTTCGTAAATGTCTCATACTCATTGAGGGTGCTCGAAAGAAAACTGAATCAGACAGCAAATTAAATAAATCTAGATAGCTTGAATCTAATACTTTAGATACTATTGTTCCATAAATTAATATGTCTCGTGAACGCCATTTACGCCTTTATAAGGCATTTACTTATGTATACTTATTTAGATACGAAGATTCGATCAGTTGGCGCGCCTCTACGATGTATCCTTTTTAACTCTATAGCAATGCATCGACAGCATATACAAAGGAAAAGCGCGAATCGCAGCGTCAGTTTGTCAATAGCTGAAAAGCTGACAGCGGTACCTGACTGCACTGAAAATCCATAATCCCCGTAAACATCTCCCTGGCGTCAAGACGATCAAAGTCTCGGAGGAACACTGCCCGCCCAACAAGCAAGAAATCATCTCCCTCCGCCCTCAGAACGAGGGCGGAGTAGCACCCATGCAACCAAGAAACATAGTCCCCTTCCGCGACTTTGCCAGTGGTGACACCTAACATACCCTGACAGGAGAAGAACCGATAATTGTTCCAAGATCTAGGATGTAGCTCAGCAGGTAAATCACCTCCAAGAGGACGCTCCATTCTCGTATAGTCAAGCTCCGGAGGTGGCTGTATCCCGTCTTCGAGGTCGTACTCATCCTCGATATCGTCTTCGTCTCTGGGAGGCGTGCGGCTGAATACAACACGCTCTCCGTCTCGGATGCTGTCAAGAGTGTGCAGAGTTCTCCAGATGCCTTGCTCAAAAAACCCCTGTGCACAAATTCTATAGTAAGCTATAAATCGAGGCGATATCTTTGCCGTGAGGCCACTGAGAGGAGGTGTTTCGAGGCTGTATTCCTCGAATGAAGGACCTAGCTGTCCAACAGGAAACGGAGCCGACGCCCAGAGTTTCAAGTGACGGTTGGCAATAAATTCGGGCTTCTCAGCTTGAGGATGATCGCCCAGCTTTGAGGGAATTTCGCGTGAATGGGGCCCAAAAGCCCTCTGAAGAATTTGACTAAGATATGGTAACTCGGTCTCCTTGCCATTGAATGACTGTAAAACGTGCAAATACGCGAAGGCTAAAGGCTGGCCATATCGAATTGGTAGATAGTTAGACCAACCGTCGCCGGCAAGGCTAAGAAGCCCGTAGACCTTGTCCCTAGGGCTTTTACATCCGTTCTGCCAGTATCTCTGCAATAAATCTTTCAAAGGCCGCTTGTGCTGGATCTGAGTCGGTCTGAGAATGGTATGGCACTGACTACTGCAGATGTCATTTACTATGTCTGACACGTCAGACTCGTCGTCTCAATATTCATCCACGACAAGCCCACGCATACGGTCAAGGGCAGACAAATGAGCCTCCATGATTTCCCCTTGTGCTTTTCTGGTACCAGAATATATGTAGATTTTCTTTGCTAAAATGACTTCTTGGAGGATCCAGATCCTGGTCCAATAGGCTCGATGACAGAGGTCATGCAAGGCTCGCAGCGGGCTGTCATCGAGGTCTGAATACCAGGTGTCAATCGCGACGGGACCACCATCAGGGCCTTCAACCCCAAAAATTGGAGAAAGGGTCGAATTTTCCAGGATGTCGAAAGCAGACGGGCCAGGTCCCTCTGGGCTGAGCCAAACATTGACGACGCTTGCGTACGTATAAATCTTGCTCATTAAAGGAACTTGATAGTTTTTGTCGGCATCGTTATCTTGGTTGATACAAATCGCATCAATCCATAGAGTCCGGGCGTTATCTGCATGCCGTAAGGCAATTATAGGGAGAAAACTGGTAGCTCAGGTAGGGTTAGGCCTAGAATTTTTTAAGGGAACCTCCCCAATTGCCTTGAGCAGCAAAGTGCTACCTACATCATTACTGAACTTCCCACTTTCACTGAAAGTGGAATCTTTATAATGCCATTGGCTGATGATCCCTGTGATTACCCGTATCCCACTTTCACTTGAAAGAAGACTCTCAATAACGTACCCCTAGCAAAAATGTAAGCCAAAGTGGTGATCTCGGTTTACTTTGCTTTTTAATCCAATTGCTAGAGAAAATCTGCCATACCTGATACTGGATTTTAAGCTGAGTTAATCGAATGGTTTCCGTCGGCGGTGTTTCTTGTATACTGAGACAATCTTGCGTGTTGGGCATATTAAAATAGGTCAAATTATTGTTTGAGCATAACGTTAGCCGAGCTACAAATCTTTCTTAGTTAAAATCATGAGCCCATGAAGTGTTGACTTCATAATGAAAAGTGGCCCATATCAAGGGTAAAAGGAGACCCAAAAAGGCACGGATAGTAGGGCTATAATCAACAACACACTGTTATACATTATCCAAATCCACATTTAGGTTTATTAATAACTTCGCTTAATTAGCAAACCGTTTATTGCAGCCAATTTCATTACGCTTTCGTCCGTTACAACAGCCTGTTTCTTCCGGGCCTTATTGTATTCTTTCGCTCTAACCTATTACAACACTTTTATATAACAGTGCATATAAGAGTTAGAGATTAGAAACTCTAAGATAACAGCACATCCCGAAGATCGCGCTCATAATAATAAAGGAAGAGTAGCTACTTACAACAAAGTTCGCAAAAGCAAAAAACGCAAGCACTAGGACGCAGAACAACCAGCTCTTCAACATAAAACATGTACAAGTAGCGTTCGTGATACTTCGTACGCTTTTAAACGCGCAAAGATACCAAGTACCATTAACGAAAGGAGAGTAACAGTGGGAGATAGCAACGAAAGAGCGGAAGAGAGAATCCCAGTATCTAGAAACGCAAAACGGCGATCTCCTTCCCCTCCCTAACAAATTTTAAACAATCCGGCCCTTTTACAAGAGGTTTAGGCAATCTATTGCAGTCGCCGTACTAAGGCTCTCTAAGAGTTACAGGCACGTTATGCTCCAGCCGCTCCAACCAGTAACATAGCAGCACCTAGAGCACCTCAGTCAGACAAATATAATAACCTATCGTACAACCACGTGCAACAATCAAAGATGCCAAGTCCTACGTACAATAAGGAAAACACAGCGGATCCGCCTTACTATCCTGGGAAGCTCAGTACTCCTAGTGATTCCCAAGAATCGTTTTACAGCGGGTGGTTAGATGATATTAATCATGTACTTAGGCCAGATGGCAAATTAACTATTCATAATCCAGGATCTGGCTCTTCATAAGGAAATTGATATCACGATAAGGAAATATATTTAGACAGTGGCAAGAGCTGTCACAGCGTAAGAACAGAAGACAAGTGGATAATATTAATCAGAAGGCATAGACTAGTTTTTGTAAGTCGACTCTATAGCTTTATTAATTCCACGGTATTTAATAGGGGAGAAAAATAATTCCTGCAAACGATAAACTCTAAGAACATCGGTTAGGTAGACTGCGAAGAGAATTCAGGAATGGGCTACATTCTATCCTAGGTATCCCCGGAGACTTCTGCTCACTGGTTTAACAGTTTCATTTGTCATTTCAAGACTGCCTTATTAATTGAGGCACAAAAAGAGACGATTAAGTTCAGGATAGGTAAACAATTTGCTCAGCTTAATAATACTTGAATACCTGGGGTTATTCCTATTCCTATATTCTCTTTGCAGTCTACCCAACCGATGTTTTTAGAGTTTATTGCTTGCAGGGATCACTCTTTCACCCAATTAAAACCACAAAAGTAATACAGCTAGATAGAAACAAATACAGGAACGAAAATAATAGGTGCAAAGTCTAGTAGAAGAGGTTACCATACAGGATCGGACTTGGGAAATAAAACTGTAAATTACACAGGTCAAGCGCATACTCACGTCCCAGGGCCTATCGTGGGCCAACGTCGAACCGTCCAAATATAAGACTGGCGACTGGAAAAAGTTAAGCAGGTCAACTGGCCTAAGGCGCAGCGCAATGTTGGCTATTTTTAATAAATCCTTATCGATAACAACTCAATAGCGAGATATAGTATTACAGAAAGTAAGAAGTTACCCTATATACATTTCTTTACATACAAATAAAAAATTCGCTAATTGTTACATCTAGTAAGTGGGTTTATTTTTAAATTACAATTTCAAGAACATAGATATTTTACCCACTTAGACTGGACGCTAAATGTAGTATAAAACTGATCATTACTATATAAATATACGTAGCATAGCTCTTAGACTGAACTTATTTATATTTTGATAAGATATTCTAGCTTGTTATTGGTATATTCGTCTTGGAAGTTGCTAACCTACTGTACGCAGTCGTGGTGGTAATTCAACGAAATACAACAAATCTGGCCTATGCACATTGCCCGGTTATCTATGTATACATTATATCTGCAAATTTCGTTAAATTACTAACATACTAGTCTATATATACATAACATCTTAAGCACTTTATGTTAAATCCCTTTTTCAAAACATTATCTACTACAATAGTACAAAGGCAGCAGAACCCAGTGCATAGTAGTTAATAACAAAAGGAACTCTAGTAGAGTTCTTTTAACTGACAGGGGTAGAGTTATTTTTCATAGCGACCAATTACAGCACATCTTGATTAGGTATAGCACGGCTTGGATCAGCTGTGATCTAAGCCTAGCTATAAAGCTAAAGGTAGAGGCTGATTTTAATAGCTTTTATTTATTGCTTAACTATACTAAGGTAATAATTATTAGTAATCTATATAAAGCTATCCTTTACTATGCTTTTATTATTAAGAATCTTAACAATTTACCCTACTATACGTAGTTATAGTAGTAATTTAATAAAATATAATAAATCTAGCCTATATATATTACCTAGTTATCTATATATATATTATATCTATAAATTTTATTAAATTACTAAAATACTAGTTTAAAAGGGTACAGATCGTCTCGTAGGATACGGGCTCCTGGGGCTAGTTTTGTTTCCGCTACGCGTTTTACAATCTCATGCTCGCTCTCGTCTCTGCAGGTGACCCTGACGCGGTAGGGATTCTTTAGGTCCTTAGTCACCGCTCGGCATCGCCACGTGGGATTATTCAGTTCGGAGCGGACTACGTTCTCCACTGTTGTTCGGATCGTTCCGGTTGAGAGCCTAGCCTCATCTTCTCCTAGTCTTGAAACATCAATCGTGCAGTAAAGCACGTCTGTGGGGTTCGGAGGAGTGGCTAAGGTCCTTGAATCGTTATGGGGTAAAGACGGCGTTAGTCGTGTCACGTCAGCATATGACCGGTGAGGTCCATCCGTTGCATTCGTAGCGATAGTTTCGAGCTGCTCACGGCCCCGCTGTAGTTCCTCGGTCATCCGTTCCTTCATCTCGACCATCTGCTTGCCCATCTCGTGCACTGTCTGTTCCTGCTTTGTAACAGCTTCTTTAAGTTCCCTGGTCATCTCCATCTGTTCCTTCAGCGCTTCCTGCAGCCTCTTGGTCTCCCTGCGCGACTCTGCCAGGAGATCCAGCGCCTTCTGCAGCATTACCCTTCCATCGCTGCCGCTGCTGCTACTGCTGCCGCTACTTTTTCTGGCATCGGTCGGTCGGTCGACCTGTTCATCGGCCGGTACGTTTCGTGTCGTCTGTCGGGTGTTTCGTCGCGTTTCTGTGGTAGTATCCTCCAATTGTCGCGCCGTGTCTCGGACCTTGCTCGTAGGCTTCACTACCCTACTCGGACGCTTTGGCGTCGAAAAAGGGGCATCCTGCCCCACCACGATCTCGATCCCCCTTGGATCCGCCATGACGGTAGGGTGTAAGTATGACCTCGTTTACTGCATCGTTTACCTCGTTTATATCTCGTTCTACTCACCCCGGTCTTTCTCCGCCTCGGCGTTTGTTACCCTGTCTATTCACTCACTGTATACGGTGAATGCATGACAAAGACAAGTCTTTTCTATCAAGTCGCAGACCGATACTTAAAACGATATCTCGCAAAGAAATCCTTAAACTTCCCTTGTAGACTCCAGAAACTAGGAAATTGTAATTCTCCTTAGTCTCTAAATTGGGTTTTCTTCTTTTTCTTTATGCGCCCAAAGTCTGATTTATAGCTTTTATCATCTCTGAAACGGCCCATTTCTGGCTTCTTTCATGTTGACACGCTGGTTCGCTCATGCTGCAGGCTGGGCTCGCGGATTCAGAAGATCATTACACCTCTTACGAGTCGCCACCTCTTCCTCGCCAGGCCGGGCACCCACTTCGCTCATAGGCAACCTCTCCATCTGTATTCCAACAGCGGCTGTCGGTCCCTGGCCATCTGCACTCGGCACGTCACTGCGGGCACCCTTGTCAAGAAGTAATTTCACTGCGGCCTCATTACCCGCGAGAACTGCCAGGTGCATCGCCGTTAGGCCCATGCTTTCCTCAACAGCGTCAAGCTGTTCCGGATCATTAAACTGTAATAGTAGCTCATTCATAATCTCGCGGTTTGCACTCCAATCGATGTCGGCCCAGTCCAGCTCAGCCGCCTCGGTTGCATCTGTCCCGCGGAACTCGTCGTCGATGTGAGCGGCTGCGGCGCGGTGGAGCGCCGTCCACTGTCGGGTTGGCTCGACGATGAAGTTCAAGCAGTCTGCGCTGCCAAGGAGGTAGCGGAGACGTGTGATTGAATTTCGCGCGTTGGAGGCGATGACATGGCCGAAGATGGTTGTGGGGTTTGTGAAGCTCAGGTGGCCGCTGCTCAGGCTGGACAAGTTGATATCGGCGCCATGCGATATAAAGCTGTTAGCGAGCTGGAACTGGTCGTTCTGCACGGCGACGAGTAGCGGGATTCCGTTCTGCCGAATTCGTCCGGGAAGCCGTCGAGGGGGGCGCCGTGGTCAAGAAGGGGTTGGACTAGTCGCGTATTATCCTGTCTTGCGTACGCCAGGACATGGAGAGCGGTCCACGTTGAAGCTAATCCACTGAAGGGGTTTTTAGAAGCTCCCGTGGCATGTGCTCCATGCTCAAGGAGAAGATTGACCATCGTGGGACGATTCCATCGAACTGCCTCTAGGAGCGGTGTTCGCAGGTCAACGCCGCATGCGCAGTTAATGTCAGCCATTTTGAACGCACCAACATCTTGGGACTGAAGCACTTCTTCATCGTAGTTTTCTCCAGCTTTCATGACGTCAGCTCCGTGTTTGAGGAGGTATTCAACCAATTCGTCTCGGGCTAGTGAGATGGCCAAATATAGAAGCGTTTAGTTAAAGCCGCCGTAGCCTTGGGGGGAGGTAAGCCTGCTAGTCCTTGGCAATAGACACTGGAAAGTTGATTCCATCGCCTGTTGATATCTCGACCCATGGTATAGGATCATGTCAAATAGGCTGCTGCCGTAAACGGCCTGCTGAAGGAGGCCTGTCACAAAGAAGCCGCCGCGTTTCTCTGCCCCTTGTTCGAGGTTGAATTGCTCGATGGCATGGATCATCAACTCCAGACACTCTGAACGAAGTTGCGATGCTGCAGTTTCCAACGCACTTCTTGCTCGAGGCCACGATGTATTGCACATCCTCGGATCGGCCGTGTTGGATAGCAAGAATTTGACAATTTTGGGACGGTCACAGTGAGTCGCTAGTTCATACATTAGCCCCTCTAATGCACTCAAAATCTGAGTCATGTAGTTTATGAAAGACATGACAATGGATATAGAATAGAAGACACTCACCCCATCCGATTGGATAACCCTCCGGGAGCCGATCAATATCTAGCGATGCCGGAAACGCTGCTTGGTAGGCGATGAATGTAGTAGTCTTGGCATTTGTATCCGCGCCGGCTTGGATCAGTGCTGGGCCAACGCTTTCGATCTCTTCATCATCAAAGGATACCAGCCAGTGAAGCGGAGACTCTCCATTCGGTGCCACCGATGCGGTTGCTCCATTCGAAGTGAGCCACAAGACCGTATCTGTATAGCCTGCGCGGCAAGCACACAGAAGCGGCGTCTCGCCTTGGTCGTTGAGTTGATTAACTTCAAGTGAGGGAAAGCGATTCAGGAGAGCCCCGATGGCTTCAGTTTGGCCGCAACATGCGGCCACATGAAGAATGCGGTCACCTCTCTTGTTGGCTGTGTAGTCAGCGATGGAATCGAACTGAGAAGAATTCTCAAGCAAGATGGTAATGTTTTCAAAGGTTCTCATCCACATATTGTGAGCAAATCCGTGAAGCATTTCTGTCTTCCAAAAGAAATTCGCGCCTGTGCCTGCGAGGACGTCACGGATCGTTTTCTTCGTTTTCTCATAGGTATCCTTGGAGAGCATGGCGAGATCTTCGAGGGCAATTCTTGAACCACGCAGGGCCATTAGTTCCAGGGTTTCGATTACGCTGTCTGCGTTATCAGGCGTGAGCCCGATGGCACGCGCGATTCGGTATCCATATGCTGACGCCAGTGGATGTTTCACCCCCCAGGCGTTAAAGAGCCATCGCAATGCTTGCGATGTATCCTTGTCTACACCGTATCCGTTGATGTAGAGAGCCGTGAGAAGGAAAGCCTCCGGTGGGTTTATCATACCTTTCTTAACCTCCCCCTCGCCTCTTTGGATGTATGTTGTTGTCAAGTACCCCTGAATGGAAGGTTCCATCCCCGTCCAGTGGCGCCACGTGAAGAAATGTTGCTTTGCGAGATGAGTCTTCAATATATTCGACGGGCAAGCCTATTATGACCTACATTCAGGTTCGATTTCAACACTTGATTCGGCTCCCGCACTGGTTCGGTAGCTCCTCATCATGTATCACCTGTTGGTAATTTGAGTACCTATCTTGAGTAAACGAACCCTGTGGCCCAGGGCGACCATGATTTGGTCGAGGTCCCTTTGGTGTGGCTCATTCGATAATCCTATTGTCACAGCTCCTTTCATCGCATCGTATAAACCCAAACGTTGAACAGTTGCGATCAGCTGTTGCTTCAGTGGCTCCAACGTTTGAAAAAACACGGGTGGAATGGCACACAGAATCTTTTCAATATCGTCAATGCCAACCGCCGAGTGGTTGGCCTGTGCGTTGTTCTGCTGCAATTGCTGCTGGAGAGACTGGAAGTGCTGGAGGAACTGGCCGGTGTCGCCATAAGTAGTGGCCATAATGGCTTTCAAGTACCATGCAGAAATATCTGTCTGGGCAGCTAGTTCTTCAGTCTCCTTCAGTTTCTCCGCTTCCGCGTAGAATTCTTCGCATTGGTTGGAGGGGTCCACGAGGAGTTTGAAGATGTTTTGACCATGTGCAAATGTACACCAGATAAAAAGGGACAATAAGTATATGTCGGTATACTTTGCGTCTGATACCTTGACTGCTGTCTTCGCCTCGGGGGCCTTCCACGGCCGGGTTCCTCCTAGCAAGAGGCTGCTCCTTTCAGTATTTATCACCTGGGAGTAGCCGAAGTTATTCACTTTGGCTCTGTATTTGTGCTCCGCATCTGCAAATATCAAGACATTCTGTGCCTTGATGTCGCCATGAACGATGCCGCATGAATGAAGCATATGAAGACCTTTGCAGACATCAAGGCAGAGCTTACGCCGAGTCTCTATGCCGAGATACTCCCTCTGTTGCAGCTGCGAGAGGCTCCCGTATTCCGCAAACTCCACCATGAGGACCGGTAGTTTCTGCAATGAATTAAACGGATTTGCGCCCCATGCCAATCCAAGAAAGTCGACGAGATTGGGGTGTTGCAGGATTGGGCGGTGCGTCGAGAGATAGAGCTCCATGATTGCCGCGTCTATGGCGTGCCAGGATGTGTGAGTGGCTTCACCTTTGTCCGAAAACTCGATGACAGCCACTTTGTAGGCGACTACCTCCGGCAGCTTGCGTTTATCTCTAATCTCGATCAAAAGGCCATCCACGTTTGTACGCGACGTTAGGGGCTTCTGGGGTGGGATGCGACGTCGATACACGGTGAAGCTTGCGCCCCGGCCGGCGAATGAGGCGCTGTCCACGGCTTGCGCATTCGAAAATCCTGGAGGGACCGATAATGCCACGGTATTGTCAGCCAAGAACGCTCGGTACGCAAAGTCCAAGGCGTTCGGGATGAAGGGTGCATCCGCTAGGGTTACAGGGTCACATGGTTTGAAGGTCGTAGGATCGGAGGCTCCTCCCCTACAAGACGTCAGATATCTTCCTGACGAGGAATCCATTTCGTTTTAGGGGATCAGTAGTTAGGTGATAGAGGTCCAAGCTGTTCAGCTCAAAGTATGAAGGAGGAACGTTGGTCCGGGTTTTGACCAGGCGGGGAACCTTAAAGGAGTAGATCCGTTGCCTTACCTTCTTTCAAGGATCCTATGTTGCTGGTAAGCACATAGGTACTTATTGTGTAATTACTGATTTGCGGCTGAGGTACTATAGCCTGCCTCAGCCTGTTTTGCCATTGACGATATTGTTAGGACAACTGGAGGACTATGGCGAAAGACACCAAGTGAAGTGGATCAAAAAGTGGAGGAGTGAGCTAAAAATAAGTCACTGCGTGGTCAAAGGAGTTAACTATATTTTAGCGAAGGGATATATGATCATTGACTGCTTAAAAGAGCCTAAATGGTCGGAGGCGCCAGTACAACAGTGCTCGGGGATCTGAATATCGGATAATTGCACTTGCATAAGCCTCATACAACAGGTAGACTAGCATCTTGCCAGGCTGGTTAGGCATCATCCACAATCACACGCCTATCCGACACAAACCCCGTGGGCGATCGACCGAGACCCAGACTTTCCAACAAATATTTATAGGGGAGAGACCCCTATTGCACATCCATCATGGACCCCGGAACAGCTCTAGCTGTGGTGTCGCTCTCCTTCGACCTTTTGGCCAGCTGCGTTAGAGGCTTCACCTTGATATCTGACGCTCGAAACATCGGAAAGGATGCAGCCATCGAACGAACAAAACTCATGCTTCAAGAGCATCGACTCATTGAATGGGCTAAGGTAATCGGCCTCAACCCTCCCAGGGACGATGGATCACTGGAGATACACAAGCATCCCGCCGCTATCATTTTGTTCCAGTTAGAGCAGCTTCTCTCCTCAACGGACGCTTTAAAAAACCGCTACAAGTTGGAACTTGTGTCTCCGCCTAATGGTTCTGATGACTTGGTCCCTTCCGAACCGGCGATCGTCTCGGATAACCCGGCTTCGTCGATCCTTTCGCATATTGTGTCATCCGAGATTCGCCAGGGCATCCTCAAGCGCGCATCTACACTGAACACCGCGAATCGGTTCCCAAGGCGCCTTTATTGGGACGCTGTCGACAAGAAAAAGTACGCGGAGCTGGTACAGGATGTGACCGGTCTTGTCGATGGGCTTTGGTCTCTCTTGGACATTCCTCACCGAATCCAGACGTCTCGCGCAGTCAACCAGACGCTGCAACTCGCGATCCAAACGAGTGAAGATATCAAGGGTCTTCAGTATCTCCAGAAATCTCTACAAGACTCATTCACAGATGCTGGTGTTAAGAACAGCCTCGCTGCCTCGGCAGGCCTGAAGGCACAGCATATTTTGCTCACATCACATAGTGGTGATACCCAGCAACAAGCGCACTCCGATGATGGGACCAGCCGTGTACTACCAGCAGAACTCCCATCGGTTCTGGACCCTTCCCAGCTGTCTAGCATTCATATGATGATATCAACCATTGGATCTTCCCTGTACCAGGGAGACACCATGCTGATAGAAGAGAAGCGTGTACAGCCGAGAATGAAAGCGAAGCTTAAACCACGTGTTGAAGCCCTCGTGGGTCTACTCTCGCAGTCTCCCACGCCATCTTTTCTGACATTCCCTTGCCTGGGATACACTGAAGAGCAAGGGGGCTTCCGGTTGGTCTTCTGTTTCCCTTCTGGCACCGAGAAGCCTCTTTCCCTGCTCAATGTATTATCGAAATCCAGCGGACCACTGCCAGATGTTGGTATGCGACTTCGTTTAGCTGCGCAGGTGTGCCAGACGCTCCTGAGCTTCCACACAGCCGGCTGGCTCCATAAAGACATGCGATCTGAAAACATTCTCCTCGTCTCTCCGACCTCTAGCCCGTCAATTGACCGCCTAAGTCGACCATATCTCTGCGGTTTCTCGTTCGCACGACAAGGTTCGCCGACCGAAATCTGAGGATCTCTCACGGGACATTTATCGGCATCCCAAGGCTCTCGGAGAGCCTTCGGAGAGCTTCGAACGCTATATAACTTAAGGATTCGCAGCATTTCGGCTGGGGGTTGCGTTTATGAGGATGCTTGCTCTGTGCATTCCAGCGGGAGATGAAAAGCCGGATTTGGCTGACTTCTATTCTGCACTTGAAAGCATAGCTAATTGTTTAATTTAATTAGACTCTAGTCCTAGCTATCTTTAACCTATATAAGCAGATTAAGAGTCTTACTTTTATATATATATGATATAAGTTAACGTGGTTGATAAGCGAGCGCCGCATTACCCTATATACCTTAAATCCAGTTTTTAAAAAACTCTTTAAAAGTCCCAACTAAGCCTAAAATAGCTAAAATCTTAATAGTATCTATTTGACTCTTTAAATAAGTTATATAATCTTTTTTAAAATCTATAAAATTGCTATAAAGCTATAGATCTAAAAACCTATTTACACTGTAAAATGTACTGTATAATAGAGCTTTATCTTATATAAGAATTTTCTTTAAATTCTAGAATGCTATTTCGCCGTCTTTTATTCTGCCAGCTGCATTTTGCGTCGCAGCAATGACAGTGCATACATAAGCCAACAGTGCTCCGTCCCCTCTTCCCTCAATTATGCGACCGCCTTACCCAACGGCCTCCAGGCGCGCAGGAGTTCCGACATGATCTCGTTCCCCATCTGCACCCATCGTTAGGGAAAACCGCTGGGACGGCAGAAGATTGAGATTATGGCAAGGGGGTTTTGTCGAATCGAAGAATATTGATCAGGTGTTACGACCCAGCCTCATCCATCACGTGCCGATCATGCACCCCACAATTTTGACCCAATCAATCACGGATCACCTATACAGCGGGATCACTACGCTCCAGGAGCTATCGTGATCCAGGATCACCGTGATCCTCACCCACCGTGATCCTCACCACAGCCATTTAGTATATAGACCACACTCATTAGCACTTAGATAGAACTTACCTCACCAGCTATCAATACAACTTCTTTACCTCAATACGCCTAACCCGCTCTATTGACTACTAAGAGACGTGACATCTTCGCTACCGCTCAAACTGTATCCTACAATTCTACAAACATACACCCAGTACGGCTTAGTGTATCCCTTTGGAAACCCCAACCGTCACACCTCAGTCACAAAATCCCCTCTCACCCTAAGATGCCTTTGTAAATCTCATTCTATCAACACTTCCAATCCGACGACGCCTCAGCATTACCACAAAAGTCCACACCGTCTGGCCAAATCATATAGCCTATATCAGTCGTGTTGACATCCATGCTTACTTAGTCAACCTTGCCAGTGCCCGCAATATACCAACCACAGCGCTCAGTTACCGTCTCGGCCACCCGCGTTACCCAATCGGCCGATACAACAGCATCAATGGCATTAGTGTTACAGGCAAAGGCCACGGCGTCGCCACGGATGGAGTAAAAGGCGCCGCCAGGTGTGACGAACTAGACGGCTGAGCCCATCTGATCCTTCAGATCCTGGACGGCATCATCGCAATTGTCGTGATTGAGTTCGATGCCGCAGCCGCACCATGTGTTCCAACGCCATTCTCGCTTCTCTTTCAGGGCTCGCTTCGCTATGGAGACGCCTGCAGGTGTGGCTTCATCTGCGAGGCTTGAGACGCGTTCGTGGATTTCTTGTCCATTTGCGTTGAGGTGCACTTTGTAGAAGCCGTCTGTAGTGCCCTTAGGGACTTTGAAGGCGGTGACAAGATAGCAGAGGACTGAGCCAACAAGGAAATTGGTGAAATGCATATTGAAAAATAGTTTGTGTCGTTCTTGGAGCTGTATGCCTTAAAGGTCATGAAAGATGATTCAGTATATCCCGTGTGGAAACTCATGGCGTCTTTTGTTTCTTTTATAGCCGATTCCACAAAGTGACTGTGCTATTTACTCAATACATACAGTATATGGTTTTGGTATCTTGCATATCAAATTACAATTACAGAGTCTGGTTCTAGTAGTATTTTGCTTCCTCGCGAAAATCACACCAATTGCTTGCCATATTCTGTCTTACATACATATGATACTTTCTCACTGATACAGAAACTAGCTAAAATGAGAACTTTTCGACTCGGCTATCAGCCCCCAATTTCTCACATCAGCAACTCGAATAATACTACCACTTTCTACCAAGCTCTTATTTGAGGATTGTGTGTATTTGACTCCTGGGTGGACCAAACGTTATGAACTAGAGAGATGTACCAACACTGGTTGAAACCACTCGTTGATCTGCCGAAGTGGAGCAGTAACAAAATCAGGCTCCAGTAAACGTTAGATCCACAACCAGGAGAAGCGGGCTAATTAATGTTGCGAGAAACGCGATTAGTTTCTGCCTCAGGCCCTCAGGCATAACACTTAGTGATAGTTTCGTCTCAACCTAACTTCTCCAGTTTCAATATCCACAACAAGAAGCCAACCGGTCACCGCCGTAATGTCCCAGGAACGGGAAGACACACATTGCGCCCTCTGCGGTGTTCCGGCACACTCGACTGAAAGGGGAGCTTATCATAGAAACCTGGTATCAACAAGCAGCATAGAATAGCTAGAAAATACCAACATCATTGGTCGGGGTTCCCGTACCAAAGGGTAAGCCCCAAACGTGACCGAGAGTGTACAAATGGTTTTCTGACTATACATAGGAGGGTCTTCTCTATTTCTGCTGATTATTCACACTTCAACTGGTATTACGTAAAAGCGGACGAAATCGCACAACATGGACTTCGCAGTCACGAAGTGCGTGTGTAAGTACAAAACTGCAATCCACTGAAGCAGTGCTAATACATATTCGAATAGATACGATTGGGGCGAAAGCCACGACATTTTGATTCCCTTTCATGAGGATTGTTACTCTATTCTTGAGCAAGTCGTCGCCCCGACTAAAATTGTCATTGCTGCGCTGTACGAGATCCTCATCCCCCATGTGCCTGACAGGAATGCATTTGGTCTTGACTATGATTATGGCGGCGACGCGTCAGCCTGTCGGGAGATCGAGTGGAAGTGGATTACAGGACTGGAATATGTCGTTGCCTCACCAACAAAGATCCCACGTGTCCAAAAGTTCATCAAGTTGATCTTGCAGGAATCGAAGCTGGAGGAGTCTGATGTAAAACGCTGCTCTTATCAGACGAACAGTAGAAGTGATAGCAGGTTCGAATTGCTTCCAGACGAGATTATGTCTGGCGTGCTGGAATGTCTCGACTACGGCAGCCTCTGCGCCATCCGTCTTGCTTCTCGCAGCGCCGCCAATGTCACGTCGTCCAATGCATTCTAGAAAGCCAAGTTTCAATCCGGCATGAAGTGGGCTCTCTACTATTTGGCCCGCTTGAAGGTACTATCGAACTCCGAGATCGACTGGTTCAAACTCTACAAAGCCATGAGAGCCGTCAGCACTGGCAAAGACTCGCGTAGTGGCGCTGTTACCAAAAGACTTCGGAATCGCGCTCGGATCTGGGGAGTGTGCGAACGACTTCTCAAAGATACTGGCCTTTACACAAAGCTTATCATGCATCAAAAGAGTTGTTAATCGATATATCACCTGTGCTTGACGATGCATACAGCACTATCCTACCAATGCTACGCTATCCCTACAACAACAGCACCATTTTCACCGTACTTGGTCTCCTGGATACATTCGCGGCCGTGAAAACTGCCCAACCTATCATCACGGTATTTTGGTCAAAAGAAGGCGAGCTGGTCGGTATAGGAACGCGAGAAACTGAGCATGCGACTCAGAAAGTATGCGGGAATGAGAAGCTATTTGCAACGAGTAAGGACGTAAAGATCCCGAAGAAGGGTTGGATTACCGAGATGGCCATTATTACAAAGGCAGAAGTTGATGAAAAGGACCTCACCAAGGTTATTCGCAAAGTTGTCGGGCTGCGATTCAGCTTCTTCAGGGGAGATCCCGTCCAGGTTGGCCAGATTCAAGGCGATGTGCGAGTTATCCGTCCCGATCCTGGCAATTTCGTTGTCGGCTTCAGAATCGGCCTGGGTATTGGGCAGCCCATTGAAAAGCTTGCCCTTATGTTCCAGCCTTTCAAAAGGTACCCCGAGACAGCGTCTATCGTCTGCAGCACAAGCAGCGTCTAGATCTAATGGGCCTACCGATTCCACCCAACAGCCCCTCGACTGCAGGGCATCTGTGGAAGGGAGAAGCACCACCCGACGAGCTCGATATTATGCCTTGCCGACATGGTGCGATCACCAGTGACTTAACAAAGGATGACTTGCAGATGGAGACGCGGATATTTGGCACGAAAGAGAGCGATCTGGACATGATATCTGCCATAGGCGTGGATGCTCAAGTTCGAGGTTTCGAACTCCGCCGGAATGATGGCACTACTCGCAGTATCGGCAAGACATACGCTATGCAGTATCTTGAGATTGACGGGCGTGGAGGCGAGTAGATTCTCTACTTCCACGTCGCCACATCTCTCCAACTTGACGGTGTACGGTTTGTCACGAATAGAGGACGCCAAGTGATCGTTGAAGCGGGCGCTGGTAGGAACGGAGTTGTCTTTTCTGAAGAACAAAAACATTGCCGCGATGCTCTCATGGGTATCTACTGCCATTGGGGGGACAGAAACAGTCCTGGCATAGACTTCCAAAATGTCGGTGCTTTCACTCGCAAGTGGAGTCGTATTCCTGTCAGTACACCCACGCTGGCGAAGGATAAAGAAGGGAGATACTGGGTTCCAGGCCCTCCACCGAAAGATTTGCGAGAATTTGGCACCATCTATGGCAAAAGAAAGGTTGAACAACGACAGGTACCGAGTGATAAAGCCACTGTATCATGGTTCGACTGCAGCAGACCCATCTCATCCATCAAAGTAGCATTATGTCACGGAACCGAGTCTTCACAACTCCCTCTGGTTTCTCTGTCCTTCAACTACGCCGAGGACCAGACGACAGCCTCCATCGGTCCAACAGAATTCACGCCTCCCAAGGACACCCTCGGCCTGAAGGGGAACTACTGGTGCTGGTTCTTTCAAGGCTCACGCCGCGGCGAGGAGGAACTCGAACAGAAGCCACATTACGTCCAAGACGAGTGGAATATCGAGGGAGCTCGTCTCAAGTTCGCCCACGTATGGATTGATAAAGATGGTATCTTGACGGGGTTGCAGTTTATCACTGAGGATGGCAAGGAGAGTCCGGCTTGGGGGTATTGCGAAGGGAAGAAGTCTGACAAGTTGTCTTTGCGGACCAAGAATAAGGATCGCGCTGTGGGGTTGAAGCTCTTTATTGACAATAATGGCCGGGGGACCAGTCACGACGATCAGGTGGTAACGGCCAGGGAACGAAACCGGTTACATGTGTGTTAGCTACTCAGCTTGCATATCCTGTGTTCCATACTCTAACTTAGTTGATTGGATCCTGTAGCAACATCGCTGCCATAGAGTCATATATACTATAAGTCCATAACCCAAATCTGGGATGTCCTGAACTCGAGATCCACGCACTGCATCACTGAGGGTAATGTGAGACTAAGAATCACCCAAACAACAGCACATCAGGAGTATAGTGACTGTGGGATAAAGTATCAGGCGTGTTTACGGGCCAAGGTGAATTGTCAGACCCACTCTATCGGCAGTCCGCCCGGCTCCACTATGGACGGACCGGTTTATTTACCGGTACTTTACAACAATACATGGAATCGACTTTCTGACACCTTTTCGTACAGTGGGTGCCATAATTCTAAGTGTCTGTAGGTTGATTCTGCTCTATAGGGTGACACTAAATCTACTAATCTTCCCTCGAAAACGGGGTGAACTAATTTACAAAAGGGTACATCTCTCAACATTGTATTAGAGAACTTGAAGCAATCCGCATTGACCCCCGCACTGTTACAACTCGTAAAAGGTATTATTACTTCGTTTCTTTCAACTGCGAGAACTGTTAGTACGGTTCAAGGTGATCAGTAGAAGGGGAGCTGTAGGAGTATACTCACGCATCTGAAAGACCCGATTTGATTAGCGACCCAGCCGTCGCCCGTATTTGTTGACATGCAGGAGTGGTCGGACGAGCGATCAAACGGACGGGTGCATGAATCACCAAAGAAAAAGATGCAGTTATACCCTTCGTCCGGGACAAGGATGCTATGTGGGCTGAAAGTTCCCTGACATCCTTCCTCTTTCTTTCCAGTGTATTGTCGGCAATCTGTGTCAGGCATTTCCCCGAAGTTGTAACACTTTTCCAGCTCGAAACCCCAGACCTTTCTATACGGTTTGTCGTCTCGTTTAGTGCAGTCTGTTTTGCTTGGGTCTGATTGCAGTTTGTAGATTTCCACTATTACATGTCAGTCCCGGTTTGACATGGACAAAAGCAGACATGTGTCACTTACTAGACCATTTCTTTTCTCTGGGGGGGTCATCATTTGGCGGTTCCGGGTCTGGGCCTCTGATCATCATGGTTAGTACGGATTGGGGAAGAAGACGACTCAGGGAAGACATACTTTTCACAAGCGTAGTTCATATCCTCATCAGGGAGCCAAGTCGCATACCCCGTGCGAACTAGATGGTCCGACATGATCTCGAAGGCAACCAATCTTGCCATCAAGTAATGCAGGGGGATTTGGGGGTGAAAGACTCGTGCATATCCGAATGGCACCAGGTAATCGACAACGTCTGCACGTGCAGCGAGTGCTTTGGTCGAGACAGATCGTTTCTTGTTGTCATTGTCGTGATGAAGCTCGGCATCGGGATCCAAGAGGCGTGTGATTTGTGCCAGAACGAGCATACCACCGTAGAATGTCTCACTCAGTTCGCCAGCAGTGTCACGCTTCCAAGGCGTCGTTCCTGCGGGGTCCCACGTGTTTAGTTCGTAGAACAGGAGTCCGCGCCTGGTATTACTCTCATTGGTCGACTCATCGACGCCTGGTTCACAATACCTGCCACCATAATGGCCGACCATACCGTCATAGGAGATATACCTGACCGAGTCTCCTGCTCGTTCAACAGCCGCTTGCTATAAAGAACCGTCAGTAAAAGAGAAGAGATGTTGGAGGTAGGGACTCAACGGACAATTTGCGAGTTGACTTTGTCAACCAAAAGGTTCAGGGAAAGGCGACGAGCTCTCGTCAAGTACTCGGCCGGTTGCCCAAGATTTGCCAATTTCTGTTTCTCAATCAGTCATGATACGATGCCTAATTCATGGTTGACTTACGTAAATCCATGTTGTCCAAGTGACCTTGTCACACTCGGTTGTCATTGTTTCGGCGAAGAATTTGGCGTACCTACAAACATTGTCAATCACAGCGTTCAGAAGTTTAGAAAGTTAAAAGGCTCACCCTGTGACATAAATCTTGGCTCTGCATCATCGTTAGTGAGGTTTCAGTGAAAAAGAAAAGAGTAGGCGGCATACCCATTGTTGAGCTTCTTTTTGGCAGCCGACAAGACATCGTCGAGGTTCTTGCTGAAAGCCTGCGAGTCGGCAAGGGATTTGCTGTGATCTATTTGACCCTCGCAACCTCGAGAGAGACTATCCCAATCAAAGCCCTTTGCCCATGCGTATTCCTTGTCAGCCTCTGCAATCAACTTTGCAGCTGCGGCTTGGGCTTTGGTGAAAACACCCATTTGGAAAATGCATGAGTTCAGCAGGTCGATCAAGCCCACATCGTTACCGCCGATGGATAAAGTAATGGCGTCTTGGTTGCTGTCGAGCTCTGGAATTTGCTTGTCTAGCACATCTTTCATAACAGCGCCGGAGCAAGAAAGAAACTGGAACTTGCGACGGGATGGATCGCCAATTCTTTCGTCCTGGTTGAGAAGGTACGGATAGGCCTTGTTGTAGCGGGCACAAGCAAAGTCTATTTCCACAAGGTTAGATTCCGGGCGGTAACATGAGGGCTCCACGAGGAGAACTTACCACTGCCAGACTTGAAGGCTTCAGAGACACTACCGAGTCTGTCTCCAGCACCGATTCCAGCCGAGTAAGAGTCTCCAATGGCAGCAAGCTTTTGGATGTTCAAGCGATCGTATGGGGTGTCACTGTCTCTACTCACCACGTCCCAGTCGGTACCGTCCTTGGCACACTTGGTCTCTTTGTCGTCAGACACATCCCAGCAGATTGGCTCGCAAGTTGATGGAAGAGCTGGAACACCGGTTCCTGGCTTGGAACCGGGAGATGGCAGGGCGCCGAATCCTGGATCCTGGCCGGGGGCCCAGCCTTTGTCATCGCCTGTACGGTCCGTCATACCACAGCGGTTGAAGAATGTTTCTCCACGATTGTCGAATGTAGCCGTGATGGAGTGCAAGTCTGCTCTGCCATCTCCATCGAGGTCAGGGAAGTACTGACAGGTACCAGCCCAGGAGCCATCGTACTGTTTTCCGCTCTTCAAGAACCACCAGTTGCTACCGCCAGTATCCATCTTGCCTCTGTTGATATAGACAGTGGCATCGCCCGTGTACTTGTCGACCCAGATCATGTCTTCACCACCCTTGCCGTTGACGTTGCCGAAACGAAGGTTGGCACGATCGATACCCTCCGCCTTTTTGAACTGGGCAATTCTCTCCCAGGAACCATCCGTGTTGTGAGTCCAGCCGTAGAAGCGCCCGTCGGGCTGGATACAAATGTAGTCTGACAACTTGTTGTCTGAAACGTCGGCAAACCTGACAGCAAGGTCGTGAATACCCACTCCTCTCTTCTCGGGACAGTTCAAAACTGGGGCTGGATCGGCGAGGTATGTCCAGGTGAAAGAACCCGTCTTCTTGTAGTTGTTGATCCAGACGGAAACCTTGTTGTTGTTGTCGGGATCGACCCATGCGATATCGCACGCACCATCGTCATTCCAGTCAACTAGATGGAGGTCTCGACGATCCATGTCCTTTGAAGGCTTCCAGAGATCTTTGGGACTGCCCCAGAAGACATCGTTGCCGCCGCTGACAGACTTCTTTCCCAGGTTAGGCCAGACAGTCATTTTGCCTGTTGATAGAGTCCAAACATAGTCTTGTCGTCCATCTGAGTGGCCGTGCATGTTGCAGTACTTGTTGCCATCGGCCTTGAGCTTGGTAGAACCCCCTCCAGTGTTCTTCCAAACCTTCATGTCGAACTTGAACCTGCCGTCCGTTTGCTTGGTTGATTGTAGATAGACATAGTCTGCCTTGGGTAAAAGCCCAAAAGCAGCATCGCCATAGATCCTGGCGAAGTGGATTCTGTCTCGACTAGAAGAACCAGCACCGGCATGGGTTGGTCCCGAAGAAGAGCCCTTCCAGAAACCTTGTCGCCAGGCCACGTTGAGGCCGTCGCCAAGCTTCCCCTTCTTGCAGCTTCGGGAGTTGGTCCAAGTTGTTGTGGCACCTGTCTCGCTCACCCACAACCAGTCGTCGCGCCCATCGCCGTTGATATCCTCGAAGCGGACACCACGCATGTCGCCCATGCCCTTGGCGGAGAAGCGCAAGCCCAGAGGTTGCCAGCTGGGTGTGTCAGAGGTACCTGAATTTCTCCAAGCACGAACATTTCCACCGTCGTCGAGGATCATGTAATCAGCTCTGCCATCGCCGTCGATGTCACCCCATCTGACACGGTCCTGCTTGAAACCGACGTTGCCCTTGATCATGCCGATGTTCTTGAAAGTTGGTGGCTTGGTAGCGGTTCCATCTTTGTTGTTGATAGATGCCAATGTATCTCCATTGGGCGAGACGCACAGGAAATCATCGTAGCCATCGCCATTGAGATCAACCCAGAAGATGCCGCGAGGGTTGCAGAAGAGGTTGGTCTGTAGGTCAGACACTTTGGAGAACTTGCCTCCTCCGTTATTCTTCCAAGTGGCAAAGGTAAGCACCTTATCAGCATACCACCAACCAACGATATCATCATACTTTGATCCATATAGCCTGGTGAAGAACCACTGATCACGATCAAACTCCGAGGTGTATGACCAGATAGTGCCCATCTCCTGGCTGTTATGGTAGTAGATGCCATCGTCTTCGCCTGAGCCCTTCTGGGTGACACCGCCGTACTGGGCTTGTCCAGGTTGTTTGTCACAAGTGTTGCCCACTGTGGCAGTGAACGGAGAAGCCTCTGCAATGAGTCCATCCTGATGAGCCCATTCGATGGCATACCAGAACTTGATTGCCATCTTCTTATGCCCGGCCTCGCTGTTGAGAGTTTATCGTCAGTGGTGGATATGTAGATGAGAGACGGTTTGACTTACTTGGGGTGGATTCCATCCGCTACCAGCTCGTTCAACGGAATGTCGATATCAATATATTCGACCCGTTTTCCAGTACTTTGGAGGCGCCTAATCATCTTCCTAAGGAGCAAACAGAGTTAGAAGAGAGAATGAAGTAGGTAGCATAGATACATACTTGTATTGTTCGTTGATCTCTAGTCGATTGCGCTCTGCCTGAGCATCGTTGCGTCGGATCACAGATGACACAACAACAAATGTCTTGGACATACCATCGGAGGTCCAAATATCATTAAGGAGTGCCTCCAACCGGCTACCTGCTCCATCCACCTGGAAGATTGTTAGCTATTACCCAATAGTAGTCAGGTAAAGGGCATGTATACCTTGTTTTGATTTGCATCGTTGGTGCCGGCGTTGATCTGTCAGAGAGCTTAGTTGTTGTGTTATTCATTGTGGATTGACGACAACTTACTAGAACGACATTGGGCTTGTATCCATATGAGTTGCGTCCTGCTTTGCGGACCTGGTCGATAGTATCACCGCTAGTGGCTTCGAAATCCTATAAAGTTAGTGCTGAGATAAACCCCAGAGGCTGGTCGCGAGCTTACTCCATCCACCATGTCTCCATTCCGTTTGCTGCCGACCATATTGACAAGCCACTATAATGAGATTTATAAGTATATTTATGACACAAGGTCACATATGGGAGGACTTCATGAAATATACATACACCCTTGTATCTCAATTGGTCCCTGAGAGGTTTTCGAAAACTACACGGCATATGCATTAGTTTTCCATTCCACAAAACTTCCACTTCATCCATCACTTACCCATTGCCAGTCTCGGTTCCAATCTTGGTTCCAACACCGCTCACAATAGACGCACCCAAAGGCAAGATTCTCAAAGCAGGTTTCGCATCTTGACGAGTAGTGAGACCTGCATGATTGGAAGCGAAAGCGGTTTCTCTGAACTCTACTTCGTAGTTAGAGTATTGCCCAGAAGGCAAGCTTGCTGTTCCGCCCAAGAAGGCAAGAGCCGGCAGGACAAGATTAAGCGCGGAATTCACGTGCATGGTGACAAGCTACGCGCAACGCGGAGGATTAGGTCACAACAGAGTGTTGGATGTGCAATAGACCTGAGAAGTCATAGAATGGAAGAATAAGAGTATAAGAGGAAGTGACAAAAGGGATGCCATTAGTGAGCTCCACTTGAGCTCTTGACATTAGTTACAGGATATAATCAGCCATTGTTGTATGCCAAGTCGGATAAGAAAACTCTGCAGTTGTCTAGACTCTCGATATTCTCTGGGCAATCTTGGACGCAGGGACGCTGCATGCGTCTCCACACGAAGGAAGCAGCGTGAAACGCAAGTGGAATTTTAGAAGGTCAAGGGTCTCTAAGGGTAATTATCTATCCGTAGTTCAAGGGGTTTTTAAATTAGAGTTAAACTATCATCCGAGGTATCTGGACCACATCCTACTTTTCTCCGGGATCCGATAGGCGGGCTCAGACTGATCCTTGGGACTGATAATCCAAGCTAACCTTGTTGGTACTCTTCCCGAAGTTTAGTACATCCGTTCATGATCTTTCAAGAAATCCTTCCGAAATCCTTCCGAAAATCCTTTAGACCTCGCGGGAAAAAAAGAAAAGAAAGAGGAACAAAAGTTTTAGCGCAAGATATATTCATATCTATAGGCATTTACTTTGAGTGGATAAATAACATCTATGTCTTCAAATACTAAGAAATGTTGTACTTAATAGAATTTAAAACAACTGTCTCTGTTTCCCAACAGTGTACCATAGTCTGTGCGTTTGGGTGCTTGTACCTCAAGTCTTCAACTGGGTAGATAGAGATGTCGTTCAAAGCTGTAGAGGCGATAAAGAGAGGAGTGCACCGCCACTTAGTTAGATTGCCTCGGGCGGTGGCGAGGTCTCCACGATCCCACGGAGGAACTAGACCAGGGCTTCCCTACACCGCGCGATTAAAAACAACAAGGGTCCGAGCCATTAGATTGGTAATATTAAAATTCGTTTTATCATGTGTCACGTCCAATCAATCTAGCATCGCAAAATGCCGCTCATGTAAAGTCTCGCCTATATCTTGGTCGGCTCCAGCATTGGTTCAGCTCCCATCAACTTCTCTCCCCTCACACAAGTCTCAGTTTCGCAGGAAACACATTGCAGTCCAACCATGCACTTCCAAAGGATCACTCTGGGAGCAGCACTTCTCTGCACAGTGGCTGCTATCCCGTGTTCGGAACTCGGGTTTGTGGCAAGTGAAACTGATCTCATGCAAGGCATCGTTGATTCCCCCTACGATCCATTCGATCCACAAGGACGTTGGGAGGTTGTGAAGGCCAATGACTGTTTGGTTCGCTTCCATACCTACGATGCAGGTCAAGACCCTCACAGCGCTAGAGTCACTGAGACCAGATGGGCCGCGACCCCCAGCGCAGTTCGTCACACAATGAACCACTACGGGGGAAGCCCTGGTAACATTATGCTTTGGCTGCCTTTGACCTCGAAAGCCTTTCAATATGTATGTATACCTTGTTTCCTTGACCCAAGCAGCTTAACTCCGTGAACCAGAATGTGGCACATTGTCCACGAGTCTGGTGTTTAGTACTTTTGCTATGGCAGCATATGACTCTCCTTATACCATATGACTTCTAATGCATTACAGGCAAATATCTTACCACGATTCATCAGCAACGATCATGAACAGGTGACGGGTCAATCATCTATACGTAGGGAACGCACAGTATTATCCATCAGTAAGTTTCACTGCTCACATTAGTAGAACTTTACTAAGATAGGTTCTTTTTCTCTCAAGTTCTCCCTAGTGGCAAAGCAAAGCTCACAGAAGTTGGGCCCAGTGCGCCTGAACAAGAAGAATCAAACGAAAACATTATACAAGCACAATCAGTGGGCGCTCACGGAGTCAAGGGCACAATATCAACGGATGATTACGCATATTCACACACACTCATAGCTCAATATCTTATGAGAAGTATTAATTGGGTTCAACTGGATGCCTACTTCAGGCGTATCCCAGAACCGGCTCTGCCTTATGCATGGATAGCAGCAGAAAAGGCAAATCCAAACGAATGTGTTATTATCGATTTCCGAGATTTTATCTCCTTCAAGATTAGAATTTGATAATAGATAAGAGACAGTTTTTATATGTTTAGTGTATTAACTTAACTATACTTTGGATTTGTAATAACTTTAATTAAACTATTAAAACAAACTCTTGATTAGCTTTACTAGGAATATTGCAACTATGAAAGCAACTCAGTACTATCTGTCTCAGCTAAAAATACTATACTATAACCTAATTAATTAAGATTACTCGCTGTTGTAGGCTCGCTCGTCTCACATAGGTACTGCGACCACGAAAGCAAACATATGACCTTGCTTTACAAACAGAGGTGATGGAATAATTATCTCTCCTAGCAGGAAGTACGTGTGAGTAGCGACCAGATACCAACTTGACAAGAAAGGCACCATTGTCCGTCAAAGCCCCATTCGCCGCACAAGCTCAAGGGCTAGCGCGGCTAATGCCGTTATGCTAATAGATAAAAGCGATTCTTTTATTTTATTAATAGGTAGTGTGATTGGATTTTCAGAAATATGGGAACTAATAGAGGATAGAGGATAGAGGATCTTAGGGTTAGGATAGGGTTAGTATTAACTATCTAAGCTATCTACCCAGTTGCTTTTCTAGTAACGATTTACAGTATAAGGAAATAGAAAGATATCTATAGCTATAGGGAATATAAGGAAAATAGTAAAAGAAATAGAGCTATAAGTAGTATAGGGTAAGGTAAGGAAAATAAGGCTAGCTATAAGGTAAGGAGAAAAGTAAGAAAATAAGGTAGGAAAATAAGGTAAGGAAATAAAATAGGAAAATAAGATAGAAAAATAAGGTAAAGGAAATAAAGTAAGAAGGTAAGGTAAGTAACTACTATAGGTAGTAGTTATAGGGGATAAGTAAGGCTATAAGGAGCCTTAGGAATCCCTTTTAAAGGGGTTCTAGAGGGAAGTAGCTATCCCTCTAGGGGCTTCATTGCTAATAGAGGCTGCTAAGATAGCCCGGGTCCTTGTAAGGGCTAGGGCTATAGAGGAATTAAGCTATACTACTGCTACAGGCCCTATAAGGTCCTGTAACTTCCGGTAGGCTTTAGTAGTCTCTAGCTCTATAAGGCCCCCTAAAGAGATAATAATAGGCTAAAAGAAGGCCCCTAGGGATCTGTATTTCCAGCGTTTTTCTTCTGTAGCCTCCCTAAGGGTCTTGTAAAGGTTAGGGTTAGGATAGGGTTA